TCTCGGCAACGTCCATCATCACGTCCAGGGACTTGCGGGCATCAGGGTTGCTGGCGATGTACTCTCTGATCTTGGGCTTGAGGCCCTTCTGGAAGAGGTACATCGCATCAGCAGAGCCCAGCTCCTCAATCTGGGAGGAGAGGTCTTCAAACTCCTCGATGTAGCGGGTCACAGAACCACGCTGCACGAGAGAGTATAGCTTGTCACGGGCAATGAGTTCAGCATTGGGGCTGCCGAAGCGGCGACGGAGGCGGTCCTTGAAGTCGTCAAACACACCTTCGCTCTGCTCGTCGAACCCTTGGCGGCGGTACCAACGGTACGCCTGGTCCTTTAAGCAGAGCTTGGCGGCGACGATGTGGTGGGTGGGGGCGACTTGGGCAGCATCGAGGTAGTCCTCGAGTTGCTGCAGCCAGTCCTCCACCGAGGAGGAGCGGCTCTTCCCAGTAAACACTGGGGCACGGAAGGTCTTGAGGAAGGCTTCCGGAAGTGGGCGGGGGTTGCTCATGGCAGGGGCAGGCTCCAGGGACAGAGAGGAGAGTCGGTCGGCAAGAGAGGCGGGATCCAGCTTGAGGATCTAGAAAGAGGACAAACAGGACGAAAACAAGACGAGGATTTCCGATGCTACCATGTAACGTCCACTACTGGGACGTTGGGGCAAGACGGGGAGGGAGGGGGTACAAGACAAGACAGGACGGGGCAGAACAGGGCGGTGCTAGGCTACTCTAGCGGACGGGTGAGCTCGGGGAGCACTTACGTTTATTCACGATAAAACCGAACTCCAGACAAACGGGGGGAACGGGGGCAACCCGCAGGTATACCCTGCGGTGGCCTGCCTGCGGTGCGTGAAAACGCAAAGCGCAGCACAGGTCACGACCCACTGCGCCGCGCAGTACGCGCAGTACGCGCAGCACAGCGTCGGAGATACCATCTCCTACAGTGTGATGACCAGCATCACAACGGACCAATGAGATTGTCCCGCATGCTCTCGCCCTCCGCACCAATCATGAGTCCCCACGTGTTTGTTTGCCCCCATGCATGAGCACGCGCCGTTGCCACCCGCGTCTACTGGTTTCCTGCCTCCCCCACCGCTCGGCACATGTCCCCGGGCTGTGCCAAGCCTCTCTCGCTTGCACACCAGCCACTCTCGCACCCCCTTCTCGCTTCTCTGTGATGCTCCACCCTTCTCGCCCACTTTTGCCCCTCGACCTTCTCCCGGTCTATAAATAGCCCTGCATGTCTGAGCCTATGTTGAACACCAGTTCGAACAAAACTTGTTCTTTGGTGTTCGGGGCTAAAAGCTAATAAAGCTCATACCAAGCACTTGGTCTTCGTCCTTGCGCTTGTTCACTCCTCACAGGTAACGAAGACAATGGAGACCGAAACCGGGCCAGGGAGACGAATAGAAACATAGTCTCTGGCCTCGAAACCATAGAGGTTCCCACGCCCTCCCAAGGACGAAGTACTGACCCGATCCCAGAGTCCGACGATGACTTGGGACTAGGTCAGACCCCAGGATACGAGATAAATCCCGAGTACCCTTCCCACAGACAAACTCACACTCCCTTGAGGGCAAGTCAAGACCCAACACCGCACAGCAAACCTGTCATGAACACCCTCTGCCTTTGCCCTCTTCCTTCCTTTACCCTTGCCCTTTCCTTTCTGTTTGCCTGCCTTAGTGCTTTCCCTTCCTTCTGTTTGTTTGTTTCCCGCGCTGTGCTGCCTTGTTATCTTACCGCCAGCACGCGCGCTGTCTGTGTCCCGTTCCCGCTTCCTTGCTGTTGGTCATGGGATACGCCCACGACGCCGCCTCGACGCCGCCTGACGCCTTGGCGCCGCCATGCCGCCGCCACTGACGCCCGCTGACTCACGGATCCCGAGTCACGGTCGCCACCTGCTTCGCTCGCTGCTTCGCCCTCCCCGCCGCTGCTTCGCTCCTGCCCCCTCGCTCTGCAGCGTCGATCCTTGGCGCTCGCATAAATAGCCCTCCGACCAGCCTCTGTCTTTTGCCTTCGTCTTGCCACTTTGTATTTTTAGTATCCTAAGCCTTGGATCTAGAATAAAACTTTGGCTTCACACTTGACACTCTGTGTCCCAGTCCAGTCCCCGCTCCTCTCCCTACGTTCGAGTCTTGCATTAGGACTCTTGCGCACTTCCCTGCTTGCCCCGTTGTCCAGTCTTGACAAAACCCTGGAGTGGGTTCGAGATGATACTGGAGGGAGACTTGGATAAACCAACCCCCGACATCCCTGAGCGGGACTTGGAGACATGCGACTCCCTCTGGGAGTTATTAGAAGAAGTGTTCACCCGCATGGCTCGCCGTGTGGGCTGGAGAGTCGGCGAAGGCCGCAACAGGGGTGTATGAGCGAGCTTGGCCACCCACTGCCGGGTATCCTGCGATACTGATGGCATGTTGAATATTCTTGAATATACAACTATCAAAAAAAAAAAAATCGAGATCGTCACGGGACTCATCATGGTCCCACTATCCACCTCGCAACGACGCAGACGGCTGCTCGGGAACGGGCTCTCCGGGATCACGAGTAGTGAGGAAGGATCCCACAACCGAACAAACCGACAGAGTACCACCACGATGAATGAGGACGCTGTCACCACACCCATCAAGGAGCTCATCCTCACTGAGCATATGAGAACAGCGTTTCGAGGGAATCAACAGCTGACGGCGGCATGCACACCGTCAACCCAGATGTCAGGTCTCTGGATGGCGGAGGGGTACCAAGGATCCAAACCCATCCTCGAGCTCATGGTTCGGTGGAGACTCGGAGCCTTCCCGGGCCATCACACAGGCCGGCTTCAAATATGCCGACAATGTTCGACAAACGGAGCCACCGTGGAGTTCAACCGCACCCACGCACAGCGGTGCATCGACCCAAGAGGGATCCTCCCGAGGAAGGTGCGCCAACTTCAACGATCACACCCAGCATGGGTGGAGCCTCAGACCATCGGAGTGGGACCAGTCGACAAGCTGCTGGACCTGATCACCTTTGAGCAACAGAAAGCAAGACAGAAGAACCACGAGGACACTGACGGTGGAGCGGATTGCAGGCCACCACCAATCGTGTCCGACACCACGTCGGATGGGGAGACCAGCATTGACGAAGCAGTCTCGGATGACGACGGGGAGTCGCTCTGGTACCCACATCGAGAGGTGCTGGCACGACTGGAGCGACTCCGGCTGACCGACGACGACTCAACAGACCTGAGCTCCGAAATGAGCTCGGTGCCAGACTGGGAATTGAATCCGGAGAGAGATCTGGACTTTTCCTTCCTCACCAACATCGACGACGACCTGCCCAGCCACGGATGGGACTGGGAGAGCGACCAGAGTGTCGACTTGCTCTCGAACACAACACCAAGCATCGATCTGATCGACGATGCCGATCTGAGCCCGGACCTGGTCTCGGACGACGACCTCGGACTCGGAGACACACCGTTCCCAACGACCAGCAGGAGAGGCAGCCTTCTCCCCACACCGAGCAGTGACAGAGTGACTGGAGTGCTGAGAGGCATGAGGCCACGACAGCGAACCCAACGAACAAAGCCGTGGATGGGCTTTGAGGAGATCCCGGAGAGGAGCTCCCATGGCCAGAGAGAAAGGGTCCCCGAGCGGGACCTGGAGACATGCGAGTCCCTGTGGGACCTATTGGAGGAAGTGTTCACCCGCATGGCTCGCCGTGTGGGCTGGAGAGTCGGCGAGAGCCGCAACAGGGGCGTGTGAGCCTGCTTGTACGCCCACTGCCGGGTACCGCATGGTACTGATGGCTTGTTGAATATTCCTGAATATACAACTATTGTAAACAAAAAAAAAAAAACGCAACATTCTTCTCAAGAGCCTCTGAGGCTCGACGAGAAGTGGGGTGTGGTCTGCACTTGCAGACCCGCCTCTGTGGCCTGGCACCTCCGAGTTTGCCCCCTGTGCTCGGATGAACATGTCGTCTGATTTATTGGACAAAATCAACGCGGGGATCTGAGAATCGACTATTCCCGTTTCGATAAGTGTTCTCATATCTCTTCCAGGCGTGCCTGGGGTACGATACCAACTCCGACTCACTTCTTCAATCTCTGCCACCTGAGATCGGAACATGACTGGCTGTACAAACATCTCGAGGCTGTGTGCCTGTTCCATGGATTCTGAACCACCCAAGACCAGGAGAAAGCAGCATGCATCTTTGAGCAGCTCGCCAATGTCGGCCACAGCGACAGCCAGTTTTAGATCGGAAAGTGCTGCAAACATAGCTGGGGAGTATCGGTGGACAACGGCAAGGCATTTGAGTGGTATCGCATGTCAGCCAACCAAGACAATTCATTTGGTTTGTGGATTGTTGGTGCGTGCTCCTACACTGGAATTGGAGTAACCAAGGACTGGTTCAAAGCAGTCGAGTGGAATCGTAAGTCCGCCGAGCAAGGATATCGCTGCAGTATGGACTGCATTGCCAGCGGACCCTGACATTGCCTCTCCCACGACCACCCACATTCCGTCCGTCCATCCATCCCCCACGTCCCTCGTGATGGCGGGCAGCTCCGGCGAGTGTTCCAGGAATAAACGACCACATCAAGGTCCCTTCTTCATGAGATATAGCAGATCTTGCCCCTTACTTCTCCGTCTCCAGGCCAGAACTCGACTGCTCTCTGGGTGCGAATCAAAGGCCAGGTACAGGGCCAGGGAATCAAGCAGATACAAGCAGACTCATATCATCACGCACCGACATGGCCGAGTGCGTGATAAGATCCAGTCACAGCGTGCCTCTCCAGACGAGAGTGTGTTCCGCCATTGGTGAACTGTGTTGTGTGACTCGCGATGATCCAATGTACCTGCCGCTGATTGGCTGCATCCTCACGGTGGCGGTGTTGGCTGCATCGCGTGACCATGGCCCATCCTGAACTTCTGGTGGCGGGGCTGCCCCCAAGCAATCCACGCAAAACCCCAGGCTCCTTCTCCCGCTCTCCTCCCTGCCAATCTCTTACTCTCTCCAACGACCACTATGGCCCTCGACGTCTCTGACGTTGTTGCCTCCATCTCGTCCCTCACCGAGTCGCTCCACGGCGGAGCGTTGCTTGGTGTCTGCAAGGTGAGCAACAGTTCTCCATCGTCACAGGGACAAGTTGCGCTTCTGACCACTTTTGTATGCCTCGATTAGATTGCTCTCAAGCTCTACTTGGCTGTCAAGCTTGCCGAAGAAAACACCAAATCCTGGGGCACCCTCGCAGCAAAGTCCTATAGCATACTCTTTACTCTCTCCCAGTACCAGAGCGACAGTCCCCTGTTCCATCAGCAAGCGCATCGTCTCGTTGTCTTTCACCAGCAGATCCATGCCTATTTCCAAGAAAAGATCGAAGCTGTGTCCAAGCTCGAGCGTGTGCTCATGGGAGGCTCTGTTCGCAAGAGAATCGAGCAGTTCTGCTCTGAGCTGGACAGCCTCTGGCAGAGCGTCATGTTGGCCCTTACGGTGACCGTCGCCAGCCGAGTCGATGCCACTCTGGACATTGTCCAGGCGATCCGCGACGACGAAGACCGGGAGAAGCGGTTCTTTGAAACGCTGGAACCCATGCTGCAACGAAACCAGGAGCAGGTTCTCGCCAAAGTGGGCATCCTCTTGGACCAGCAGCAAGATTGGCAGATCCGAAACACAACTGCTGTCCTGCAAGCGTACGTTATGGAAGCGTCGTCCGAGCAGAGCGACAAAGGCATCCCCACCGCTCTCCTGCGCCTCCTCAAGGCACAGTCCAAAGTCTCTGGCATGATGCGGGATGAACCCTGGCGGATCCTCCCAAAGCACGTCGTCAACTGGTCGCCGCAGCCGATTGCTGAAGGAGGTTTCGGGGCCGTCTATCGGGCAACCTACCATGGCGCTGATGTTGCTGTCAAGCAGCTCCATAGCAAAATGGACTCGCGCCAAATCCTCAAGTTCCATGAGGAAATATCCCACTGGCACCAACTCGACCACCCGCACGTCCTCAAGCTGCTCGGCGCCTGCGATCTGGTGGAGAAACCCTTCATGATATCTGCATTCATGGCCAACGGATCCCTCGCCGACCTGGTCTCGCATCCGTACAAGCCCATCCCGGTGGAACAAAAGTATCGCCTCATATACGAGGTCTCCTCTGGAATGGCCTATCTCCACAGTCGCAGCATCGTCCATGGTGACTTGAAAGGATCGAATGTCCTGATCAACGAAGCCGGTCGGGCCCTCATCGCAGACTTTGGAATGGCTCGCACCCGCAGCATCTCCTTGAGCTTCTCGACTGCCAAAGCGGCGCCCGACAATAGCCGTGGAACCATGGCGTACATGGCACCAGAGCTCTTTACCACCCGCTCCTCATTCAAGTCAGATGTGTATGCATTCGCCATGACCGCGTACGAAGTATTTACCGACGGAACAGTTCCGTTTGAGGACGAAGGTATCCACGTCGACATATTTCCCGCCTGCCTCGCGCAAGGTCGCCGTCCTGAACGTCACCAGGGCGTCCCAGATGACGCCTGGGATTGGATGCAGCTATGGTGGAAACAAGCTCCGGATGAACGACCCGATTTTACAACGATCATGATGACCTTGACCGTGTACAAGATGGTTGTCCCGGAGCTGCCTGGTCGCCTTGGCATCGGTAGCCCCGGCATCGGTAGTCTCGCAGCGCCAGTGAGTTTCGTTTGCCATAGTGACTTTCTTCGACAGCGGGCAGTGTATAGGAGACCTCGAGCCATCTGCGGTACTCCAGTCCAAGGTTAACTCGAGTTGGCTTATTAATCCGAATATTACTCACTCATCTTGTGCCCAAATTAGGCGCCAGAGCAAGCAAAGCCAATCCCGGCAAAACCACCGACGCCGGCACAAGTTACAACATGGAGCGAGGTAAGTTAAATCGGCACAACACTTCATCCCATTCCACCGCCCTTGATGTTGCAGAGTGGGCGGTATCACTCTATCGTCAGGGTTCCCTGGACAGCTCGCCTTCAGTGTTTTGCAGATTCAAGTTAAATCTTTCCTCCGTCTCAGGTTCAGATCCAGGCTCAAGTGCATCCTCAAATTCCTTCCCTCGACTCTCTCACTGCAGCCAGAAACCTCGTCAAGGACAAACCTGCGTTCCATCCAGACTGGATCCAGGCCACAGCGCTCTTTCACCAGAGCATCGTCTCTGGAAACACCGAGGCCCTCAATGACCTTGCCTGGGCCAATTTCCTCGGCGTCGGGGTGCAACAGAACATGTCAACTGCACTGACCTGCTGGAGCGATGCCTCCAGAGGAAACGAGCTGGCCAAGCCTGTGCCGTATTATGCCAGCGAGGCAACGTTCATGCTTGGCTGGCTCCACTATCTGGGCCTCGGCATCCCCAGAAATATGCGCCAAGGGTCTGCACTGTTTCAGTGCAGCGCCGCCAGCGGCTTTCAGCTGGCCAAAGAGGCCCTCTCGCCCAACGGTCGAAGCAGTATATGTGGCATCTTCACGGACAACCCCGATGCCCAGCAGTTCTTCAGACACTGTTCACTCCGGCCTGAAGGCCATTGGCTGTGCACCTACCTGCGCGCAATCTGCCACTTTTACGGGTTCGGAACAGATCCCAATCAGCCCAAAGGCTACCAGATGATGCGTGAGCTCGCCAACGCCGGTGTCGATATTGCTCAGTGCTTTGTCGGCGAATGCCTCAGGGACGGATATGGCACCACCACCAACAGCAGCGACGCCTTCCGCTGGTTCATGAAATCTGCAAACCAAGGCAACGCAGCCGCTCAGAATTGGGTCGGCATCTGCTACTACCATGGCAAAGGTACCAGCCAGAGCGTTGAGTCCGCCATCGCCTGGTACTCCAAGTCTGCCAAGCAGCATCACCCATGGGGCCTCCACAACCTCGCCGAGTGTTACCAAAACGGCAAAGGCGTCAAGCAAGACTTTGCCAAGGCCGCCGAACTCTTCCACCAGGCCGCTCTTGAAGGCAACGCAAGCTCACAGAACATGCTGGGCTCGCTCTACTACAATGGGAAGGGTGTGGTCCAGGACCACCAAGCCGCCGTCCAGTGGTTTCTCAAGGCAGCCGAGAATGGACACTCGTGGGGCCAACACAATTTGGGACAATGCTACCACGACGGATGCGGAGTCAAGAAGGACCACGCCAAAGCCGCAGAATGGCTGCTGAAGGCTGCTCGATCGGGCAACGCCAGCTCCCAGAACCTGCTTGGATTCCTCTATTCCCAAGGCCTGGGGGTGCCCCGGAACGACAAGATCGCGGCCGAATGGTTCCGCAAATCGGCCGAGGCAGGAAACGCGGGGGGACAACACAACATGGGCAATATCTATCACGACGGTCGGGGTGTCGAGAAAAACTTGGCCGAGGCCGCGCGATGGTACGCCAGATCGGCCGAGCAAAGCTACGTATTCGCACAGATCAAGCTGGGCGAGTGCTATCAGCGAGGGGAAGGCGTTCAGCAAGACGACGAGACCGCCGTAGGACTGTTCCAAGCAGCCGCAAAGAAGGGGAACCTCGATGCCCAATACCGCGTGGGCGAATGCTACTTGAATGGCCGAGGCGTCGGGAAGAGTAAATTCAAGGCTGCCCAGTGGTTTCGGACCGCCTCCGCCTCTGGCCACATGGCTGCCCGCACCAAGCTCCAGCAGCTCGAGGCACGTCAGGGCTGATGGCCTCCAAAGATCGATCCATGCGATATCACTGGTTCACTAACAAGAAATCAATGAGGCACGCGCAGCACTTGCAGCTGCGAATTGTATTTTGGACAGGCAGAGGAGAGTGCAGTTGAAATCATGGATACAAAGGTGAATCAATAAATAGTGTGTTCATGGCAGCATCGTTCGTCACCGGCGGGGGCCGAGTAGGTTGGATGCGCCAGTACAAAGTATGTACACGCAGGACAGTTGATGGTTGAGATCTCAAGTTTCGTACAGAACGAATGAGGCGTGAGGGCATCAAGAATTTGGAAGAGGCCATCGGCGCGAATCTAGCAACGAGAAGATGAGGTGCAAGACGCGAGTGACAATGAGAGTGCGAGACAGATGATGAGGTGCGAGATGAGAGGCAAGTCAAAGGAATATGAACACAATCAGAAAAGCATGAGCAGAGTAAAACAGAGTGAGATATCCGGCCGAAACGGCGGACGGCTGATCAGCCCGAGCGAATGGCTGTCAAGCAATGTAGCGAAACGAAATGTGGATGGTGAATCATTGCAAATGTGTGAAGAGATGGACAGCAAGAGTCCCATGCAAAGGAGGGAAGAAAGAACCATAGCAGACCGCAGATGTGTCTGAAGGAAAGCAGACAGGAGCAAGCAAGAGCACCAAGGAATGAAACGACGAGGAAAAAGTGATCGGAGAGGGGACGGGAAGGAGAGACAGGGCTATGCAACAGACGCTGCGTTTGCAGCATCACGCAGCCCCGCCTTCCATCGGCGCAGATGATCGAGACGATTGGGACGAAATGCTATCGCTTGTCATCAGTCGTGAGGCAGAAGCGGGGAGATACTTGACCAACTCCAGGTAACGAAGGCTGGCGCGCAGGGTGTTGATCGCAGTGGGTCTGATTCCAGTAAAGATTGAGTTGGTGTTGGTCGAGTCGAGCGTGAATGAAAGCGACATGACCATGTCCATCAGCGGAAAGAGGGCGTTGCTGCGGCGGTTGGCTGAGGTCACCAGGAGCTGTCGGAACTGGCCGCGGGTTTGGAACATCACATTCCACCCGAGACTGGTGACGGCCTCAAAGATATCCCGCTCGGAGATGCTGAGCGGGGAGCCAAGGCAACAGTCGACTCGGGTCAGGCTCAAGGTGGCAGGGGGTACGCCAGTGATGCCAGCACGGCGAGCAGCAGCCTCGCCTCGTTTCGCCATGGGCCCGCAAAGAAACCTACCGGCTAGTCAAATCGCTGACGTGGAAGACGAATCGGGATAGCGATTCGGGAGAGGCCACGATCGCTGCGACAATTTGGGCAACCAGGTCGACGGGGTCCATGTTGACCGACACGACGCTCACATGCGACGGGGCTGCGCCAATCTCGATGCATCCGCGGATATACTTCCAGATGGAATCCTTGGTGTTGGAGACTGGCCACAGCAGCAGTGGCATCAGCAGTGGCAGAAAAAAAGAGAGCACTGTCAGTGCCGGAATACGCAAAGCGAGTCCATACATCATCGTCAGGGGTGTCATCCCGAACTGTCACATCAACCCACAATCACTTTGGTACACCGTCGCCTCTACCTCGCTCTTCGGCCAAGCCATGTACGTACCTCCGTAGATGCTGTCCCCGCCAACGACCCCTGGACGGATAATCGTCGCAGGCACTCCGCGGGACCGTGCCTTGTTGATCAGTTGCTCAGAGGCCCACTTGGTTTGTGCGTATCCGCCAGATACATCAGACTGCGCGTAGACTGACTCGGAGAGGCGCTCTCGGTATGCACCCGACGCCGGGAGCGTCCCGGTCGTGGAGATGTAGTGAACGACCTTGAGATGGTGCGTTGTTGCCAGGCGGAGCGCCGTGATCGTGCCCTCGACATTGGCACGGCAGAGTCGTTCGTAGCTCTGCAGCCAGTGGGCCTTGGCGCCGTTGTGGACGATAACGTCAATGTCCTTCGCCAGCTGTGCCCATCGCTGGTCAGAGATTCCCCACTGCTGGAGACACAGATCGCCGCAGATGCATGTGACTCGGTCCATGATACGGAAGCGAGAAGCGCTCTGGTCTCGCGAGGCGACGACAAAGTTCCAGGCTGCTCGCTCAACACGCATCTTGGCCGACGGCTCGTCGGGAGCGCGAACGAGGCATACAATTTGGGCGGCGGGGAACTTGGCGGCCAGTTCAAAAAGCAGGAAGGCGCCCAGAAACCCCGTCGCGCCTGTGAGCAAGATGGCCCGAGGCGATGCCGGAAACACAAACGGAGGAAGGCCGTTTGCAGTCACAGAGGGATCGTCACGCTTCGCAACCTCGGCGGCGAGATCCACAGCAGCTGGGTTGAACGGCCGACTGTCGGAAATGTCGAGGATGATCTGGGCAACGTTGTTGGGCGTCATGCCGTGGGAGAGTAAGATCGGTGGCGGAACCTCGACGCAATACTCGGTCTTGAGGGCCAAGGACAGCCGACTGGCACTGAGCGAATCAAAGCCAACCCCGGCAATGTAATAGTTGCGCCTTTCGAGCTCCTGAGAGTCGATGATCTGGCTCCCGAGCTGGGCAATCCTCAGAGCAACGCGCGACAGCGGCGTTTGATAGTCGTCGATCAGGGGATACGAGATGGCCAGGCCCTGGAGGTCTGCTCGCTCGGCAATCTCCTGCAGCCTTCGTTGGTCGCGCTTGCCAGAGTCCGTCAGTGGGATGCAGTCCAAGGGGATGCAGTTGTGGAGGGGCACGTTGGGTACGTTTCGGAGAGCGAACACGCTCGCAGCCAGATCCAGCACCTGCCGCGGACCAAGGCCGGGGGCCGTGACTTGCTTCAAGACGAAAAAGAGCACAATCTTGAGCTCAAGAGTCTGGACAAGGGTGCAATCGACGAGCACCTCGCACATCTTTTCCAGGAGCATGCTTTCCAGATACTGCAGATCGACAAATACACCGTTGATCTTGACCTTGCGGCCGAATCTGATGCAACAAGCAGTGACAGGGAGCAGAAATCCGATCCGCCCATGAGTCAGCAGATGGCGGTGAACCACGATTGTCATCGCACGACAGTTGTCATCGCACCACAGTTGTCATCGCACGACATGTACCCAAAAGCGTCTATGCCAACTAGTGCCGTCGATCAACAACCGACGAAAGTTAGCTGGGTACGACTGCCTACCTCCCCAGGATGACAAACTGTTCATTGCCAACCAACTCGACTTCATCCATGGTGCGTACGCACGGAGATCCGTCTTCAAGAAACCCAAAGGGGGACAGAGGATCGGCGCGGTCGCAGTGAACAAAGCTCGCATGGAATCGGACATGATGGTCCTTGGGAAGGGCGAGGCACAGTATCCCGGAGCGTGCGGCATTTGAATCGACGACGCTCCCCTCATCGTCGAGGAGGAAGGGGCGGACGTTGGGGTTCGCAATCGAGTACACGAGCTTCGAGGGAGCAGGGGCGTCTGGGTCGATGGTGCAGAAGCCAAACGCCCGGATGACGCCCATCTGGAGAGAGCAATCGGACGACATTGGTCAGGATAGCGATCAGTCATGCAGGAAGACCATGCAGTTTCCTTGCACAGACTCAGGCTCTGCATATCGCCGACACACAAACCAACCCATTCATTCACTCATCTATCCACAAGCAGATCCAGAGCAAATAGCGCCGTCTCAGAGGGTTCGCGAGCACAGCGGCGAGAGTGAGCCAGTCTCTCGAGCCTCTCAGCGTCCCTGGCGACCCACCTCAATGGACCCGTAGCCACAGTGAATCGTGGCGCTGGGAAAGAATGCCTTGGCGGTCTTGACGAGCGATGGAGGGATCATTTCTCCAACCAGCACAAGGCGGGTGACAGCAGGCCAAACCACCGCACTTTGGTGGATCTGGGCCATTCGGAGAACCACCTTGAGAAAGGAAGGCGTCTGGGGCAGCGAGCGTCGATTGGCATCAGTCCACGCCAGCGATTCGGACCAAGCACCCAGTAATAAACGCAAAACGTACTGTCTGCAGAATCTGCATGCCCTTGTCAAGCCAGAAGATGACGTCGGCGGCCTTTTGAAGCGGGTCCATGGAGGAACTGGACACCATCATGGACCCGCAGGTGTTGATCGAGAGCACGAGCGAGGCAACCGAAACACCAAAGGAGGGCATCTGCAGCCATGCCAGAGAATGGAGGTGAGCCACATTGTCGGTGCATGCAGATGGGCCTAGATGTCGGCAGCTGTGGGACGTGAGGACCAGGAAATGCACCAACCTGAAAGACACCAGTGCTTCCGCTGGTCACACCCCAAAAGATCCGCAGGGGTGAGGGCATGGTGTAGGGCACCGGGAAGCTGTCGCAGAATGGTCAGGGTCAGATCATCGACTGGCGGGCGAGGCAAAGCGGGTATGAACACCACGAGCGTGAGCGGAAGGGTTCCTTACGTCTTTGGTAAGCCTTCAGAGATCGCAGGCCATTGATCGGTAATGTTACAATACAGGACATTGAATGTCGATGGGGAAACAAAGCGGTCAGTCTTTGGTCTGCTGTTCCATCCGCTCAAGCCCCCATCGCCGGGAATCGGCGCCTCACCTGTGGTGCCAGAGGTCGCCAAATAGGCAATCATCTCGGGCGATGCAGCACAGAGGTCGAGTGATGGATGAGGTATCGGCCCCAGGAGCGGGAGCAGTCTCCCGTCCACGGCCGTGACGTTTTCGATTCTCCCGGGTTCGAGAGATGAGTAAAGAATGAACTTGATGGAGTGTCTGGTGGGTGGAGCCAGGTTGAACAAGTGAATAAGCGGCAGCCAGGAGAGGCGAGAGGCACATTGCAGACGATTGGGACATGGAGCCAGACACCAGGGCTCCCCGGGCAGGAGACGGTGCAGGGATCCCAGGGCTGTCAATCTGCCATGGCGCACTGGCTGCGGGAGACGGACAAGCACGGCACCTTTCTGCTATAATGTTTCGAGTAGTGGGCGGCCAATCCAGGCCAAAGTTAAGAGGTCTCCTGTATGTGAGGCGGCAGGATCGAGAAGGACCCGGGTTGGATCGAGGAGGATCCGGGAGGCAGTCAGCCACGGGCCAAGGAATCGGTGCGGATCAAGGCGGGGCAGTCGCTGACAACACCCGTCAACGAGCAAGAGCGATGGGTCGGAGAAGAAGCACAGCATTCCAGTCACCAACATACTTTCCAAGAATCCAGAGGGCATATGTGAAGAACACCCAGTGCGCATCGGGCGGGCAGTGGAGCGCCACGATGCCATCGTCGCTGGACCAACCCGGCAGATTGGCCAGACCCCGAGCAATCGAATAGGACCGATCCCAGAGCTGGCGATAGGTGAAGGCCTGGACCCGGTCGCCCTCACGGCTGTGGAGAGCGACGGGACTGGGCTGCTGGCGGGCGAGCTGGACGAGAGCCTGGACGGGATGTTGCCAGGGCTCGATGCAGTCCTCGTACAGCCTCGGCAGGGAATGCGAGCGAGGCGGCTCGAGTGCAGACTCGAGAGCAGACTCGACTGGGGCCCGGACGGCCGACGAGCGGGTCCTCCGCAGTTTTCGGTGCCCGAAACAACTCAGGACCATGGGGGACTGTGGGAGCGGTGCGGAGGAGAAAGGGGCAGCCAGGGCGGACGAGGGCGGGTCAACAGCGAGGATGAGGGACAGAGCCAGCGCCGGGGCAGCGGCAAGGTATAAATGGGACGCAGGACAGACAGCAGCACGGCCCTCCAAGCCGACGAGCGAGCCGGGCAGGACAACTGGATTGAGCACGGGCGCTGGACAACCAAGAGACACCTTGGACCCCTTGGCGGCCGCACGATAGCGCGACGGGTGTCGATTGGTGTAAGTAGAGATGTCAATACATGTCAATACATGTCGATAGCTGTCGATGGTGCCGGTGCATATCAATACATGTCGGTGGATGTCAATACATGTCAATACTTGTCGGCGAGTGTCAATAAATGTCGACGGATGTCAATAAATGTCGATGGATGCAGTTATCGATTCACAAATGAGTTTGACAGGGCACACGGAACCAGAGTGCAGAAGGCCGTCTGATACAGCACCCGCCGCACGCATCCGCTATTTCGTCTTGCACATCCACCTCACCTCCGCACGCATCCGTCTCGCCATCGATCGCAGGACAGCGTGCAATCCGCAGGACTGGATCTCGGCTGGCGCCCCGTGCGATACTCCCCACCCCGTATCCCATGCGCGAGCCAAATCAGACACCACAGGCCGCCTGCAGACCCTCGTCCGCCACCCCCCGGACAGCCTTACAGCGCTGTGCCGCCTGGCGAGCCGCAGACACCGCACGCCAATGATGCCACCAGAGCAGCACAGGCGTGGGCCGGTGGCATTCTTTCCGGTCTTGCGCTGTCTTGCCAGGCGGTCGTGCTCAATTACGGAACAAGGCATCGGGCCAGCTGTGCTTGCCTGCTGTCTGCCGCCTTGCGAGGCCATGAAACCACTCCCAGAGCGCCGAAGCTCTTGGTGGCCGGCACAAGCCTCCGTATCGGGCCGAGACAACGCCATCGAGAAAGCACGAGTGAGATGACGACTCGTCAGGTGGCCGTGACAAAGCCGTCCGACGACAAGTCTGTCGTGCAGCCTCGGTTCATCGTGCTCTGGGCGAGGAGCAGATGCGCTTCTCGTGGACCGGCGTTCATCAAGCGAAGAGCAAGTGTATTGTGCCGGCAAGCGACTTTGGCAGGCGCCCAGATGCAGCAGCAAGACAGAGTTGCCTGTCTTAATCTTCGTGGTACTCAAACGGCTCTGTGCAAAGGAGAAGCGGACGACGGCACATTCGCGGTGAGCAGGCCTGGTGGTGCTGAAGGAAGGACCACGAAACAGCTCCACAACCAACTGCACGGCCCGCTCGATCACCAGCCACGCTTCGTTACCTGGGGCTGGGGCTTCTTCGGGAGGATTGGTCGATGTCGCCGAGGCAGCAGCAGCAGTAGCGGCAGCCGGGGCGTTGGCGGCGGGGGTGCTGCTCGGTGCCGCAGCGGGTTCTAGTTCGGATCAAACGAGCAAAATAGGGCGATATCAGGAACCAGATACTCTTTGGCCTCGCACAGATTCGACTTGCCAGCTCCTGACCGTGCAGTGCTGGTTCGTGCTCTTCTCTCCTCAGCTACGATTTGGGACACCAACCTGCCGAGGACGCAAGCACAACAAACTCTTCAGGCTCTCCGGGTCGCAGATCGTGGAGCAGGACGATTCCGCCGAGTGTCTAGACGGTATGTGGTGTCGATAAGCGCCACAGTTAGTGTATCGCTTCTGCCGCAAGACCCAATCGAGTTTGCTGGACCCATCAAGGTCATCGTCAGCCAGGACGTGGCACACATGCGCACCTTTTTCAGAGGAACGTATCGGGAGTCTTCCTTGAAGGCCACGTATTTCAGCTGGGCAGGGACAACCCGCGACATGTTGTCCTGCACGTCAAAGTTGGGCTCGCGTTTGCGCTCCGATTTCTTCTCAGAGTCGTCCTTGTCCTTGTCCTCGACCGAAGCGACCTTGGGAGTCTCGGGCTCTTCCTTCTTGTCGTCCTGTCATCCGACGCAATGGATGAGAAGTCGAAGCAATCACAGATCAAGCGTATCATTGTGTGCCATGTTGGTGTGGGGCCGCTCCAGCACCCCGCAACATACCGTGTCCATAGCATCGCCAGCCTTGTCCTTCTCGGACTTGCGTGCGCGAGCCTTGGCCCTGGCGGTGGTGGAGAGCACCGCGGTAGCGACCTTCTCGATAACTTCGGCTGTCGGGGGCTTGGTCGACGGGGGATAGGCAAACACGGACGGGCGGGCGTTCGAGACGAACTTGAATTGGGGCACCTGACAGGATGGCCAGCAACGACAGCAGCACCGATCAGCAACGAACATAGCACCAGGCAGAAGAATCGCCAGAAGACGATACCATGGCTGAGTCGCCATCCATGCAAGGACTGAGGAGGCCAACCCGTCGATTCACTCACCTCCAGGTTCTTGTTCAGACCAATCAACGGTGTCGGGGTAAAGGCCAGACTCAGGAAGTGGGTCAGAGGGTACCAGTACCAAAACTGGGTAAAGACGGCCATGCCAACGATCGCCGACATGTTGGCAAGTCCAGAGCGGGACTGGAGCGAGATGGTGACGTTGCGGCCGCCAGCGTCGATGATGCCCTGGGCCAGCACTGCACCAAACTTGGCCATGGGATCAACGTGCTTCTCGCTGATGATCTTCTCATAGAGCTTGCGGGTGGCGACGGCCCTGGGCGCCGTGACCTCGTTGTGCTGGATAAAGACCATGGCAAGCGAAATGAGAGCACCTTGGCGGACATAGTCGACCGGATCCTTGGTCATGGGCTCGAGGATATCGACGGCATCCTGGTGGAGACAAAGAGTCGCGCTGGTGAGGACCACAAAACGCACCCAGCACCGATCTCACGTTTGCCGTTGCTGCCGATGAAAATGTCGATCGCCACCACTACTTACCGACATGGCTGTGCCGGCGCAGGCAATGCCCAGGGCCAGGGTGGCGCCATAGCGGACGTGCGGGTTGTAGCTCTCCGACAGCCGCTGCACAATTCGAGGGACCTGCTTGGGCTGTCGGAAGAGAACAAAGCCCAGGGCAATGACCGAGGCTCGGCGGACATCGTCGTTGACATCGCTGACGGCCACATGCAGCAGTCTGCGGATTGCCTTGTTGTTGCCTGTTCCGCTGTAGGCCATGGCGACAGTGTACATGGCTCCATAGCGGAGGATAGGGTCCTAGCATACGTGCAAAGAGTGGATCGTCAGCAACGTCGAGCACGCATGTCCATCCGCATGGTCATAGCGAGCTCCAGGCCCTTACCTTGTCTTCGCAGAGCTGGTTGATGAGCGCGTCGGCCTGCTCCTCCCGGCCGTACATGATCATCGACAGTCCAACAGCCAGGCCGCGAATGATCTTCTCGTGCTGCGTCTCGTGGGCGTACTGGACCATTTCCGTGATGGCCTTGGCCGAGGCCGTACCGAGCATAACCAAGCCCATGGCGAGGCCAGCCGCCTCACCGGCAACAGCGCTGTCGGTAAAGAGGATGGTCTTGAGATTCTCGTAGAGCTCTACAAGGCGGTAAAGAGTCAGTGCGTGCAGTGCGCTATCGGACCATTTGTGCCCAGCTGCCACTCGGTGAATGGGCTTCACGGGCGCAGAGATCGATCGGACGGCCAGATGCTCGCACAATCGCTAGCGACCGCAGCCACTCTGTGCTTTCAGCCTACCATCGTTGTCGGTGGCCATGCCAGCGACGCCGAGACCGAGGCAGGCGCCGTGCTGAACAACCTCGTTCTGGGTGTTGCTGAGGGCGTTGGTCAGATAGGGCACCACGCCGGCTCCGTGGTGCGAGTGGATGATGCCAAGGGCAAACAGGGCACCGCCCTCCGAGTATGCCGACCCCGTTACGCCCTCCTGCGGGAGGTATGGCGAGAGCAGATTCAGGCCCTTGGTGATCTGGCCTTTGTGGATGACGCCCAGGGCCGCAGTGGCACTAAACTTTGTCCAGTTGGTGGCGCGAGAGAGCCACTCGAGGTTTTGTCGCAAAAAGTCGTCGCTGGTGGTGCCGGCGTTCATGAAGGCATTGGCAAAGGTGACGGCCGAGTGGTAGACCGAACTCTTTCCCTCCAAGGCCGTCTTTGGCGTTCGCGGAACCAAGCAGACCGAGACCAAGGACGCACGATGGGACAATCGGCGCGCAGCACCCGCGGGTGGAAGCGGAGAGCATGAGTCGACATGGACTCAAGCGCGGGCGACACAGCATCGATAACCAGAGTCGAAATGCGGCCATCCCGCACAGCTCACCTTGGTGTTTTTCAGAATCAGCAGATCGGACTTGTTGTTGCGGTGGAGGAACTCAAGGTGCAACTTGATTGATAGTTCGCCGTTGATGATGGTGCGGATCTTGGCAAAAGGGTCGTTCTGCCATCACCAGTGCCAAGAGCAGTTGCCACACATGAGCATCAACAGAGCGCCGCATCGACCGATGGCTGCTGTCAGAGCGTTGAGGGTGCTTTCCGGATCGCACGGTTGGATCGGTGCACTTACCACATCATCCGCCTCCGCCTCTGTCGAGGCAGGCGGCAGCGACTGGAGGACCTTATTCAGGAACTCCTGCGTGGCGTTCTCCTCCAGGTCAAAGGCAATCTGGAATGCAATCAACCGGTGGTATTCGTCTTTGTGGACAAGGCTCTGGAGGAGCTCGCCGGCTTCGCTGGGCGAGTTGAGGTGGACGAAACACTGGCTGATGGAGATGTAGTCGGGGTCTTGCAGGTTCTTGAACAGCTTGACCAGCAGTTGCAGCAGCTACGACAAGCAAGTGTGAGTATCGCATCAGTGCCCGCTCGACGCTCGCCACATGCGTCGCGCAAAACAACTCAAAGCGACAGCCCGGCCAAATCCGTACCATGTTTCGGAATCCAATGTGCTGCACAATCGTCATGGCAGCCTCCAGAACGTAGGAAAGCAGCTCCTTGGCGTTGCCTTTGGCCACAGCCTCCTCAATGACGTCGAGCCGCATAGACTCCAGAGCGATTCCAATAACCTGGCAGGCATAGTAAAGGGAGACCTGGGTCAGCGTTGCTCGGCAGCGAGGATATGAAATCCGCCGAGATGCATCGCGTGGTTGAAACCATGACACCAAACATACCTGCTTGTATTCCTGGTCGTTGTAGCATCGCTGGATCATACGGGTGACGACGTTGATCAAGCGGGGATCGATAGACTCGGCGGGAGATGCGCTGTCGTGCTGGGCAGCGCGAAGCTCGATGTACTTGTCGACGCACTTGGCTGGAGATGGAAGAGATGCCGCGGCGAATCGTGAGGAAGCACCCATGACTTGGAAGCACACCATAATCGGAACAGTATCGCCGACCGGATCGATGCTGGAGCAACAGGCAACAGGCAACAGGCAACAGGCAACAGGCAACAGGCAACAGGCAACAGGCAACAGGCAACAGGCAACAGGCAACAGGCAACAGGCAACAGGCAACAGGCAACAGGCAACCGACAACGACCTACCGATAATTGTCTCGACGTACTCAGTCTTGGCCGAGGTGTCAAACAGGGCGTCGGCGCCAAGGGCAAACTGAAGAGACTCATCGTACGCTCCAAGGTGATAGTAAACCTGGCAACCGACACGGCACCGTCAGAACCAAAGCCCAACGCTGTCAACTGCGAGCGTGGTGCTCGGCTGAAGCAGGGACGTCTGCATAAACGTACTTTGGACGCCACGAGAGCAGCAAGATTGCGGTGCTTGAACTGGGGGTTCTCGTACAGGGTTTCACTGAGTGAATGATTGCGATTGTTGGCGGATGCGCACCAATCCAAAAGCCACAAAGTCGTCAAAGCAGGCACGTCAGCAATGAAACATTGTGCACCAGGATCACACCAAAAGTCGAGATTGCGGATCGGCATGCGTCGGATGGCATCCTGTGCGCCGAGAAACTGCCGCCGCGATCACACTGGTCGGATGGATGATGCAGAACACATCGGAGCTCGGTTTACATTTTGGTGACAGAGTCCGAAATCTCGGCCCAGAACTGATCCACGATTTCGTTCAGCTTCGTGAGAGAGTAGACGAGCAGCTCCTCATCCTGCTCGTCCAGCAACGAGATGATGCCAGCTGAAAGCGGCCCGGCCGCCCAAAGCACACAGAGTTAGCGGGGCAATTTCTCGTTGCGCTTCATATCAAAGCTATGGCCAAGCAATAATGGACCATGCGCATCCAGTCGACCGCTGGACGAGCGCGGGCCCTCGGGCAGGATCGTGGGCAAGCCAGCATCGTCTGGCCATCACAGCCGGTTCCCAAGGCTTTGCTCGGCGAGACCAACCTGCAGAGGTAAGCACGACCATGTTTGCGGGGTGAGAGGATCGGATCGATCGCGGCGAATGCGGGAGTCTTGTTGTTTTCGACAGGCGGATGGACCGAGATGCAAGTGCAAAGCAAACGGCAAACGGCCAGACGCAGCGCCTTGGATGCAGTTGGTGTGTCGTCTCGGGCAGAAACGAAGCGCTTGTGAGAGCGCTGCCCGTTCGTGCTGGCGATTTTGGCCAGCGGGGCCATCCAGGGACCCTGGCGGCAAGATCGGTGGATCGATCCAGTCACGTGCGACCCTGGCAGAAAGCTGCGGCCAATCAGCACGCGGGGGGGTCACAGAGAGTGTGGGAGGGCAGCTCGAGCGGGCAGCTTGAGCATGCTGTTTGAGCGAATGCCGGTGGTTTCATGGCGATTCGACATTCGCAGGACATGGCATTGATGCTCGGGGACGTCAAGGTCAAGGATCGTCTCTGGTCGAGCAGGACAGGGCTGATGGGCCGTGCATCTGGCGGCCAGGCGACGAGACAGCAATGATCTGTGCGGGCCTGCCGCCCAGAGCCCATGGCCGCCACCAAGGCCAAGAGGAAATGCGATTTGGTCTGCATGGATCCATCGTGCCAGGCGGATTGCTCGGTCCAGGAGAACCGTGGCCCTGAGGGGGAGACCAGGATCTGCACGCACAGCGCTCGTGCTCCCGTCGATGGGCAGTGCACATGCAAGCCATGGGCCAGGCAGATTGCTCGCATTGAAAAGCACTCCTCGCCGCCCCTGCCTGTTCCCCTATCTTTCGTCTCTGTCTTGGTCTTTGTCTTTCCTGCCCTCCTGGCTCGACTCGAAAACATGGCTTCCGCCGAGCATACCTGCATCTTTTGCAAAATCGCCAACAAGCAGCCCACCAACGCCAAGGGCGATGTCACAGAGCTCCTCTACGAGGTGAGCCGGCTCTGCTCTGTCCTGCCCTGTCCTGCTCTGCCCTGCCGAGGGCTGAGTGCAGCGCTACCTAGGCCATAACCGCTGTTGACTGGTCGTTGGTAGTCGATAGCAAGTCCGCCATAAACAGCACGGACTGGCTGATGGCCAAAGGGCCCCATCTCATGTCTGCTTCTGCTGTTCATGTCGCAGGACGACGAGGTTGTTGCCTTCCGCGACATCCATCCGCTCGCCACCCGTCACATCCTGGTGATTCCCAAGCAACACATTGCCAACATCTACAGCCTGGACGGCGAGTCGATCCCGCTGGTTGACAAAATGTCCCAGGCCGCCCACACCGTGCTGGAGCAGCTCGGCGTCAGCCCCGAGGACCGCCAGCTTGGCTTCCATGTGCCGCCCTTCAACATGATGGCGCATCTGCATATGCACACCCTCGGCAAGCCCTTCCTTGGCTGGCTCGGCCCGTGGGCCTTCCCCGATGCTCCCAACGGATCGTGGTGGTATCTGGGTGCAGAGCGCCTCACCCGTGCGCTACAGAAGGGCAAAGACAATGCCACCGCAGGCACCTGGAACTGGAACTGGCTGTGAGCAAGCCGGCTGTTGGATCTTTGGCCATGGCCCTCTCATCCCTTTCCGTCTGCTGTCGGTCGTATGCTTTCCCCTGGGCTATTTGCCATACCTGTTTCGTGCCTTCGGGCGTTTTGCCGACCCGGGCTCATCTTGAACACGAACGTTATGCTGGGCATCTCTGGTGCTCGAGCAGTCCTTTCTATGGCTGATTTTGTGAGGCCCTGTATGCGACCCAGCCGGCTTCTGATGCTTGCTGAGAGGCAGTCCAATCGTGCGAGGCGGTCTGTGTGGACTCGAGACAATCACATCCAGAGTCCGCTGGCCGACACCGACAGAATGGCAGTGTTGCGGGCTCCGTCTGTCCTCGCTCGACCCGGCCGACATCTGGTTGTCTGGGCCGACTCGCCTTGAAACCGAGCTGGCTACTGGAAGGGAGCGGCAGTTTGGGTTTGCTCGCCGCATCTTGATCCCACTCCATCTCACCGACTGCACGAGGCTCCCGTCGCTGTCGATCGGTGCAAAGTGAATCAACTCTGAATGAACCGACAAACCGGTCCAAGGAACAAATCGGCTGCCAAGCCAACGGGCCCCAAATGGCTCCTGCTTGCGCTTCTGGTGCTGCTTCCGCTGCTCCTGAGCATTCCCATCGACGGCGTCGTCCGGCATTTCGCCAGCATCCCGAACGACACCCAGCCAGCGACGCTCGAGAGTGCCCGGGCTCGGATTGCTCAGACCGTGAATCGGTATTCGCCTGTCTATCTTCCTCTGTCCCCGCACGATCTGGGCGTCCTTCAGTCCCTCGCTTGCATCAACCTTCCGCAGTTCATCCAGACGTCCTACTGGTGCGATGGATTGCTGAATGCTCGCAACGAAGCAGGCACACCCAACCCATCGACGCCCGATACCATGCACCCTCCCGCCAGCCAGCATTCCCCCTCAGACGACCAGCAGCAACAGCAACTCCACAGCTGCATCTTCTGCCAGATTGCAGAAAAATCGCCGGAGGGAGGAAACCGCAAGCTGCTCTATGAGGTGAGTCGTGGCTCTACTTTCTCGGCTGCTTCTGGTCGTTCATCGAAACCACCAACCCAGTCCGTCAGCAACGCTTCCTTGATCGTCTGTATCTCATCCGGTCCATCGGCTCTCCCTTCACGGCTGCAGGACGCAGACTTTGTCGCCTTTCACGACATCAACCCATCGGCCCAGCAGCACATCCTGGTGATTCCTCGCAGCCACATCGACAACATTTACAACCTCACTGCCGAATCGCTGTCTCTGCTCGACAACATGACCCAGGTCGGCCACACCGTCCTCAACGACCTCGGCGTCAAGCCCGAGGACCGGCAGTTCGGCTTCCATGTCCCGCCTTTCACATCCGTTCCACATCTCCATATGCATGGCTTTGGCAAACCTTTCAAGAACTGGCTGCGGACGATCAAGTATCCAAGCTCTTACCACGGCTGTCGCTGGTGGATCGATATGGAGCGCCTGAGGTCGTCCATCGAACGAGCCAAAGCCCAGAGCCTCCCCGGCACCTGGAGCTGGAGCTGGACCAGCCGGGTCTAAAGGCTTCCGAGACTGTTATTGGAGAGGATGCGGTATCCGAACCTACAATTGTCGCAAAGTCGTGTCCATTCAAGACAGAGCCAGGTGTTCAAGTTGGACACGGAGAGTATTGTGTCATGGGATTTCATAGACTCATCCCAGGAATAGTAGAAACCTGTAAAACAAAAGCGGAACGCTGTGCTCGTTGTCGATGACGATCCATCACGGCCACAGATCGCAAGCGGAGCGGACAACAGTGTCTTTGGCAGTCTGTGTGTTGCAGAGCCACGTTAGATTCGGTGTCGGGACAGATTGTATTGTGAGAGTTGATTAAAGCATGGTCAGAACGAAACGGAACAGTGTTCCTTTCTCTGGCACCAAAAACCTGAAGCCCGCTGATCATATGTAGGTCCAGGTATGCAGGCCGTGGGATTGCATTCCTGTATTGGTTAGCAACCCGGTGGTTTTGGGAGAATCGCCTTGAATACACTCGGCCAATCTCCTGTGGCGATCGACTGGCATTCATGTCTCGATGTACAAGTGTGAGTGCAATCGAACTTTGGAATCGTTTGCTGTTTGGTCATGAAGGGCGATGGATGAGTGTATTCAGGATTCGGAACAAAAACTGACTCATAACAGGGCGTCCCGCTTTGCTTTGGGTGTGTAGATGATTCCAAAGGGCGCTGTGATCTGGCCACAGACCCAGTTGGTCAGGAATGGGCATGGCATCGGCATGGCATCGGCATGGACAGAGAGAACATGGCATTGGAAAGAGAGCCAACGATTCGCAGAAGCAGGTGGTAGTAACAGAGTAAACCCGGCTGGCTTGCAGACAGTTCGGCAGACGACCCAGCATCCTCATTGATCGCCGAGCGACGACGAGGATGGCTGCGACGACCTGTTCCTGCTGCCTGTGCCGGCGACTCCGACCCGGCCCTTCTTGTTGCTGAGGGTCTTGTGCATGCCCGAGTACTTTTTGTTCTCGTTGCGGGACATCCGCTGCGGGTCGCGGGTGCCCTTTCCGCCTTCCCAGTATCCCTTGCCGGCGGACCTAGTGAGCTCCTTGCCGCAGCGACAGGGCTTCTGCGAGTAGGCCTGCTCGAGCGAGCAAAAGCCGCAAACCATGCGGTTGCCTTGCAGCATCTCATGGCCGTCGCTGTTCTGCTCCTCGTGGCAAACGTCGCATGGGAACAGCTTTCCACAGCATGGGAAGCGGAACCACCTGGGGTCAAGGCATTCATAGACGTGGGTCAGCGTGGCGGATCCAGGGACCCACAGGGACTTGTCAAATGCTTCGACAGCCCCAGCGCCCGTTTGCGCCTCACTGGCCGTCCCGCTCGCCCCAGCATCGACATGGCGCAGACAGCACGGCTTAGAGTGCCGACTTACCGATAACTCTTGCGGTAATGCGAGCACGATCCATTCTTGGGCAACGGCGTGCCAACGACCAGGGCTGCCTCGTCACGACTCTTCTTCTTGTTCTTCCTGGCCAGGGACAGGGCTTCTAACTGTGACAGCGTCTTGTCATCAGCGCCGCCGTTTCCGATCTTGACAAACTTGGCTTGGTCGACACACAGCGTCATCTTGGCATGGCACCCCGTGCAGTAGTGCGTTGTTGGCTGCGACCGCACAAAGTTTCGATAGCACTGCGACGGATGCTGGACCTTGTCGCAGCTCGCGCATGTGGCCACAAAGGTCGAGGGCAGGAGGTCGAATGGTGTGCAGGCAGACATGTCGAGATATCCGATTGCCATCGCAAACCGGTGGGCAAGCTCGAACCGGTACGCAACCGACATGTTGGTCTTGCAGGTTGGGCAGCAGAGGATCCGGGGCTTGGGCTGTGCGGCGTCGACCGGCGCCGGAGACAGAGCCATGACGTCGATGGTGTCTTTGCATCGCGAGCAGCGCACGATGATGCTCAAGGACGTGCACTCCAAGACAGAGATGCCATCGAGTTGGAGGTTCGGCAGACGAATGTGGATTCCGCGAGGGCGCATGGGTGTGCTTCCGGATACGCCAACGCCACCCACCGCTTGCCTCGAGCTGGGTTCGTCGTGGCCAGCGCAGACCGCCCTGGCTGTAAGATCCACATCGTCGGTCAGGGCGGTCTCTTCCGCAGGCCAGGACGGGATATCGTCGGTATCGGCGGGATCGGTTCGAGCAAACGACGAGGTCTCGTCATCGCTTTCAAAGTCCGATGCAGTCAGGTCCGATTCATAGCTATCCTCGCTGCTGTCGCTCGGACCCAGGTCGGAAGGTGGCTCGCGGCGCACTCCATAATAATCCGCCGCCACGATGACGACACGGTCCTTGCGATCGACAGCGTCTGTCTGGAGGCTGACCGGGACGCTGGGCAGAGGAGGAGGCAGATCGGTTTCATCAGCGCCGGGATTAGCACCGGCGATGGACGATTCACTCTGACCGTCGGGCTTGCCGACGTTGCTCACAAAGGTCATCTTCATTTCGGGCTGCTCCACAAGCAGGCTCTCGAGGTTGTGGTCCAGCCAGTTGAACATGGTCAGGAGCGAGGCCTTGCCGACGCTTGCAGCGGCCTTGCGAGCCCAGCCCCGCTCGACGGCACGGACGAGTGCCGGCGGGATATCCTGGTTGGTCACCGTGAGTTGGCTGGCCGGCACAATCGGGTAGTTGCCGGGAATCACAAGCTGGCAAAAGAGGGCCTCCAGGTCGTATGGAAAGTCGGGGTCCGAAGGCGCCAGGGCCACGGCGATGATGGTCTCCTTCATGGACTTGCGGACGACCTGGTACTGGCCGAGGGCCGAGAATCGTCGCTCGATCTGATCAAGCTCAATCTGGAAGATGATCTTTGCGCGATCGAACGGGTCCGTAGTCTGGTTGAGCTTGTTCTGGAGGCTCCTTGCAGCCGGCTTGGCCACTGCGGGCCGAGCCGCTGTCGAAGGAGGATTGGAGGGGCCTGTATTGTCGCTGGGATCGACCGCATCGGCCTTGGGAGCAGCGGGTCGAGACTGCCTCTTGCTGCGGGTGTCGAGTTTCTGAGACCCAGTCTGGGCTGGGGAATCTGGATGCATACATACGCCAGGGGATGAGTTTATGCGGCGAAGACGGGCCTGAGCAGCATGGAATAATCGAGCGTGAACGACATACGAGCTGACGAGGGACACCTGTTTGCAGCCCAAGTGTGTTCAAGTACGAGGGCCGGGTCTGCCCCACTTGAATCCAATGCCATGCTTACCAGAAGGCGCCGATGCTGATGCTGACGCTGGTGCTGAGGTTGATGCCGATGCCGGTGCTGAAGTTGATTCGGCTGTCCGTTGGATCTGGACCTTGAAGCCGCTGGTGGTGACAAATCCAGAGGAGGGGCGGCTGCCGTTGTTGCTGGAGGTGGCATTTCCGCTCGTGTCCGTGCTGTTTCTGGAGCCGTTGGTGGTGCCTCGACGGCCGTGTCGAGGCTGGCGCTGGGTCGGCTGCAGTGTTGGGCTTTGGGTCGCTGGCTGCTCTGGGAGAGGGTCGGGACGGACCTTCTCGGCAGCGGTTTCTGGGCTCGGCTGAGCGTCGATTGGGTCCTGAGACGACTTTGGATCCTTGCGGATGTGCAGGTACGGACAGTCGGTGCCGAGGCGACATCCCTTGGGGGTGTTGAAGAACCTGCAGCGGCGGCCAGGCGTCGATGGCGAATGCGTCGGTGGCGAATGGGAGGAAGCCGACCGAAGGACCTCGCGATCGGCCAGAGACGCCAGCTCGTCGGCCATGGACTCGACGCCGGTGGGCTGTGAGCTTGGGGCCGAGGGGCCGACTTGGGAATGGTCTTGCGGGGACATGGCGCCGGAGGAGCGGGTGGTGGGAACTGCTCGTAGGTCGTGAATGGCGAGGGTGGAGAGGATGATCGGGGATGAACCTCGAGCGGAGAGCCGTCAAGGGCGATGCAATATAATGCAGCCCTTGCGCTGTCCCACCAGGCGGAACAGCAACGGAGCAGCAACGGAACAGCGACGGATCAGCGACGGAATGACCGCGGATCGGCAGGGCCGCCAACGAACAGCCGCTGAGAATGATATTGCAGACCGGCGATCGTCCTCGCCGTGGGTGGATGGGTGTTGTGGCTTTTGTGTCGTCAAACCAACGAGTCGGCCATATTGTTGCCCTTGATTTGACGGCGCTGTCTCCCTCCGCCCACGAGGTCGCCTTCGCCGTCATCGCATCTTCCCCTCCCCAATACCCGGCTTGCCATGGTTGCCCCCATGAGCCGCTCGTCCAGCCAGAAGCAGCGACAGATCCTGTTTCTGCTGCTGTCGGACCAAGATTTCCAGCCCAGCGTTAACGCCAAGGCATTCATCCAGCTCTTCAACATTGTGGTGTCATCGCAGTCTCGGGTCGGTATCATCCCCACCCGGCCTGCGTGCTTTGCGCTGGCCTGCGATTTTAACCCGTCTTGCTTCGATCTTTGCTGCTTTCGTCTCATGTCGCATCCGCCTACCATCTGGACGGACTCGCCAGGTCGTGGTTGCCACCTGGGGCGGTCTGCCGCCCCACTGGTCCGAAAACGACTCTGTCGCAGCCCGCTGGTTTGAACAGCAGCAGGAACCCACGCTGCTGAAGCCGCTGAATCTCAAGACCATCAATCTCGAGTATTTCGACTATTCGGGGCTGGTCGTGCCTCCTGTCGACGGTACATGCTGACTCCACACCAACATCATGCAGCCCGGCCGTCGGCCTTGCGTCCTGCCCTGGCACTGGCTTGCTCGCATTGCCTGCCTTTCTCATTCCTCTGCGTGCTTGCTCCTGCAGGGCTGGTGGGCAGCTTTGTCAACGACAAGATCGGAGGTGTCATTCAACACTTTGCTGCCAAGAAACGTAAGCCTCGCTGACCCGCAACGGCCCGTGGCATTCTCTCTACCGCAGCACTGACATCCCATCGCTATTCTCGACGGCTCGACGATCGATGGCTCGACAATCCCCTGGCCAACTCCACACTCACGGGCGGCACAACTCCTCAGGACCCATCTGCTTCATCGCCGAGGGCTCGTTGGCGCTGTTCTCAACCAAGCCGCTGAGCTCGTCTCGCTGGATATTTGAGGGCGTCTCGATGACTGCCCCTTCCAATTTGGAGCTGATCCGGCAGAACCTGTTTGCAAAACATGCCTCGACCGAGGACCTCATCCGTCTCTGGGGCGGCAACTATTCCGCCGCTCAGCCAGACAATCTGCATGTAGTCATTGGTAAGCCCCGCAAGCCATGAACGGCGACCGTCGCTTTGGGTTGTGTGGCTCATGGTCCCCCTCCGATGAACTGACGTATTGTCGCAAATATCCATGGGCCCTCCAACGCCACAGACAGCAACGTCGTTTCGGCTCAGAACCGGACTAGCCTGCTGCTTGCCATCCAGACGTTCGTGCTGCTGCTCACTTCCCAGAAATAGGCCCTCGGCGATGCAGTGGGCTGTCGGGCTTCCTTGTCTCTAGACTCACCGCACAATGCAAGTGCGGCCGTTCTCGCTCGTCATATTGCTTCCTCCTCTATATCCTGCACACGAGCTCTGCGCGGCTCGGGATGTTTCGGTATCTCCGAGTAAATGAATCCATATATATTCTCAAGATACATGTGTCCCGCGGGTGCTGGCGAGGATACCGCACTACTGGCCACCCCGAAGGTCAATCGGCATCTACTTGTGAACGGTCGACGAGACCGAGTCACGCTTCAGAGCCTCGGCATACCAGGCGGCCAGCGAAGGTCGAGTCTGGCGCCAGTCCAGGCTGGCAAAACGGAGCTCGAGGTAGCCGAGGACAGTCAGGATGGCAATGTCGCCGAGATCCCACTTCTGGCCGGCCTTGTGGGTCTGGATCAGATGCTCCATTTCATCCAAGCTGCGGCTGACCTTGCCCATCTGACCATCGATCCAGTTGGACCACTGCTTCTCGACAGGGCGAAGGGCCGTTTCGAAGCGGCACTGCAGCAGAGCCTCGAGGCATCCGTCGGCGAGGGACTCGCGGGTGAGGGTCTCAAAGCGAGAGAACCCGCTCGAGGGAAGGATCTTCTCGCCTTCGGGTGTGAGGCTTGTGAGGCTGGAGGGCAAGCGGGAGCGATGCCGTCAGTCTGCTGTGTCATGGGCGATGGTACGATCTTGCCGCTCTGCCTACGTGGCAGTACTTACTACTGGCAGATCACTTGGGAGCCATAGAGATCGCCGCGTCCCTCGACAGCGAGGGTCGGGATCTTGGCGAGCGGGTTGTGCTTGGAAACCTCGGCGAGGTTCTCGGTGGCAGTTGGGTTGAGCGCCTGGAGGACAATCTCGATCTTGTTGTCGAGGCTGAGCTCCTTGGCGACGATGAGGACCTTTCGCACAAAGGGCGAGGTGGAGCTGTAGAACAGACGCATAGCCATGGCTGACAGTGAGGGCGGCTGGGAGGTGCAGTGCAGATCGGGTCGGAGGGGTGTGGTGTTGGAGAGCCGGGCGGCGGGTCATACCATATAGGCCTGGCCCGACCATGACAAATCCAACCCCCACAGCGCCCGATGGGTCTGGCGGCCGACCCCATACCAGATCACCCGGGATCGCCAGATTTCAAAGCAACCGCACCGACTGGCGATGTGGGGAGGGCCCAGGGGTAGCGAGCCAGGAATACCCAACGATGGACCCACGGCGGATTTCGAATCAAATGTCCTGCCAAGATCAGAGCAAGCCACCCAGTTCCCGAAATGCGATGCACCGAGCGACTGGGCGGGCATCTGGAACGACTCGCGCACGACTCTGGTTCAGGAGCGCCCTCCCGGCTGCCTCGAGGGCCTGTATATTGCGGGATGAAGCTGCGCTGCAGGTCATCCTCGGAATACCATCATCGCACTGGTGGGGTATGGATATTATGGCTTCAGCCGCGATGCACGCCCAGCCGGCCCGTTGGCAACAGGACCATCGACATGCTGGCGTCCGCTTGATCTCGATTATGGCCTGAATCGGCATTGTGGCAGTGGCAGGTGTCCGGGGAGGGGAGGGTTGACAGTGTTTCGTTCAAGGGGTGCTGATTATAGCGGACATGGTTATGGGCGATTGTGACTATGATGACGATGGCGGCGACGGCGGAGCGACCAGTGTTCGGATAGAGTCCTGCAGCTCGTACACCTCTTCCAGCGCCTGCTTGAGTATCCGCGACTTGTCCAGTGCTTGCTATATCGGGTGGCGATTCGGCAGGGACAGAAATGAACCATCGCGGGTGAAGCAAAGACAGGGTGTCGGATTGGAACACTCGAGTGAGCATCAAGGTCTGAGAGAATCCGCCAAGCCGAGGCCACAAGTGCAATGCCACATCTGCGGGGTGAACAGGCTGTTGGGGATGGTCGAACCTGCTTCAGTGCGTCTCTTTGCTGAATGAGGTGCGGCAGTGACTCGATGGCCATGTGCGCCGAAGGATCTGGCGGAAGGTTCATCAGCGCAGCCTTGGCCTTGGACAGCTCCGCTTCGATCTGGTCCAGGGCGGCTTCGGTGTCGATGGCGTCGGTCGATCGCGGCTGTGGTTGCCGAGGATTCAGCGGAGAGGCGAGGGCCAGCTGCAGGACCGAGTCAAGCGAGAGAATGGCAGCGACCAGGGGATCGGACGACATGGGCAGCGGCTTTGATCAATGCTATTGCAGACTGGATATGGACTGGACCAATGCTATTGCAGACCAAGATCGAGATCATGGCCAATGAAGAATCAAGATCGTCGCAGACCAAAGACCACAAAGCCGGGGCGGCTGCACACGTGCACCCACATGTGCGACACACACGTGACGCAACCGCGCGTATTGCGCCGATCCGCTCGCACGCCCATCAACCGCCGACTCTGCCGTTCATCAACTCCCGCCCATCAACGCCCATCAACGCCCATCAACGCCCGTCCATCAACACCAACACCACCGCCGTCATCGCCATCTCAACCAAGCCCCGGGACCGACTCGCTCGCCATGTCGCAGCCGCACTCGTCGTCCGTTATGACCCTGAGCTGGGGCACTGGTATGCACGCTGCCACGCCGCCTTGCACCAGCACGATACCCGCCTCGTCAGCCGGCTCACCCGCTGTTCCGCCTGTATCTGCTTCACGGCTGCTTCAAGACAACGTCGTCATCTTCAGCTTCTGGCACACCCAAGGTACCCTTGCCTGCTTCAATACATCGTGATCACCGAGCAGGTCCCGCGGCCCAACGGACATTTCTCGGATGACCATCGCTGTTGCCTCCAGCGCGGCTGCACCGCTCCCCGACTCTGAACTCTTGCTCACTCTCTCGGCACCCCGATCTCTCGCCCGCACAGGTGTACTATCGCTGGTGCTCAGCTGCATCGTCATCTTCCTGCTGTCGTTCTTGTAAGCTGTCTTTCCGCGCAAGCTGTCTTTCCGCGCAAGCTCTCATCCCCCGCTCGTTCGGGGCTCCGTCATGGCTGTTGTCGGTGATGTTTGCCTGGCTCACACATTGCTCCGGCGCGACTCGTTTTCAGCCAGCAGTTCTTCAAGTTCTTTAGGGCCCTCCAAGACAGCAAGTTTTCTTGGGTGGGCCTCCAGTCGTCGTCCTCGAGCAGCACCATCATGACCTCCCTCAGCATCCTCAAGACCGATACCACCGCACTGCCGGTGCCCATCCAGGACCATCCCCGCTCGAGCCTGGACATTGGCGAGGACGAGACCCACATTGATCAGTCGCATTCCGAGCCCGGTGCGCTACATACACTCCGCCCGAACTCAAGGTAACTCAAATCTCCGCCGTGGAGCCATTTTCTGCAGCCCGTCCTGTGTCTCGTTGGCTGTGCCGATGTTTCCCGAAGCACTTTCCCATCACCCTGTGCCTGCCACACGCCCGTTGATTGGGCCTCCAGTCAGTTCATCAACCCTCGACGGCGGCCAGGATCCATTGATCGGCACTGACAGGTCTCTCACTCGCCATGACCTCGATTCTGATCTGTTTCCTACCGGTTTCAACAGATACAACGGCACTCAGATCGTCCGTACGGCGCTGTACCTGATCGACATCATTCTTTCCACGTTTCTGAGTATGTCGTTGCCTCAGCCTCGTTGGTCGTTGGTGGTTGCTGTCGCGGGTGTTGTCAACACGCGCGCTGCTCTGAATCCTTCGATCGAGCCCCACTCTCTCAACCAGCTGTGGTGGCCGTCAGTCACTCTTCGCTGATGCTTGCCTTCCGCCCTTCCAGTGCTGGTCTTGATGACCCTCAATGGCTGGCTGATTTTGTCGTACGTCCTGGGCTCGTCGATTGGGTTCTATATCTACAGTCCCAGCACCAGCCCAAGTGTGCCTCAATACCACGCCGCGCATCACTAGACTGTCAAGATATCGCGCCGCCCAACTTGACGAAGACCTCGTTTGCTGCTCCATGACTCTGCCGTGTGCTCGAAATCGGCGCTGTAGCATCAACCACTGCGCCCTCTTAAGAGCCCCAGCTTTGCTTGCAGGCTCGCTCCCTCTGCTAACGAGAGCCTTGATTCTTCTTGCAGACACACGCTTTCACTCTCACAAACCCACTCTCACACATACACACTCTCACACATACACACTCTCACACATACACACAACAAGAAAGTGGACAATTCACGACTCGATCTCATGTATCCGCATCCTGCGCTTGCGTGACGCCGTTTTTGCTTGCCGAGGCTCACGCTTGCCGTTGTTTCTTGAATATACTTGACCTGCATGCCCTGCAGCGAAGCGAGACGATGCAACGGAAGCCTCTGGACAATGCTGGTTCTCGCGCCGCTGCTTCGCTCCCTTACCGGTGCCACCGTTTCCCAGATACGAAGCTCCAGGCAGCCAGCGATTGCCATTGGCAACCATGCCCTCAGGCTCTACCATTCCGAGATGCCTCAGTAAACGCGCGTTCGTTCCCACGATTCATTTCTGGTTGTGCTCAAGCAAATCTACCCGATAATAGTCCCGTGCCATTCCTCTCGTCCGCTCTGATGACTGGTACTGATCACGACACAACATGGATTCATTGTGCTTCTTGCGTCTTGAGGGGAGCATCCTCCGAGAAGATTGTGGCGGTCAGTTCGACGCACGGGGCGCTGTCTGGACCATACATGATCTGGTAGCCTGGTTGGTCGAAACACAGCCGTCACAATGCAAATGGCGGCGCCAGCGTCGTAGGAATGTTGTAGTATTAGTATCGCGGACATGTTGTAAGAACATGACAGGCTCGCTAGCTTCACTTGAGGGTGTTTCTCGGCGTCCACCGCATTCTGCTGTACTCGGCTCCGACCTGCGAATCCTGGTGCACACACCCTTCCTCCCACACAACGCACCTTTCAGGGCTTTGTCGCCATACTCCTTGGCCAAATCGAAACGACCGCATCTTCGGTAGACGAGTGCCAGAGCATACAGCACATCGTATGGGTTCTTGCGGACGCTCTTGGAGAACAGACCGCCCTCGAGGGTCTGGTTGGTCTGGAAGGCGTACACGCTGGTCAGAATCTGGATGGCCTCGGCTTGCTGTGCCTCATCTGGCAGTCGGAAGGCGGCGCAGGTGAGTGAAAATGTAAGCCGGGTGCATTGTCAGTGGTGTTGGAGAGAGCTATCGATCTAGAGCCCCGCGACGGAATCAATCCAATGCTCGGCATCGTTCCACCCCGCCCTTGAATTGCTGTTGTTCGCTTCTTGTTCTCTGTTCTGGATACTGTCTCCCGACAGTGCCCGAGCTTACCCAAGGTCTCGTTGCCGTGCTTCATCGAGTCGATCCAGATCTCGACAACCTTATCGTAGACAGCGTAGGCATGTGGGATACGATTCTGCTTGTGGAAGACATTCCCAAGATGAAAGTATCCGCCCGTCACTAACATCCGGCCAGGTGGTACATTATACGGTGAGTACCATCTCAGCTCAAAGGACGGCGTCATCACGGACGAATGCAACAGCAGACCATCACGTCTGAGCAGCGGCGCATGATGGGCCATCGGCTGTTTCTGGGCTTGACTGCACCTGAGATGTGGTTCGGCCCCTTCTCGAGTGACGAGTAGTAGATCTGGACAACCCATGCACCCGTCAAGTCAGCAAGATTTTGGAACTTGTCACGATGCCGGATTTACATCACCGACAGCACTCCGCACCACGACGAGCTATGCCGGCGCTGAGCGATCGCACACTCACATCACTGGCCAGCTGCTCCAGTGCTGCATCCAGATTGCCCTGGCTTGAATAGAGCAGACCCAGGTTGCGGTGGAGCTGCGAGCGGACAGCGTTGTCGCAGTGGTCCGACTTGAGCACCGCCCACTTGGCCAGAGACAAGTACTCGTCGCCTTGGCTGTACTGCTTGAGTCCTGGCGAGTGGAATTGGCCGCGGTTGGTGGTCCAGGTTGAGGAAGCCGACGATGGAATCGTGAGATTCAAGCCGGATCGTCTATCGACTCTCGTTCTGGAACTCTAAGGGGCCCCAACATTCCCAGCTGTGGAGGACTGCACAGCGCATCATGCAACTACTTTCAGTGGATTACCGATGCTGGCTTCGCCGAGCAGCAGATAGCTTGGCACCAGCTCGATGCTGTTCTGTCCATAGACGTCCATCGAAAACCGAAGAGCCTGTAGGGCCGCTGGGATGGCGAGGTCGTACTGGCGACGACGACGATGCAAGTCAGACTAAGCCGTGGCAAGCACTGCCGGCAGTGAGGGATGGCCCAAGGGGGAGGGGCTTGAGCGACCCGCCTGGGAAACCAGCGGCACTCGGACTCTTGGTGCACGGACAAGGTTCAACCACCCCTGCCGTGCCCAACCACTCTGCGGATGCAGGTATGAGATGGCGCTCTGTCTACCTGGCCTTCAAACAGCTTCTTGTGCGCCTCCGTCTTGGTGAGGCCCAAAAGATGGACCTGTCGCTGTCGAGTCTGCTTTTCCCGCAACGCTCGCTCCTCCTCGGAGCCGAGGACAGCCACCGGCGTTCTGGAACAAGAGGCCAGGTATCGATTGAGCGCCAAGATTGCCTCAGTGGCCTTCTCTGGCCTTAACAAGGACAGAGAAAATCGGCACTGACCTCAGCGGGACCAGGAGCGAGCATATCTTTTCATGAATCCCGCGATAGTCGATCTTCTCGTGGTCGTGGTCGCTATTCATTTGGCAGAGGGTTGGGAGTTAGCATCAACTGCCAGACTGTGTCGGATATCCAAGGCCACTGCTGCGGGCAGCAAGCCCACACCTCGGAAATCAAAGCGTTCGTGCCCTCGCCCTCTCGTCCACGCCGCTCTGGTCACGTCCGTTCGTCGTCGAGGAAATGTGGCATTCACTTGCCAGTAATATGTGACGCGACAGTTTTTGCACTGGATGTAGCTGGAGATTGAGCGAACATTTGGTTTTAACATCCATGCCCACGACGCTTCCTTGGGCACGAAAATGCCCGAGGTTGTTTGAGCTGGTGTCGCCCACGGCGATGCCGAGACTCCAGCCCAAGCACTTCATTTGCTGGGGAGGGGACTCACGCTGGCTTCCCACAAAGCTCGCAGGTGAGCTTGACGCCCTTGGGATTCGACAGCGGGTTGATGGACATGCCTCGGACGGAATTCCAGTTGAACGAGACGTTTCCCATCGCAGCAGGTCCGGCTGTGCCGACCTCGGGTGGATTGACCTGCTGGGTGGTCTGGGTGCTCACGAACGTTCCCGAGGCGACTGACTGGGCCGTGACGGCGACTCCATTAGCAGGGCGAGTCTTGACGGTGGTATTCATGGCCTGGTATGCGCGGTGACAGAGATGAAGAGAGGAGAGCGGCTAGATCTCGGCGATCGAATGGTGAACCTCGAAAGAGGCATTCGTGAGGCAGCCTTCGCTGGACAGCATCCCGCGAGACGAGAACCGCCAAAGGCATCGCTGCCCAATCAAGCAGATGCATGAGTGCTCTTGGTTGTTTCATTCACTCACATGAGCTCAGATGTGTCCAAAGCGCCTCGCTTTCGGGTACGCACTGAATATCGCTCGCGACGCTCACTGTTTGTTGTAATACCGAGCAGAGACATGGATGTATTGAATGATACATGCTCTGATTATGGTCCGATCTGGGTATCCACTCACAGGTGTACTTGGACATGAACCGATCACGGACAGAGCTCGAATGGAAAGGACAAAGTCGCATGCGATTGTGTCAAGACGGCACACGGTGAAAGAACCGTCGCTGCCCTGGAATTTCACAGATCGGCACTGCATTTGCACAAGAAGGGAGGAGGAAGGAGAGACTGTTTGACTCTATCAGGCAGCATTTCTGGCGCTGTTGTCCACTCGCGGGGCAGCGAGTGCACGACCGATGGACAACCAAAGGAAGATTAAAGCAAGGTAATATGGGTACAGAAGCAATGGAGGGGGGGCAGTGGGGCCCAGGTAGAAAGCGAGCGTGTGTCGCTGGAACGAAGAAAAGAACTGATAAGGTGGTGTTTGAGGCTATGGAATCAAGTGGGAGAAGCTGGGACACGAACGATGGGAATTGCGGCAGGAAATGTCGCTCATCGCTTGCCAAGACCGATGACGCCGGCCGAGGTACCGACCCACTTGAGCACATGGGTATGCACAGCAGATTTTGTTTCGTCGGCCTTTCCCAGGACCGAGTGGACGACACCCGTCGAGGCAGTCTCGACGTACTCGCGCCAATGCTGGGCAGTCTCGACGGTCTTGGTGGTGGTGTCGGAGACCTTTCCAACACCCCAGTTGTAGACCTGGACGGTGCTGTCCTTTGCATCCAGCAGGGTTCGAACGCCCCACTTGAGAGTGGAATAGACAGGCTTGGGCAGGGTCAGCTCCAGGGTCTTGTCGGTGCCGCCGATGGGATCGGCAACGATGAGCTGGTACGAATCCTGGGCGCGTTCGACGACCTTGGGCGGGAGTTTGGCCTTGATGTGCTCGGCAGACTGGAGCGAGATGTTCTTGATGCCGTCGACGGTGGACTCGACGGTCGACCGGACAGCGGTCACGGCGCGGTGCTTGATGGTGTCGACAGTGTGGGAAGAAGCTTCGTGGATGTGGTAGAGGGTTGCGAAGGTGGTGCCAGCGGCCAGGTAAGTGACGGCCAGAGTGGTGCCGATGGCGGTGCCGGCCACAAAGGCGGCACCTTCGGCCAGCTCGTTGGCGCTGTCGAGCAGCGAGAGCTCAAGCTCGGTCTTTCGCCTGTGCAGGCCGAGACGGGCCTCGTGGGTGTACTGTTCGGTAAAGTCGACAGCTTGGCGGACGGTTCGGAGATTGAGGAGGGCGGCGGCATAGGTCTGCTTGGCAAGGGAGATTTCGTCATGGTCGACAGAGGGGTCTTCATGGTGGTCGTCGGTGACGGTGCCGTCGCTGTGGCCGTCGCTGTTCAGGACATCGGGGACAGGGGACCCGGGGGCGAGCTGGATTTCAACAGAAGACATGATCTGGGAACGATGGAGACGCAAGCCGAGGGGAGCCAGATAGGAGTTAGATGTGCTGCGGAGGAGAAGATCCTGGATCGATGCAAGAACGAGGAAGGACGATGGAACGAGGGGCAGAGCTGGAAAGGACTGGGCTGGTCACTGCAACGACCAGGTTGAAATACCCTCGACACACACACAAACACACACACAAACATACAGACAGACAAACAGAAAGCACGCCCGACGGAGAAGGAAAGACCAAAGCACGGCCGGACAGACGATGGCTTACGGGAGGCGGAGACTGGGGCGGCAGAGCAGAGCGAGAGGTGGATCCCGGGGAGAAATGGCGAAGGAAAAGGCGGGTGAGGGCCGACTTTAAAACGAGCAGAGCGGGGCGGAACGGACGGACGGACGGACGGACGGACGCTGACGGAGCGGCGGCGAGCAGGGGAGCAGGAAAACAAGCGATGGCAAGCGGGGCGGAGGAAGGCGATTACGGGAGGACAGAAGATAGAGACGATGTGATGTGATGTGTGCAAGTTGGATTGTGCAAGTTGAACTGTGCAAGTTGAATTGTGAAGTTGGATTGTGCAATTTGGATTGTGAAAGTTGAATTGCGATGTGCGCCTCAACGGGATCGGATCAGTGCGGGTGAGCGATAACTGAGGATCAAAGTGCAATCGGTGTGCGGCGGCAGTGACTCAGTCGGGATGGGCTGGATCTGGAGAGAGACGGCCCTGGAAGCATGCGACCGGGGACTGCCGACAAAGGCACCGAATTTGCCCGGACAGGAGCGGCGGCGCGGACCGGCAAGGAAAGCCGTATCTGTGCTTGATTGATGTCGCCGGGGCCCTGTTTGCTCAAGCCATCGACCTGTTTGCATCCATCGAGTCGCCTGCATCCATTGGTATGGCTTCCTTCGCCATCGCTGCTCGATTGGACTCGCTCGCCTCTGCTATGGCATGGGCCGCCGCCCGATTGGATCGCTGCCTCGGGCCTGCTCGGCACACCACTCCCGCTTGTCCGCTCGTATCCATCTGGTGCACACAGCTTTTTTTTTTGCCTCCGCTGCCCGAGTCCCGCATCGCCGGCATGTGAAGGGCGGCGCCGATAGGCATGAGACGGCGGCGGCGATTGGTGGGGCCGGACAAGGGGCGGCTGGCATGTGAAAGCGGAGACTTGTCCGAAACGCCTTGGCGGGGCTGGGCTGTCCACTGGCGCTGTCACGAGCATCCCGAGCTGTCTCAGCCCGGTCCATCGGCCTGGTCTCGTCTGGTCTCGCCTGGATCTGGTTTGTCCTGGGTCTGGGTCTGGATCTGGTTTGTCCTGGGTCTCGTCTGGGTCTGGGACTGGCCTCGGACTTGGCCAAGCTGCGGGTTAGGAAACTGGACCCACCAGCGAGCTGGCAAATGCAGCTCCAACCACTCATTCCAGTCGCCGGCACGAGCACATTTGCCCCCGCCAGCCGGAACCGCACACGCAATCGCACATGCAATCGCACCTCGGCCAGCTCCTGGCCCGCTGGCCCGCTGGTTGCTTGCTCAGCCCGAGCCTGACACACGCCTATGCCCATGCCCATGCCCATGCCTGCACGCCAGCCCCCTGCCCGATGTTGTCACCCTTGTCGGTGCAATCCTCTTCCTGCGGCAGTCGCCATCGCCATGCCTCTCAGCCCCTTCGTTGGCTGGTCCTGGGCGCTCGCGCACTTGGACGCACATCGCACGCCGACGCCGGCTCTGGGATGAGTTGGATCGCATCGGGTTGCTTCCTGGATGCCCGTCCCATCCCAATTTCGCAACGCGCTGCGCCGCCCAATCAGAGCGTGTGCCACCAGCAGTCCAACCTGGATCGAGCCGGCGGATCCAGCCATTCTGTGCGCGCCTCCAAATGAATTTCATTCTTGCCCGAAAAAAACGAGATCTCGAGCCAGGGCAGCGAGACGCCAGCGAGGCCGACCCGGCCCGACCTGGCGCACATTCGTCTGCTCTCCTGTGACGGGCATCTCAACGAGCCGCATCGCCGATCCGCCCTGCACCAGCGCATCCGGCCATCCTCTCTGCGGATTGCGCCTCGATCTCCTCGACCCATCGCTGCGTCTGCTTGGCCCGGCACTCGACCGCACACCGCCTGCCACCGCCCCTCAACCCAGCCGACGTCCCTGTCGATTCATCATCTGATCTCACTCGGATCCGCCTGCTTGTCCCTATCCCTGCCAAACCAACGACGCCGCCATGGACTTGGATCTGTACGACGAATTCGGCAACTACATCGGCCCCGAGCTCGAGGACGAGGACGAGAATGTCCATCCCGAGGCCGATATCGGATACGTCCCGGACGACCAGAATCTGGATCAGCCTGAGGACGACAACGGCCATGACCAGAGCTCCACCGCTCTCATGCAGATCGATGGTTAGACCCCGACCGACTCGGATCCGATCGATCCACTGCGCTCTCACACACCGCGGCCACGATCGCCTTGTCGCATTGCTGCTACCGCTGTCATCGTGCAGCTGATCCTGATATCTCCGTTCACCTCGCCCTCTCATCCATCGCCCACAGATGCACCTGTCCAGAGCCAGATCGTCCTCCATGAGGATAAAAAGTACTACCCCACGGCCGAGGAGGTGTATGGTCCAGACGTCGAAACCCTCGTCCAGGAGGAGGATACCCAGCTTCTGACCGAGCCCATCATCGCTCCTGTCAAGAAGGCCAAGACCTACGTTCTCGAGAAGAATTTGCCCGAGACAAAGTTCAACAAAGAGTAAGACTCTCGATCGCCTGTGCTTCGACTTGTCTTCATACCGCCCCGACGCTCCAGCACATCGCTCCATATTCGTAGTCGAACCGAGGGCTGCCTCAGACCGACCATCGCGGTGTTGTGCTCGTTTGCTGGAGCTCCGAGCGATCTTGTGTCGGCGAATCGTGTCCAAACCAGAGCCGTGCCGCTGACAGTCAACAACCCCCCCCCTGCCCCAACCAGGTTCCTGGTCGATCTCATGGGCTTCCCCAACTTGATCCGCAACGTTGCCGTCGTGGGGCACCTCCATCATGGCAAGACCGCATTTCTGGATATGCTCATCAACGAGACACACGATATGCAGTGGGATGTCGAAAACCCAACCCGCTACACCGACGTCCACACCCTCGAGCGGGACCGCGGCATGAGTATCAAGAGCATCCCGATGACTGTTGTGTCGCAAGATTTGACTGGGAAATCCTATCTGCTGAACATGTTTGATACCCCTGGTCAGTTGGCCACGATGGTAGTGCCGTGCTGAGCTGTCTGTCGCAAGGTGGTGCATGATCTCGGCTGTGTGCCGCTGCGCTAAAGTTGCTGACCCTCTTGGCGGCTTGCTTCTTCTTGCCCTCAATACTTGGCTCGGCCTGGCCCTCTGGATACTTTGGATACTTTGGATACTTTTCCACCACGACGGCTTCGGTCCATGTCATTCTCTACTGTGTCTGCTGTGGACGTTGCTTCATGCAACACGACATCTCGGGTCGGCCCTGTATCAACTTGGTCATCGCAACCTTGACTGCCACCACCCATGCCTGTGTTGTTTGCACATTCAGGCCATGTCAACTTCTCCGACGAAGTGTCCGCTGCGCTTCGGATTGCCGACGGCGCCATCCTGGTTGTCGATGCCGTCGAGGGTGTAAGTTGACGGCCTGCCCCACCGACTTCCCACCCCGCCAGGTTGTCGTGGAGCTCTGGATCGCTCACCAATGAACCACTTGCAGCAAAGCCAGCCAGCCGCACACGCACGCCCCGCTTCTGACCCGAGTGTTGAATGCCGTATCTAGGTCATGTGCCAAACCGAGCGTCTCATCCGCCACATCGTCTCCGAGAAAGTGGCTCTGACATTGGTCATCAACAAGGTCGACCGCCTCATCCTGGAGCTCAAACTGCCTCCCACCGATGCTTACTTTAAGCTCAAGCACACGATCGAGGAAGTCAATGCCATCCTGGGGTGCGTGTCGACGACCATCATCCCTTGCTCGCTATCATCATCGCTATCATTATCGCTATCATCATCGCTATCATCATCGCTGTCGCATCCCTGTGTTCGATCCCCCAGTGCATTCACATAACCACGCTGTCACTCACATCATCCTGCGACGCTTCTCGCGTCTCGGTCGCCCAACAGAGCCTGCAGCAACAACGAACTCCGCGTCTCGCCCGAGCTCGGCAATGTCTGCTTTGCATCGACACAGTATGGCTGGTGCTTCTCTCTCAAGTCCTTTGCAAAGATGTATGCCGACAACTTTGGTAGGCTCGCGTTCCGCCCCTCATTACGATACAGCGGACATGGATCGATCGGCGTTGTCTCTGCCGCTCCTTTCTCGAATCCCACTTGCACTCACCGATGCTGCTCGTTTTCTCGATAAACTCCCTTTCGCTGATGCAGAGAGCTTCGACGTCGACGCCTTTGCCCTCCGGCTCTGGGGCGATATCTATTTCGACGCGCAGAAGCGGTCGTTCCGACGCAAACCCACCGACTCGGCCAACAAGCGCACCTTTGTGCACTTCATTCTCGAGCCCTTGTTCAAGATCTATTCGCAGGTCATTGGAGAGGACAGCGCAGCGCTGAAGCAGACTCTGGGCAGCCTCGGCATCCACCTCAAGCCCAACCAGTACGGCATCAACGTGCGGCCGCTGCTCTGGCTCGTGTGCGGCGAGTTCTTTGGGAACTCGAGCGGACTTGTCGACATGCTCGTCAAGCACGTCCCCTCGCCCGCGGAGAACGCAGAACGAAAGGTGTGTATGTGCTAAGGCGACGAGACGGGCGTCGGTGTACTATGGATATATGGACCCATGGATCTATGGACCTATGGGCTTATGGACCGATGGACGCGTGTTCGGTCGATATCTGAGATGCGTTTACTTGCCCTGTCCCGACACCTTTCCCGCTGACCTTTGTGTTATCGCCAGATCTCGCACATCTACACCGGCGACCAGGACGGACCCATTGCAAACGCCATGATCAACTGCGACCCCAACGGTCCTTTGATGATCCACATCGTGAAGCTGTACAACTCGGAGAACATGTCCCAGTTCGAGGCCTTTGGTCGCATCATGAGCGGCACAATCTCAACGGGCCAGAGCGTCCGCGTTCTTGGTGAGGGCTACTCGCCAGAAGATGAGGAGGACATGGCAGTGCAGACTGTGGGCTCGCTGGCGGTCTTCCAGTCGCGCTACAAGATCAAGGTCACCAGCGCCTCGGCCGGCAGCTGGGTGATCATATCCGGCATCGACAACTCGATCATCAAGACGGCCACAGTCACATGCAACACCAAGAGCGACGACGAAGTCCGCATCTTCCGCCCTCTGCACTTCAACACCGCGCCTGTGCTGAAGGTTGCGGTCGAGCCCGTCAACCCCACGGAGCTGCCCAAGATGCTGGACGGCCTGCGTAAAATCAACAAGAGCTATCCGCTTGTCCAGACCCGCGTCGAGGAGAGTGGCGAACACATCATCCTCGGCACAGGCGAGCTGTATCTGGACTGCGTCCTGCACGACCTGCGCCGGCTGTACTCGGAGATCGACATCAAGGTGGCTGATCCCGTCGTGCGCTTCTGCGAGACGGTTGTGGAGACGTCGTCGCTCAAGTGCTTTGCCGAGACCCCGAATAAGAAGTAAGTTTTCGGTGGTGCAGCATAGCCAGCGAGGGAGGGGGGTACCTGAATGACAGTATCTCGGCTGTGGACAAGTCGCAGCATGCTGTTACTTGGCCCTCCTGGCACAGCGCGGCGCTTGGTCACTCCAGCGATTCACAGCGGTGCAGAATGTCGAACAAACATGTGATCCAACCACATCCCCCAACCTAACCAACTCGTGTGGCCTCGCCCGTATCTTTTGGGCAACAGGAACAAGCTGACAATGATTGCCGAGCCGCTGGAGAAGGGCATCGCCGAGGACATCGAGAACCTGGTCATCGACACCAAGTGGACGGCCAAGAAGCTTGGCGAACACTTTACCAGCAACTACGGATGGGATATTTTGGCCGCCCGCAATATCTGGGCCTTTGGACCGGACGAATACGGACCCAACATCCTTGTCAACGACACGCTGCCAGCCGAGGTGAGATGGCTCCACTGTTGCGGTTGCTGCTGCATCAGGGTCGCACTGCATCAGGGTCGGACTGCATCAGGGTCGCACTGCCAGCTCGGCACGGCCCTTTGCCACAGCGACTGACTCGCATTCTTTGTACTTCCTTGGCCGTCTGTTCGTCTGTCTGTCTCAAACAATTTCTCCTGTCGATGCGGATCGGGGTCGACTCCAGACCGATAGGCAGCTGCTTTTGTCGGTGCGCGACTCTATCCGACAGGGCTTCCAATGGGGCACCCGCGAGGGCCCACTCTGCGACGAGCGTGAGTAGCGATCCGGAGCAGCAATGTTGGTTGCAGCGAATCAGAAAACCAAGACCCCGAGCAGCGCCTCTCGATCCTGTCGCTGCCAGCGCGTGATGTCCTTGTGATCGTGGATTTTAACTGACTCTTATCGCTCATGGTGGCATCTCTCCCAACTTCCGCACATCCACGCGCTCACCAGCGATCCGAAATGTCAAGTTCCGGGTTTTGGATGCTGCTTTGGCAAGCGAGCCCATCTACCGCGGTGGCGGTCAGATCATCCCGACCGCCCGCCGTGTCTGCTACTCTTCGTTCCTGATGGCCACACCGCGGCTGATGGAGCCCGTCTACTATGTCGAAGTCCAGGCTCCGGCCGACTGTGTGGCTTCTGTCTACAGCGTCCTTGCTCGGCGAAGGTAAGGGCGGCTGTTGGCGGCCAGAGCGGAGGGTGGGCGTCCCATGTGTGCACCGAGCTATTGTAATTTGTGCACCGAGCGATCGTGCCGCTGGGCGTGGGAATCGTGGGAATCGTGTCGCTGGGCGGACCATCGCACACGCAGCATGCCGCCGGATGAACGTGCCCGTCGGCGTGGGCTTGCCGATTCGATGCCGCGGCTTGCAGACCGACAATCGTATTTCCGTCGCTCACGGACATTATTCGTGGCGCCTCCAGAGGACATGTCACCCAGGATATCGCCAAGGCCGGCTCCCCGCTCTACACCGTCAAGGCGTACATCCCTGTGATCGACTCGTGCGGCTTCGAGACGGACCTGCGAACGCACACGCACGGACAGGCCTTCTGCCAGCAGGTCTTTGATCATTGGCAGATTGTCCCAGGCGACCCGCTTGACAAGTCGATTGTCCTGCGGCCTCTGGAGCCCTCGACGGCCCAGCACCTTGCGCGCGACTTTATGATCAAGACACGAAGACGCAAGGGCCTCAGCGAGGACGTTGCCATCACCAAGTTCTTTGACGATCCCATGGTAAGGCAGACGTCCGAGACGGCATTGCAGAATGTGGGAGCGGTCATGGGATGGGTCGAGTTTGGTGGACCGAGAGCATCTGACTTGCAGGAAGCTGCGTAATTGTGTCGCTGGATGCATGTGCTGGCACTCTGTCGGATTTGCAGTGTTTCCCACTCTCCGCGTTGGCTTGCTCACGCTGATTCCGTTTTCCGCCGCTGCAGCTTCTCGAGCTGGCCAAGGTCGATGGCGGACTGTTTGGACTCTAGCGGCCCTCGGCTTTGAGTGATGTGGGCATGCATGGATACCGCTTGTATCCGCCGGTGGTGGTGGTGGATGTCGGACCGGGCGGAGTGTGATTCGGGTCTCGCAGAGGCTCCGAGGACCACCAAAGCCACCACCATCGCTGCCGAGCCGGCTGTCCCACCACTCCCAGCCGAAATTGACATCCAAGAACAGCCTCTGCCTTTGCTCTGCTCACTCTCTCCGAGACTCTTTTGCTCCTTCGTTTCTCTCTCCCTCCCTCACTTCTTGCTCCTGCGTATGCTTGTGCGTCGACGGTGCAGCCACCAGCGCGTCCGCCCGCTTGCACCCTCCGACATCCTGCAGCACTTGCATGCGGAGGCGGGCCATTGAATAGATCGATGTATATACGATGCATGCAGGCCGTCCAGAAAGGAAGGGCGGGGTCGGGTGGCCTGCGTTGGCCTGGCCTGTCCTGGCCTGGCCCGGTGCGGTGCGGTGGTGACGGCGCTGGTATCGGGGGCAACCGGGGAGGGGGCTGTGGAGGAGTTCCCATGTCGCTCCCGCGCCCGTGTCTCCGCCTCATTTCGGCCATATCGGGCGAGGCGGAGAGAGAGCAAGTGATGGCGAGATGCCCCGTCGGCACAGCATCTGGTCATGCCGGATCGCAGATCCCGCCCCGCGCTTGAACGATAGCGACCCGGATCTCGCTGGTCACATTGAGCCTGGCGACGGCCAGAAGCACCACTCGTTGCTGCAACCGCCACCCGCAGACGGGTCACGACAGAGGACCGGCCTGGCAATAGCGCTTGCTTGGCGAATGGGGCTTGCCTGGCACCGGGCACGAGGGCAGGATCTGCCACTGCAAGATGGATGGCAGCCAGCGCCCGATGTGCAGCGTCCTCGCTCGATCGACGACAGACCCGAGCACGGCAATGCCGTCCCAAGACGAGTATCGAGTATCATTCTGATTCTGGGTGCAGGACTGCCTGGGGCGACTGCGAGAGCGAGCAGAGCGAGCAGAGCGCCAGGCCGCACGACAGGAGCGACACGCGGATCCCTGGCAGCGACGGTCATGTGCCCGCCCTCACGGGCGCACAGACCGCGTCGGCTCTCGGTGTGCTCTCGGTGTGCTCTCGGCGCGCTCTCGCCCGTGCAAGCCGTCTCGCTCCCCCCTCCAAGCCCAGCCCTGTCCTGCCCTGTCCTGCCCTGTCACTTCCCGGTCCTGTCACTTCCCTTCGTTCACCCATCCAGCCGCCCTTCGACCCTCCTCTGCTGTGCTTATGTGTCCAACCCGTCGCTCTTGTTCCCCCGAGCCGCAAGCCTCTTCTGTTTATTAAAAGCGCCTGTCGGCTCTTGCCTTCGTTGGCTTTTGCCTGCCCAGACTCCACAAAAGACTGCGTCGAGGAACGTCCTTTTTTCTCCGCCTTCTCTCTCTCTCTCTGATTTGTCTTTGACTTTTTTTTCTGATTTGTCTTGGACTTTTTTCTGACTTGTCCTTGACTTGTCATTGATTTGACCTCGATTTGACCTCGATTTGAATACCATCTGTTTTGGCTTGTCTTTGCGCCTGTTCCTTTCGAGTTCTCTCCCTTTCCCGCTGGCCTTTATTCCTCCTTCCTCCGAAAACCCGTCTGATCTGCCCTCATCTCCGTACCGCTCTCTTCACCACTCCCCCCTTATGACTCAATCCCACCCGCCCCAGATATAAAAACCCGCCTTCCCATGATGTGTGAGTGCACCGAAGTCCCTCGAGTCAAACCCGCGGTCGGCGGTCTGTTCCGGCGATTCGTCGGTCTCTTTGTCGGCGACTCGGCCGATCGCTTTCATTCGCCGTTACGATCGGCGGGTTATCCGTACGCCCTTTCGTCTCGCTTTCCGACTGCTCCGGTTTCATCGTCATCACCATCGCCATCATCGTCAGCGGCGTCTTGGGTCTCTCTGAATGCTCTGGCCCCAGCCCGTCCCCCGTCCCCCTCTCCTTCGACCCGGTCTTTCCCATTCGTGTCCCAACCGAATACCCCTCAGCGCATCTCATCCCGTTTAAAGTCCTCGATACCCGCCGTCTCGTCGTCCCGACCCTCCACCCTGCCTCCCTCGACGCTGTGCGCCCTCTCCCTCTCCTCCGTCTGCTCGTCGGCGACATGCTCTCCTTGCGCCTCGACAGCATCATCCACTCCCTGCTCAACGCCGTCCACACCTTGCACTGCGGCATCGACTCCCCGTTCCCACTCGACCCTCGCCTCCTCTCCTTCCGTTCTCCCTGCCTCCAAACCCATTCCCGCCTCAGCCCCGCCCTCCGTACCCAGCACCCTCTCCTCTCCTTGCTCCCATCCCTCGCACCGCTCGGGTTACTCCTCGCCCCTTGAGCCGCCGCCGTCTCCGACCGCCGGCCCCGAGCAGTTCGCCCATAAGCGCACGCCGTCTGAATACAAGTTGGTCAAAACCGCCGGCAGATTCCAGGTACACGAAATGAAGCTGGAGAAACCCACAAAAAAGAAATTTGAGCTCGAAATCCACGAGCACCCCGCCGACCGCCGCCCGACCTGGCCCCTCTCGCAGTCGCTCCAGTCGTCCATATGCGACTCGCCGCTGAGCGAATGCTCGCATCTGTCAAGATCGCTGGCCGCCGCCACTACCGACCTGGATCGCAGCGACGATCTTTTGCGCTCCTCTGAACCCTACGGCGGCAGCGGCGATCACCATCACAACCACAATTACCACCACAACCACCACAACCACCACCCTAACCATCCCAACACCGTGCCCAAAATCAACACCTGGGACTCGGCCTACTACCGTTCGCACCGCGAGTCGGCGGGTTTCCTGCCTGACTCTCTGCCCTCGAACGAACCCGGCTCGCGGCGGTCGCTGTCGCACTCCGTGTCGCAGCCCGACATGGTTGCCCTCGACCCGTCTCCGTCCTCGAGCCCGTGCAGTTCCGTCCACTCGACCTTCAGCCCAAGCCACCACCGCCAGCTTCTGGACGAACCTGAACCTCCGTCGCTCGGCTCGCAGCGTGCTCGGTTCACTCTGACCCACGAAGAAGACTCGTCTGTTGCCACGACGCCGACCGGGTCGCCCCGCGGAACCTTGTCGACACCAGGCGTCTCCGAGGTCTCTCCCGTCACCGAAGTCAAGAAGGTGGTCGCCAAGAGCGGCCGCAAGTTCATGCTCGAAACCCTGAGCACATAACCCGGCTGTCCTCAAGGAATCCTGTCCGCGCAAACCCAACCGCAGCTCCGTCCGGCTCTGCCCCTCCCCCTCCTCCTCCTGATACTAACGGCTGCTGCCGCTACCTCCTGTCGCCATGCACTCGAGTCGGTCTCCCTATCTGGTGCGCGACGACGCTGCCGCTGCCCGGGTCCGCCTGGCTCTCGCAACGCTGGCTGCATCCCGCCCTGGGTCCAGTCCGTCGTCGAGAACGGGTCCGTGCATGCATGCAGAAGCGCATTCAGCCCGGCAGGCCTTCTCTCTGCTGCGATGGCCGTTGGCAGCAGTGCGCCAAGCCAAACAACCACCGCTACCTCTCCACCAGTGCGAGTGGACTGCGTCAGTGTGTGTCTCGAATCCGCCCACCCCCAACAACCACAACCCTGTTGCTCTCCGCCTCCCCCTCGACAGAGTTTGGCAGCGTGCATTGTATATCTGGGAGGAATCCGAAGCCAGCTGTGCGACCGCTCGCGATCTTGATGATCATCTCGACTCTTCATGCTTTTGATCGAGTGGCCAAGGCTTGTTCTCAAAAGTCCCTCCTCCCTCCCCCGCCGCCGTCCTCCCGTTCCTCTCCTAGAGCCGTCTTTGCTTTCTAGTTCCTCGGCGTCCGGGTTTTCTTGCAAGAGGATGATGTACCATTATTTAACAAAATTTTGAGACCAGCCGCCGCCTCCTCCGTCCGCTGGTCGGTGAATATACAACCATGATTCGCCAACCCATCTGCTGCTGTTCGCAGTGCCGTCCCATGCTCTGCTTCGAGCCCAGATGTCATGAGGGCCGTCGCTTCTTTCCCGCTCATGATCCAGCATCGCAGGCCGTCTGCTTGCGTCAATGTTGCTGGCTGCCGATGCGACGTCACCCCCTCCCCAATCCCAATCATGGTTCTCTGGCGATGCCGAGTGCGGCTCTGCTATGAGCTGCCTGGTGGGCCCTCGCCATTGTCCCGAGCCTGGCTGCGTCCTCTGCTGTCGCTATTCTTGACCCGGTCCGCCCACGTCTGCTCTTGACCCGAGTCGCTTTGCCTTGCCTCGCCTTGCCTTGCGTCGCCTTGCCTCGCCGTTGCCTGCAGCCGTATTCTTCATCCTCGGCTGCATCGCTGACTCGCTTCCCCACGCGTGCTTGGTCGCTTTCGACACCCACAACACCCAGCCAGCCAGCCAGCCTCGAAGCACACCAACCCCAACACGACTCTCTTCTCAAACCCGAATCAGCACCAACAGAGCAGCCATGTACAAGGTCGAGATCCCAGCCGATAACATCCAGCAAGCTGCCATCGAGAGGCGGCGGCGGCTCGACGAAGACCGCAAAAAGCGCATCTTTGACCCCAAAGTTCGCGTCATCGGGGTAAGGCCTGGTGGAGACGACGACGACAACGACGGCGTGGTGGTGGATGGGCTTGTGCGAGAGCGGCTTGCTCGGGCGCTGAAGAAGTGGCCATGGGGGCCGAGCTGGAAAGCGATGTGGGCAGGAACACAATGTGGGCTGGAACACAATGTGGGCCACTCCGCATATCCATCCACACAACCCATGGCCGCAAGAGCCGCCACAGGACCCAGTCGAGCGAATGCATGTCGTGGTCGACGGGAGCATAAGGCCGAGATGTCAGCAGACCAAGGACAGCCCTTGCCAAGGCACTCTCCCTCTTCCCTCATAACAGTGCACTCCGGCTGCCTCGCTCTTTTGCTGGCCCAAGCCACGACCAGCACTCACCTTGTTTTCTGCGTGGTGCTCGCTCAGGTCGATCTGCCGGCTCTCGACGACCAGGTCGATACCAAGGAACGCATCAAGAGCAACGAGCGGACGCGCAACCTGGCCTTTGGTGCAGTGCTTTCGTTTGCTTTCGTTGGTTCTGTGGGCTCCATGTGGGGCTGGCTGTCCTTTCCTTGCAATTGCTCTTGCTCTGGCGAGCGCGCTTGATCCCCATGAGTCTTGGCTGTTTCGCCATGAAGACTCCCCATGAATCCAGACGCCGGCGATGCAATGTCTCGGGTTGCCCAAGCGACTGCGAGCCGACCCAGATTCCTATCGCTTTGTTTGTGGACTCCGAGACTGGCGAACGGGCCTCTCAAACATCTGGCCGCAAACCGCTAATCTCAATGGGCGACACCCGTTTCCAGACCGCCATGCCGCTCAAACCAACCAGCTCCTTCAGATGATCGACGCCCAGACCGAGATGGAGCGGCGGCGCCAGCTTCGCTCCCTCAACGACTTTCGCTTCAACTACCAGCAGCCCTACCAGCGGCGAGACTATGATCTGTACGACCCCGAGGCCCTCAAGAACGACTTCCCCGCCCGCATCGGCGACGAAGATCCGCGGTGCGGGGTCAGCGGAATGCAGCAGTTTGAAGGAGAGGATCTCGAACAGCCCATTCGCCTCCGACTGCAGAAGGACCAGATGCGGGTCTGGGCACAGGAGAAGCAGCATGAACAGGAGCTTAAGAAGCTGACCGAGCTTGAGGAAAAAAAGTAACGCAGGCGTTCGTCATTGGTTCCGTGCTGGTGGTACTGGTGGTACTGGTGGTACTGGGATATCTGATATGCATTCGACGGTCAAAGCGACAACTACAATTGGACATGCAGGAGGGGGAGGGCTTGGTCGTCGCGACCGTTCGTGTCTGATCGACCGTATCTGTCACCTTCTCCCACGCAGAAAATACGAAGAGTTCGAGCACAGTGTGGCCATGAAGACCCTAGAGCTCCAGAAGGCGACCGATGCCGCCCGCCAGGAGCGCCAGAGACTCGACAACGAGTACAATCTTCACCTCGTAAGCAGGACTTGGATCCATGCGAATGACCAAAGCTCACTGCTTGCGTGCTCACATGCTCCGATGCAAGCGCTCGATTCGCTGACACAATTCACCACGGCGCTGCCTGCCGATCCATGGCGTACCATGGTACATTGTGGCTATGCCAGGCCAGCTGGAAGCACCACCGTGAAGCCCAGGCCAAGCACCGAGAGATGGAGCAAAACTTCAACGAAATCATGACCAACATCAACGGCGAGTTCTTGACCGAGACCCCGGACGTCTTCAACATCGGCGGCGGTCACAAGTGCGTTGCAACAGTTGTGCAGTCGTGTAGTTGTTGTGGCATGGATCTGTCGTTTCCCAGTCATATTTCAGTACTGACGACTCTCGACCGGCTGCATCTCGCAGGGTTCGCGTGGATGTGTTCAAGGGCATCACTCCCGAGCAAAAGGCCCATATTCTGCAGACGCAGGAGCACCAGCGCATGGAAGCCGAGGTAAGCTTCTCCCAGTCGCCATCGCCATCGCCATCGCCATCTTCCCACATATACACCCGCCTTCGCGCTCACATCAACCACTCTTATCCTACTCTGAACCCAAACTCATGCGTGCTACCGACCCATCGTGCCAGCTCCGCCGCGAGCAAGACCGCCGAAAGGAATACGAGTGGTCACTCCAGGAGGCCGCCAACAATCGCGCCGCCATTCTTTTGGAGCGCGAGAAGGGTCGGAGGGCCCGTGAGCTGGCCATCCAGATCCGAAAGGAGAACCAAGCCAAGGCTGGCGAGGACCGCAATCGGTAGGTGTCCTCCCTCGTCTTCAGCATCACCAACTCTCCGGAATCTTCCCCCCTCCCTCCAGCCATCCAGCTCGGCTATTTTGTCTGTTCGCACATCTTTCACACTTTTACTCCATTGGCGAACTAATCGATTCCATACACCCTGCGCCAAACCGCAATCAAACATCAACATCAACATCAACCGCAAATCCACCACGCACTCACATCCGCCAGGCAATTCTATCTCGACCACGTCCTCTATACCAATCCGCCCACAGAGGAGTACTTTACCCAGTTCAACACCACAAGTCGATGAGCCGCCCCTTCCCTCCCCTCCCCTCCCCTCCATTCTCTGTCCATGTCACTTCTCCGCCTCTGTCCACCTCACGCTGTCACTTCCTTCTTCCGACTCCATCACTCTGGACCCGGTCGGACATTTCGATCCACCTGGCTCTGTCTCGATCTGGCTTGCTCTCTCCTACATCAGTTTGCTGATTCAATCGGCAACGTTAGATCCCTTGCGCCTTCCTCCAAAATGGTTCAACAGCCGATCTGTCTCATGCTGGTTTTGTTTCCATTCGATGCAATACAACACGTGTCCATCAGAATGTCATTGCAGACTCTGTTGCTAGAAAACAAAATCGCACTTTCTGCTTCTCCCTCGAACGAATCAAAGATGCATTTAATCCAAGATGATGATGATAATGATAACTGCTGAAACAGAATGCAAGGAAGCCAGGACGGAACGACTCTGAGATCTGAACCACTCGCTCTGAGCCACTACTCTTCAAGAATACCAAATTGTCAGAATCACTCCGGGACATGGGGGAACGCCTCAAAGTCAGCATGAGCTTCCTATCGATTGCGGCAAAGCCGCCAGTTCTCCCTCGGGGTTATTCGTCCTTCTCAGTCGGTCCATGCAGGTGCACCCAAAGCCTTTCCAGTTTCTCGGAGAGCTCGTCGATGGGCAAACGCCTGGGCCCAGATCCAGGTTCCTGGGTAGCATGGTTGTCGCTCTCGATGCCACTGGGCTGCGGCTCGATTTTGAAGAACTCGAGGATCTGATCCAGGCGGCTGCTTGCTTGGCCAGCTTTGTGGGCCTGGGTGGCGAGGGCTGCCTTGAGTTGCTCACACTGCTTTGTGAGCGCTTGGCTTGACTCGGTGCCGTTCTCGGCTTTGCTCTGATCGATCTTGAACCCCAAGAGACTGGTGATCAATATCGACGTTCATTCCATCACAAAGTTGTAGCCACGGCCGTAGACACACCCAACGGTGGCTCATTCCTCGCAAACTATTCAATGTCAAGCGCATCTCACCTCAGTGCCGTGCTGGAAGGGTTGGAACACATCCGATAGGTTGGTTCGATGGGTGACGCCTGTCGAGTCTGCTGGGCCAATGGACATGCTTGCCATTGCATTCTGGACATCGCCAATGATGCTCTTGCCGCGCTTGGAGCCGACCGATTCCCAGCCACCCTCCCAAGCAGCGTGCTCCTTGCTCGCTTGGTTCCTTGACGGCAACGAGCGAGAGCCGTACGAAAGTGTGGCGGCGTCTCGACCAAGCTCTCCATCTTCCTGGGCAGACAAAGTTGCAGCAACGGAGGGCTTTTGGGATGCATGAGGCTGTCCAGAGGCGGCCATCGCCCAGTTTTCATGTGAAGTAAAGTCAAATGGGGCAGCATCCGGGTTGAGCTTGCAGTTCGTCGCCATCGACGCAATGTTGGCATTCTGGTTCGTGAAACAGCCAAATGCTTCCCGTTTAGATATCACGCCAAAATGGCGCTGAGAGCGCAAAGCCTCGGCGTCGGCTTCAAACAGAGCCAAGGGGCCGTGCGCACCGCCATTTGCTGATCACTCCAACTTGTGCTGATCACTCCGCCATGTGCCGATCACTCCGCCCATCAACACCAGCGACCGCCGCTCCTGTTACCTGACTGCCTTCTTCGTGGAACTCTTCTTGCACGTGTTCAAACCAATCCAGAGGTGCCTCGTTGCGACTTCGGAACTGAGCAGTTCCTAATCCACCAGACAAGCGGCTGATCATGTTCTGGAACTGATGCGTGTAAACCGAGGGTTGGCCATCAGCTCGCCGTGTCCTGCATAAGCGCTGCGGTGCAGAGACCCTTACCTCGCCTGTTTGCATGATCTTGATCGCTGTATCGATGCCGGCGAACCGAAGATGGAGCTTGAGATGGTCTAGGTGCCGCTCGACAAAGTACTCTTCGAGACCCGGTAGTTGACACACAAAGTTCTGCAGCTCCATTTCATCAAAGAATTGACAGGGGGCAACCGTGAGCAGGTTTGAGCAGACCTGTCGATTGGAAACGGAGGGTGTTAGTGCCGGATCAATAAGTACATGGTGCTCGGGACTCTCGCTCACCATGACGTTGCCCTTGAGGTGTCCGGTACTGTGGTCTCTGGGCTCTTCGCCGGGGGCTGGGGTGCGGGTTCCTGGATACACAGGACCTTGTCCGGGTTTGAGATAGACCGGAGCAAGCTCTGCGCTGTAGCCCGTGACGCTGGTTGGATGCATGTAGTTGGGTGCATCGTATCCAGCCTTGGCGCCGGCATAAACAGGGAACCCAGGTCGCCCCAGCGGAGCCATATTGTACATGCCCATGGGGATGTTTGGAGGCGCCTGAGCTCCAAGCCTGGTGAACTGTGGTGGGTCTCCCCAGCTGCCGTGGTGCTTGCCGCCGGCATTGCTTGGAGACGGGGATGCAAAGTACGGCAAGGGGGCACCAGCAACCACGCCCATCGGGTGGAAAGCAAGCGGCCGCTGGGGCATTGGCATTCCCACCATGCCTCCGGTCAGACCGGCGTTGGCCGTGTTGATTGTGAGCTTTCCGGGCTTGATGGGCGGTGCCCGAGGAGACGATGCAAACGTGGCTCCAAGGTTGACTTTGAAGTTGGCTTCCATCAGGCAGGCGCTCGCCGAGTCGACATCCTGAAAGTAGGCCCAGTAGTTGCTGTCGTCCCTCTCAACTCGCTCGAACCCAGGGAATCCAGAGAGATACTTTTCCAGCTCGCCCAGAGTCCAGTCAGTGCCGCCGATTGTCAAGACCTGGAAGCAAACATAAATGATTACTGCTTGGCATCGTCATGACTGAGGCGGGCTGATGGACAGCGATAACGACAGCGTTCAGCATACCGACGCGCGGGGTGCGTTCATATCTACAGGCTTGAGCTCAGGCTCTCTCTTGGCGAAGGTGGCAGTGAGCTTCTTCCACATTTGCTGAAGGCTCTCGATTGATTCGTTGCAGTGATGAGCATCTTGGAAGACCATATACACGCCTGGAGCCCCGGCCGAGAACGACAGTCGAACGAATCCAGGCAGGCGGCGGGCGACCGAGACGATATCGGCCTTGTCCTTGCCGTCCATATTGCAGAGGTGGGCAGTACAGAGGGATCCAACAGATCCCTGCGCATCCGAAGGTGTCGTGGGCTCGGGAGTCTGGCTGTTGTCAGAGCTGGGCCCGCTCGGACCACTCTTATCCATCACATACATGGCATGGGCCGATGGGGCAGCGTGATAGGCTGGGTTGACAAGAGAGGCCGAGCTCACGACCGAAACAACAGGCCCGGTGTTGCCAGCGGGGTCGGCGCCGTATCCAGAGTTATGAGCCGGGCGGTTGGAGTACTCAACCTTGATGTTGGTTGTTCTGCGCAGATCCAGCAGAGCTCGTTTAGCGGACTCGTGATCGCAAAAGTCCACGATGGTGTACATGAGCGTTGAGCGGGTTGTCTGGGCGCCCGGGTAGCTCTCGATGATCATCTGCAGCATATCTCGAGAAAGGCCAGGCACATTCCGGATGAAGAGAGAGCTCGAGGCGACTTCGTTGTGCTGGTACTGCTCACGAAGCAGGGATGGCGAGATAAGGTTCAGCCAGAGCGGGAAAGTGCACGCATTCGGTTAGCAATTGGTTGTGCGCAAATCGAAACGATGGCCCTTTGATCAGCAAGCAGCTCAACCAACAAGTGCCGTCGAGGTGGATGGGTACCTGGTTGCGGTCTCTTGGGCGAGATCGATCGACCGCAGCCACATTCATGTTCCATTCGTTCTCGATCTGACCGAGGGCCACAGAGAGATGCTCGCGCGTCACAAACCAGACATAGACGCCGTCTTCATGGATAGAGAATCGCTCAAAGCCGTCAAGCGACCCAAGCGTCTCGCGCAGATTAAATCGAAGGAGAGCGGCGTCGGCGATGAGCAGTGCCTGGTTCTGGCCCGACCCTGGCTGCCTGTCAATCTGCGAGCCGACGCCCAGATGGGCCATGTTCGTCGGGACTGGGCCAACGGTCGCTCTGCTCTGCGAGACCGAGTTGATGGAGGTATTACTGGCGCTTCGCGGGCGTACAACCGGGCCAGAGCCGCCGTGGCCCATGGAAAGATGTGACTGCAGCTGTGGCTGCGACTGCGACTGCGACTGCGGGCCAAAGTGTGGATGCATGCTGGACATTTGGTCGTCGCGGTTCAGAGGCATGAGCCGCTCACCCTTGCTCGAGTAGTCGACAAAGAGATCGGTGGTAGCTTCGAGGTCCTCGAGGGCTTTGGTAGCGTCATCCGGGGTGGCAAAGCGAGTGATGATGTGATCCTTGAAGTGTCGGGCATCTTCGAACCCAGGGTAAACCCGGAGCAGCTCCGAGAATCGCTTGTGAGGCATCCACTGCTGGATGCGGATGTAGAGTGCGGCTGTGGCGGGAACGGGCCGACGCATATGCGGCAGTTTGAAGACGTCCTTTTCTCTTGGCTCGGCGTAGCGCACCTCCATGCGGGTGTTGGTCTGGAGATGATGGATGGCCTTCTCGGCTGTCTGAGCGTTGGAAAAGGCGAGGAGGTAGGTCGAGGGCTGGAACGACAGCAAGAGAAAGCCCGGGATGCGAGCAAAGTGCTGGCGCAGGGTCGAGACCGAGACATCGTCCGGGATCTTGGAGACGACCAGCCACACACATAGGTCGAGGTCGATGGCCAATCTGCCGGCTCGCTCCGGGGCACTCCCGATCGGAGTGGCGCCGACGGTTGTGGCGGCCTCGGGGACGAGTCTGCGGATGCGTTCCGGGTTGAGGGCAAAGTTGGCGGTGATGTTGGTGAACTTTTGGATGTCGGCCAAGGCGTTTTCAGCGCAAAAGAGATCACGGAAGGAAACATAGGGCGACTCGGAGACGGCGGCGAGGCTTCGCTGGGACTGCTCCTCTGGCGAGAGATCGGTATCCTCATCCTCGAGGATCTGGAAGTACTCATAGCCGCGATAGCACTTCATGATCTTTTCCAGCTCCGAGGTTGTGGATCCCAAACCCGCCAATGGAATGCGTAGGACTGGGTTGGAGGGATTCCGGGTGCTTCGCTGGTTTCTCTGATCGAGAAGACGGGCCAGGTCGGGATAGGAAGGCGGGCAAAAGTCGGCAGCGATGGAGGTCGATCGCTGGGTGGTGTCGATGAACTGCTGGGCATACTCGGCGTTGGAGAACAACATCAGACAGAGACCTGCGACGATGGTAGCGACGGCGGTGGTTAGCGTGGGAGATTCAGGACGGGCATGGCCATGGGAACGCGAGATCAGGGTTGATGGAGGCGCACAGACACAGCCATCATATCAGGGCCATGTCGATCAAAGTCGTACAATCAAGACCGTGCCGATCGAGTGAAGATGGAGGGTGGCGGCGCTACTCATGGAAGCCTACATCGGGAGGATGCACAACACAGATCACAGCAGAGGTCGCCAAGTCAGGGAGAAAGGATGAGGCCAGATGAGGCGAAATACGCACCGTTGGGCTCGAAGATGAGCCGCTCAAAGCCCTTTTGAAAGTTGGAGCGAACGTAGTCCAGGAGATCAGCACGGTCTTTGCCGGCAGGCAGTGACTCTATGACAACGACAGACAGGGCAGACATGCTGTGTTTGGAACTGCGAGAATTCATTGACGGCTGGAGGAAGTGCGGGCCAGAGCTGGCTCTCTTAACGATCGAACAGGCGAGCAGGGCGTTTCTGGCCGGAGACTGGCTGAAAGTAGGGATAAGGCGAGTGCTCGGAAGACACAGACCGAGCAAGGGAGAGGAAGGCGGGCTTGACCAGTAAGCCGGGTGGTGTGCACGGCAAGCAGGGATGGGCTGGAGATCCGGCGAGAGAGCCAGCGACCAGAAGGCGGCTTCTCAGACAGATTGCAGGGACAAGAGACCAGCCGATCGATTGATCAAGACGGCAGAGGGGGGCAAGCAAAAGCGAAGGGGATGCGGGTGGGAACGGGGCTATGATTTATGGCAGCGATGTGTCTGCGATCGATCGACAGGATCCAAAGGCAGCTCTGACCTGTCCGGAAACCAAGCTGGCGCGTGTGAGCTGTCTTGCAGACAGGAGAGCGGAGGAACAGACAGCCACGAGGGTCAGCGAGGGGCCGGGAACAGGAGGAGACACCGATATCCGCGCTGGGGATCACCGGAGGAAGAGCGAGGTATGACGCAAACGAGGGCAATGACACAAGTAAGAACTGCGATGGCTTAACAAAGCGCCAAGATGATATCCAAGCATGACATGTCTATTAGGGCATGCTATTTCTATCCAAGTGGGGCTCGATCAAGGCAAACTCGTGAGAGTCGGTATGCTCGAGACGCGGCGAGAGGGGGTGAGAGCACCGGACGATCTGTGGGCTGAGTGCACTCAAGGGATGATAAAGATTGGCCGAAAGAGAGCAGAGGCGGACGGGCGGAGACGGATGCGGGTGGAACGGAGGCCGCAGCCTGGCCTTGGGCGCACTGGCTGTGTGGACCGGCGGCGATCTGCTTGTCCGGTGGATTCCGTGTCCGCCAGATCGCATCATGTCCACCCCCCCCCACCATGTCCAATCCAAATCCCATCATGTCCAATCCGCGTCCCATCATGTCCAATCCGCATCCTGCCTTGTCCTGCTCATTCTGTTCCACGCCATGTTCGGTGGCAGCGCAGCCCTTCCCCCACAGCACCTGACCGGACAAGGCGGACACAGCCTGCGCCACAGGGCATGTGTCTGTGGCGGTGCCTTGTCGCCGCCGCGCCCGTGCGCGCCCGTGTCCCCATTGGCCGCCGCTTGTCCCACGCCTGGGCGCGCACTGACGCACGCTGTCTCACCCACCGCGTCCAGCGTTCCATTCCTTCCTTCCCGTCCCTCAAATTGCCGTCCCCGTCCTGCCCTGGGACTCCGTCGCCTTCGTCTTGTTCTGCAATCTCGGTCGCCCACATCACCCACATCGCCCTCCCGCGTCCAACCTTCTGCCATGCTCATCGTTCCTGCTGCTGTGTTCCTCGTGGCCGCGGCTGCTGCTTCCCAGGCCCAGTCCCTCTTCGCCGGCAGCGCCTGCTCGCTCAACATTCCCTCGTTCTCGTCGCTGCCTTCCGACCTGGTTCTCGGTAGGCTTACTCTGCTTGACGGCCACAGCCCTCCCCCTGGAGTCGCTCAGAGTCGCTCGTTTTCCTCGCTGCGGGATTGCTTCCAACTTGTCAAAGTCGCTCGACTCACTCCATTGCCTCGGCTCGCTCTCCAGAGAACGGCAAGGTGGACTATTCCAACGGAACCCTCATCATGACTATGCTCCCGTGAGTTTCACTCTGAATCCTGGGGTGCCTCTGTCCGTCTTCTCCTGTGCAGTCCTTTCAAGCTGCCCTCACTAAAACATCCTTCCCTCCAGTCCTCCTGCCGGAGCCACCGAGGGCGAGAATGTCCTCATCAGCTCCAAGCTGTCGCTGCTATACGGCACCATCGAGGCCGATGTCAAGCAGTCCTCCGTCGGCGGCGCCATTACCGCATTCACCCTCTTCAACGGCACCTCCAAGGACGAGATCGACTACGAGTGGGTCGGCAATGACCGCATGATGGTCTGGACCAACTTTTTCTTCCGAGGTAGATCCAGCTTCTTTCTCGACACCTGTGGCATCGCTGCCCGTCCATGCCGCTGTCGCTGTTCGCTTGTGCTAACGATCTTGTCTGCTGCTGCCCAGGACTGCGTGAACGCAACCCCGTCACCACCTTTGAGATCTGGTCATCCAGCCCGGCCGTGGCTACCGACACGTACCTAAACTTCCACAACTATAAAGTCGACTGGACTCCATATGCCATCACGTACGTGGGCCATTTGATATCCGGCGCCTTTCTGCGGGTTGGGCTGTCAGGTTCAGCGTCGATATGTGACCGATCGGCGTCGGCATATGAGGCTTACCAGAGTCTGACTCGCGTTGGCTCACCGTTGCGTTTCCCAGTTGGTATGTCGATGGCGCCGTCGTCCATTCCCAAAACCGCAGTGGCACTTGGGAGCCCGCTGGCACCGGCGACGGATATGGCATCAGCCACTACCATGTAAGTTCTCGTCAGCGTGGATGTGCTTGGCATCAATCCTCGCGGAGCCTTGCATGGCTCTCGCGCTTGCAATGCGATTGCCGACTGACAATCACGGCGATATGCGCGCAGTATCCGGATACTCCCTTGCAGATCCAACTCGGAATCTGGAACGACAATGAAGTGCCATGGGCCAGTAAGTTCTCGCCTCTTGTCGCTGTCCGTTCACAACGTTCAAGCTACGAGCACTTGTCGTGGCGGGCTGCAATCGAATGGCGAACAGGACAGAGAGACACATGATGTTCCATGGCGTGCCAACCACAACCCATCTCTGCTTGTACTAGACGGTCCCCTGGACTGGTCGGCCCCTGGCGCCCAGAACGGATACACGGCCGAGTTCAAGTCGCTGAAGGTGACTTGCTACACTGGCCCCTATCCCTCCAACATGTCCGCCCCTCCTACCGATCCTTCGTCGAGCGACCAGAAGGGAACTGCCCCGGTTATCCAGGGCGTCGTTCCGCCCTCGGTTGCCTCCCCGAGCTCGGTTGCTGCTTCGGCATCAGCCGCCGCTGGCGCGACCTCCACCCCAACCACGGGCCATGCCGCCTCAGGCGCCGCGACTACCGGGCTTGCTCTTGCTGGGCAGCTCGCTGCCCTTGCCCTTGGAGTGGCCGCGAGCTATTGGATGCTCTAAGCGCCGTGAGCCGGAAATGCCAGGCATGTCTCGGCTCCTCCACTGCGAGCTGCGATAAACAACTCTGTCCATGGGTGGTTCTGCCGCGCCGAGCCTCCCTTCCGACAGCAATCGATTTCCCATCAAGTTTCATGACTATAGACGTGCATTTCGTACAAAGTCGTCTCCAGCCCGTGGCTGGACGTCATCTCGATTCAAATTAAACTTTCCGTTGCCGGATGATCAAATCAAAACCCCATGTCAATCAGCTCGATCAGCGAGGCCGATCAATTCGATTTGCAGCCACAGGGCGATCTCAAACCCTCCGCCATGAATTCTGCCAGTAAGATCAGCAAGCGCCTCAATACACATTAAAGCAACCATCTGTTGTTGATGCCATTCGCAGTTGACCTGGGTCCTGCGTGAGAGTACTCGTGTCTTGGCGTATCCTCTGATGCTCGGTGATGGTCGATCGGTGGCTATTGTGGCTGATGTATGTGTGTATTCCCATTCAAAAACGGCAAAAATCAAAAGCGAGAACGGCGGGCTCCGTTTCGTTTTGCGGGCGCTGTAGAAACAGCGGAATACGAGGGGCGCCATTTAACTCGTATTGGACGCCGGGTTCTTGGCTTCTCGTGGTGGGCGAATGGCTCAGCGCATCGAGGAGTCAGTTCGGGTCTCAGGAAGGACGATCGAGCACAGGAAACGATGCAAGGAGAGAAGGGAGGGCAAGAGCCGGGGCTCGATGATGCTGGAGCATCAAAGGACAAAGGGGCCGGGACACCATTCGCTCAAGGGCGACTGTATGATCTCGGAGAACACGGTGGCGGGGGAAGAAATGGGAGCAGGCAAGCAAGCAAGCAGGCAGGCAGGCAAGCGGGCAGGTATCGGCCAGCATAGCAGTGATCGAATCCAGACTCGAGCACAGTGAACGAGGAGGCAGGAATGGTTAGGCACAAAAACGGATGGATGCTGGCCAAACAGCCATGTATGATGGATGGAATAAATAGGAGATGCGCATTGCCGAATGAAGGAAAGAAAGAGAATGATCAAAGCGGATGAATATGAAGACACTAGCAGCAGACCCGATGATCGGGGGTTGATGGGCTTGCACGAGGAGGGTTGTCGCAGCGAGGCAGCGACGCTCCATCCCCATCGGTGTTCTCACAGGCAGATTTGCTTGCCCTTGACCGTGGGATTCCGACTCGAGAGGCTCTTGCGCTTCTTGCCCTTGGCGTGTGGTGGCGACGACGCATCCGGTGCGTGCTCTGGCTGCCGAGAGTGACCCGGTACGGCAGCAGCCGTCGGTTGCGAGTCGCGCTCGCCCGCCGGGCTCCATGACTTGGCCTCGCCCATTTGAAAGAGCGGTTTGGCTTTTGCGTTGACCACAGGCAGCTCCGATGGCGATTCATCGGCGTCCTCATCTGGGGGCGATACAACGGCCTTGGCTTTGCCGTTCTTTCTCGGCCGCTTCTGGACAACGACATCGACCTGGTGCTTCTTGAGCGACCCGTGGCGGATCAGATCGTACTTTCGCGCAAACCCAACGTCGCAGATCGGGCACACAAAGTTGCGCTCGCCAATGTGCGAGGCCAGGAAGTGTGTCTTGAGGTTGTATCGGCGGGTGAAGGACTGCTCGCAGCCTGGGTGTGGACAATGGAATCGGTCGGTGGCCTCGTCCTTCTTGGTCAGCAGGATGTTGTCAAAGGTCTCCTGGATGCTGTAGCCAGAGTCCGAAGCCGAGACCGAGGCCGTGTCTTTGATGTAGTCAATAATGGGCTCGGCCGAGTTTGTTTTCAGCGTCCCGGAGGGCGGGTAGGGCAGCGACTCGGGGCTGTTGATCTTGGGAGGTTGGCCAAAGGAAAGCGAAGGCATCGCCAGTTTGCGCGAGTAGATAGCACTGCCAAAGACGGCGCCGGGTGTCGGCGGAAAGCGTTCAATGTCATCGTCACTGTCTCCATAGGTGTGGTAGACGTTGGCGGGCACGGACAGGCGATCAGACTCCTCGTCGTCCTCGGTTTCGTAGCGCTGCGACAGGTCGCTGATGGGTGCACTGCGGACCGAGTACGTCGAGCGGGTATCGCTGGCATATAGCAGATGGCTGGCATCCCCCAACGCCCGGGACAGATGGCCAGAATGCAGGATCGGGGCGTGCTGCTCGCGAGAGACCCGGTGAGTGAAATCGGCAGACGCACGGACCGAGTTGTCAATAGGGGCAGAGGGCGGGCACACGCTCACGGCGAGCACGTCCCGCGATTCGGCTTCTTGGAAGGACTGGCTCCGGTGGTACTGCAGGAACAGAACCGTGGCTGCCATCTCTTCGTTGAACTCCGAGGTGGCTTCGGTGGTGGCAGCGCGAGGCGAGGCGTGTGGGGTATCGTCGCAGGCTTCGTGTGGGCCGCGAGACAGACGAAGGGACTCGTCGTCGTCCTTGGCGCCGGTCGAATAGTGAGGCGTTGGAGGATAGGGCTCCATGGGGGCTTCCGGCAGGGAGTCGTTGGGTGGGCGAGCAGTGCCGTGGTCATCAGCATCGCGGTTGCTGAAACTTTGAGCGATGCTGCCGCTTTCGGTGGTGTCGTCCGCATAATCGTCAGCATAGTCGTTGCCGTTGTCGCTGCCAGTGAAGTCGTTGTCGTTGTCGCTGCCGCTGCGGCGGGCGATATGGCGGTCGCTGTTGTCGTTGGGGTCGTCGTCGCCGTGATCGCCGCTCTGGCGATAGAGACAGGGCTCTGGATCGGCGGCGGCGGCGGCGGCGGTAGACATCTCCGAAGAGAGGAGCGGGTTGTCCGAAGGCAGGTCAAAGTCGTCGTCCTGGTCCAGCTCGCAAGTCCGCAGTCCTTCGAGCCAGGTGGTGACCGAGACAAACGACGAAGACGTGCGCAGAGAGGGGAGACGGGCAAGCGCCCTGGAGGCATTTTGGGCTGCGGTGCCGCCGGGGTCGTCAGACAGGGGAGGGGCGTCGGGCCTGGCCGAGATTGCGAAGTCGGAGGGGCCGGCGTCATCGGCAAACCACAGGCCGCCCCGGAGCTGCGAGTGTTCCTCGTGACCGCTGAAGCTGGTGAAGAGCGAGCCGACCTTTGCAGCCGAGGAGAGGGGATCGAACTCTGGGCCAGCCGAGAAGCCCATGGCCGAGGTGCAGGCAGGGTTGATGGTGGGCGATGTGGGAATGGAGAGGTTGGTGAAGCCCGAGATGGTCTTTGGCAGGGCGATGGGGGGCCGATAGGGCGGCGGCGGCGGCGACGAGCCGAGAGCATCCTCCTGCTGCTTCTGGCGGTGCATCAAGGCCGGGTGCATCGGGGCGGCGAGAGTAAGGCTGAAGGGGACAGGCCCGAGAAGGAGAAGGGAGAGAGGCAGAGCAGCGTCGCTGGGCGAGTGGCTCCGAGGGCGATCGCGGCGAAAGCAGACTCAGTGGCGGCCACCAAAGCAGAGCGCAAAGCCAAAGGCCGCAAAAGCGAGGGCGAGCGAAGCCGCGCGGGGGCGTGTGTGTGTGTATGCGCCGTGGCAGTGCCGTGGCGCGGCGCCGGTCACGCGGGGGCGGCGGACAGCTGTGCGACAGCGGTCCGGGGGCGCGCACGGGCGCCTGCGTTGTGTTGTGCTGTCCTATATTGTGCTGTGCTGTGCTGTGCTGTCCTGTATTGTGCTGTGTTGTGCTGTGCTGTGCGCCTGTGGCGCTGACTCACCCGCTGTCCCAAACAAGCAAACACATACACACACAGCACACGTGACTCCGGATCGATCCGTGGCTGGAGCCAGCCATTTCGCCTTTTATGGCATTTATTGATTCCGTCCGCTCCGCCCTCTCCTCCGTCCGTTCGCTTCCTCGCCCGTCCAAAAAGTCGCCCTGCCCTGCCCTCTCCCGCTTGCCCGGCCTGTGCTCTCCCTTCCCCTACCCATTGCCACCAGCGCTCGCACTTTCGCACGCTCGATCCCCGTCCCGCGACCATGTTTGGTCACCCCGCAAGCAAGGCTGCCGACCCCAAGCGGCGAGGTTTGTTTCGCTTTCCCCTCGTCGCACCTAGAATACTTCTCCAGCACCTCATCTCGTGCCAAGCTGCTCACCGCATCTCCATCTCGTGCGTTTGCGTGCTTTGCTGCAATTCGTTCCAACACTTTCGTCCCATTCACCTTGCGCAATTCACAGCCGTCCCCGACCCAACGCCTGGTCCTGGCCAGTACAATCTTGATTCCTCGTTGCTTCATCGCGACCCCAATAAGAAATTCGGCTTTCTCGAAAAGTCCCAGCGGTTCCGGGCTGCCAAGGCTGACGATGCCATGGTCCTCGAGGACTTTCCTGATGACGACTCGGAGACATCCAATCCCCGTGCCGACTCCGCCTCCCACGCCTCAAAATCCAGGCGAGACGACCGAGAAGAGCTGAGATGGAAGAAAGAGGTGGGCTTGCATATCTACCGGGGACACCAGCCACAGCATTGCATTGCATTGCATTGCCTTTCTTGGGTTGCATTTCCTTAGTTGCAGTCTGCCGCACACATGCCCGGGAAGTGTCACTTGGCCTTCCCGACCCTATTGCGTTGCTGACTCGCTTAACTCACTGAATCTACCCATCCAGGCTGAAAACTGGAAAGAAAAGCTCGAGCGAAGCGCTGCCGATCACCAGCGCGTCGTCTCGCAGTTCCAGGAGCGACTCAATGTCATCAACGCTCAGCTCTCGACTTGTCAGAAAGAAAAGAATGGGCTCCAGTCCCAGGCCGTGTCCAGAGAGAAGGAGGTCGCGGAGCTCAACCAGCGCATTGCTTTGATGAAGGCCAATGTAAGCATCGACTTCCCCTCTGTTGCAGTCCTCGGTTTCTTGGCTGGGGCGTCGCTGATGGAAACGCAGATACTGACTCAATACTCTCAACCGCCCTCTGCTTTGCTGCCGCCCTTCTATCTCTCTATGTCAACAGTGCGAAAAGCTCGAGCGAACCATTGCCACCATGAACGAACGTGCCAGCAAAGCCGTCTCTCTCCAGAAGAAGCTTGAAGAGTCCGAGAAAAACGTCCAGCGGGTCAAGTCCACTGCCGAGAAGAAGACCCTCTCCTACGAAAAGCTCTCAAAGGAGCGTGACGAGCTCGCCGCGCAACAGAGCCAGTTTTACCAGGAGATTCAAGCGCTCTCAGATCACAAGGACAAGCTCACTGCCCAAATCACCCAGCTCGAACAGGTCAAGCAGCAGACTCTCCAGGAGTTCCACACTCACCTCTCCAATCTCGAGGCCCAGCTGAATCAAGCCGCTGTTGAAAAAGCCGCCCTGGAAGTTGCGTACCTGGCCGAGAAGCAAGCACTCTCAGGGAAGCTCGAGGAAACCTTTGGTATTCTCCAAGCGACCACCAGTGCCCTGGACGAGTCCAAGGCCCACTGTAGCCAGCGGGAGCTGGCCAACCAAGCCACTCAGAGCCGCCTCGAGAACCAGATTTCTGATCTGGGCCGCCAGCTGGAATCCCTCGGCCGCGAGGCTGCCGAAAAGTACACCCGATACGAAGCATCCATCACGCAACTGCGCGAACAGTGCCAAACCTGCCAGAGTCTCATTGCCGAGCGTGAGACCCAGCTGCAGCAAGCCAATGAAGGCATCGCCTCTCTCCAGAACCAATTGAATACCGCAACGACCAACCTCGCCAGCTCCAGACAAGATCTCGAGGCCCAGAGCGCCGAGTGGAACCAAGCCATGACCAGCTTTACTGCCCAGATGGCGTCTCTGCAAAGCTCCATCCAGGAACGAGACAGCATCATCCGCGAGCGGGACGCCCTTATCGCGGGCTTTCGCTCGTCTCTGGATGAGCTCACCTCATCGCTCCAGCAGGAGCAGTCCAAGTCCCAGCAGCTCGAGGATCAACTCCACGAGACAACTCAAGCCAAGGGCTTTGCCATCGACGCCCTCAAGCTGAACCTGGATGAGGCCCTTGCTCAGATCGAGACCCAGAAGGCAGCCTTCCAGGCCGAAAAGTCCTTGATGGAACAAAAGCTCGAGCAGCTCTTTGTCTCTCTCCAGCAGACTCAATCCGAGGCTCAGCAGAGCCTGCATGCCCACCAGACCGTCGTCACCAACCTCAACAGCCAGATCGACTCTCTTCAGTCGCGTCTCTCGGAGCTCGAGTCAGCCCGATCGACACTCGAGAGCGACAAGAGTTGGCTGCAAAAGCACACCGAGGAGCTTCTCCGAGCCAGTGCTGAAGAAATGGGCTCCAAGGACGGTCTGATAGCACAGTATCAGCTACAGCTCAAGGAGATGGACGGCTGCCTCAAGAGCGAACAAGACCAGCACCGCCAGACCAAAGACGCCCATGCCTCCGAGGCCTCGACTCTCAAGAGCCACCTCGAGCAAGTTCGCGTCGAGCTGCAAGCTGCCCTCGCGAGTTACCAGGAGGCTGACCAAAAAAACGCCCAGCTACAATCCCGGATCGAGGACCTGGACCGCGTCCTGCAGGCCGAGAGGCTCAAACACTCACAAGAGCTCGCTCAGTGGGACCGCCGGCTCAAGGACCATGCTGCTGCCTCGGAACAGGAGCGCATTCAGTGGAGTACCCAAGTCGAGGAGATTGCCGCAGGCATGAAGGCCCTCGAGTCTACACTGCACGAGACTCGGTCTGCGCTGGCTCAGAAGGGCCTCGAATGCGATACGCTCTCGGCCCAGCTCCATGATCGCCTGCAGCACTCTCGTGGATTGGAAGACAGTCTCGTGCACCACCAGAGCCAGCTCAAACAGTACGAAAGTACGATGGGCTCGCTTCAGGCAGCTCTCTCCGAGACTCGGCAGGAGCTCGACAGTGCACGTACCGAGCTTGGCCGTTCCGAGGCTCGGGTGGTGTCCCTCGAGACCGAGGGCGAGCTTTCCCGCTCGCGCATCCACGAGCTGTCGCAGACCTCAACTCGGATGGCAAGCGACCTGACGCTACTCCAGCGACAGCTGGACGAATCTGTCCGTCATCGCACAGAGACGCAGGCCCTGCTCGACGATACCCGCGAGCACCTGCGAACTGCTCTCGAGAACGAGTCCAATGCACACAAGCAGATCGAGCGACTTCAGCTGCGCGAGAGCGACCTGATCAACAAGATCCAGTTGCAGGAAACCGCCGCCCACGAGTCCTCGCTCAGCCACCAACAGGCCATTGGCAACCTCCAGAAGGAGCTGGCTCTTCTCACGCAACAAGCGTCGAACCTGCGCGAGTCCGTACAGCAGCAGACGCTTGTCATCGACGAGCAGCGTAATATGCTCAGCAGCGAGCGTCAGAGCCGCGACAGCCTCCATCAGGAGCTGCAAGCCACCAAGGCTCAGCACGAACGCGCCATCGCCGAGCTGCGGTCGGCTCTCCAGGAGCGTGAGGCACAGGGCCTTCGCGACCAGAAGCATATCGATAGCCTCGCCAAGGCCCATCGCGCCGAAGAAAGTCGGGCCGCCGAGTCCGAGAGGCGAATCAAGGGTCTCTCAGAAGAGTTGGAGGCAGCCAAGGCTGCGTTCTCGCTCGAGCGGCAGCGTCTGGCGGACGAAAACCGCCACCAGTCCCTGCAGTTTGACAAGGAGCGTCAGGACCTTCGCCAGTCAGCCGACAAGATGAAGTCCATTGTCCAGACTCGCGCTCTGGAGCTCGAAGCCTTGTCGAAAGAGCACGAGCAGCTTGGCCGAGTCAACCGCGAGCTTGAATCCTCCAAGAGCCAGCTTGAATCGGAGGTCCTCCGCCTCCGACACGACAATGAGCGCGGCTACGCTCTCATGGCCGAGTCTGAGAAGGCCAGGATACGCTACCAGAGCCAGATCTCGGCCATGGAGAGCAGCCACAAGGCTGATCGCCAGACCTGGGATGCCGAACGCGCCGCACACCTGCGCGCTGTCGATGAGCTCAAGGCCCAAACCGAGACCTTGCGCACCACACACCAGAGCCAGATCGCCGAAGCGCGCACCGAGCTCTCGCAGGCCAGCACACAGTTGGCTCAGATGCAACTCCAGCTCCAAGCCACCCAGGAGGGCCACCAAGCCAAACTCAGCGCCAAAGACTCGTTCATTGTCGAGCTCAGACAGAGCCACGATGCTACCCTGAAGCGCCTCGAGGAGGCTCAAGGCCAGAACCAGCAGCTCGACCGAGCCCTCACCGAGTTCACACAAGAAGCCGAAAAGAACATTGCTCGTATGAAGCACGAGTACGATGAGCGCGAGACCCACCTACGCGCCTACTCCACGCAGCTCGAGCAGGAAAAGGCCGCGGCCCTAAGCGACTATGCTCGGGCTACACAAGAGTCCATGAAGCGCGAGCAGGTCCTCAGGAGCATGCGCGACCAGATGAAAGAAGTCAACACATACAGGCAAGAGCGCGACGAAGCCGTGCAAAAGTGTGCCGAGAGCGAGAAGCGATGCCAGGTTCTTGACTTCCAGAAGCGCGAGGCCATTCGGCTGTGCGAGGTCGAAAAGAACACCTGCGAAAGCAAAATGAAGGCCGTCAGCGCCGAAAACCAAGCCCTCAAGGATAGAGTCAGCTCGTAAGTACACAGCGGTTGGGCAGATGCGGCGCACTCGCTTGGCTGGCCACAGATGCACAGCCCACAGCCCTCTTCCAAGCCTCTGCCTCATCGAATACACCCACCGTATTGACGAATATCGACTCACTCTCTCGATGTTACAATTGCCAGAATGCAAATGCAGATTGAGGAAGCCCGGGTTGTCCGCGACAGCGCCGAGAAGATACTCTCGGAGGAAGCCAGAAAGCTTATTCGCCAACAAAACATGAGCAAAGCCGAGCTGGAGGCCCTGATTGCCATGCAGAGCGACCTCGTTGGCCACAACAACCCCAAGCAAAAGATTCGCGTGTTCACGCAGATCAAGCAAGAGAATCAGCAACTCAAAGAGGTGGGAGAATCTCGATTGCAGCCAAGGGCGCATATGTGCTCTGCCTAGGGAAGACGGATGTGGCCACTCCAACGGCCTATCGACTGTGAATCCCAATAGCTTCCTCACCCTTGCAAACCATTGCCGCTTTCAGGAAAACGAAATGCTGCAGCAGGAGCACAAGGAAATGCGACGCAAGAACATGGAGCTTGAGCGAGAGGTCGAGGCTCTGAAGGGCAGCGGTGACGCCGGCGCCCACGGCAAGCGCTCGCGGGTGGGCCGTTACGCCACCATGATGGCTTCTCGCCAAACTACCAACAATGAAAACAGCCTGGCCCCTCTCGCCGGTGACATTGCCAATCTCGGCCTCAAGGACCGATCCGACGATATCCAGAGCTTTGCATCAAAGGAAACAGCCGGCAAAAACGGCATCTCTTTCAACATTCCATTTTGAGGGCCCGCCAGGTCATGACGACTCAGAAGGACTTGCCGCTTCGTTGTTGACACTGCCACTCAATCGACACTGCCTCTGTCGCCACCATACCCTCGCGAGTCACAGCCGCTCCTGTCGCTTGTCATCGGCTGCAGGTTTACGAATGAATGCGTGCCCTTGCCGCGGCCCTGACGCTCTGCCACGCACTTCGGCTGATGACTTGTCTGTATATGCTACATGCCACAACTGCCCCCCCCCCATGTCTTGCTCCTCGCTCGCTCGCTCGCTCGCCTTTGTCCTTTCGCTCTCTCCCTTTTTTGGTCGATCTGGTGCTCTCCAGTTCATTTCCGTTTCGCTGTTTCGGCCATGCAGCTCCATGCAGTACGTTGTTTCTTTATTTTAAGGATTGCTGACTTGATCTCGGTCCCTGAGCATTTTGGACGCTTAAAGTATTTTCACGTAATATGACAGCTATCCCAACTTGCTGCTCGAGCAAATACGAGCAAGAGGCAGGAGAGTCGGGAAAGGAGACTGGAGCCCTGGCCGCAACGTCGTCAGCCTTGGAGCCTTGGAGCCTTGGCGAATGACTGCTCGGTGTTGTTCCCACACTTGATAAGCAATGTAAACCAGACCGCCACTCATGCCAGCCCGTTGGTTGATCACGCATTCGCATTCGCAACAGCAGGTACTTGACCATCTTGTTCAGGCCGATTGATATGCAGCGCTGAGCCGCTTCGATCCCGCAGCCTTCCAAGACGACCCCTCAAGTCTGGCATCGATTTGAGACTCGGGGCTCGCAGGCGGCGTGAGTAGATCGCCGTGATTTTGGCATTGATGCTCTCGAACTCGTTGATCAGGTACCATAGCACGATGGTGCCCGGCGGGATCGACATGAACACATCCACAACCCAGTTCATGGCTCCGGGATCCAGGAACGAGGTCGTGATCTCCGAGGACGAGGTTGGTAGGTAGTTGAGCAAGGCCACGGCCGATCGCAGCGCTCCGACGGCACAGAGACACATGAAGATGGTCTGCTTGAAGAGGTTCTCGAGCGTGTGCATGTACGGCGACCATATCAAATACGGTAGGATCAGAAAGGTGCACCCCAGGAAGATGATTATTCCGGCCTGGAACTGGTTCTGGGCGCTCCAAACGGCGATTTCCATGAGCAAGGCTTTGCCTGCAGAGTGACAATGCCGACCACAATAACGCAAGTTAGCAAGCGATCCACACCGACGTAACAGGGCCTGTATCAGCTCAGTTCCGTTTGCAATGACCTCATAGCACGTCCGTATCGACGCGAGTAGAATCTTCGTCGAGTGCACCTGCATTCGGGAAGCACCATGCGGTCATATGGTGGATATTTGTGACCATTACGCACCCATGTAGTCGAAGATGAACAGCCACATGAACGAAGGCTTGAAGTGATGAAAGAACATCATGTAGACCAGTTTGTCCAAAGCAAACTGCTCCGCGGCCTCATCCTTGTTCGAGTGCCCCTGTCTTTGCCGCCTTTTGTATCGGCGAGCCTGGAACCAAAAAAAGACCGGCAGACCCACAAGCGTGGTGACGTTGATGATGGCCGACACGATAGCGATCAACAGATGTCTCCCGACAAAGCAAAGTTCTGATGGGCTTGAGCGCATCACCAGCGACCGCGATCCGTCTGGGAACAGCACACTCGTGCACGATAGGGCGTCGAGTGAGATGTTGATCAATGGAAAGTAGGCCAGCTCGGCCAGATGCAACGCCGTCCACTAGATGGTAGGAAAACCATTCGATCGTAACGGATGTAAAGTCAGTGAGGAACCTAACTAACCAGAACGGAAGAGCAGGTACGAAGGCGAGGCGCATCAGGGAGGATCGTGGCTCCAACACAAGGTGCCTCCCGGGAGCTGCGATCTGTTTGAGGTCACTGCAACGATTGCAACCCGAGTCGGGCGATACCAACGTATACAGATGTCCTGAATGATCGCCCACGCAAGAGTCTGCGCGGCTGGCAGGATGAGTTCTTGAAGAAAATATCGACAATGTTCATGACTCCAAAGATGATGGACATGATCGCCATGATGGCCAAAGGCCAGAGGTACCTGCGCAAGGTTCAAGATTCCGAGACCAGCGAGTCGTCAGTTGCACTGCTGGAAGATATCACCAGCGCACAGTCTATCTATCCACCCCGTGCGCGATCAATCGATTCCGAATACACTCTGCGGCCGAAGGTACTATACTTGAGAAGACTTTTGAGCGAGCCCGACACGGGCAGGATTGCGAACGAGGTCGGAATGTCAAAGTTGAGCTGCTCCCGTGTCCGATTCAGTGTGTTAGCCTCGGTGATTCATGTATCAGCATTTGCTTACTTGTAGTACTGCAGCCGCCATACGCGAGAGATCACTCGCTCATGCGGCTCAACGCACTCACGCTAAATGCCCGGAGATAGAGCATCCATCGATCGGATGTTGCTGAGGTGAGAGCGGTCCCCTATATAAATCAGTACCGACTAGTCACTACACAGCCAACGATTCTATGATCCCACAGCCACAGAGCCCATCCGCGCCACTCGATCCGCCCGTATAACTCTGGTGTTCGAGGAGGGCAGAGATGCACACCTGCAAGAAAAACAAGAGGCTGTGTATGCCAAACAACAGTCAGCTATCTGCACATGCCTTGACAACCTCCCCATCGGTACCAGTGCGTCCGAGCAGCCAGAGCACGTACTCATTCATCCAAACCACAACCGAAGGCGGTACGGCCATGGTGAACAGAATATAGAATATCGTAGCCAGCAGGATGATGGCTATGAATAGACCGGATTGGTGCGGGATCCAAGGCACTGACAAAGATCGGATGGCAAGTTCAATTTGGAGACAGGTCGTGATATGCAACGGCACTTGCTCTGTTCCGCGGAACATGCCAAAGAACTGGCAGAGGGCTTACCGCACTCATTTCCCCAAAAGTAGTACTGGAGATTGCAGGTGGTATCAGCAGAGCGGCCCGGACGATGGCACTCTGGCGAGATAATATGACATGGCGGACTTACGTTTGGTTCGCAGGATGCGCACAAATACCCAATGGACTGTGGAGCACATATTTGTGTGGCGTTCAGGGCGCACGCTAGCCAACATGAGAGTTGAGCGGTTGATGTGTTGGTGTTAACGATGCGTGATCGTCGCTGCTCGTCACTCACACAAACGAAACTGGAGCGGGGCCGATGTGCGGGCAAGCCATTACCGCCGTTGACACAGCACACCCCATGAACGGGACAAATCTGGAAATACAGCGCTCCAGAGGTGCTTGTGGCCTGCGAGTGATTTCAGGGTGAAGGATGCATCAGCCGAATGAGTGTTGTATATCAAGCAGATGGCGCCCTATGGGGAAATACGATTATCCATCGTTCACATCCATGAAGGATTCAGGATGTGAACTCGGTGGAAAGAGCGTATGCAGCACTTCCTATTCATTCTCATGCCTATTGGACTGCATGTCCACCTGCGCAAAAGCCGAAATACTTGACATCCTAACCTACCTCGTAATAATCGGCAAGGGCGGATATATCGGCCCCGCCGGCACAGTTGGCACCTGTTTGACAGGTTTCAATGAGGTTAGGCAGTTTGCGGGCATAAGGCTTGAGTGACCAGACTACATCGGATATTCGGATAGAATATCCGAGACATACTACCTTTTGGACATGCCGCACATGTGGCACTAGCCCCCAAGATACTATATGTGCCTTTTTCGCAAAATGTGCACTCCTGACGCAAGGTGGCATCGTCGATTACGATTCCGTATCCGGGTTGGCAAACTGAGCAAGTTTAGCGATGTCCACATTTCGAGCAAGATCGTAGATAGCGAAAGTTAATGATGGATCCATACCTGAACGACACCGAACCGAGCCAAACTAGGCCAAGTCCAGCAATGTAGAGTCGACTGGATAGCTCACACAGTTTGCTAACGAGTGGCTCAGCCATTCAAGTGGTCCTCATGCTTACCGTCCTCAACCACGACATCGAACAACAGCCACGATAGCTGGTTGTTGTAGGGCGTGACACCGGAATGAGCTGTCGCCACAATGCTAAAGTTTCCGTGGTTGTTGACGATGGACAGATAGCTAAAGTTTGCACTCCTTGAAGCCGTCACGATGGCCTTGGTGGTCTCTCCACTCACAGCAACTGCGGTGGCAGAGGAGATATTCTGGCTTGGGACTGCGTCCACGTATATAATCACAGGAGAGTTGACCATTTGTGCTGGGGCGTGCAAGTTCAATAGGTTAGTTCGGCTTGTGGACCCAGTATGCGATCAGATGAAGAACCAATATGTGTGCCTTCCAGGCTGAATTGAATGAGCAGCAGCGTCGGATTTGACGCATCGTGCACATTACATCGCCGAAAGTGACCATGGTGACTTGGACAGGACACTGCCACAAGCCAGAATGCTTGACTCTATAACGTGCGATTTCTGTCTGGAATGAACTCCCACCTGCGGTCTGACCGAAAGCATCGGCCGCCTCGACTGCAAACCAGGGGATTTCCTGGTTCAGTCCAACGACGATCGTATTGGTGCTCATATCCTGGGATTGGATGCGCAGCTGCATGGGTGGGGACCTGAACGTGACAACTTCCAATAGAAACTGATAGGTCTGTTGCAGCTGAAATTGTAATGCAAATCCAATATCTGCGATGAAAACCTCGCCCGATTCTGGAGCAACGAGGCTTGTAGGTCGCTCGAGCGAGACTGTGGCTGGGTTTTGAATGTAAAGCATGCTTCCGGATGGGGAGATCGGGTTTCGGACTGTGACGGAATGGTTGAGGAAGAGCTGCGGGCCCCCAGCTGCGTACACGAATCCGCCACTGGACTGCGCGTTCACTCCATCCATCAGTGTGCTTCCTCCTTCTGAGAACGCAAGGATGCTTTGTCCATATATGAAAATTGCGCCTCCGTTACGACCGGAGCTGCTCTGACGGATGACGTTGCTGCCTGACAAAGCAACAATCGTAGGCTGGAACGGAGTGTAGGTGATGATCTCTGCAAACCCGCCGTCGAGCTGTGAGCTGCATGAGTCGAAAACCGAGTCGCGTAACTCCAACATGGCGCCAAGACCAATGAACACACATCCTCCTGAGGCAGTGGCCGAAGAATTCGTAAACGAACTGCCGATGATGTGCGTAGTAGTGATGTTGTTGGGAAAGCTCACTACGGCATTGATCACGACGCCACCAAACACCGTTTGGCTGTTCTCAAAGGTCGAGTTGATGACATCAATTGACGAGTCTCCAATATCGAAAAGACCGCCTTGGGTCGCCGACGTGCAGTTGATCCCAGTGACGTTGTATATATACATATATGATTGAGATTGAATCGATGCTAGTCCGGCATTACCGGCACTATTGCTGTTATAGACAACAGAGTTGAAGAGCCTTATCATGTTGGATGCCCACAGGTAGTACGCCGCGGCCTCGCTGGCGGAGGAGGACTCGTTGATGTAGATGTTGTCAAAGTCGACCTGTGCTCCCATATTCAGAAAAAATGCCCCGCCGGTGTCGGATGAAGTGTTTGTGACAGTCAAGTATTGTAAGACGGACGGATTGAACGAGGTGTTGGCTGAAAACGGCTGCTGGAAAAATGCTGAGAAGGATACGACGGCGCGCCCAGACACACAGTTGCCGAGAGCGCTTATAGTCAGTGTCCGATTTCGAGAAACATAGTGGTAGTCGAATTGTGTGCAAAGTGGTTCCTGCTCTTTGAAAAATATGAGCTGATCCCCAAGATGATGCCAACCATCATCAACGAAGCAACAACCGTGGAAGATCTCCGGTGGCGTGGAGTCATGTCAAGGACAATGAGACATCTACCACTGCAGGCCGTTTGTAGGCAACGATACTCACCACATCCACCCCAAGCGACCGCAAGGGTATTCATGCAGCTCCCTCTTGTCCATCTAAGGATCGACTGTATGATGTATATGCCTCCTCCGTTAGATGCCGATGCGGTGATGACATGCACGTTCGATAGATATCCGACAGAGCCGTATCCCAAGTAGAGACATCCACCATTTCCAGATCCAGAGGTCTTCAGACATGTAAAGTTGGTAAGGGAAAGCGTGCCAAAGTTGGTCACATATATCGGGCCTGTTCCTGTGTTGGATGCAATGTTGCTCATTCTCCCGTTACTGATGGTGAGAATCCCGGGGGCATATGCTGATCCCCAGTATGTGATTGCAGCTCCGTTCATGGAGTTTGTATTGATGTTGCTGACCGACAGGTTCGAGAGCTGGATGTTGAACGACCCGTACAGCACCATCTGATGGCACGCAAGGGTAAGTCCAAAGCGCTTTCAATTGCAACATCGGGTTCATTTGCAGCTAGAGCCGTGTGGATGCAGTGCCTCTAGACTTGCAACTTGACGGAGAAGGACAGACCACACGAACCACACGGACCACACGGACCAGACAGACCAGACAGACCAGACAGACCACACGGACCACACGGACCACACGGACCACACGGACCACACGGACCACACGGACCAGACAGACCGGAAAAATCCATAGCTTACCACGACCCCGAGTTGATGGCTATCGATAGATGGGCTGAGAGTGATAGAGTTGTGAAATACCAGATCGCTGCCCGTCGCAGTGGTGCCGTCGTCAGCCTTGATCAGCGTCACATCGAGATATAATGTATCTGTCGTTGGGCGGCGACGAATCAGCAAGTCGGTTAACCGACGCGGGCTATTGCGAAGAGAATCTCGGGACCAACAGCTACCGAGCCCACAAGGTTCAGACCCCTCAAGGAGCACATGATAGGCTCGAACAATACCCAAAAACTTGACGGTGTTCATCGTGAGCGAGCCCCCAGATTTGATCCAGAGCTGTCCGTCGCCGAGTATTGGTTGATGAGTGAAGCGGAATTCGAGTCAGTGTGATCGTCACATACATCCCAAATTCCGACGGCGATGGCAACAAGAGCGGAGACCCGAGGGAGCAAAACAGTCACGATCGTATTAATCAATGGGCCATAGCCGCTGAAAATGTTGCTGAGGTGAACAAGCCCAGTTATCAACACCGTGCGAAAAAGACTCGACGCCGCGATACCCTCCAAATACAATCAAGCCACCCGCGAAAACAAATCGCGACTTACGACACCCCCTGGGTGAAGCTCGGCGGTGTTTTGCACGTTTGCCATCGACGGGAACTGGGTGGCATTCGTGGGATCGCGATTCCCAGATCCACGGAAGGTGATATTTCGCAGAAACAGGTTGCCATACACGATAATTGGCGGACTGAAATGCAGTTTCTTAGTTGTTAAGCATTCGGAAAACAGTCGTGATCTGTATCTCGCCCCAAAACCTGCATGTGTCCCTGACGATTCTAGCACTATCCCTGTTGCTGCACTCGGGGCCGAAACCGGCGCCGTACATACCAGTTCACCAAGATACAGTTGGATATCGAAGCCGAGCTGCCCGATGACACAGTGAATGTATCGTGCATGTCTGGAATCGTGTTGCTGCACACCAGCGTCTGGTTTGGCGCTACAAGACATCCGGAAACAGGATCAAACAATGCCGTAGCATTGCGAACGAGCACCCAAACAGTTGCCGCCACGATCCAAAAGCATGTAGACGTGGACGAGCCAATGGCTGTCATGGTCGTCCCAATTGCTCTTGCTTGCAGTCTCTTTCCTTGGGCGGCCAATATTGCGGGTCAAGTGCGACACCCGCAGCTGAGCGCTTGGGATCAGCAGGCCCGAGTTTCAGCAATGCGTGCCCAGGATACGAGAGCAGAGTGTGACCCCGTCCGGTTGGTCCGGCGTGCCAATCACGAATGCACAGTTTGTTATCCCTATCCATTGGATTCATTCCCAAATGGCTATCCAGGCTGTGGTCAGCCATAGCCTTGCTCTACAGGAAGTATCGATCTATGATTGAAGCACGTAGCTCAATCCAAGAGCAGTGTATTAGCACTATAATTCTCATTTGAACTGAGCCACGATGCAGTGTGCTTCACATCGAATAGCCATCGGCTCAGTTCTAGGGCGTGACGCATCTTCGGGATCGACCGTATTCAGAGTCGGACTCTTGCGGGTGCATCTCACTCGCTGCGTCTACGGGGATCCGCATCCCTAATCTTGATTTTGCGTGTGCTCAAGCGCCGCTCAATCGTCTCGGCATGCGCTGTGAGCGCCGGTACATCCAAGCTTGTCGCTTTTTTAGGATCCTTCAAGTTACATCGGTCCTTGTCGATATCGTCCAGTCTCCTACCGACGCCAGACTTGCTAATGGAGTGCTCATCGCTCCTATCGTCTTGACCAGCCTTGAGTTTTGCCACCAGCGCTTTGCCCGCCCGTGAGTCCAGAAATTGGATTGAGAATAGCGTACAAAAAGGCGCCGCCATGAATATGAGCACAAATATTTGGATGTTGTCGACTGAGAACATGCTGAGGAAGTCGTCGAGGTCCTCCAAGTTTTGCGCATAGAACTGGATGATTGATGAACATGATCTCAGGAGCCCGACGGCACATAGACTCATCAGGATGGCTTCTTTCAACAGGTTCCTTGTCGAGACTGCAAAGGGGCTGAGTACAACGTACGGAACCAGCAGAACAAAGCTGTTGATGAACAGTATCACGCTAGTTTGATAGGCATTGCTGGTCGCAGTAGACGCAATCGTAATCAGAATGGCTCTGGCTGAGGAGAGTCAAACGGTCAGGCACCACAGCCCGAAGCAGCCTTCGGAGAGCTACTCGCTAAAGCAATTTGTTTCAGAACCTCGGTTTCTCACTCCAAAGCAGCACTGGAGACTTACTAAAGTGACTGTAAACAAAGATCCAGGCATGTTTCGCCCGTAGCTCTGAAAAAAACATGTAGTATATCAAATCCAGAAACGAAGCTGCGTTGGTGAAGCTTGCTTGCGCCCCGGCCTGTTGCAGGCGCAGCCTCATCGAAGTTCTTCCGATGAACCATATCAGAAGAGGGTAGACGATGATGGTGATTGCAAGGACTGTGATTGCGATGGCTGAGGCTGTGACGTGGCTTCCCGTAAAGCACTGTTCCGATGGGCTTGAGCGCATAAACAGCGATCGATTCCCGTTCGGAAGCGTCACTGACACGCAGTTCACTATCCAAAGCGACATTGCTATCAAGGGGACGAATGAAATTTCGACCAGATGCAGGGTACTCCACTATTTTGAAGTAAAGAGGCGATGCAATCAGTTTATGCAGCAAATACGGTACGGCACGGACCGATACTGGCCAAGAGATCTTGGTATTGGCGGAGAGGAACAAGACTTGATTGAGGCAGGAGTTCATTTCCTATTGCTCCATCATCGCGAGCACCTACCCGAAGGGCGGATTTTATAGATCGTCCGTGGCACCAGAAGCGTGGTGTGGTCGCTATGCCGGGAACAAGCACATCGACTACTTGCACAAACAAGTTAAGGAACACGACGAGGCCAAGAAGCAGAGCGACCCATGTGTACCTTACCATGGAGAGTGATACATGTCAGATAAATCGACAGTTCACAAGGAAAAGTCCTATCCGAGGCATTCAAGTACAACGAGTTGTGCACATGACTGAACACTCACTTGAACATCCCCTTGAGAGAGCCAGACAAGGGCACAAGAGCTGCCGATGCCGGAAAGTCCAGATCGAACTGAAAAAAGCAGCAAGATGAAGCGAAATGCATATTAAAATTGATCCTCGATGAGATGTTTGGCCCTTACTGCCGATGACCTGGCGCGTAAGCCACAATTCGAGTCGCGCAGTAGCATACACGAAATATGTGCAAATAGGTCATCCAGTCATCGGATCCATATGACATCAATGAGCACGCCTGAGGAAATCGAACAAACAATGTCAGTAACTGACTCCCATTCAGTGGATAGCCAGGCCCCGATCGAGCCACAGCCTCAAACTGGCTCATCATTGGACAATAGCTTGATGCCATCAAGTTCACCAAGCTTGGAGTATTCACGAAAGATCTTGACATATGAGTATTCGCGAGAGACTGCATCAAGACCGACCTGAAGGAAAAACCAGATGCTACCATGAAGTAGGAACAAAGTCATTGAGCGTAGATATATTAGCAAAGCCATCGATCTGGGTATCGGAGTCGGATGGCATCCTGGATCGCTTGCCGATGCACAATAATAAGTGTGTACATACTCGTTGATCCATCGCAGGGGCTTTGGAGGAACCAGAATGGTACAGATGATGTAGCCAATCGATCCCAAGACAATATACACCGCGTAGTGTATAGATTCTTCTGGGTTGTATGGAACTATCAAGGTATAAATCGCGCAGCCGTTTGTTAGCCTCAGTGCATATATGCTCGAGGGCGGACCATGCCGAATATCGATACAAATACCAGATACTTACCACATTTGTATCCCCAATAGTAGCTCTTGCAGTTTCAGCCCGATTTGCATTCGTATGCACAGTATCCAATCAGCCATAAAACCGTAACACAGCACTCGATACTCGAAGCACGATATCGGGTGGTACACTCACAGACGCCACACAATCCGCACACAGGAATCCGGCCATATTCGCCGAGCAGACGTCCGAATCCGATCGAGCGCAACCTGTTACTCGAATGCACAGAGAGGGGTAGTAGACGCATTAGTATCGACATCCATATCTGCCTCAGCATTTGTATCGGCCCAAACATCAATATCAACCGATTTGTCGATTCGGACGATTCAACGCTGTCGCTCAACTTACCCCCGCTAACACAGCACGACTGAGGGAGTGGACAAAGTTGAAAGTACGGTTGCCCACGACTGTCCATCGACTAAAGAGTTGGGTCGGCAAAGTTCAGTCGAGTGCACAGATGAAATAGATGACGGTGCCGTCATAGGGCAAGACCATATCATCGCTATGATTCGCTATGATTCGCTATGATTCGCTATGATTCGCATCTAGCCCTGCTCCAGCCACATGATACACTGCAAATATACATGCCTGATAGTAGCCTGCCATGGCTTTGATGCCGGATCCACCAAGGCAGACAGCGCCTGCGGACCACATCCGAGAACGACATCAGCTTAGGAACATATCCAACACTGTTCTCGGTGCCTTCCGGATTCATATCATACCATCTGGGCACGCCAAGCACGGCTGCTTGGTGGCCGCGATCGAGTATGTTCCCTTGCTGCAGAGTACGCAATTCTGGGATATTCCTGACGCCACCATTCCATATCCAGCCTCGCACACTAGAATCGTCGATATTCAGTTGGGTAAATGAGACAAGGCGAACAAACCCGAGTCAACTGCTGAAAGAAGTTATGCACCATTGCAGCCGATACTCTGTATTGTGAGGCCGGACCTGTGATGAAATATGAATGCCAGCGCCGCAGACTCCACCAACTTACCGTGATCGACCGTGACATTGAAAAGTGGCCATGACTCAACACCGTTGATGGGAACAATACCAGATATTAGTGCTGCGATGATACTGTAGTTTCCGATGCCGGATTGGATCGCCAGATCGGTGAAGTTGACCAACTTGGACGACGTAAGGATGGCCTTGGTAGTTTCGCCAGACAGCGGCACGGTCAAATTTGAATTGGAGTTGACCCAGGACGAGCCATTGGTCGCACGGATAACCATGATGACAGGCGCAGCCAAGTTTGTATCTGCAACCGGGCACAGTGAGCATCAGATGATTGAGAAGATGGAAGCCCATTTCCAGCAATCGATATAGGCTGCCTTGGTGATTCAGCGGCACTTGGTTGCGACTTTGAATCTCTGCCGACCAGCGGTGACGACGATGGAGGAATCCATCCAGTTGTTCAAATAGCAGCTACCCGATGAAGTGTGGTATTACCTGCAACGTTTCCGAAGGCGTCTATGGCTTCGACTGCAAACCATGGAATCAATGAGCTCAGCCCGATACTCTGCAAGGGGGTTGTCCAGTTCTGGTTTGACGTCCTCAGATACATCGGCTCCGATTTCATATCGAGCTCGGATGAGAGAAAGCTGTATGCAGGATGCTGCTGGAAGCTGAGCGCAAACGGGAGATTCACAACAAAAAAATCGCCAGAGCCGCGCAAGTTGTCTTGCGGATGGCTGATCGTCAGATCCATTCCTTGAACGATATAGAACGCGCTGCCGAGCTCAGCAACATTGCCGCCAAAATAAACTGGATGGTTGATGATGAGGGATGTTTGGCCACCAAGGAAGATAAAGCCACCGTTGGCACTGGCATTTGAGGCAATCGACGTCGTGCTGCCGCCAGGCAGAAAGGTTATAACGCCTGTGCCTTTGACATAGAGCGCTCCGCCATTGTTTGCTGTCGTGCCTTCGATCCAATTGATGCCGGCAAAAGTTAGATTACATCGGCTGACTGGATCAGTACCAATGAGACCTATGGCTCCGCCGCTTGTCGCGACACAATTGATTAGAGAAGAATCTTGGAGCACGAGCTGGCCGCCGTATGCCACGGCCAGACAGCCACCGGTCTCGGTGGTGGAAGCCGTGTTGATTGTGGAGTTGATGACGGCGAGCGTATTGGGGCGGTTGGGATGAGAGGCTATATACGAAAACACGGCACCTCCCATGCCGGTTAGGGTCGACGTGTTGAAGAAACGACAGTCAATCAATGTGCTGTTGGAGTCTGTCAAGACAATTGCACCGCCGTCGCCTTGGGATGTGCTGGAATATACCGAGACATTCTGGAAAGTAGCAATCGACAGCTCCTGTATGGATGCGAACCCGCCTTGCCCTCCAGACAACACAGTGTTGAAGATTGAGTTATAGACCTTCATCACGTCTCCTTGCCAAAGATAGAACACACCGGCTTCTTGGGTGCTATACGATCCCTCGACATCAAGGCGGTTGAAGATCACCTCGGCATTGATGTTGAGGAAGAATGAGCCGCCTGTCTGGGCAGTCACATTTCGGACCATGACGTCCTGGACAATCGATGGATTCACAAAGCCACCCAAACCGTAGGGCGACTGTATATAGCCTGTGGGTTGAGAACGGGGCAAACACAGTTACGGTACACATCACGCAGACGCTGCAGCGGGTTTGCACATCAGGAGCGACTTGATAAGCATCATGCCGAGCCCCAAGGGGTCGCAATGGCGGCCGGCTGGCTGCCGAACAGGGGCCTCACATCAATTCAGCTCATCCAACGTGTCCACACGCCGTTGGTCATAGCTTGCTAGACTCAATGCGCAATCTGTCCGTCTTGTGATGTTGAACATCGCCTTACCGCAGCAGCCCCAGGTGTCGGCGATCAGGTTCCTACAGGATCCTCCCAGCCACTTGACCAACGCAAACTCAGTGAAAATGCCAATGCCGAGCGATGCGTGGCTGTTGGCGATGTGGAAGTTGGTGAGTATACCGACCGATCCGACCTCGAGATAGACACAACCTCCACCAGAAAGCGCCGAGCAGCTGAAATTCGTCATAAACATTTTGGCGTTGTGGGTTCCAAAGAAGACCGAGGAGCCGCCTGACGAAACAACATTCCGGACCGATCCCACAGTGATGTTCATGGTGCCTTGGCCATTGATGGCTCCCCAGTAGGTCACGGCAGCGCCATTTTTGGAGCTTGTTGAGATGTTCTGGACCGAGAAGTTTGTGATGTTCACGTATACTTCGCCATAGAGGACCATCTGGCGGGGCATCCGATGTCGGTGAGGGCGGTCATGGGTTTTGTCGAGGCAGCAACATTTAATGGACTTGGCTTGATCCCAGCATGTGCAGGCGGCGCACTGCCTCAAAAGGTCTATGCTTACCACAACGCCAAGTTGGTGCGCATCAATCGCCGCATTCAGCGGAATGGCGTTGGAAACGTGCAAGTCATGGGCCGAGAGAGATGCACTCTGGTCGACTTTGACGAGGGTGGTGTCGAGATATATGGTATCTGTTGCGAGAGAGCAGTCAGAAACGGCGACGACTCAAGGCCCTTGATGTTCAAGGGGCATCTGGAATTACCTCGGAGCGCCACCGCCCTCATCGACGCTGAGCCACCGGACCGAACCCAGAGCTTGGAGAAAGTAGTTGGCGTGGAAACGAAGGTCAGTGCGATACTCACAATTCGATCGCGTTCCACGGATGCATCGAGTCGGCTTTGGCAAGAACCCTCGAGCACTTGCGGCGATACTCACCACGGCCCCAGGATGAACATCGGCCGAGAACTGGACACCAGGGACAGTCGGGAACAGACTCGAGTTGGACGGATCGCGTGTGCTGAGACCCCGGAAGGTGACATTCAGCAAGCTCAGGCTGCCATACACCACGATTCGCGGACTGACTCCCGAGACGGCCGATGCGGGAGGCATAAAAGCGAGTCAGTATCAAGCCGGCGAGACGTGAACAAAGCCATCTGTGGGCACCCACCAGTTGAATAGGGTGCAGTTGGAGATGGTAACGGTTGTGTTTGCGGGGACGGTGTACGAAGCCGTGGTATTGGGAAGCCGAGGGTCGCAGACCAAAAATCGGTTGGGGCTGGCGGCGCATCCGGCGACGGGATCGAAGCCCTGCGCTGCTAGGCGCCCCAAGAGAGCCACGAAAAGCAACAGCCATAGCGCAGAAGCGGCTGTAGGCGGGATTAAAGGCATCGTGTCAGCCCAGCAGAGAACAGATGGAGGAGGCCCGCGCACAAAGCGGTCTGCAATGGCATGAAGCAGGAGGAACACCAGAGGCAGATGAGCTTTGGAAGCCCGCGTTTATTTTACTATGGCGCCTTTCTTTGGGGTTGGCGGTAAGCCCTGGGATATGGCCATGAGGAGCGGGCTGCGGGGTGAGGGCACCCATAAGGATCGCAACAGAGGAAATCAGGCCCGGTCAAAGTACAGCCTGACGACCTTGTCGACCTTGGGGGTCTTGACGTGGATGATCTTGATCTGCTCGGTGCCCTGGATCTCCCAGGTGGCCGAGATGACGACTCCCTTGGCCTCGTTGCGGTTGACGATGCTAAGCTTGCCGTCCTCGGTGAACTTTGCGACCGTCAGGAAGGCGAGGCCCTGGTCGCTCTTGATTTCGCGCTCCTCGCCATCGCAGACGATGACGCGGGTCTTGAAGCCGCCGATGGGCAAAGGAATGTTCTCAGTGATGCTCAGGCCCTCCTGGACGAGGTTGATTTTTGGCGAGAACTTGGATGCGGCCAGACGCAGGAGGTAGGGGACCTCCTGGGCCTCGAGGATGACCGAGTTGTCATCGGACTTGCTGCGGTTGAGCTGCCAGTCGCCAGTAAAGTCAACGGTCGCCATGTTGCTGGATGGGTTGTGTGGAGGAGGAGGAGCAGAGGCAGCAAATCGCCGGACGTCCTCTGGCGGAGACGCACATATAAACGAACGGCGACTGCGCTGGTCCCCGGATCTGAGGCTGGGGCACGGGCACATGTGAAAAGTGTGGCTTGCGGCCCATTGTATGGACGCATTCGATCAGGCGGCTGTCTGGTGGCCATTGGCCTTCCAAAACGCACGTGAACTCGACGATCTGACGGGGGCTGGCCAAAAAAACCAACCGGATTGGCATGGCAGACGGGGGCGATGCAGGAGAAAGCCTCAAGAGGATGGTACCCTGTATTCAGGGAGGAAATGGGACAACCCATTTGTCAGCGTAGTATGCGACGGCATGCGTCTAACTATGCCATAAGAAATAGAGCAGATCACTTTGGCAGCCTCCGAGTGAAGACCACCGGTCGCAGTGCAGCGATGCGGAAATCGAGGGTGCTGTGTTTGGCCATGATTGCGATGGGTGGGTGGGTGTATTCAGGTCACAGAAAAATCTTGTCATGGCTCAAAACGGGGTGTCCCATTTCATTTTGGAAACGCTGTAATCCAAGAGGAGGGCCGAGTCGATGACACTGTCTGGAGGGAGAAGCTCTGGGACAAGATTGAAGAGCGCACCCCATGTACGATCACCCTCAGGCTCTTGAAGGCCATGTTCGACGATGTGAAGATTCAAGTCGTTAGCAAGAGCCGTCGGTCCAATCCGGTCTGGCTGCACAAGGGACTGATCCAAGGATCGGTGCTGAGCCCGCTGATGTTCAGCGTGCTCATCGACGACCTCCCTGGGAAACTCCGGGCAGACGGTGGAACGACCCTAACCACCACCCGAGGACGAGCCGTCCAGGTCAACTCACTGTGGTTTGCCGACGATGGGGTGCTCATCTGCCGCCCCAACCAGACCCAGCGCCTCCTCGACATCTGCGAGGCCCACAGCATCGAGAATCGATACCAGTTCTCGCCCCCGAAGTGCGAGGTGATGTTCACCGAACAGCACCCAGAGAAGGATGCCAAGGTGTACCTGTACGGCAAGGAGCTGCCAGTCGCCAAGGAGTTCCGGTACCTCGGAGCCATCGTCGACATCAACGGCTTCAGGATGGACCGCCAGATCCAGAACCTCACCCACAAGGCTAGAGGTGCCGCCGACAAGCTGGTGAAGCACGAAATGAGTCTGGGCCGATACTCGGCCAAGACGGTGACGAGGGTGTTCAAAACCTTCGTTCGGCCCATGCTCGAGTATGGACTGACCCTCGAAGTGCTCACGAAGCAGCAAGCCGTGATACTCAGACGAGCACAGATGCACTGCCTGACCCGACTCTTCAGACTGGTGCGGAACACATCCTACGGAGCGATGCATCTCGGATGCGGGCTCATCACCCTGCCCAACCGCCTCAAGCAGCGACACGATTGTCAGGTCAAACATCGCGCCAGGATCAATATCGCATCCTTGTCCCGATTGAGACAGTCCATTTGTCATCATGACAGCTGGATACCCTCCAGATGATGTTTTTTTTTTTTTTGTTTCGGTAGCGCACTTTGATACCCTCCAGATGTATGGACACTGCAATCCCCATCCGCCTTAAAAGCAGGCCGCTTCGTCCCTTTGCCCAGCCCTCAGTCTTCCTCACCTTCCGCACCATCGATCCGACGATACCCCCGGCTATGCTCACCGCCACCAGCAACCAACTCTATTCCTGCCCTGCCCACGGCACCGACCACGATCTGTTCCTCTCATACCGTGCCCAGACTGATGCCGACACTGTCCAGGCTCTGAAGGAGGTGCTCACCTCGGTCGCCCTCCGTCGATATGGCAAACCCCTCTCCGTCTTCCACGATGTCGACTGCCTCAACAATCCCAGCGACCCTCCAGCCAGTTCTATCAGTGCCCTCCCCACCAGCAAAGCCGTCTTCCTGCTCCTCAGCAAGGCCTCGATGGACATGATGAAGGACAAGACCAAGAATGGCCAAGAGGACAATGTAGTCCTTGAAATCAAGACCGCCCTCGATCTCAAGGATGCCAAACGCTCCCTGCCTGTCCTTCCCCTCGGTATCGCCACCAAGGAGACCAAGGATGGTGTCGATGACTTCACTCCCTTCCTACCGTACATGGTGTCCCTCCCCGACGACCCTGCCTTTGCCCCCCTCAAGCAGACACTCGGCAGAGTGAACCAGATCCAGTCCTTTGGCTTCCGTCCCGACCAGATGCACAAGCGAGTCTACCGCCTCCTCAACCTCGTCCATCCCATCCCACCCAACATGGATCTCATTACGGTCATCCATCGTAAATACTTTTGCGACTCCAAGTTCCGATTCGATCCCGCCCACCTCGACACCCTGCTCAAGCAGCTCACCCTGACTGGCCGTGCCGTCATCTCTGGCATGGGTGGCATGGGCAAGTCAGTCCTCGCCGTCCAGATCCTGTTCTTCATGATGGGCATTATGAATGCGAGCAACAAGGAAGACCTCCTCGCCATCAAAGCCGAGACCATCGGCATCAAGCCGCAGTACCGCGAGGTATTCTGGATCAACTGCTCGACCGAGTCCACTGCTATCGATGGCCTCATCGACATGTTTGATGGTGCAGTTGAACCTGACGAGATCAAGGAGCATGCCTCAAAGTTCCTCGCCAACACACACGGCTATCTCTTGGTGCTCGACAATGTCGATGACATCGGTGTGGTCGACTCTGTGTTTGAGCACTCCAAGTCGGTCGGGTTCAGCGGCGATGTGGTGGTGACGACCCGGCTGGCCTCGCTGCCTCCTGGTGCATTCGCCATTGCACTCAAGGCCAAGATCCCTGGATACAAACATGACCCACTCCGTCTGGGCAACTGGGACGACACAACCACACTCGACTACATCATGTCGTCGTCACCAATGATCGTCGAGAGACTTGTGTCGGACGAAGCCAGGAAATCCCTCGACAGCATCGTGGCCAAGATCAGCGGATATCCACTCGTCATCCAGACATTCATGACGTTTGCCGAGAACTACGACACTCCCCTGTCGGAGCTCGAGGCCACGTTTGCAGGAGCATTGGAGCTGCAGGATGGCGAGGACGACACGCGGTCGTCGCTCAAGGTGATTGTGGATCTGTCGCTGGACTCGCTGATGAAGCGAGGGGATGAAGGTATCGAGGCAGCCAGGCTGTTCGGTGCCCTCAGTCTGGTGGCGCCGACCAACATCCAGTTTGAGTTGATCAAAGCGATCGCACAGAAGATGGAATTCAAGACTGAAGGTGAGTTATGAGTGGATCGAAGTGCAATCAATGGTGCCAGTGCATGGATGCATGGAATTGATCAGTTTCCTGTCCACAGTGACCGATCTGATCAAGATGATGGTCCAGAGCGGTCTCCTCCGAAGTGGAGCCGAGGGACAGTACTCGACCCACTCGCTCACCCAGCAAGTGGCTCGAGAGTATGTCCAAGCACACGATCATCTGAATGCCGAAGAAATGGAGGATGCAACGGGCAACACACTGCTCGGGCTGACGAACTCGATGGATCTCAAGGCACAAACCTTCGCCGAGCATCTCGATCAGTACGCCGGGGTGACAGTTCCAGATGTATATACAAAGGAGTTTCATCACCATATCGAATTCCAAGTTGCCAAATTGGCCCAAGAGAAGCCACTCTTCGCCAAGGCCATGAAAGCATACAAGAGGATTTTGGAGCGATGTGTAGTGCTCTATGGCACCCACGAGCATCCCTTGGTTGCCACGACGCTCATGAATATGGGCTCGGTGGCAAATAGCCAAGGGCGCTTGGACGAGGCACTCGCCTTCTATCAAGAGTCACTCGATATCTATGTCAAGATCTATGGAACCCGCGAGCATCCCGATGTTGCTTCAGTCCTCAACAACATGGGTGCAGTGGTAAGATCCCAAGGACACCTGGATGAGGTCTTTGCTTTATACCAAGAGTCCATCGATATCATGGTCAAGGTCTACGGTACCCGCGAGCATCCCGATGTTGCCACGGCCCTCAACAACATGGGTAGTGTAGCAAGGGACCAAGGGCGCCTAAGCCAAGCACTCGCCCTCTTCCAAGAATCCCTTGATATCAAAGTCAAGGTCTATGGCGCTCGCGAGCATCCCGATATTGCAACGACTCTGAGGAATATCGGTACTTTGGAAAGGGTCGATGGTCGTCTGGACGATGCATGTGTCTACTTCCAAGAGTCCTTAGACATTTATGTCAAGGTCTATGGTACTCGCGAGCATCCTGATGTTGCCGCGACTCTCAACGACATTGGTGCAACTGTCTATAAACAAGGACACCTGAAGGAAGCGCTCGCCTTCTACCAAGAGGCACTCGATATTCGAGTCAAGATCCATGATACTCGTGACCTTCCTGATGTTGCCGGAATCCTCAACAATATGGGCGGTGTGGCAAGAGACCAAGGACGCCTGGGCGATGCACTTGCCTTCTTTCAAGAATCGCTTGATATCATGGTCAAGATCTATGGCACTCGCGAGCATCCCGATGTTGCCGGAATCCTCAACAATATGGGTGAGGTATCAATATCCCAAGGACGCCTGAGTGAGGCACGGGTCTTATTCCAAGAGTCCTTAAACATTTATGTCAAGGTTTATGGCACTCGCGAGCATCCCAATGTTGCTGCAACCCTCAGTGGCATGGCTAGTGTGGCAAACAAGCAAGGACTTTCGAAAAAAGCACTTGCCTTGTACCAAGAGTCCCTTAGTATCATGGTTAAGATTCATGACACTCGCGAACACCCCAGCATAGCAATGATCCTCATCGGAATGGGCAAAGTGGCAATTGATGAAGGACGCTTGGGTGAGGCCCTTGCATTATACCAAGAATCCATCGATATCATGATCAAAGTCTATGGTACCCGTGAGCATCCTGGTATAGCTTTGACCCTCAGCGACATGGGTAGTGTGATGAGTCTTCAAGGTCGCCTAAACGAAGCACGCGCCCTCTACCAAGAGTCCCTGGATACGACGGTCAAGATTCATGGCACTCGCCAGCATCCCGATGTTGCCACGATCCTCAACAACATGGGTGACGTGGAAAGATTCCAAGGCCGCCTGGACAAAGCACTTGATCTCTTCCGAGAGGTGCTCGAGATCAATGTAAAGGCTTACGGCACCCGTAAGCATCCCAGTGTTGCAACGGCTCTCATCAACACTGGAATGATATTTATTGACCAGGGACGCCTGAGCGAGGCACTCGCCCTCTTCCAAGAGTCCATCGACATCATAGTCAAGATCTATGGCACCCGCGAGCACCCCCTTGTTGCACAGGCCCTCTGTTGCATAGGAATTGTGAAATTTCAACAGGAACGCTTGGACGAAGCGCTCGCCTTCTACCAAGAGTCACTCGATATCTCTGTTAAAGTCCACGGCACCCGCGAACATCCCGATGTTGCACAGGCCCTCAACAACATGGGTAGTGTGGCAAGTTCCCAAGGACGATTGGGCGATGCACTTGCCTTGTACCAAGAGTCGCTCCATATCATGGTCAAAATCTATGGCACCCGCGAACATCCCGATGTTGCACAGGCTCTCAACAACATGGGTAGTGTGGCAAGATCTCAAGGACGATTGGGCGATGCACTTGCCTTGTACCAAGAGTCGCTCCATATCATGGTCAAAATCTATGGCACCCGCGAGCATCCCGATGTTGCTCGAACCCTCAAAAGCATTGGTGCAATGACTGAATCCCGAGGACTCCTGGACATTGCCTTCGCCTTGTATCAAGAGTCACTCGATATCACCACCAAGGTCAATGGCACTCGCCTGCACGCTGATATTGTCACGATCCTGAGCGATTTGGGAAATATTGCCAGCAAACAAGGGCGCCTGGACGAGGCTCTCGCGTTTTACCAAGAGTCTTTCGATATTGCTGTTCATGTTTATGGCACTCGTCAGCATCCCGATGTTGTCAAAACGCTCAGCAGAATCGAAGAGATTTCGAAATTCAAACATCCTGTTGATACAACAACCGAACTTGATCTATCCTCAACACCCCAGATGGTCGATGTCCAAGGCACCAGCACCACCCCTGATGAATTCTCAAACCTGATACATAAGGGTGGCATAGCACTTCTACAAGGTCGCTTGGTGAGGGCGTTCACCCTCTATCATGATTCACTCGATAACGCTTCCAGGATCCATGGTACACGCCAACATCCTGATGTTGCCAAATCCCTCGAATTCATGAGTCTGGCAGCAAGGTCCCAAGGACACCTTGAGGAAGCTTTGGCTTACCTCAAAGAATCCCTTGACATCAAGATCAAGGTCCATGGTACCAACCAGCGTGAAGATATTGCATGGATGCTCCACCAGATGGTCTATTTATCGAGAGTATTGGGTCACACAACCCAGGCTCTCCAATATGCCAATCAATGTCTTGATATTTACCTCAAACTCTATGGTACCCGTGAGCACTCCTCGGTGGCTGGCATCCTTGATGAGTTTGGATGGATTCACTTTCTTCAATCCAACTTCGCCAAAGCACTCGAATACCACACAGAGGCCCTCGATATTGTCACGAGAATCTCAAACGATCCAACAAGAGCTCAAGAGGCCGAATTCCTCGTTGGCTGTGGTGTAGACCTGATCCAACTCGGCCAGCTCGACGATGCCCAATCCAAACTCGAGAAATCACTCGAGCTTCTCAGAACCATCCACTCCACGACCGATAATGCCTCTGTTGCCCATGCACTGTGTTGGCTTGGCGATCTTCGTCGACTCCAAGGAAACGGCGACGATGCCCTCATCCTCTATAACGATGCCATGTATATGGTGAAGCGACTGTCACGACCTTCAAACCCAATAATCATTCCTCAAGCTCTCCATGGCGTTGCAATCATCCAAAGATCCAGGAAGCAGTTTGATGCTGCTCGGGATTCCACAACCAAAGCCATTGATATCCTTCTCGAGCGTGCTCTCAATCATCCATACCTTCAGCAGATGAAATCCTTCTCTATCGAACTGGGCAAGGGGATTGGATCAAGTGACAGCTCGAGCTAGTGTTGGTTGTTGGGAAGATGTGGATCGGCATAGTGCGGTGACGATCTAGTAGTGTTGCTGCCGCTTCGCCGACTTGAATACATCAGTCGCTACCTCTCAGTTCCATTCGGCTCAGCGGGCGATATATACCACGCAAGTTCAATCAACAGCGAAGACGAGGGAATAGATACGGTCATCATGGGTGAGTGGGATTGAAACGTGGACAAAGCTGAATATGCATCCGTCAAGGAGTTCCTGGGTTATCGATCGTATATTGGGCCTCCATCTCGCTGATTGGGTATTGCGAGCCAGCCGAGAGGCGCAAGGCCTGCTCCGATCTCTTGCAGTGTGGGGTGTCGGGCATCGTCAAAAGCCGCCTGGTATTCGGCCCTGGTCGCTGGGTCTTCGAGCTTCCTCAGCGTCCATTAACTCGGTCGGCATATCAACCAAGATATCGACGACGACGCCATCCTCCGGTATCGCAAGTCCGGCAACCAGGGTTACAACACGCCATCAGAGGGATCAGGTCTCTTGGCGAGTGGCCCTGGTAAGACTTTCCGACGGCCATATCGCCCCACCAAGTCCGATTCTCTCGCTGCAAATGGGAACAATTACACAAACACAACTCGTCCTGCTGATTCGATTCGATACTACCCTCTGCTGCCGCCGCACTCTAGCTCGGCCTGAAATATTACGGCTTTGGCCATAGGCGAGACGCGCTCTTGGTCTCGCAGCAACGACCTCCGTGGTCGGGTCTCAGTTGAACGTAAGCGGCAGAGACAGGTGGAAGCTAATGCTAACATTCACTTGGTACTGAACCACTGTATCTATACCATCGATTCAATCGATTGTATTACACGCCAGTACTTTACTCGGATATGTTCGTATTCTTGTTAACGAAACCACTTGGCCAACCCTTTGGGTCGGGCGGCTTCAATCCTTCTCGCCTCTTCGGCCTTTCTCGCCTCTGCTTGGGCAATACTCTCTGCCTCAGCCGTTTTGGCTTCTTCTGTCAATCTCGATCGCTCTTCGGCAATTCGGGCTTGTTCTTCGACATGGGCTGCCACAGTTGGATCAGCATAAACAGCGGCGGCGCGCGCTTGGCTCTCGGGATCGGGCGAACCACTGAGATATCTGGCGAATGAGAGCTGTGTATTCAAGCTGTGGAGGTACATGGGCTGCTGAAGTGTTAGTGAGGAGTTGTGTGGCGTGGAATGCGGGAGTGGCTGGGCTTACCAAGATATGTCGAACAGCCTCATTACTGGGTCGACCGAGATACGGCGGAATCTTGGTGGCGTGAACACCGTGGCGGATCCACAGTGGCTGGTTGTCCCAATCGACTTCGACCCACTCGGACGAGGAAAGTGGCACTTGGCGGGTGGACGGCGCGACAAAGTTAGCTGGATTCCCTGGGGAGCGGACATAGTCGCTGCCTTGGCGGACCCAGACCATTCGGCTGTCGTCCTTGAATTGACGGGAGAGAATCGATTTGCCGTCGACCGAGATGACCACTGAGCTTACGCCATCTGTATGTCCCCTGAGGGTGTGCATCAGTTGGCCCGTTGTGGCATCCCACACCTTGATTGTCTTGTCGCTTGATCCAGAGACAATCAACCTGCAGTCAAGCGAGATGGCCACAGAGTTCACGATTCTCCTGTGCCCCTTGAGGGTGTGCTTGATCTGAGCAGTAGTGGCGTCCCAGACTTTGATGGTCTCGTCACTCGAGCCAGAGACAATCCATTTGCCGTCGGGCGAGATGACCACGGAGTTCACCCACTGGGTGTGTCCCTCCAGGGTGTACTTCAACTGGCCTGTTGCGGCATCCCACACTTTGATTGTCTCGTCGCTCGAGCCTGAGGCAATCCACTTGTCATCGGGTGAAATTGCCACAGAGAGCACTCGGTCTGTATGACCCTTGAGGGTATGCTTCGGTTGGCCCGTGGCGGTGTCCCAAACCTTGACGGTGTGGTCACTTGAGCCAGAGGCTATCCACTTGCCATAAGGCGAGATCGCCAGGGAGCGCGGCCAGCCTTGATGTCCTTCGAGGGTGTGCTTCACGCTGAAGGTAGCCGTGTCCCAAATCTTGATTCTGTTCCGTACCCCACCATCCACAACTGCCACAAATGTGCCATCGGGTGAGATCACCGAGTTCATTTCATTTGCTCTGTGATTAGTGAACGTATTCTTGATCTGCCCGGTAGTGGCATCCAGATGTTTGATCGTACAATCGTACTCGACCACCACAATTGTCTTGCTATCGGCCGAAATAGTCACGGCGGCAATGCCAACGTGCCTTGTTAAGGTTCTCCTTAACTTGCCGGTAGCGACATCCCACAGCTTGATGGTTCCGTCATTGATCCACGAGACAAACCAGGCACCATCTTGTGAAACAGAGACCCAACCCACTTGTTTTGTATACGCTTCAGTCGATTGGACCGGGCTGCCCCAGGTGGGTGCTGGACCGGCCGTGACCAGGAACGGGATCTTGTCCTCAAGTTGATCGGCATATGTCTTGTAGATCGCCGTCTCCTTCGGTGTGAATGCATATCCCGAGTTGTACACCTGTGGTGCACTCTTGATTATTGGATCGGCAAACTCGCGGATGAATCGATACGTGTCCTTGACCAGTTCCTTCGTGGTATCGTCGACGACGGTGCTGGGTGCCTTGTCGATCACTCCTCGGAGCACAGCCAGTTGCTCGATGATCGACTTGACCACATGTGTGAGCGACCCACACTCGAGCCAGTAAAAGGTGTGTGTTCTCACAAGCTGTGACAGAAGGCCCGCCAGTTCGGTAAAGATCGAAGATTCAAAGACGTGTGTGGACATGGCAGCTTCATCCTGGATTCCGTGAATGAAATGGGTAACCCAGTGGGCGACACTGTATCGCAACGACGGTGTGATCTTGGCTGCGACCCTGTCCTCGAGGTCAGGGATCTTGTCGTGAAAGTCGTAGATATCGCAGATGTTGATCACTGGCTCCTGCGCCAGGATGCGGGACAGACAGCGGGTGGCAAGGACGAGGTGGAAACGACTGAGTACATGAAATGGCTCGCCCAGCGATGCCTCGCCCAGCAGGAACGAGATGACAGTTTTGTGATCAGCGTGCGGGTTTGGCACGTTGTCATCACTGCCCAGTGGGTTCAGAACCGGGGCCAACAGCTCGACCACACTTATGACAGTGTCGAGAGGGATACCAAAGAGGTCGGCAATGACCACTGGGCTGGTTTCTCCCGCTGCGAGTGTGATCGCGGTCACGACGACTCTGGTCTCGACCGGGTGGAGGAGGTCCCCAAAGATTGCTCTGAAGGTCGCGAGGAGGACAGGTGATTTGGCTTCGTCATCGAGAGGTACTTCCATGGGAACCAAGAAGGATAGGCTCCTGTTCCCCCTGCGGATGCGCTCGGCAAGCAACATGGCTTCTTCACTCTTCCGTGCGTCCTCACGTTCAGCAGCCTCCTTTCTCTTCTTGATTTGGTTCTCGAGGGACTCGAGTTCATTCAAATAGCCTGAAATGCTGCCAGAGGATTTTGACGCTGCTGAGTTGCTGGACAGCTGCGGCGTGTCTGTGCTGTTGTCCTGGCTGGAGCTGACTGGGACTGGCGGCTTGCTATACAAGCACGAGGGTATATCTCCTTGGTTTGCGACAGCGGGATCGGCGAGTGGTGAGATTCTTGAGATGCGAGGAGGAACAATACGACGAACAGAGTCGCTTTGAACTTGCTCTGGTATAACTGTGACTGCTCCTGGAGCGGCGATTGCAACAACAACTCTCTCTTTCCAGTCGCTGAGCCGAGCCATGACGGCAGCGATGCCTGGGCGCATGGCGGGATCTTGGTGCCAACACAGTTCGATCAGATCTCGGATGTCGTCGGGGATACCATCGAACTGCTTGGGGCGAACTCCTCGAAGGACAAGACGCTCGACGACACTCTCCTTCATCTGCTGGCCATCGGCGGTGACCCAGATGGGCTTGCAGTCGTTCATGACTTCGTAGACGATGATGCCGAAGGCGTAAATATCGGTAGGCATCGACGACCCAGCCAGCGTTTCTTCATCGAGCATTTCGGGCGCCATATAGTCAAGAGTGCCGCCGGCTGGCTGATCGCGGCGGGCTCGGTTGGCGGTGGTCGAAGTGTGTTTGGTTCTGGCCATGCCAAAGTCGGTCACGACGGCGTGATATCCGACATCCAGCAGCACGTTGAGGGACTTGAGGTCGCCGTGGACAATGTTATTGCCGTGGAGATAGGCCATGCCCGAGGCGATTTCGTACAGGAGGCGGACCTTCTCGCTAAGAGGACGGGGATTGGGTGCGGTGACAAAGTGGTTGTGGAGGGTGCCATTGGGCATGAACGGCGAAACCATGAAGGGTTTTGTTGCGGTATCGCATGCACCGAGGAGTGGAAGGACATGTGGATGACTGAGTCTGTGCCAGATGCCGATCTCACGACCAAAGTCGGCGAGCTCGTTCTGGTTGTAGCCTCGATAGAGCTGCTTGACGGCGACAGGGGCGCCATAGTATGAGGCAGTGAACACCTCGCCAAAGCCGCCGGCTGCTATCGGATCGACCGAGCGGCCGGTGATGGCATCCTCGGGGATGTACCACGGTTTCTCGGCCATGATTGAGGCAATTGAAATGGTCGGTGGCCGGCGAAAGATGGACGGGGCGACACCTGGCTGGAGGGCCGGCTCAAATCTTGCGTTTGCCACCCAGGAGCAGCGCCACCGACTCTTGGTGGCGGTGATTCAATGGACAAAGGAAATTGGCGAAGCCACACTCGAACCAGCCTTGTGCTGTCGAATGCGGGGAGATCTCGCGAGGCTTGGGAGGCACCGCCACATCGGCTTGTCGCTGGGTGCTTGGCCAGCCGCGGAACCCTCGACCAGATCGCCCGGACATCCTGATCGAGTATCATATGATGAATCGCGAGAGGCATTCTCTAGTGTTTCTCGAAGTCAAAACCGCTTCGTTTCTGTCCCTCGACACTCCAGAGGACCACGGGTTTAGATATTCCCATCGCTTACGACCCTGCTTCTGGATACAACACTGGGAACTCTGATACCTTCCCCTTTCCCTGTTGCTCCGCTCGCTCTCTCGCTTTGGTTGATGAGCGTGAGAACCAGCATGAATTGGGCTTGGTGCGATCCCAGAGTGAGGACACAAGGGATCGTTAGCGATCCAGAGAGCCGCTCCTGGCCTGTCCACAAGCTTCGTCGCATAGTCCACTCCGATGGACACACCCGACGAGGCTGCCGATACACTTACAGATCGTAAAGACAGATCCCTTGAGATAGAGGTACTTTCGGTGGTTGACAAACTCGGCCACTGCACATCCGCAGACGACCGAGCCCAGCACCGTCGACCAGCAGATGCGCCAGGCTTCCTTCCGCATCACCTTGGCCGCAAAGTTTTCCTCGGCCGAGATCTTGGCCCCCGACTCGAGCGTGGCTGCCCTTCTCAGTGTGTAGATCATCGCCGCTGCCGCTGCCACCTCAACCAGGAACCAGTAGCCGTAGAGCAGTATCAGTGCAATAGCCGAGCCGCTGGCGCTTGCATGGCCGGAACAGTCGCCTGTGTCGGGTGGGATATCAGCTTCGAACACAGCCCAAGCCAACCCGAGTCAACCTGAGCAGCAGTGTCGCTTTCGTTGATGCCACCCGGTTCATCCAACGAACGGCAGTTGAACAAAGCATGGCCGGCACGCAGCCTACGCACCCGATAGATTGTAGGACGTCCAGATGTATGCATGATAGAGCAGCAGCGACAGCCCCGCGGCTGCGAAAGTTATCTGGACAATGCGTGCATGTCGCATCCGCGGACACGAAATCAGCGTCGCTCGCCAGGCTATAAAGCCAAACTTGAACATGTCCTGTCGCATGAAATGGGGCCGAGTCGCGAGATTCAGTATATGGCAACAGCGGAAACGACCCGCATCGAATGGCCAAGCTCGACCTGGCAACGCCGCTGGATAGCCAAATGTCACCTTGAACGAGAATATCATGTCGCTGGCCCAGTAGAGCCATGTCGTCTGGCAGAGCGATGCCGAAGCCCACATCGGAGCGATCCAGACGAGTATTTCGGCCAGGCAGTCGCAGTACACCATCAAGGTGACGAGACTGCGAAAGTCTTTCGTGTGGATCATCCACCGGTCCAAAATGATGATAATGAGGAGAGCGCAGAAACTCGGAAAGCCCGAGTCAGTGTCGGTTCGGTTCAAGACAGCCAGGGTGGCAGCATCGTCGATGGCGGTGGCGTTCATGCCAGATGTCGAGCTCTGTGGCGGTTGAGCCGGGAGTAGTGCTGGTGAGAATGCAAGCCTTCCACCGATGCAGAGCAGAGCAGAGCAAACCTTTGCATGTTCTCGAACCTGTGTGCGATTGGTGTGGATGGTATCCTCGGATTCCTCGTGCGAATGTGACGGAGCCGATAGCGGAAAGCTGGAGGCGAACGGGGAGATAAGTTGCCCTGCCAGGGAGAAGAAGAGCGGATGAGCCGCCGCCGCGCCTAGATGCCAGTGGAAGACGGAAGCTGTGACGAAACAGAAGAATCAAGCATCATCTGCCGCGGCCGGATTTGTGGCAATCGTTTGGTGACAATGCTGCAAGGGACACCTCGCCATTGGCTTCAAGTCTCGACCAAGTGGACAATGCTTTGGGTCTCGGTAAAACTACAACGAGATGCAGTTGGCTGCGTTCTGAATAGGCTGAATCAAATCTCAGGGTCATCCAGACACAATATCCCGAATCAGAGACAGCATTCCCGCAACGCCTGTATCGACCACCTCACACGACAGCTGCAACGAACTCCCCCAATCATGCCGGCTGATATTGGATCTGAGTATCCGATTGCGGGTGGATATGGTCGGTACACCGCAACTCGCCGATCACATTATCGCCACAGCCAAGACCACGGGCGCCATGTCCAGCTGATCATCGCCCAGTGGGAGCCAAGGATGTTCCGGCCAAGAAGAGCTCGCTATTGGAGCTCAACTGTCAAAACAGTGATGTAAAGCGTGTTGGAATAAACTGCGGGGCACGCCATCCGTTCTAATCGGATCATATCATACTCGGCCAGCAACGATCGAGTGGGCCAAAGCACCTCCCTCGGCGTCCGTTCCATGGAGTCTGTCCACGACCCCGATATCCCCTCGGCCGAGTCGACCACACCAGTCAACCCATAGTAGCCACCCACTTGCTGAAGCGTCCCGTTTCGTTCCAAATGTGCTGCAATGACCCGATGGGGCACCATTGAATGGATTGGTTCAAGCGACTTGTTCTCTCTTGATTGAGCTGGGGGTGGGGAAGGTGCGTCTCGCTGAGGGAGAATCAAAACAATGTTTTGGCAACATGACTGCACAAGGAATGGAAGATAATTACTCTAGAATACAACAGCACGGTCGAGGAAGACGAGCTCCTCGTGCGCCTTGATCCACTTCTGCAGCTTCTGGGCGATCGAGATGGCATCGATCTTGGTTGCAAATGGATCTAGAGTCACGTACAGCTCGCTCTGCTGGGTGATCTGTTTGTCATGAGGGTGTAGGAGGCTGTTCGTATCAGCGAATCACCAGCAAGTAACCGTCCGAGACATTGGGGCCGAGAGGCAGCCACCCAAATGGCGCTACCAAGGCAGCGGCTTGACGAGCGGACGAAGCTGCTGATCGTCGCATTTGATAATCCGCACTGGATTGCCATTCGCGCCCGCACGGCTTGCCACTTTGTCCAGGCGGCACCACCCTTCGCCCGACGCAAGACTTACCCATGCAAGAACGGACTCGGACTCTGCCGCAAAATAGCCGACCTTGACTCCAAACGATGCCTCATTCGACCTGGCGTGTGAATACTGATACAGTCTCAGGAGCCTTTCGTAGTCGCTGCTGTTTGTGTACGGCGGATTGCGGCTTGCTTGGATGTACTGCATGAGGGCCTTGGATTTGTACACAAAGTGACGCAGGCCGGGGATGCCGACGTCCTCTGTAGTACCGGGAAATGACAGCAGCATCAGAGCAGTCGGGAGCAGAGCCATTCAGTGGATAGCATCGCTATGGGCGACTCTGACACCCGGATCAAGCACTTACTCAGAGAGTACGTTTTCTCGTACAGCGAGCCCTCAAGCTGGTCCGCGAGTCCCGGCTGCTTGCTAACTCCCTCGACGATCTCGTCCTTGTAGGCGCTCATGGAAAAGAACGCATCGCGATCGTTGGAGATGAGGACGAGATAGAGCTCGGAGCTACCGATGAACGAGACATAGGCGTGCAAGAATCCACGCGAGTGGAAATGCGGCAGACAGATCGGTGTCCAACTCTCAACCGACTGGAAGGACGTGGAGCTTGTGACCATATTCGTAATTAGCCGAATATCTGGGTGGAGGCGGGTCAAACCGAGGCCGTTAGCGTTATCCAAACACAGAGTGGCAGCATTACGAGCCACGCGCGGAGTGAAACTCATGCCCCAGACAACCGGCTTTCGGATACATCGATACAGCTCGCTACATGCCTCGTACCTGTCGGGTGCAGGGTATGCCGCTTTGGTCGTATGAGAGTAACAAGGCGGTCCCCGGCAAACATGGCTCCAAAGAGCAGGCTCTGATCACAGCGGAGGCATTGGTCACCAGAAAGTTGGAATGGCGTTCTAGAGCGAGTACTCAATGGGATGCAGACAACTCCCGCTTGCTCGAGATTCGTGCACCTCGTACCTGTGGTACATTCGCCGAGAACAACTTGCCAATCTGCTCGCGGAGGCCGCGCTCCATTTTGACGCATTCTATCGCCTCTAAGCAATATCCAGGACTCTGCAGAAACTGATCGGCCATGTTGTCGAAAAACGTCTCGGTTCCTGTGTGGAGAGATCGTGCTGTCAGCATTCGAGACTGGAAGGAATCTATGTTGGCAATGGCGATCAAATGGCACAACGGCATGGACCCGAAACCACAGCAAGGGCCACACACCCATGAGCAAACGCCTCAGATCGTAGTTTTCGCGCTCTTTGAAGATTTTTTCCAGTTGAGACTGCGTCAGGATGAACAAAATCTGGTTGTAGAGGTGCTTGAGCTGGCGTCGCAGCTAGGATACAAAAGTGGTACGGTGAGCAAGATATGCTCGGACAGGATTACCCGATGCACCCGAATATCAATAGATAATATCTCGGCACCAACAGGCAATGCCCTGCCACGAGTAGTGACTGTTCGAGCGGAAGTGGCCGGCATTCAGTACCGAGGACCAAATCCACAATTGATACCAACGCAGTCGATATCAACGCCGCTCTGTGCTATGGAGATACTCGATACCTGTGTTTCCGATTCGCCCGTCGACGAAACCGCCACAAGGTACAGCGGTCCGCCTCGCAGAAAGACGTATCTATGGGTGCCGGCCTCGACAGATCTGCAATCACACAGCGACAGCCACGCCGTAGAGTGAGTTATCAGGATCGTCCACATGCATATGACTCCACTCTGCGACTACGATCGCACGAACAAGCCGACGGCAGACAGACAGACAAGGCGTCAAAATAGGCTGCATCCTTACTGCAGCTCATCGTCGTCGGTGGAGTGAAACGAGAGGATCGCCTGCATGACGCCCATGTGGCCAGAGAGCTTGGACTCGTCACCGTATCTAATGACGCCGAGACAAATGCACGGACGAATCGCAAGTCATCCGTCAGAAATAAAGGCAAGCATGAATACCGTGCACCAGCCACGATTGACACTGGACAGATTGGCGGTGACTATTTGGATTGCATGGGTGAGTGGGAGGGGGGGACAGGGATGGGGCAATATCAGAGACCCAAGCATTACCGGCAGTAGATAGGCTTGCCCGCATGGCTGAGGATGAAAAAGTTCTTCTTGAAGTCCAGTCTCTCCCCATCTAAAGCCAACGACCCAGAGGCGTTACGAACCACAGGGGAGATAGTCGAGTTGCCCGAGGACCAGGAAACCAGAAGGTCCCTCTGTGGCGGCACAATCGCCCCAACACCTGTTGCCTTACCTGAGGCCACAGCAGTGCGCTTGGCGTCGCTTTCACTCGCACGGTTGCTGGAGATCATCGATGACATGCGCTTGATGGACGTCGATGGCGGCGGCGGCGGGGGCGGCTGGTCTGCATCCAGTCGATGATGCAGAGTATTGGAGTGCGGCATGGGCGATAGGGAGTGGCGGTGCGAGATGCGGCCAAGGGAACGACGCAGGACGGAGAGCAGTAGAGCCGGGACAGATGCGTGAGTGGGAAAGAACCAGAACCGATAGGCGCAGGGCAGGGCAGGGCAGGGCAAGAAGGCCGACCGCAAGGGGAGGCTGGGTGGATGGTGGCGAGCGGCAGATGGCTGGCAATGTCGCCATTGAGACCATGCGAGTTACGGGTGCGAGCACCCGCTGGGCGCTCGGGCTAGATCGGAGCGAGCCAGTGTCTATGTATCGGCGCCGACTCGTCCCTCGAATATCCAGAGATCCGAGTGCCGGCAATACAGATGCCCCTGAGGTTTTCGGCAATCCAGTGCCAGACGGAATGCGATCGAGTCCGTACCAAGTGCCGGGTCGCGCAGCAGGGGCTCGGGAAGATCGTACGTCGGACTCGTTCCAAGCGAAGAATTGATCGAATCATGGTCGTTGAGGCTTGCAAACGAGTTCACAAAGGGATGGTTGTGGAGGCGGTTGGGCCGCTGAACAGGGCTTTGGATGGGGATAAGCAGCGACGCGGAGGAATCCGAGGTGTTGTTTTGCGGTGAAGATGACTGCGAATTTGGCAGCGGCGAATGGCTCCGGCTCTGCGGGTGGATGTTGATGGTGGGGGCAGAAGGTGCTGGCTGTGCCCTTGCCCACGACGACGACAGCTGGGAGGAGGGTGCATCGGCAAGTTGCGACTGCGGCTCGAGGTTGGAATTGATTGCCTCCGAGAGCAGGCTGACGAGGACTGGCGGATGCTTCTCGGTCATGCTGCAGCGGGTGCGCCGGACAGCGGGCAGAAGAAAGGTCGACGACTGTCAGGCCACGAGGAGAGAAAAGAGCCGCCAGAGACGGTGCTGCCAGGGCTGCTGGATCGTGAGGCCAAGACGAGACGACGAGAGACAAAGCCAGAGCAGGAGGGCGATGGATGATCCAGGAGAGCGGGGCTGGTGTGCTCCACTCCCACCCACACAGGATCGCCACAACGCCGATAGCTCGCCAGGAAGGACAGAAACGCAGACCAAAACGGCGAGCCAGCCAACATGGGGTCATCCATCCATCAGCAGCAAGCTTGACCGACACTCAAATAAACATAGATGCTCTTTCGGTCATCGGATGAATGTATTGTTTTATCGGTCAAGGAAAGCCAGAACACCAGCAATCGACGGCATCGCGCATGGAGCCTGCAGCGGGAGGAGGTTCCATCCAGGTGGGCAGGAGCAACAATTCCGTAGCCGCAGATATCGCGAGAGCGGAAACGGTGTCCCCGATGAATTCATGGTTCACGCCGTCCAAGTGAATAGCACATTGGCAACGAGAGCCGAGCGGTTGGAACAAGGAGGCAAGGAGCAACACGGGAAGGAACAACCAGACACGACGAAATAGTTAGACAGATGCTGCATGCACGTAAGACTGGATATCAGACGGACAGCCGAGTCGGAGAGTTGGAGGGAAAGGGTAAAAGCCCGATACGACATTGAGACCGAGGACTGGTCTGCCACAGCCATCGACATGAAGAATGGAGCAGGCGGCAGCCGCACGATGCAGCGAGAGCCAATGGGGGTGCATCCAGACAGCATTGCATGGCAAATGCATGGCAAATGCATGGCAAATGCATCTTCCCCATCAGCGGGCAGCGATGCACAGCAGCGGCAGAGTCAGACTTACCACACACATGGACATGCAGGTCCGCCAATGCCAGGATAGCCCAGACTTGCCAAAACAGCACGAGTCAACAATTCGCCCATCCGATTGACGCGGGTAGATTTCGTTTATGGGGAGGATTGCGGGAAGAGAAACCAAGATGTGCTCATTGATTCATCCGTCGTCCGAGGCCAACAAAAGTCAATGAGGAATATCACGCAGCGGAGCTTGGGCTGAAGAGGGACTGGAGGTTGGTAATATTCTCTCAGGAATGCATCCGCTCCCCCGTCGGCAGGATCCGTCACGGCCGCCAGAGCATGTTTACTGCTGGTACTGCTGGCGGATCTGGTGGTCGTAGGCCTTGAACTTGAGGTAAGTGGCGTTGTGGTGGGCCCACCAGAGCTGGGCGAAGCCGAGTCCGATGGCGACGGAGGCAACGACGTCAAAGGTGATGCGCTTGGTGAAGGCGCCGGTGATGCGGGGAACGGCCATGGCGACAGACGGAAGCAGAGGCGGGGGTTGCAGACGAACGACGATGGAGCGAAAGAGCTGGTGACGAAGGCAGAAAAACGCAAGAAAAGCGTCGGGCGATGCCGAAAACGAAAACGAGGGCGCGACGAGGCGAGACGGCGCTGCTGCAGCTGTGGGCGACGCAGTCAGTGTGCGCACCCGTGCAGGCGAGACGCTCTCGGTGCTCCTCGCCGGCGGATGAAGGTGAGTCACGATGCGACCGAATGCATCCGGCTCGAGTGCATCCGGCTCGAGTGCATCCGGCTCGAGTGCGTCTGGCTCGGGTGTCGTGCCGGTCACGCGCACCAGGTGCCGCCACGTGCCGCCAGCCCTGGCCAAATCCGCCAAACCAGGGAGCGCGCGTGTGTGTGTGTCCTCTCGCCCACGCACACACACACACGGCGCCAGGCCCGCTGGTCGTCTTGGCCTGCACCAGAAGCCTTTCGGCCTCGTCCTGCTCGTCCTGCTCGTCTGCGCTTTGCCGCCGTCCAGACCGCATCGCAGCTCGCCCTCGACCAGACCGCACCCGTCGCACACCACAGCCTCCCGTCCGCCGCCATCATCCCTCCACAGCCATGCTCTTCACCATCAAGACGCTGCTGCAGAAAAAGTTCACCGTCGAGGTCGACCCGAGTCTCTCGGTAAGTCTCCCGGATGCCCCGTTTCCCGACCGAGATCGCCGGTCTGCCAGGGCGAGCTCTTTCCTTTCCTCTTCTTGATGTGCCCTGTCCGTCATGGGCCACCCGCTTGCTGCTCGACAAGCTTCGATCGTATATGTCGGCACCGGGCTTTCTCATTTCGTCACTCGATATCTGACACCCTCATGACCGAACCAAATAGGTCCTCGCCTTGAAGGAGGCGATCGAGAAGGCCGAGGGCTCCTCCGCCGCCTCGCAGAAGCTCATCTTTGCCGGTACCTTTCCAGCCAGCGCTTGCATTCAAGGCGGCCGCTTGCGCTCGCTTACATCCAAACCAAAGCCACAGTTTTCTTGATCCGATTTGCGGTCGTCAAGCTCCGGCAGTGCTCAAAATGGACTGACGCATCTTTTCCAATCGCCCATAGGCAAGATTCTCGCCGACGACAAGCCCATCGCTGAATACAACATCCAGGAAACGGATTTCATCGTGGTCATGGTCACAAAGGTGACTCATCTTTGCTGATCATTTCGCTCGAGGCACAACGGACCGATCGATCGCTGGCACCTCCAGCCAGAGCACAGACGGAACTTTTCCAGATTGCGATGGTGCAGGACACCCCTTACGATCACAGACGGCCCCAAGATTGTCCGCGCTCGGCTTTACGCTGCTCACTGGACGATGATCGACTCACCAACGTCCCATCCATCCATCCCCTGCCTGCTTGCAACTCCATATCTATAGCCCAAGGCCACCACATCGTCCGCAGCCGCGGCTCCAGCACCAGCCCCTGTGCCACGCCCTGACGCAGCCCCGGCCCCGGCTCCAGCTGCAGTTCCAGCTGTAGTCCCTGCTCCTGCTCCTGCTCCTGCCTCGGCTCCTGCTTCGGCTCCTGCTTCGGCTCCTGCTCCGGCCCCAGGTCCTGTCCCGGCTCCTGCGCCCCAGGCCGCCGCTGGCGCTGCACCTACAGACGCCGCCGTTGCTGCCTTTGATGCCTCTACCCTCGGTAGGTTGATGGAGACTTCAGCTATGGGCAGCGACTGGATTTACCTTATCGGCAGGCTGATCGACTGAGCTTTTCACACGTTTCTTCCCAATCCTTAGCCACTGGAACTGCCTACAATGCCGCCGTCAACAACCTCATCGAAATGGGCTTTGAACGGACTCAGGTCCTGGCAGCCATGCGAGCCGCCTTCAACAACCCCGACCGTGCTGCAGAGTATCTGATGACTGTATGTGCACCAGGTCGAGTGGGATGCACTTGACGGCACGAAGGAATGATGACAGCCAGTGATTGGTCGCGACCAGGATCAGGATCGGAATCGGAATCGGCCATGACCGAAGCAACCCGACTGGCCTGGTCGTTCGACTGTCTGTCTGCTTGTCTGTGCTGCAAGGTGGTGCATATGCCCATATCCGCCTCTTGAAAGATTCCCGGAGGTGGATAGCTTTGCTTCGCTTGCCCCCATACTCATCTGACCCGGTCCATTTGACGTTGGCATTGACAGGGTATCCCCGATTCAGTTGCCCGCGAAATGAATGCTCCTCCGCCTACACCCGCTGCCTCTGCTCCTCCCGCTGCAGGCGCCACAGCCCCAACGGCTCCGACAGCTTCGGCGCCTTCGGCGACTCCTACGACTGCTGCCGCCACAACCGTTGCTGCCGCTGCTGCCGGTACTGCTCCAGCATCAGGTAACATGTCCGTGCCGTGGCCTCGGTCGACAGGAGGAAAGGAACTCGCAGAGCCTGAGCTAACAATTGTCGTGACAATTCCTCGACTTTTCCCAACTCTACCTCGCCCTGACACGGCGATGTGTCGGATTGTGTGCTTCTCTGGCAAACGGTTTTGCTGCCCGCTCTTGACATACTGCCCCATGGCATGGAACACTTTGCTACAACTGACGTCATCGCTGTCGACCATCGCAATGCCGCGACCGCCCCTGTGCCGATGCCAACAACGACCCTTCGATGCTGCTTCACCCCCACGCTGTCATCTGAGTCACCTCAGATGCCCCTGTCAACCTCTTCGAGGCTGCTGCCCAACATGCCCGCAGCCAGCAGACCGCAGCCGCTACGTCAGACAGCAACTCGCTGGCTTTCCTGCGCAACTCCCCCCAGTTCCAACAGCTTCGCCAGATGATCCACGCCCAGCCGGAGCTCCTGCAGCCCATCCTGCATCAGCTCACGCAGTCGAACCCACAGCTCGTTCAGGCGATCTCGCAGAACATGGATGGATTCCTGCAGCTGCTCCAGGAGGGTGCCGACGACGACGCAATGGACACTGGCGCTGAGGGTGGCCCTGGTCCTCAGTATATCCAAATCACTCAGGAAGAGTCCGATGCCATCGACCGGGTAAGCTGGCGCTACTGCGAAGCGTGTGTCTCAAGCGTTTATGGTGCCTCACCGAGTGCTCTTGTTTGACTACATCGCCGCCCACACGCCCGCGTTGGCTGATATCGCTGACACTCGCTGCCGCCGCTTTTGATTGTCTGGCAGCTCACTGCTCTCGGATTTGATCGGGCCCTTGCCGTGGAAGCCTACTTTGCCTGTGACAAGAACGAAGAGCTGGCGGCCAATTACCTCTTTGACATGAGCAACCATGCCGATTGGCAGTAATGTGAATCGGATGGGGCTCTGGCTGCCGGTCTCCTCTCGCGCTTCATCGCCGCATCCGCCCCTTGCCAACACTCCCAGCCGAGTGCCGCATTCGAGCGACTGAACTCATGGATATGTGCGCGCCAGCCGGACGTTCCCTGTCAAAAATGAGTCCGTGTGGCTGAGCGAATATGAATTTGTGTGAATATAGTCTTTGGTGGTATCTGCAGTATATGAGGGTCTGTCTCGGCACCGATACATATCGATCGGGCCACTCCAAGCGACATCGCTGAGCGCGAGGGCACGATTGGGTTGAGACGGGCAGCCAGGTTTTTTGGCAGTTTTCAGCCTCGTTCAGGAGCTGCCCCCCCTTCCCGCAAATATGCGTAAACAAGCATCTGTATTTTACCGCCTGCCGATCGCCGCTAGTCCTCGGCATCTTCCTTCTGCTCGTCTTCATTGCCTTCCTCGTCTTCCTTGGCCTCGGCTCCAGCAGCAGACGCAGCCGCGTCTCCAGCCGCGCCTCCCTCAGCGCCAGCAGCACCTTCAGTCTGCGGCGGTGCGGCTTTGGCAGCTATCTCGTCCGCGGCGGCCTTGGCAGCGGCAGCCTTCTGGTTGATAATCTCCTCCTCCTCCTTCCTCTGGAGCTCCAGGAGCATCTGTGTCATCTTCTGGGCGAGCTCCTGGTCGAGCTTGCGCCGCGACTCGTCCATGAGGCGGAAGCGCCGATCGACGGCGAGCTTCAGGCTCCGGGTGGCCTCGGTTTGTTTCTTGGACTGCTGCAGGAACTGCTTTGTCCGGTCGTAGTGCAGCAAAAAATTGCCGAGGTACTGGATGCCATCGGTGGTGTTTGGGATCTGGTGCGATCCGTTGCCGTGGGCCATGAGCGAGGCCAGTCCGAGCTGGAGGATCGGTCCGACGGTGCTCTTGAGATAGTTGGCGTCCATGTGCGAGGGAGAGGGAGGGAAGCAATGGCTTCGAAAAGAGTTCGGTGACCTACGTGTGAAAATAGGTGTATCTGGGAGGGTTTGGTGTTGGGCGTGTTACTTGGAGGATTCGCGTTCGATGAGACGACAGCAGCACCCGCACTGTGGGATGCAAATCGATACCTAACGGTTCGATAAGGATTTCGCGGTTGAGGAGCAGTTGAAGCTGAGGCAGGGCCTCGCGAAGATGGCGGGTGTTGGCAGTCACCCGCCCGTCCGTTCATTCACTCAGCCTTGCCGGCTGGGCTTACTCTCGGTCCCATGACGTTGTCGATCAGACCTCAATCAGCTCAGCTCGGATCCTGGGACGCCAAGACGGTACAGCGAACCCAGCGATCCCGCCATGCTTGTCTTCACACAGAGACATGAATGGAATCATCCCGGTGCCCGGGCAGACGGGCTATCCAAGATTGCACATCACATTGTGCCTCGAGAGGCAGGATCGCTTTGGTTTTTGTTTTCAGGGACTATATTCAATGACGGTGAACGGAACTCTGGACGCGGAGATGAAACCCAGCATCTCGCCGACAGAGCCAGACGGGGTCGCTTTAGTTTTTGGTTTGGTTTCGTTTGGCTTCGTTCGTGGGAACGGATGATTGAGGGTGGGACCTCGAGTATATGAGGGAAGTACGTAAGGTGGGGAGAGAAGGCACAAACACGAGGTGAAGAGGGGAGAGGATTAAGACTCACTCAGAGTCAATATCGTATCCAACTTTGGGGGCGTGGTCTATCGCGGAGCATCAAGAACAGGAGACTGCAGCGACGGAGAAGGATCACTTGTAGGACGATAACGAGCGGCCTATACAGCCGTAAAGGGCAATGGGAGACTGTGTCTTTTCTGGAACGTGGATTAGGGCCTCGAGGCGGTGTCTGGCAGCCAACACACCACAGCTCGCACTTTGTCGACAAAATCTGCGTCCTCTACGTATTACTGCAGAGCCTTTTGGAACTGGGAAGAGCTGTAGACACACGTCGCCGAGTGAGGGCAGTTCACCTCTTGGACGGACTGGCTCGAAGTCGACGCGGGGTACAGCTGTCGCATGTACGAGAACCAAATCAGACCGCGATCAAGCCGAGTCTTGCCGGTCATGTTGGCCTCGCAACTGGTATCGAGGTTGGAGTCGACGGTGGTGTCCTTGGAGCCGTAGATGTAAGTAATGGTCTGCTTGGGGAGCTGGGCACGAACACGCACGGCTCCGGCTCGGGTCACATAGCTTGGATCGCTGGAGTCGCCCTCAAGGCCGTATTTATCGGTGTTGAAGTCAGGGCAGGTGGAGATTTGCTGGCTGGTCGGGCTGGAGTAGTCGGCCTGCTGGATTTTGCAGTTCGAGGCACTTGGACAAATGCTGGGCCGCTGACTGACGAGCGTGGTCTTGGGACGGATTGTGTCGAGGTACATGTAGGTTCCTGGGCTGGACACGATGTAGCGGACGCTGATACCAAGGCCGGCAGATGTTCCGATCGTGGTGGCGCCGGCGTAGCGTTGGAGCACCTGAGCGCCGGCCGAGTGGCCGACAAAGGCAAGTGTCCGCAGGTTCGGGAATGATTTCTTGGTGAGCTGGGCGAGAGTATCCAGAATATCGTACGAGTAAATGCTGTCGTCGTTGGAGGCGCTCTGGCCGGAGATCCAGGTGTTGGCGGAGCTGAAGGTCAGGGGGTTGGACGGGAGAGGACTGGGGGTGAACTGGGCATCCTTGGTGTAAAAGTGTGGACCCAGCACAACGACACTGGAGCTGGCAAAGAGCTTGGCCACGGTCTGGACGGTCGAAAGCGAGTCACCGGCAACGCCGTGGAGGACCAAGACGGCCTTGGTGACGGCTGTGCCCGAGGTCGCTGTGGTATAGTAGACGACATTGTATCCACCGATCTGCATGGTCTTTTGGACGACCTTGGGCTTTGATGCACGGGTGGACGGCTGGGTACTGTCGCTGCTGGTATCGGGAGTGTCGTTGCTGGCATCGGGAGTGTCGTTGATGATATCGTCATCGGTGATAGCTTCGTCGTCGGTGTTGACAATTTCATCGTTGATGGCTTCGTTCTTGATGGTTTCGTCGTCGTCGTCGTCGTGGTTATGGTCGTCATCGTCGTCGTGGTTGCGGTCGTCATCGTCGTCGTGGTCATGGTCTTCTTCTTCTTCTTCCTCCTCTTCGGCGCCATTAGCAGCGGTACTGTCGTCGTGGTGCTTGGCCGATTTGGGGACTCGGCGCTGGAGGCGCTGTTGGATTCCCAGGCGAGCCAAGCCCTGCACTGCATGCTGCGGCACACACTGGTTGGAGAGACACTGGGCAATGATTCACTGTGAGTACCACGCGAGTCAACTCAGCACCACTGTCGACTATTTGGGCGGCAGGATACAGCCGAGCGTCCCCTTCTCCAGACCATGTGCGCATTCCCAGGCTTGCGGGACAGAGACTTACATCGTAGTATTCGGAAACAGCGCATCCAGGCGTGCCGGCGTCGGAGCAGCACAGGTTGTGAACGGGATCCCAGCGGTTCCCGCCGAAGCATACACAGGCATCCGCCTGTCATTGGGCCAGGAAGCAGCGTCAGCAACGCACTGCGAGCAAAGTGGATGCGAGCCACACCTAACGACGACCGGTACTCCTTGTCCCCACCCCAAGATACATACGCTGCGGACCGAGTCGGACGGACAGGCAACGGCGATGGGCGAGGCCGAGCCCAGGGACGCAGCAGCCCCAAGGAGGACGGCGAGACAGATCCAGCGGGAGCGCATCACGGCAAGCAGCAGCGAAGGAGATGGTCGGCCTGGTTCATCTGTCGACACAAGCTGGCTTTTATGGGCGGGTGCCGCCCTTTCGTCTTTCGGGCGGCTTCGTGGTGTTGTCCCACGGGCGCACCCGGCTGGGGCACACAACGCCACGCCAATTTGCGCCTCGGCTGGCGCCTTGCTTTTTTTTCCTTCTGTCGCATCCCGGCGGTGTGCTTCCGGTGGTGTCAGCGACCTGCTTGCAGAACGACATCGCTGCCAACGAACCCGCTGCGGAGACGCGGGAGCGGGGTGGACTGCGGTGCGGTGGATGAGGAGGGACAGGCCGATCGGCACGATGGATGGGGAGGGACAGGCCGAGTCTGCTTTGAGTCTGCTGTCGAGTCTGTGGTTGAATCTGGCCGAGTCTGTGATTGAATCTGGCCGAGTCTGCTATTAATTCGACACAGACTCGACACAGACTCGATGGCAAAGTCGATGACCAATCCAAGAAACAAGGATGGAAAGGGAAAGTGCTGATTCCGGGCGACAGCGGTGGTGGGCGATCCGAGGCCGTTGGCTCAGCCGTCGGGGGGAGATGTACGTCAGCCACATCCGAGGGCTTCCGGAGCGCTGTGTCTTGCAGCCGTGCATTCTGGGCGGATGTGCTGCATCGATCTGTTGCTGCGTGGATATGTTTCGCGATAGTGATGGATGGGTTCGCGGATCGGCTCGTGGATCTGGCTGCTGTCGGACTGCGGTTTCCAGCACGACGTTGGGCGAACGAGGTTCGCAGTACACCACACTCGAGCCACTCCTTCCACACAAGCCAGACGCTGCCCTGCCCATGGCCCGCGCGAGCAGCATCATGGGGATGGATGCCGCCCAGCCCAGCAATCGCAAACCCGTGCTCTCGCCCGGCCCCGCACCGTGGTCGCTCTGCCGGTCATCCGCCACCGCATCGCCCGGGTTCGCGTCCACAGGCCAGGCCGGCTGACCTCGCACAGACGCACGGCCGACTGGCTCTTTCTCGTTTTACCGGCGTCCTTGTGGGCAGCTGCTCGTTTCCATCTGCTCCCCTCGTTTCGATCAGCCGCTGTTCCAGCTCGTCCACTGCTGTTCCTTTCCCGTCCGCGACGCACGGCCCACGACCACGGCCTCACGTGCGTGGCTAACGGCCGTCACCTGACGGGTGTGTGTTCGGCCGCGGTCACGTTTCCTGCTCAGGCGCACAAGGGATCCTCGTGTGCGTGGCACTTGTGTGGGTGGTGGGGTGGGAAAGACCTTGCCCGCAGGTTCGCTGCGACCAACCGGTCCAATGCCGGCCGTTGCTGTTCTTTGCTGCCTGCAGCCGGCCCTTGCACGGCTTGGTCGTCTGCCCCCCGGTCCCAGGTTGTCGCCGGTCGCCTGAGCGCCGCGATCCACCCTCTGGTCGCGGACAAGATCATCTGAGGCCACCCCCCCTCCGCGGCTATAAGTACCCGTCCGGCCCAGCCAAGTGTCCGCTTGCCAGGCTCCCTCCTCTGCTCGTTCCCCACCATCCGGCCCGAGATAGCCGAGCGTACCCTCTCCTCTGCCGCACAAATGAAGACTGCTACCCTCGCCGCTCTCCTCGGCTTCTCGGCCTCGGCCCTGGCCAACTATGTCGATGTCGTCAGTTACTGGGGTGCCCATCCCACCGCGGGCGAGCTTCCCCTGCGATCCTACTGCGACCTCAATGTCTACACCATCATCCACCTGTCCTTTATCGATCACCTGTCTCCCGCCGGCTTCGATTCGGACATCACCCAGCGCAACATGACCGCCATCGCCCAGGATGTGCTGTACTGCCAGTCCAAGGGCATCCGCATCGGTATCTCCGTCGGCGGTGCTCTCGGCTCCGTTGCTGTCTCGAGCGACGCCACCGGTATCAGCATCGCCAACGATCTCTGGAACAACTTCCTGGCCGGCACTACTCCCCTGAGCCAGCGCGCCATTCCCGGTGTCATCTTTGATGGCGTTGACTTTGATATCGAAGCCGGTGGAAGCGGCAACAACGGCTATGCCGCCATGACCAACACCCTGCGATCCTACATCGTCGCCTCTGGTCGCGACATTTACATCTCTGCCGCTCCCCAGTGCCCGAGTAAGTAGCCCCAGACCCAATCGAACTGCCGGCCATGTGCAATGCGCTCTCCGATCTGCAATGCACAGTGCGATACGGCCTCTGTTGGATTGCATTCGCTTGCTCGTGCTGTCGCTCACCGATTCCGTCTTGTCGCGCGCGTCGCATCTCCCGCAGTTCCCGATGCCAACATGGACTACACCCTGAGAAACGGCTGGTTCGACTTTGTCGCAGTCCAGTTCTACTCGGCCCCTTGTGGTCTTGGCTTCAGCGGCTCGCCCAACGGCCCCAACTACGCTGACAACAGCTCCATCTGGGACCACGGCGCCGGCTCGTGGATGGCCCAGGTGCCCAACTGGCAGAACTGGAATGCCAAGCTCATGGTCGGCTTCCCTGCCTCCTCCAGCGCCGGCAACTACGGCGGTGGTGACATCCCCACGCTCCTGAAGCAGTACGTCCCCGGATGGCAGGCTCTCAACCCCACCGTCTTTGGTGGTCTGATGTGGTGGGATTGCTTCTGGGCTGGCACCACTCTGTCTGCCCAGTACCGCGCCTTTGCTCAGACCCTGGGTACCGTCGGCCCTCACCGTATCAGCACCCCTCAGACTACCGGCACCCGTGTCCTTCCTTCGACCTCGGCCACCCCGACCTCGTCGCCCATCGTCGGTACCTGCGGTGGCGGCAACGTCGGTAACGGCATCTGCCCACAGGCTGGCATGTGCTGCAGCCCCTTCGGCAACTGCGGCACCGGCCCTGCTTACTGTGTTTCGTCGACCACCCTGACTACCCCCACCAGCACCACCACCACTACCACCACCACCACCACTACTACTCCCGTCAAGACTACCACCACCACTACTACCACCACCACTTCCAAGCCTACCTCTACCACTACCCCCTCCAAGACTAGCACCACCACCACCACTACTACTACTACCCCTGCCAAGACCACCACCACCACCACCACCACCTCGGCCTCGCCCAGCTCCACCAGCGTCCCTAACTGCGCCACCATCCAGTCTGGATTCCAGTGCCTGCAGAGCAACGTCCTGGGTGACTACATCCAGTGCGCCAATGGTATCACTTACTCCGGTGTCTGTGGCGCCGGCACCGTCTGCATCCAGTCGGGCACCTCCATCTACTGTGGCTTCAAGGTAGGCTGGTCTCCCTTGCACTCTGTTTGTCTGCCTGCTGCTCGGAATGCAATGACAAGCTGGCCCAATCGATCAGATGCCGCCAGTGTCGCCCTGGCAAGCGATCGATCAACTGTGCGCTAACCTTTCGTTCCCTGTCTCATTCCCTCGTTTCGTCACAGTCGTAAATTCTATGCCGTTACTGAATGAATGAGTGGATCCCGTCGTCGCACTTGTAACGAACAAACCTAATCAGAATGATATGTTGCTATCTGCGATCGCGGATCACCGTACCCTTACCAATTGTCTCAAGCCTGTGAAAAAAAAGTTCGAATATATATTCTGTGTGTCACCCTCATTCGCCGAGCATTGCGTTATGTGGGCGGTGGTGCATCGTCATCGCACCACCTGGACAGCGTATCGTTGTCTGGACGGCGAATCACGACAGTCCGCCTCTTTGGGTGATCGCAAATTGGCGCCGCTCATGGCCTCCGGCAATAATCATCATCGAGCTGCAGGCCCCCATCGCTTGATCTTTGGCCGTGTCATCGCTTGGGCAATTACCGTGCCCGAACGACAAACTCCCCCACCTGCTCTGATTGAATCTATCGCAGACGAAGCTCCTCTGCACCGTCTCCGTTCGTTCGGTGTCAGCAAATCCAATCTCGAAACATCCACCACCCGCAACCACGCATCAGCATGGCCGAGTACCCGCGATTCATTTCAAACGGTCTGTCGCATCGATTCGATCCCGGCTTTGGCGCAATAGACTCTCCGGATATACAAAACAAAGCCCTGGTTGGTTTGGCTTTCGATGGTGACTCACGCTTCTCGGCTACTCCGCGACAATAGTCCCCAAGAACAGCATCCTGTGGCGAGTGCATGCCCTCTACGTGACCAGGTGCTTCCGGCAATGCTGGGTAAAGCTTTTGAGCACGTTGCTCGATGCATTGATGCGGGCTATTCCGATACTGTTTGCTCATCCATCCCGTGGAGCCTCCACCGCAGCAAGCCAAAACTCGAGAGCGTCAGATTGCGTTCCCCCCATGATCCTCGTCTTCTTATGACCAATGGCGCGTCCCCTCATCGGTTCATGGTGTCGGCGTTGGTGGTGCGGGCTTCCCGGAGACAGGATCTTATCGAGAAAATCGACGGTGACCACTCCGAGTTTCATGAGTATGCTATCTATATCAAAGGTTTGTGTGGCTCGTTGCATATTCGTGCCGTCAAGGCCGCTGTGGCCGTTTCCCTCGTGCCTATACACATATGTCTGTATCTAGAAACGGTTGGTATCTCCAACTCTATCCAAGCTCGAGTATGTTGAGCCCCAATCTTATGCCATTGATTCGATAACCCATCCGACCGTGGTCTTTTGCGACAATATTGGCGCATCATCGGTCGCTAGCGCTGATTCGGCGCCAGCAGGGCAAGATCCAAGAGTCGCTGGAACTCTTCAACTCGGTGGCAAAGTTCAATCCGACAAACATCGCCAACCTGAAACAGATTGCGAGATCGCTGTGAGTGACTCTGCAATTTACAAGCGATTTGCAAGCGATTTGCAAGCGATTTGCAAGCGATTGGCAAAGAACGAGACCAGCACTTTGTGGGCTGCTGGATGAGGACGAGTTGCTGATATACCTTTCTCCCTTATCGCAAACGTGACCTAGGTTTCTGCTGGGGCGACATAAAGCAAGTCTGGATATCTATTCGGAGACACAAAGATATGCCGGGAACGACTGGGTATCGCCATTACCGTCTCTGCTCGTATCAACGTGGGACCGATCCTGAATTGCTGCCTCCGTCTTCATCTCCCTCCCCCTTCCTTGTCGTTGGGCATCGCTTGAAATGCTTCCTGTCGGATGGGTGGTTGACACTTCCATCAACCTCTACGCGTCTCCAAACCCTGGCGATCTCCAAGGAAATCCACCATGGGCGTGGGCTGTGCTTTATGTCGCTCAGGGACTATTCAAGAGTAAGCCGCAAGCCTACAACTGAAACTGACCAGAGACAGATAGACAGATGCCCGTACCCCACGATCGCTTCATAAACTAACCATGTGCTTCTGGCGATCCGACACAGGCCATCGAGTGCTTCAACCAAAGCCTGCTCGTCCACCGCTACGACTCGACATTCTCGCAGCTGGGCGAGTGCCTGATCCAAATGGGCGAGTACCAGCTGGCTCTCGACCATTACAGCATCGCCTTGGAGTGAGTGGCTCTTTCTCCTTCTTGGTGCAAGTTCTCTGTCGTTCTGCGATGCTGACGATGGCGCCGCTTCTTCTGCCAGATCGTCGCCCAAGAACCTGGACTTTCTGGCCAAGACCGGCTTGCTGTATTTCAGCAGAGGCGAGCACGACAAGGCCTTGCTCTACTTTGGTCGGGCGTTGTGCCATGACCCGCTCTATGCCAAGGTGAGGAGTGCAGGATGGCCCAGCGACTCGATGCCATCGTTGGATAACGAAGCGATCCTGTCATGGTGCTGCTCGTGCGCATGACAGATACATGGTCATGAGCATGATCGCGACCATGGCCACGGCGATGACATTAACTCTGCTTCAACCACCTGCGCTGTGCTTCGTCGTCACCCACAGGCGCTGCTGCCTCTGTGTGCTCTCCACCAGATTCTGGATGAGCCTGATGCGGCGCTGATCAAATACCGCATCACTGTCCTCCAACACATCAATTCGCCCTATCTCTGGAACAACATCGGGATGTGCTTCTATCAAAAGGAGAAATACGTGGCGGTGCGGTACCATTATTGCTTTGAGCGGGTGCTATTGAATCGGAGGCGGGTCTGCGGACTCGGAGGGACAGGCGTTTGTCGTCGTTGCAGCCCGTTGCCTCCTCGAGACATTCAAGAGTCGCTCTGCGAAACGAGCTATCTTCCGAGTCCGCTGGATCGAGTTTCTCTTGGACCAGCTGGAGCTGCCATCAATCCATCGCACTGCACTGGAGTTGGGCTTGCGAAAAGCTAATCCATCCACACGGACATGCTTCCCTTTCCCCTCCCGACGCTTCCACTTTGACCCAGGCTGCAGCCTGTCTCAAGCATGCACACTATCTCCTTCCGTTCTCCTTCACTATCAAGTTCAACCTTGGCCTTGTCCATCTCAAGTCTGGTCATTACTGCTCCGCAGCAGTCTACTTTGAGGCTGCGGCGATGCAGGATCCATCCTCGGTCGAGGCCTGGATGTGGCTCGCGATGGCCCTGGCCCAGTTGCAGGACCGAAGTGCTGCCCGAGCGGCATTCGACAAGGCCTTCCGTCTGAAGAGGTAATTCCACAACGCAATCGAGCAGACGAATGAGCAGGCAAGCCGTTGGGGGTGTTGTGCGGCTGATTCTCCTCGTCCCCGTCTGCCTTCGTTCTCCACGGCTGATTCCCCTTGATCGCCAGAACTGAGCCCCGTCTGAATCTCAATTATGCCGTGGCCCTCTACAACTGGGGAGACTCGGACACCCTGTGTCTCGAGTATGTACGGCCGATCGTAGAGTCAGCGGAGAGCGATTTGCTGGCAAAATCTCTGACGGTCGAAGAGATCGAGCTCGCCCGGCATCTGCTGGCGGCCGTCAGCAGCAGCAGCAGCAGCAGCAGCGACGGGATGGCTGTCGAGTAGATCAAATGCACCATCTCCAGCTGGATCTCGGAACGGCCATTCGTATAGGATGGCTCTCTGGCATCATGAATAAGACGAAATGCGTTGGCTACGTCAGATGTCGACACTGTCCACTGCATCGGCGAGTCCCTTGAGCTGCTTCTGCTGCTGTCTGTGGAGACGACGGCGGCCTTGAATCCATTTGGCTCGCCGTGAGAGTTGGGGTGAGCGCACGGACATGGGCATGGAGCAGCGAGTTTGATCGCCGATCCCAGCCGCGCTGGCTGCGATCTGTCCCGCCTCTTTGCTTGATCTCGCTCATCTTTCCTCACCACCAGGGCGACCGACTTGATCTCCCCGTCGTCACCGCCTGTTCCTCTTCCACCACCACCACCACCACCACTACCACCGCGATCGTCCGCCATGGCGACAGCGTTTGCCGAAGAAGCCATCAAGCTCATCCGTGAGGCCAAGCGACACGCCGATACCCTGCCGCCCTACAACTCCGAGTGCGTCTCGAACGTCCTGCAAGAGAACCTGCACCTCAACGGACAGATCCGCAAGATTGTGGCGACACAGAAAGAGCTGACGCAGTCGTCGCAGAGTGGCCTCTTCGACCTCCAGCAGCAGCAGCAGTACATGACCACGGCGCTGATGCACCAGCTCGCCGTCCGCCGCAACGTCCAGTGCCTGCACGCCTACCATCGCCACCGCATGAACCTCATCACGGACCTGATCTGGGACCTGGGCACGACCTTGGGCCTCCCGCCCGAGCTCAAGGACAACCTGTCGCCGCACGAGATTCAGTTTCTGGAGGGATATCGGGCCCTGGTGCAGGACTACAAGGGCTCGTTCCTGAATGTGGATCTGGGCTCGTCCCTGGTTCCGCCCAGGGATGTCTTTGTAATGGTCCGGGTGGTCAAGGACTGCGGAGAGATCATGACCGAGAAGGGCCCCATCCAGCTCTCTGTCGGCACAATGCACTACCTGCGCCGGGTGGATGTGGAGGCGCTGATCACCCAGGGCTACCTAATGCACGTTGGATAGCGACGGCATAGGTACGGAGAACAGCACAATGCCGCTACTGGTGCTGGCTCTGCCGACATTGATCAGGATCTGGATCTGGATCTGGATCTGGATGGGAACTCTTGTGAGGGCCAATTCACTGTGCTTGCCTCGGCATCGGCTCATCGCCCACAATATATCATCATCAGCATCATCATCGTGGACTGGGCTTTCTGCCCCGATTCATTAACTAATTATACATACAATAAGGGTATAGACAAAACAAAGATGACAGGAGAGTCGATCGATGTCCACTCCTCTCCTGCCCTCGTTCTGTTGGAAGGGGAGGGGAGGGGAGGGAGGAATAGATCCATATTGCCCCCCCCCTCAAACATTCTCTTCCTGGAAGCAACAGTGTCCAGGGGGCGGCTGTGATTCTGCAGACAGAGTCGGTCTATCGCTCGTCGGCCGTTTCGTCGTCGAGGACGCTCTCCATCCCTGTCAGATCGTCTTCGTCAAAGTCCTCGGTCTCATCCGGGTCGAAATCGTCGCCGTGCTCGTCTTCGGTGTCGACAACGGATCGGCGGAGCATGGTGCCAACGCCTCCTCGGGTCACCGAGAAGGTCGAGTCCTGTTCGACCCGGAAGGGCTCGCCGTCGATCTGGCAGTCGACCGGAGACGCTTTGGTGCATCGGACGGACATCTCGAACGTCCGGCCCCGGCCAAGGACGGCCGGGCTCGAGAGCCCGACGATACTGGCGCCCATATGAAGTGGTCCGGAGACGGCAATGACCTCGAGGAAGCCGTCGTCCATCCGGCACGGTGGGTAGCCTTGCAGCTCCGCGGCCTCGTAAATGCGGGCGCCGCCGGCGTAGGACGGGATGTTGAGCAGGATGACGCTCGAGGCGGACTTTGGCACGGACACGACCGAGCCGTCGATCGAGAGGGTAAAGTTGCTGAGGGGATTCGGGGAGTGCGTTTCGGTTGTGGCGGCGGTGGTTGCGAGCATGCTCGAGGATGGCTGTCGCGAAACGGAGGGGGAGACGAATGGGCTGGCTGGGTTCGAAAGGATCGAGACGGCGCCCTTGAAGGTCTGCTTGCTGCCGATGAGGAAGTACCAGATCTTGTTGAGGAAGCGCGAGCGGAACAGCTCTGGCTTCTTTTCTCTGGTACGATGAAACTCGAGGACTGGGGATGCGGCGACGATGATGTGATGTGATGATGATGATGATGTGATAATGATGTGATGTGATGTGATGTGATGATGATGATGTGGCGGTGTGGCCAAGTGTTAGTGGGGCCTCCTCTGAACGGGTTGGTAGCGATTCCTCGTCGTATGTGGTTGCATCGACTAAGGGAATACCCATACATCCACTCGTTTGACTGGGCGCATTCACAATCACGCATGCTCACACATCCACACAATCGCTCACACAATCGCTCACACACACTCATGCGCTTTCCCGCCCATTGGCTTACCGATCGTGGCGTCGCTTCCGATGGACAGGTAGTTGTTCATCATCGACAGCTTCTCCTTCGGGGCCCCGGGCGCCGCCATCGACATGGCGCGCTGCACAATCGAGCTCCGGCGCCCGCTGCCGGCCTGGGCAACTGCAGACTGGATGCGGACGGCCCACCGATCCAGGTCCGAGCGACCGGCGGCTTGAATCTCTCGGAGAATATCCAGGACCGACTCGCCCTCCCACCCGCCACCCCAGCCCAAGACCCTGGCCAGGTCGTTTCCGGTGCCGAGGGGAAGGACGGCGATGGGGGGCCGCTGATTCTCGTCTGGGATCATGCGATCCAGAATCGACAAGATCCAGCCGACGGTCCCGTCTCCGCCACAGACCAGGATCTGACACTGCGGGAGCGAGGCGCCATAGTTCTTGAGCTCGCTCTCGGGGCTATGTGTCGACAGATTGACGATCTGGATTGGGTTTAGATGGCTATAGAGAGCGCGCAGGAGCCGCGGAGCATCCTGGGCACCGGACTTTGGATTGACGAGACAGATCAACGGATGGGCATCCAAAGGCAGCGCAACCCGGAAGCGCGGACGAGTCTTGAGCAGACCGACTTTGGGTGGGACAGACCGGGGTCCTTCGAACTGACCCGAGGGCTCGAGCACAACATGGCTGGGATGGAGGAGCAGCTTGGGAAGTCGACTCATTCTGCAGCCGCCGAGGGGGTCTCTGGGCAGGCAGCGAGTATGGATAGTCTCGAGACACCAGATGCACCGGAGATCTTGCAGGTTGAATTCGTCGCCGGTGGGGATCCTGCAGATGGTGCACTTGGAGCTCGACAGGCCAACGTTGCCGATGATCCATTGGTGGGAGAATGGGTCGGGAGGGTGCTGAGCATGGCTATCGGGGCTCGAAGCGTCCAGGGTGTGAGCGCTGTCTGGGTGGAGATGGTCGACACCGAGGGGAGGCGGGAGGCTCGACGAACTGGCAGAGTTGGGCAGTCTGGACGCTACCGGCGATGGCGGCGAGGCTTTGTTACCTTGGGGCTTTGGCGACCACCCGGCTGTTCTCGAGAAGAGTGGTGAGCGAGTTTTGGACGAGTCTGCGGGCTTGGCGACGGCAATGATCTTGCAGGGCTGCAAGTAAAGCCACGAGCGACGATAGTGGGATCACGGCGCCGGGACGCCAATATCGAGCAGCGGTTGTCAGTACAGCGCAAGACCCTGGGTTGAATATGGATGATGGACGGATGCTGGGACCGCAGCCGAGCGTCCAGGGCACGAATGCAGCTACCTGGCGGACAAGCTTGGATAAACAGTCGGACTTGGTGTGGGAGCACTGCCTGCAGACAAGACACTCGACGCCTGCCTGCGACGAGTCGATATCATGGGCGCACGCATTGCACCAGACCTTGTGGTGTGAAGCCTCAACATGGTGCTCGAGCGGCGTCCAGGAATGAGTGAGGGAGAAGCCGGCGTGCCGCTGCAGATACTTTTGCGCCGAGGACGACGAGGAAATGGATATGGAGCGAGACTCGGTGTGGTAGGAATAGGCGAGGAGGTAGGCGATCAGGAACGAAAAGAGCAGCGTCGAGGTGGCCAGCAACAGCGACGTTGAGGATAGATCGAGCGGGAGAGCGGGCAAGGCGAGCGCATGGCGCAGGTCGGCCAGCATGGCGGGGATGGATTGATGCTACTGAGTTGAAGCGATTGAGCTGAAGCGACAGATATCGATGTGGTCCGGTGGATCTGATGATGTGTGATGGATCTGATGATGTGATGGATCTGGTGAGATGCGATGGATCGAGCGTCGTCTGGTGTGCCTGGTTCGGATGGTCGGATCAACAGCCCAGGCTGCGTCACGGGGGACCACGTGCAGCCGATCCAGAAACACGGCAAGTGTGCGACTGTGGCTACTGTATGGCCATGTTGTGGCTGGCTTTGAAATGGCTGCATTGAGCAACACGCCATGACCGGCGGTGCGTCATTTCCGAGACGAAGTGGATATCGCGCACGATCGCAGATGATTGCGAAGGGTTGCCGCGGAATCACTCTCGACGGGCTTGATGCGAGCGTTTGGCCAGACGAGGAGGTGCAGCGATGGAGGTGCATGGGTATGGCGACAGCGCGCAACGTTGCCATCGTGGCTCTCGACAGCCGGGACATGTCGTGGACGGGTGGAAAGAGAAAGGAGAGACTGAGCGGTGTTGGTTGACTGGAGCAGGAGGGCCAGACAAGCAGGCCCCAAGACGCCACAACCAGGCCAGGCACAACGACAGGGTTTTTGGGCGGCCGCCACCAGGGCAGAAGCCCGGCGGCAGCAGCCAAGGGAGAGCAGGGGGCAGGAGAGGAGGAACTTGGAGCTGGTGCAACGGGTTGCTGGGCCAGCAACCACCGGCGGGGCATCCCCAAGCAAAAGTCACACCGAGACGGAGACGGCAACGACGGCAGCGACGACAGCGCCGCTGTGCGATCGTGGGCATCAGGCGAGAGAAGGGATTGCAAAGCCAATGTGGCCGTGCGACGGCGACGCGGCGGACACGGGCGCGAGGGGGGTCAGGCGAGGCGTGTCGCAGGACAGCGCGTGACGCAGACGGGACACCGGCAGGGCAGCCGTGCGACCAGACGCACCAATCGGCAGCGGCGCAGTCGAGACGCGCCAGCCAGGCAGGTCGGCTGAGCGGCGCCGGGACAGCTGGCGCTGCTGGACCGATGCGCGGACGGGCCGCGGCGACGGAGCGTCGCACACCGACGCCACATGCTGTGCAACGTGGCGGGCGCGATCGCGTGGCGCGAGTGGCCGCCTGCTGATGCGCAAGGGACGCCCTGGTGACAGTGGGGGATCGCTCAGCAAGGCGGGAGCGGCAGGTGACCGCCGCAGGATTCGCTGTGGAGCAGGGGGGCGGGGCTGCTGGGAACTGTGCCGAGGACTGCACTGTGGGACGGTGCAGCCGGACTGCCGGGCTTGGACTGGTGGCTGCGAGGCAGTGCCACGGCGCCATGGAGCTGCGTCGTGGCCTGCTGCGGCTTGCTCTTGGGCAGACATGGGCTTGCTTGCACTTGCTTGCACTTGCTTGCGCGAGGCCGGTCTGTTCCCGGCAATGACGGGCAGTGACGCAGCGTGACAGCGCACACCGTGTTGTTCTCTGAGCGGGCTCTCGGTCCACGCCGGGCCGCGGCTCTCGCAACTGCGTCTGTGGCGGCCGGTGTGCAGGAGAAGCCCCACGGCTTGCCGGCGCGTCGTCTGTGTCGGCGTCCGTGTCGGCGCGCGCTGGCTGGGTGGTGTCATGACATGGTGCAACGTGTGAGCGCACAAGCGCCCAGAGCGCGGGATTCGCTGCCGAAAGGAGAAGCTGCGGACAGACATGTCTGCCCACGACGATGGCCTGGGGGGCGGCGTTTGTGGAAATTGGAGGAGCAAAAATGCGTGGATGAGGGGAGGGCTTGGCGGCGAGGGCGACACGGGGAGTGGATGGTGTATGGGTGTGATTGAATATCGACGTGGACATGGGCATCGACGTGGGCGAGGACAGCAGGCCGAACCAGTGCTTCTGTGCGCTGCTGCTGCCTCAAGGCTCCAATGACTTCCAACAGCTTCCAATAGCTCCAATGGCTTCAGTGGCTCCGCGCAGATTCTGATACAGAAACACTGTACAGGACATACAGTGCGACCGGCCGACGCGTTGCGCGACACAACGCCCCCGACAAGGCGCCCCGCACCGCAGCATACATTCGCGGCGCGCTCTGTGCGTGCCATGTGGCTGGCCTTGCTGCACCCCTTGCCGCGCCGGTCCGCTTGTTGCCCGCGTCAGGTGACCCTGCCCGCCCGCTCGCCCGAGCAGCACGGCCTTGAGGGCGGTCGCTGAGCGGTCGCTGTGCGAGTCGCCTGCCTCCCCCTTGCTGCCGCATGTTTGTTGGACACGGCTCTGTCGGCCTCTGTGCCGATCGAGATGCCCCAGCCATGGGCCCGGTTGCTGTGTCCCAATGCCGCGTCGTCTCTTGCGGAGAAACAGCAAGGCTGCTCACCCCCCCTTGCGTCGCCCGTGCGTCGCCCTCGACTCTCCCTTGCCTCTCCCTTGCCTCTCCCTTGCTGCCCCTCGGCCCGTCCCTTGCTGCCCTTGCCGCCACCACCAAACTGCCGCGGTTCCCCCCCGCTCGTCTGCCTGGGTTTGTTTGCTCGGCTGCCGGGTTGGTGGGTGGCCCAATCTGGCTTGTGCTCCTTTCCCTCCTTTCCGCTCTCTCTCTTGCTTGGGTGTGTCCATGCCGCCTCCTTCTTGGTCCTGGCGGCTGACCCGCCTCACCCGTTTCCTCTGCCCTCCTTTCCCCCCCTCGCGGCGTATATATATCGCACGCTCCCCCGCCCCGTCTTTGGTCCGCACCGAGAACCTCCAATTCCCGCTCACATCACAAAAATGGTTTCTATGAAGGCTGCCTTCTTGGCTCTCGCTGGCGCTGCCGTTGTCGCCGCCCAGTCCGCTGGTGACTACGTCTGGCCCTACCCCGCCAACGTCGTTGACCACAACACCGTCGTCCCCGCTCCCTCCCGCTTCGTCCTCGCTGAGGCCTCTGGCAACACCGTTGTTGCCTCGGCCTTCCAGCGCTTCCAGGACAGCTACAAGGCTCGCTCTGCTGGTGCTTCCTCCGGCAACGGCTACAAGTGTGTCGTTGACAAGCCCCTGACTGTCACCGTCAACATTGCCAACTCCTACGCCATCAAGCCCTCCAGCCTCAACGGTATCGATGAGTCCTACACTCTCGATGTCAGCGCTACCGGCGTCACCATCACCGGTATGTATTCCGCTCTGCTCCCGCTGAGTTTTGTCCCTTGTGCATGTGTCGACGCGACCGGGTCACCCGATTGCCGGACCCGATCCCGCTCGGCTGGCACCGGCACTTTGGGCCGCGCCTTTCCTCTTTCGGCCTCCTTGCCTGCGCATGGACCCCGCCGCCTCGCTTTTGCCCATCACCGCCACTTGCTCCTTCCCCATCGCTCCTGCTAACCATGCCATACCATGCCATACTACACCTCCATCTCCCACACAACAGCCAACTCCCAGGTCGGTGCCACCTATGGCCTCGTCTCCCTCTCCCAGCTCGTCAAGCCCACCGGTGAGATCGTCTCGGCCACCATCAAGGATGCCCCCGCCTACCGCTTCCGTGGCTTCATGCTCGACACCGCCCGTACCTTCTTCCCCGTCGAGGACATCAAGCGCATCATTGACGGTCTGGCCTACACCAAGATCAACGTCTTCCACTGGCACTTCTACGACTCCCAGTCCTTCCCCTTCGACTGGCCCTCTTACCCCCAGCTCCGCTCCACTGCCTACACCGATGCCAACGGCAACCCCAAGCTCTACTCTGAGCAGGATGTCCGCGCCATCGTCCAGTACGCCTTTGAGCGCAACATCCGTGTCATCCCCGAGTTCGAGGCTATCGGCCACAACGCCGTCTTCGCCGCCGTCGATCCCTCCTTCGTTGTCGGCCTGAACCACTCCCCCTGGGACGGTCGCAACCAGGACACCAACAACGCCTCCTCCGGCATCCTCTGGTGGGGTACCCAGTGGTGCAACCAGCCCCCTTGCGGTCAGATCGATCTGACCAACGACAAGGCCCTGGACTTCTTCGGCCAGCTCGTCTCCGAGGTCGGTGCCTGGTTCGAGGACCCCGTCGCCCACTACGGTCACGATGAGTTCAACTTCCGTGTCTACGGCACCACCCCCGACAACTGGGACTCTGTTGACGCCGGCGCCATCCAGTCGCTCTTCGCCACCGCCGAGCCCAAGCTCCTGGCCCAGATCAACAAGTCTGGCCGCATCTTCGGTGCCTGGGACGATGCCGTCACCGACTTTGGTGTCGCTGCTGCTCTCCCCAAGGATGCCCACATCTGGCAGTGGAACGGCCACGGTGACAACGTCCAGAACATTGCCAACGCTGGCTTCAAGAACATCATCGTTGGTGCCTCTGACCAGTACTACCTGGATTGCTCGCCCTCCGTCAACTGGTGCCGTGACGCCTGGGAGAAGTCCAACCCCCCCACCAAGTACAACATCTCCGACTACTTCACCCTCGCCGGCCAGTGGCACAACTGGACCCGTATCTACAACTACGACATCACTGCCGGCGTCAACTCCACCGATGCCATCATTGGTGCCGAGGTTGCCCTCTGGTCCGAAACCGTCAAGCGCCACAACCTTGACCACTACGTCTTCCCCCGTACCTCCGCTGCTGCCGAGCGCTGGTGGTCCGCTGGTGCTGCCCCCGCCTTCGATGCTACCAAGACTGGTGCTCGTCTCGACCGTCTCCGTGCCATCCTGATCAACGAGTTCCAGATCGATGCCTCCGACCTGTCCTACCTCGGCAACCAGGAGGAGCACGTCTTCCGCACTGAGTGGTGCGATGCCAACATCAACGCCCCCGCCCAGTACACCAACCTTGCCTACGGCTTCGCTGGCCAGTACAACTTTGGCCACAACGGCTCCCCCGTCATTGCCCAGAACGTTGACAACACCACCCTCCCCTACTCCAACATCACTGCTGGTGGTCCCCACTGGTATGTCTACCCCGCCAACGACTCTGGTGACTACTGCCACATCGCCAGCCTCTACACCACCAACAGCTACACCCACATTGTCCCTGCCTCCATCCCCTACCCCTACTAAGCGACCTCCGCGGTCCGCGGTCCTCTTTCTTGGTCTCCCGGCCCTCTCGAGGGGCAGGGGCCTCGAGCCTGAATCGTAATCGCCTGGCGCGCAGGTGTAATATCTGACCCCCCCCCCCACTTCTCAGCCACCTAAATAACCATTTTGATGCTGTGAGCCCCACCGTTTTTTTTTCCTCCCCCGTCAAAAGTCTCTTCTGCCCCTTTTGCAACTCTTCTACTATGCCGCCCACCTTGATTGTTTCTATGTTGCGACAGCTTTCTATGTAGACAGAAATAAAAAACCTTGCCGCCCTTGTATCCTCATTTCCATCTCGACTTGCCCCCTCGTTCCTGGTATAACTTGTGTCTTCTGGCTCTCGGTGCTGCTGCTGCTGCTGCTGTCGCTTGCAATACAAATCTGGGCCCCGATATCTTTGAAGCGTATTTTTCCTCTCCAAGTTTTGCCTTGCTGCGAGGATGGGACGAATGTTGGAAAGACAAACATCATCCCTCCCCTCCCCCACACAATTCTTTGTTTTTTTACAAAATCTGTCGTCCCCCTCGCCTTGCGCTGTCGCTCCCATGATGCCTCTTGTGAAATGCTCCCCCCCTCACTTCCTCTCTGATCGGAAAATGGATCGCAAGAATTTGAAGAAAAATAAATATAATCGTTTCTATGGTTAAATCACGGCCGGCTATCTCCAAGGGAACTGAGGTATGCGGGTGAGAGACTTTGTATCTTGTGGACTGTGGGGCTTATTGACCTCGATCGCCATCGCCTCTGCGTCATCTCCATTGGCTCACCACCGCCACGGCCCTCTCTCCGTCGGGTCTGCTGTTGAACCAAGAAGTAAGGGCTACCGCCGTGTATTGCTGGATGAGGTGCGGCATATCGGCCCATCGTAATGCACAAAGCCAGTACCGCCGCCGTGTTGCTGCTGCTGATGCTGCTGTTGTTGGTGCTGCTGCTCAGCAGAAAGAGCAGAGCCCTCCAGGAGCAGTCGCAGATTGTCCTCGACCTGCCGGGCCTGCAGCGAGTACTCTTGCATGAATGCCGGGCCCTCTGCCGGCTTTTTCGAGTCCAGCTGGCAGATTAGGGAGGGGGGAGTGCGCAAAGGAGAAGAACCCATTGCAAACTGTAAATGCGAGGGGCACATGGATCATGGCAAGTGGCAGACAGTCCACAACCATCATTATTGGCCGATACAGCAGCGCAGGATCGGCAACAACAACCAGTCTCGAACATCAAATACCACTACCACCACCGCCTCCCATCCTCGTCCACTGTTCGAGGACAGCTGGGCCTTGGGTTGCCTTACCTTGGTGGACATGTACGAGTGCTTCTGCGGAAAGGTTGGGAAGTACTTGGGTATCGGATCGGGCAGCGGGTCATCCGTCCGATCGATGCTGGTCCAGGTTTGCAGCTGGTCGTCCAGGGTCCAGTCGCTCGGGATAACCATGGCGTTTTGAAAGGCCTCGGAGGCTGCCTGAAGCTCTGCAGAAGCGAGACCCGAGAGACGGCATGAGTGCTCAAGGTGCAAAACGGACCTTGTGGCCAAACCACTCCTCCTCACACCCAGCGCAGAGTCCAGCCCAATTTGATCCGGTCTGGTCTGGTCGTATATGGCATGATCGTATGTGGTCTGGTTGGATCTGGACCCATTCGATCGCTTCTTCTTTCCTCAGGCCTTCAGCCAACATACCTGGACCACTGGACGTCGGCCGAGGAAGCGAGTGGAAGAATTGAACCAGCTCTGCCGCCTCAATGCCACATTCTTGCAGAGGCAAAATCATGTCGTAGAAACTTGGGGCTGAATGGAGAGTGTGCTCGCCATGAAGCTTGATTTTGGTCGACACATCGACAAAGACTGAAAGCCGGGGGGGGGGAGAGGAAAGGGGCGAACCAGGACAGAGGACAACGAAGTGGAGGGTCAGAGCGGGCGAGAAACGCTGGTCATAACCAAGGGTATATCCTGCCCCTTATCCCGTCGCTTCGAAGCCGAGATCCTCGCTTGGCCAGCTGTGCAGATCGAGCCAGTGACGGCCTCTGGATTGATCGATCATCCCTTGGTCGAACGATCGATCGATCGCTCGTTCAGCACCAACTCCTCCCATCCAGACTCAGGGCCGTCCTCCTCCTGATCGATGGGGATGTCGAGATGCGTACATGCAATCATCATCTCGTAGATGACATCGAGAGCGCCATCTTCTACTTCGTCGCAGCCTTGGTCGGCACAGATCGATCGGATGACCTGCACGAGATGCTGCCGTGAGAGAGTGCGATCCATCGATGAGAGTGTGTTGGTTGGCCAGTCGGTCGGTTGGGTGAACGAATGGATGAATGGATGAATAGATGAATGGATGAATGAATGGATGGATGTAGATCGGGGTGTTGTTTGTTGGCGACAACTGGAGGGGCGGAGAGGGAAGCAGCAGCGGACGCAGAATGGACGGGATGGAGGCGGGGAGATGGAGACGATCGAGGAAACGATGGTCGCGGGCGGTCTTGGCTCGGGTTTGGCTCGGGCTTGGCTCGGGCTCGCTTCCCAAGGGCTTCCCAAAGGCCTCCCTCCCGGGCCCACCGACCAAAGCCGCCCATCAACACTTTGACCACCGATTGAACTGCCCACCGACGAGTTGCCAGGGAGTCGGTCGTGGCCGGATTGACCCGAACGATGTCCTGCAAGTCAGCGCGCACCGCTTCGTGGCCTCGGGTCATGGAGCCGCTGGCATTCGCTCTTGTCCTGCATCCGACTCCTCTCCTCCCGCGCAAACACCTCTCATCCCCATCCTTCTCTTGCCGCGCAGGCTGTTGATATCGAGCAATGAAGCGACCAGGCGAGCCCAGCGGCGCTCATCCTGGCAACAACTTGACCGCTGATAGTGACATCAAGTCAAACGAGGCGGGGGATGCCGCTGCCGCTGCTGCTTCCCCGAAGCGTCCACGAGTCCAAAGGGGTGAGATCTACGATTCCAAAAGCTGTTGCCGAGAGAGCGGCATGGCCCATCATCCTGCTACTTTGAGCTCCCCAGTGGCGATCCGGATAGTATTCTTTCACCGGCCCCCTCTTCCTCCCTCGTCCGGGGTCATCCCTCGTTACTCTAACGCCTTGTCGATCTCTGCCAGTTTCACCACCCACCGCCGGAGATGCCGACCATCTTTCCAATGAGATCTCAAGTCTGCTGGACGGTCAGCTCTTCTTCCAACTCTCGGCGGCTCCCCTCTTGCGCCACTACGAGCAACGGTTCCAGCGATCGCTCAACTTCCCCAGCTTTCGGAAAGGAGCAAAGTCCATCAAGGATTGGCTCTCGTCCGAGCATTCGTCGCTTCTTTGCATCCACCCGCCGCTCGAGCCCGACGGCGACACATGGGTCTCGTTGAAGCAACACAGCCCAAACCTCATTCAACGGCACACGTTCCTCTCCGAGTTTAGTCGACTGACCCTGGGCCAGTTCGAGGGATGCATCGATACCGCCTTCGGGGCCCACTGTCTGCTCTCGCTTGCCGATCTCGAGAGGCTGCTTGCCCTGGCCTTTGGTCTCCGCCGAGAGCAATACCAGCACCATATCGACCGCTTCGCCCAGGCGTCGGATTCGTCGACCGGCCTCAGAGTCCGCAACGACATCATGCTCGTTGGCTCACCGCAGATGGTTCTCTATCATTTCATCCACCAGTTCCGGGGCATGTTTGGGAGCGGCTGCTTTATCCCCTTTGATCAAGTCGTCGGCCTCTTCCAGGACCTCTATTCGTGCACCATTCACTACCGCTTCTTTAGCCTGTCCATGGACGACTTCCTGACCGAGATCATCACAGAGTCCTACCGCAGCGTCTTCATCTACCGAATCATCCACGATACCAAGCTCATCGCCCTGAGCACGACAAATGCCCGGACCATACGCGACGAATTGCCCGGCATGAGCACCAACGATGTCTACCTTCACGTCTGCGACCTCATCCTCGGCGACGGCTACTTTCTCGTCAGCGTGGTCAAGCGGCTGTTCGAGACCTCGCTCCTGGGCGGCCACGCCTTGAGACTCTCGCTCCTCGAAGTAGTCGAGAAGCAGACCCTGGAGCCAGAAAGCAATGCCGCCATCGTCAAGTACTCGTCCGAGATCCTGCACTATCGGCCCCGCGCTCTGAGGCATGCTCTGCCAGAATCCAACGACGCTTCCTCGCCAACCATCGCGGCACCATCGTTGCCTGCACATAAGACGCACACGCTGCCCAGCATCGACTTTGAACCGTTACCCGAGGAGGACGAGGCGTCGCCTGAGAACCAATCCGTGGACATGATCGATGCATTCTCGGAGCCGGACGAGGCCAGGGAGGCGTTCGAGGTCGATCACGATGAGCTTGCGGGTCACAGCCCTGTCGACTCACCAACCCTTCACCCGCCCGTCTTCGACCTCGATAGCAATAAGGACGAGATCACATCGATGGGCCCTATCTATATCTCGTCTGGGGAGGCATCGTTCTCCCGCATGCTGATATCAGATGATGATGATGGCGCCTCTCGACTCCGAGGGAGCGAAGCCGGCGACTATATGGATGCCCACGCCTCACACATGGCCCTCAAGCAAGAGCAAGAGCACGCTGCGACCGAGGACACTGACGGGGCCGTGCCCACCATGGCTGGTACTACCGAGGCCCATCATGTCGATCCTTCGCCGGACATCATCGGCAGCCATCTCGCCCAACTCGACGATGTCTTCATGACCATCTTCCAGGTCAACACACGAACTGGCTACTTTGGCGATCCAACCGTTCCCACCGAGTATCGAACATAGGCTTCTCTCCCACTTTCTCCTTCTTCTTCTTCTTCTTCCGGCTTGGAAATATACACCCGTGCAACATTGCTCACAGTAATCGATGCCATCACAGGTCGATGAACCAGAGGCGATTCATGCAAAGGAGACGGGCGACTATATCGAGTCAACCAAGATCAACAGTGATGAGCGAGGTGGTGCTAGGTACTCAAGACCAGTCTGCGGCAGCGCACTCTCCCCCCTCCCGAGGACGAGCACTGCTCTTGCATTCACCAACGGAGACATGCAGGAACACCCAGACACCAAACAGTTCTGGGTCAAAGCCAGAGACCGTGCAAAGCCGCCATCACATAATGTATTACTTTGTAGATTGCGATTGTGCCATGCCCGGGAAGATCGACGCCAAAGACTTCGGTGCCCAGGATCTGCGTGCCCAGGATCTGCGTGAAAGAGAAAATGCGCGTCGTATCGCTGCATGCCCTGATGTCACTCTTTCTCGGCACTTTAGCCAGTGTTTCCCATGCCAACGGCGATTCCCTGGATGGTCACAACCACAGCATCGGATACTTCCTTGCTCTCGCTGTCAAGGCCGCCAGCTTCGATGTTGCCCTGCTCGTGGCGGAGCTTGCGGAGCAGCTCGGCCTGAATCAGGTTCAAAGGATCCGTGAACGGCAGGCGCGACTCGATCGTCCGCTTGACCACCGGCTCGGTTGCCAGGAGCTCGGTTTGCTGGGTGACCTCGAGGACGCTGTGGATGCAATCCTGGAGGGCCTGTCGCACCGATGTCCCCATGGAGAGCTGCTCTCCAGTAGCAAGGCAGTGGTCGTAGTAGCCTGAATGGTTGGTTAAGGCCGGGATCAGCACTTGCGGTGACGACTGCTTCCGCCATCCGACACTCACAGCTTCTCGGCAGAGTCGCTGCGGACGATATAAGCTGACCTGCAATGCGGAGATCGCTCTTTGCAAGCGTCATTTGGATGAGATCAAAGGTGCTCTTGAAGAACGGCCACTCCTGGTACATTTCTTGCAGCGTGGCGAGGTGTCCCTCCGACTTCATGACTCGAATGGCCTCTTCGATGCCGTACCAAACCGGCAGCAGCACCCTCGTCTGGGTGAATGCAAAGATCCAAGGAATCGCTCGGAGGGTCTCGATTCCGCCCCCAACCTTGCGTCGGGTCGGTCGTGACCCGATGTTGAGGATCCCAATCTCGGCCAGCGGAGTGGCGCTGTGGAAGTAGGAGATGAACGCAGGGTCTGTGACAAGCTTGCGGTAGTGGCGACACGATATCTCCGACATGCGCTCCATCACGGACTTCCAGAGACCCTTGGGGTCCTCAGGAGGTGCCATCGTCGCAATCAGCGTTGCGGTCGTGTATCGTTCCATGGTCTGTGCGGCAGTAGCCGGATGACCAAAATTGCGGTCGATGATCTCGCCCTGGGCTGTGATGCGCATTCTACATTCCAAGAAAAAAAAAAATCGTTCTTTGTTAGTGAATGGGGAGGAGAATCGAGTCTATCGCAGCCAGCTGGGATGGATTCCCGACTCTGCGAGGCGTGGGTTTCCCGACCTGATCGCCTCGACATCCAGTCATGGAACCCGCAAAAATGCCGTGTCGGATGGCGACTGATACTTACGTTCCCTGGACCGTTCCGCTCGGCTGCGACAAGATAGCCAAGTGCTGAGGTCTAGCAAAGCGAACGGCAAATCGGATTTGAGCAACCCCTCTCTGGCCAACGGTTGCTGTTTGGTTTGTAACACCACTCGGGCCTACTCACAACTCCTGTCATGATCTTTCAGCAACATCATCACGAGCAATCCATCGCAATCTCATCGCAGACACGCACCCGCCGCCTCGACCGACACTTCCACCTCGGCCATGGAAGAGTGTCAAGTGGATGCTGAACTGCCTGCAGATGTCCGAGAGCTCCTTCTGCGATTTCCAGAGCTGCCAGACCGAGGTGAGCCGGCCGGCATCTTTGGCACTGTCCGAGTAGCCCAGCATAATCTGCTGCGTGCCCTTGATGCTGTTGAGATAGTATTGGATCGAAAACAGTCGTCTCATGGTGTCTCCGGCTCGCTCTAGATCATCTTTGGTCTCGAAGAGTGGGACCACAGGGAGTGGCGCGGTGATTCCGGCGGTTTTCTGAAGCAGTGCCACCGCCAGAATGTCTGAAGGCTGCGGGTCAGGATTGCATATGTGAGCGATTGTGCGAGCCTGGTGCTCTTCGATCTCCCACAGGACACGACCACCGAGGACGTAATCACCCGGGAGGGGAGGGGCATCGCTTCGGCCAGAATCACGGAAACCTTACTTTTCGGGCCATCGAGATGATGTACGAGCCCAAGGCATCCATTCCGACCAGCGCCAGCGTGCGGAAGGTCTGCATCACTTCCTCGACGCTGTGTGGCACGTTCTCTGTCAAGGAGGTGTATCGACCGCCTTCAATAATCACGGCCATCTTTACGCATGACAGGAAGCTTGAAGCAGCACATACCACATCCAGGGATATTGGGCCAGTTATCGGGAAGCAAGGGACGCTTGGCGTTGAGTTCTAGATCATTGCAGGAGAGGGGAGAAGTACGTTAGCCCATGTTGCTGCTCGGTGAAGTGTGCCTCTTGCAACCGATTACAATCGCACACCTTGAATCAGCCATTTTTGCTTTGATTCTTCATCCCAAGACGAATAGACACCCATGTCGAGCCATTGTGTAATGTGATCAATGGCTTCGGTGTGACGGTCAGACTCTTGGCGGATATCTGTTGGCGAGGCGCGGTGAATCAGCCAGGTGAGTTCCAGCCGGCAAGCAAAACCGATGTGGCTCAGATCACAGGAGAGACATATCGATTGCAAAAACATCAACCGCGCCTGGATCAGCGCGTAAGGTCAAGCGAGGTTGCTTACCGAGCTTGTATAAGGTCAGTCCAAACGTGGAGATTCGTCTGATGAGGTCCTTGAGGCGCCCGTCTGCAATGACCTGGTCTCCGCATTCAACCAGGCTTCGGTAGCACAGCATTAGGGGCTCCAGTAGCTGCTGGGGATGGCCGATAAAGTTCGATGGGCGTGGAAGGGGGTTGCGAACCCCCACGCTCGAGCAGAGATACTGGGCAGTGGATTACAGCGGCAACACGTTCGTGAGACGAATCGACCAGAGTCCGTACAAGCAGGCAGAAGCGAGTCTCTTCTGCAACAGACGATGTTCTGGCCGAACCAACCTCCTCGGTGACCTTGCACTGGTCTCGGAGCGGTGCCAGTAGGACGCGATATGGCTCATCTCGCGGTATGTTTCCTCGTGGAAAGTTGAGATTGGTTGCGCGGCTTGTGCCAACGAGGTGCTCCTGTGGAATCGCTGCGGCAAACCTGATGAGCTCATCCGAGGCGCGAGTCATGCTGAGCTCAAAGAGAAGCTGATCCACTTCGTTGTATATGAGGGCTGAGGCCCTCCAGCGACAGAGCTTGACAACCTCTGTCGTGACTTCGTGGGTGACGTATGGATTGCCGTCCCGATCGCCACCAATCCAGCTGCCGTAGCTGATGACGGCCTTGTCGAAGGGAAGCGGCTCGATTCCAAACTCTTGGAGGGTGGAGTCCAGATTCCTCATGAACTGAGGCAGAGCCTTCCAGATGCTGTTCTCGATGACGGCCAGCGCACCTCTTGCTTCGTCTTCGGGCGTGGGCTACAAGTTGGTGGATGTGGGTATGGGGTCGTTGATAAGCTGACCTGAGCCTCTATTAAACCACACTGACAAAGTGTCCTCCGAATAGTCGCAATAGCAGCGCATTCGTGAAAGCACATCCACCGCCAGTGGCATGGCCGCCGTTACACCCGCGTCCGAGGATTGCATGTCAGGTGTCTGTGACTGAGACATTACCTTCAAGCGGCGAACGGTATTGGTCCTCCACGCTCCGACAATCTCACGGCGGATGGCATCCATCATATCAATATGCTCGGCCGGGGTCAGGACCGTTCGGTCGCGGATGTCGAGTTGCTGCGCGATGTTGAAGTACTTGAGCAGCAGCGTTCGGCGTGCCGCTTGGGTCGGGTGGGCTGTGAGAACGAGCTCGACATTTTGCTTCATCAGGCCTTCTCGGATTTGCTGGCGCGAGAATCCTGGGGCGAAAGAGATCCAACCATCGATGCTACCTTAGAGAGGGCGAGCCGATGCTCTTGCTTGTGATCGGCGGCCTCCCTTCGATCGACCGGTGCGGAGACATCACGGACAACACACCTTTATCAAGGAGGAACTTGAAAGCGTCGCTGAAGGTTTGCTTGAAGTGAATGTCGTTGGTGCCTATGGAGCGCCTGGGTGTCAGCGAAAGTGGCGATACAATGCATATACTGCATTATCCGATTGAACAAGCGGGCGCGCGATTGGTTGCTTACCTCGTCGATAGCCACGCCAGCGCCGAACCCGATGCTGCCGATCCGAGATATCCGCCAGAATCAAGAACTCATGGAAAACGCGAGCAACCTCAAGATACTCGGCCGGCGTGACTACTTGCTGAATCAACGTCACCAAACTCTCGAAAGATTCATCCGATGGATGATACAAGTAGAGTCGGCTGGCGGTCAACAGACCCTCGATCAAAGACGTCAGGCGCTCTAGAGATGCACACACATCAGGCGATGCGGGATGTCGTTGTTATGACGCGTGATATCCAAAGCGAGTGCGGCTCTCGCACGTCCGCTCGCTCGGAAACTGAACGAACCTGGATGCCCTCCGGCGATGCCCGAATGCTCGCGGATGGTATCGACCAGCAGCTTGGCCAGGAGATTCACATCGTCGTAGAGCGCCTGGTCGCGCACGTTGACCATGTGCGTGACCGGCGAGGTTTCCTTCAGGTTCTCGACATACTTGCGAATTCCGGTCGTGTCGAGAATAGGCAGCTGCGGCTTCTCCTTCGATGGGGCGGCTGCGGGTGTGTCGAATCGATTGGACATGGCGTCCGAGGGTGGTGTAATAGTTGGAGCCGGATGAAGGTCCAGCAACAGCGGCCGTGGATGCGCGGTCGATGCCGTCTCGGCTTTGGAACGGCCAAAGTGCGATCAGCAGGAGTCCGCGCGGTCAGAGTTGCAGGCTCCAGAGCCTGCGCAAAAGGGGGGCGTCCCGCGTGAACGCTGAGGGGACAGGAGCACAGCGACTGATCGGCGCTTGGGCCTGATTGAGACAGGCGGGCAGGGATACGATGCGACACATGCAGGCCATCGCGATGCTGTTTTCAAGCAGAACACACCGCAGCGACACCGGCTTGCGACACTGACCTGCGACACCGTCCTGCGACATCGTCCTGCAGCATGGCATGGGTCTGGTCGTGTGCTCGGTATCGCCATGATCACTGGGTGGTACACGGCCCCCTGGGTTTGGCCGCTTGTCCGTGATGCCTGCGCCACGGACGGCCCACGCGCCGCGGCTCGTGCCAGAGCGCCACCGAGCGCGCACGGCGCAGCCACACAGACACTGTCCGGTGCATGTGGCGCAAGGATCCGGCGCGTTTGTATCCATGATGCCGCGTTATTGTGCGCGCCGCGCCGGTATTCACTGGACGCCTTGGCTGGTACTTGCGGCGCCGCGGTTGGCCCGTGTCGCACAAGACGCGTCGCCGTTGCCCGCGACAGCCAACTGGCCCCCCCATCCGCTCTTGTTAAGCCATTTCTGTTGCCGCTGTGCGACCCCGCGAGCGCGCTCTGTTGGCCTTCCTGCGGCCGCTGTCGCTGTGTTCTCGCCTGGCTCTCTCGTCCACAAGCCTGCCCTCGGTGTTTGTGTGCTCTCGCTGTTGGCCCTCGCCCCAGGCTTCTCTCTCTCTCGCTCGAGCCTCTCCTGTCCTCGACCTGGGCCGTGGTTCTTGGCCCTTTCTTGTCTCGACGTCTGGGACGAAAGCCCCCCTCTCCACCAACACCAACACCAACACCAACACCAGCGCCGACGCTGCGATTCTCCCACCCCCAGCCGGCGCCCTCTCCTCTCCAACCCCGTCCTGAATCTCCTCTGGTGCCGGTGCACATTCACACGCAAGCAGGTCGCCGGCCATGTCCACTTTGCGATGGAGCAACCCCGCGGGCTCTGACCAATCGTCTCGATTCCGGTCGGCCTCCGGGCGGCCCGACACCCAAGACCTCGCCTGGCTCCGAGAGGCTGTCGAAAGCGGCGATCCCGATGCCCAGGCCTATGTCGGAAACTGCTTCTTCTATGGCTGGGAAACCGAGCGCAACTTCACCCAGGCCGTTTCGTTCTACCGCCTGGCGGCCCAGAACGGCCATCGCGAGGCCCAGTTCCACCTTGGCGAGGCTTACTTTGAGGGTCTTGGTGTCGAAAAGAACTACGAAACGGCAATATACTGGTACCGGAAGGCCGCGGATCAGGGCGAGCTGAACGCCTGCACTGCCCTGGGCTACTGCTACTTCAACGGCATCGTCTTCTCGGTCGACTACTCGGTGGCCTACATGTGGTACCGCAAGGCTGCCGAAGGCGGCAACATCGACGCCGCCTTTGAGGTCGGCAACTTTCACTTCTACGGAAAGGGTGCCAGCCCCGACACCGCCCAGGCCGTGCTCTGGTACCAGCTTGCTGCCGAAAAGGGCCACTCCGAAGCCCAGAGTGTCCTCGGCAAATGCTTGCTCGACGGCATCGGCGCCGCCCGTGACTCTGCTCGAGCGATCCACTGGCTCAAGGCATCCGCGGACCAAGGCAACTCCAGCGCCCAGCTCGAGCTCGGCAAGTTCTATATCGACTCGACCCACCCCGACCACAACAGCGACTATGGTGTACAGCTGATCAAGATGGCTGCAAAACAAGGAAACTCGCTTGCCCAGGTGCAGCTTGGAATCTGGTAAGCCGCACACAGTATGCTCCCACAAGCGCCTGGTGCTGCATCATCGCTGCCGGTATCCACTGTTGCCTCCGATCGGAATCTATCTTGCGTAGACTCCTCCTACTCGGCCATCGCGCTCGCACATGCATCCATCTGACATCATCGCCGCGCTCTCTGTCTTGTGATGGCACACCAGTTTCAGCGAAGGCCAAGGCGTCGCCTGCGATCCCGTCCAATCCATCCGATGGCTCCGCGCTGCCGCCGACCAGGGTGAGTCTGAGGCCCAGTATCTCCTTGGCAACGCCTTCCTCGAGGGTAGCAGCGGCATGCCCCAGGATGACGCCCAGGCCGTGCTCTGGTATCGCCGTGCTGCCGAGCAGGGCCACCCCACCGCCCAGTACAATCTCGGAAACGCCTATTTTGATGGCACGGGTGTGCCTTGCGATTTCTCGACGGCCGTATACTGGCACCGCAAAGCTGCCGATCAAGGAAACGTCTACGCCATGTTCAACCTCGCCAACAGCTATGCCGAGGGCCTTGGCATCGAAAAGAAGCCCGAGGAGGCCCTCAAGTGGTACGAAAAGGCCGCCTCGCTCGGCGACCCGGATGCCCAGTTCGAGCTTGGCAACATATATCTTGCCGGCAATGACATCGTTGAGCCCGACTCGGCCAAGGCTGCCAAGTATCTCCAAGACGCCTCAAACTCTGGCCATGCTGAAGCCATGTCCGCCCTCGCGAGCTGCTACTTCCTTGGCCAGGGTGTCGAGATGAACCTGCCCGTTGCCTTTGATCTCAACTATCGCGCCGCAAACCTGGGCAACCCGAACGCCATGACGGGCCTCGGGTTCCATTTCCTCGATGGGCTCGGTGTCGAGCAGAACCTCGAGGAAGCCGTCGTGTGGCTCCGGAAAGGTGCTGAGCAGGGCCATCCCCTGGCTGCCCTTCGGCTGGCCGACTGCTATTTCGAAGGTCTCGGCGTCCCGCAGAATCCAGGCGAAGCCGTCGTGTGGTACCGCGTTGCCGCTGCCGCCGGCATCCTCGAGGCCCAAAACAACCTCGGTGACTGCTATCTCAAGGGCATCGGCGTGGCCCCGGACTGCTCGATTGCCATCAACTGGTTCCGCAAAGCAGCCGACGAAGGCTTTGACCTGGCGCTTGTTGGCCTGGGCGAGTGCTATTCCCGCGGCGGACGGGCCGTGCCAAGGAACCCATCCAAAGCGTACGCTCTGTTCCTGCAGGCTGTCGACCTGGGTCAGCTCGAGGGCCTGGTTGAGCTCGGTCACTGCTTCTACTACGGCGAAGGCGTCGAGCAGGACTACTTCCAGGCCGTGGCGTACTACCACCAAGCCCTCCAGGAAGGCTCCGTTACGGCGACAGCGGCGGCCAACTTGGCCCACTGCTTCGAAAATGGCCTCGGTGGCCTCCCGATTGATCCGCGCCAGGCCCAAGTGTGGCAAGAGGCCAGCCTGAAGGAAAGCAGCACCCTTGAGCGGCCGTTTGGCGCCAGCTACGAGTCGGGTAACTACCCTGATGCGGACGCCCCGTCAAGAGCCTTCAACCGATCCGACAGCAACAAGAAGAGCATCTGGAAGCAATTCTGGTCGCGCGTCCGGAACGGTGTCAAGGGAGTCAAGGGCCGCGGTGGCAAGCGTAACAGCTTCATCGAATAAGTGTCCATCGTTGGCACGTTCGGTGCTGGAACTGTGTCTACTCTTTCTATCGTTCCGCATGACAGCCCAGTGTTTCGATTGTGAGCGAGTTCGACTTGATTAGGCGCCTCATCTCCATTCGTTGTCCAAAAATCCCATCTTTCTCTTCGCTCTCACTCGCTGTCCGCATGTTCTGCTGCTGCCATGCATTATCGCACCTCAATCCCGCCATATCAGCCGATACTGTGTCACTTCATGACTTGCTCTCTCTCCTCCCCGGCTTCCTTCATCCCTCAGAGCGACGGGGGTTTCTCTGGCATTCTCCCATGCTCTCCTGCCATGCCCGCTCCTTCTGCCTTTGACGCACCTTGCCTTTTTAATTTATGAGCATTACCTCACCGGGCCCGCCTTCCCTTCTATTGGGCGGTCGGTGCAGCCCTGGCTGTTGGTGACCTAGATTTGACACTGCTGTCAGAGAACTACCTGCTTCAAAGCCCCCACCCCGCTGTCTCCGCTTCTCCTCTTTGCAATCTCGTTGTTTTTGGCCAAGTGCTTCCCTCTTGCTTGCTCGCTTGCTTTTTTTTTTTTTTACCACTTGCTCTCCTCGCATGTGCTTCTTTCGTTTCCATTTCCACCGTTCCCACTCCATTTCCCAGCTAGAGTGCGCCCAAGGTTCGAGGACGGGGCTAGATGGTACGCCCCCGCTCTCGCCCAACGCCGCCCCGTGGTCTGTAGATATGCTCAAGAACGGATTGTGCCGCAGCAGAATGAGCAACGTTGCCGCTATTCCATACACCTCAATACAGCTCTTCCAACGAAACCATGTTGCAGGTGCAATGTACCCAGTGGTTTGAGCGACTCAGTCACATTTATCGGACAACAGCGATATTCGGGATAGATGCGCTCTCGCCGTGTTATGAGCAGGACAAATGAGCCTGTCCAATCTTGGCTTGCGTGTGGACACAATCTTTGGTCTTCGGTTCGATGCCTCATTTGGCGCGGACGAGTTGCCAGCAAAGTCGTTGTTGACCCGCTAACTTGTGGCGCACCTGCAAGTTGGGATGTAGAGTCAGCCAGACCCATCCTCAGTCAAAACACTGCGCCATAACAGACCAGCCAGAATCACATGAACAGCAAGCTACTTACAACAAGGCGACACCTCGCAGGATCCAGTAGTCCGGGTTCTGTTGGGTCTTGAGCTCGATATCGAAGATGTAGTTCAGATCCGTGCGGCGAGGTCTTCGATAGACTGGACAGCGGTACAGGCGCGGATCGCCGTCGTCGGTCGAGTTGGTTGCGCTGACATGGACGACAGGCATCATCTGGTAGATGACCTTGGGCTGCGACTCGGTGAGGCGAATGTTCTTGCGGTCCCATCCGGCGCCTTCGATAAACAGACCGTGGATATAGACACCTTCTCCCGGTGGAGCTGTGATGTCTTCCTTCATTTGCTTCATTACTTCGTTGGCAAGCTGGACGACAAAGTTGGAATAGGCGTGATAGCGGCGTGTGTGTCAGTCTTGAGTCTGGCGCCATGACCGTCTCCAACTCTGACGTGCCCTCCGTCAACTCTGAATACTGCTGTGCATCTTGGTGCCGAGCTTTTTCGTCACAATACACTCGATCCCGCACCACACATCCGGTCAGTGTTCGCCTCACATACCTTGACACTATCCAGTGCCCATCCCTGGTGAGCACGCGTAATTTCCTGCCGGATTGCCGTCAGGAAGCCTTGCGGGTTGAAGAAACCGCTGAGCCAGAACACGAGCGGTCGACCGTCATAGAGCCATGTCTGGAACTGTGCAATGCGGTTCAGCAGCTCGGTGTACCACAGTCCAAGGGTCGACGACTGCCACGAGACCTTGACCCATGTCTCGGGCACTCGGGCGTCATAGAGCGCATCGAGAGCGTTCTGCAACTGGGCGCTGTAGATGATGGTGCCGTCTATGGCCAGTTTCAGATCGCTCAGGGTCGAGCGCACAATAGATATCACGACCTGCATGCGGTCGACCTCCTGCCCTACAAAGATGTTGAGGGGCTTGGGTCCACCCTGCTTCTGGATGCAGGATTTGACTCGGTTCTTGTCAAAGTCCTCGGGCAGCTTGCTGAGCAAGTCGTTGGCCATACGCTTGACGGCATCTTCGCGAGTCTCGCCTGAGCCAGTATTGCTATCCTTGGGCTGGATCGACATGATGGTATCTGCAGATCAAGACGTTGTTAGCACTGAAGTAAGAGTACTCGGGCAAAAGTGCAATTCACCCTCTGCGCCGAGTCCAATCGTCGGAAGCATTACGACGGTTGACGCCCCCTGTTTCTGAAACCAACAACGTCTCTTGCTGTGAGCCGACTCGTCCGTCTTACCAAGCATCTTCTGTGATTCCTTTGTCTGACTCGAAATGTCGGCATTCGGATGCAGTCCAAATACATCGGGTGTATCGATTAAGGGAAGTGACTCGATCGACTGGCGGTACTCTTCGACCGACTTGAGATGCGGGATCGTGTAGCCTTTGTAGAAGTTGAACGAGTCTGCAAACATGTGGTCTCCGAACCACACCTTGCCGTATGTCGCCAGTAGGCGCCTACGCACACAAAATGGTGGCATTTGGGGACCGGAAGCATCAGCGCTGAGTGATACTGTCGGATACAGTCCGATTCTCAATCGATTTCCCAGCACGAGCTTGATTATAACTCACCGATCAAAATCGTCTGTAACTCGCCCGCCGTAGTGCACCTCGCAAAACATGTATCGTGCTGTCTGCCACGAGATGTTTGCCTTGGGAGCCAGTTCATCGACGTGGTTCTGCACGAACTGCACACTTGCAGCAAGATCTGACTGGTTGAACTCGTACGGAATGTTCCAGCCCAGAGGACCAAACTTGCGCCGTTCCTGAACGACCGAGTGCAAGAATGCAAGTCCGTAGAGGAGCGGCTTGTATTGCGGACGAGCGCTCATGTCGAGCATATCCTGCGTGAACCAGGCATAAGTGCGCTTGAGTCCGGCTTTGATGCCCTGTGGCGGTTCGTTGGTGAACTTGATTGACATTTGCAGGAATGTGATCGGGAACTTGGGGCTCACGTCGACAGTGATCCACAGCCGGAACTTCTCGTGGATGTACTCAGTTTCCAGAATCATGCCCAGCAGCTCCTCCATAAACGGCAGGCCCAAGTGGCAGTTTTGCAGCAGTGCCCATCCGCCGTTGGTCATGAATACCGAGAGCAGCTTTCGTGCATGCACCTCTTGGCCCTGTCCCATCGAAATCGCCTTCATATCGATTTTGTGTTTCTTGGACAGATTCTCAATATCTGCGGATGGATCGGAGCCCTGCGAAAGCAGGCAAATCATCGGCGTGCGATTGTCCGACTCTTCAAGCAGTGCGTCGAGATCCAGAATCTGCGACTCTGCAAAGCGTGTGGTCATGGAACTGGCAATGTACTGCTTTGCCATCATGATCGAGCGATCCAGGCACCAAGAGCGCACCAACAGCAGCCGCTTGAAGGTGTCCAGCGAGTTTTGGTAGCCGCTTGGCAGCATTTCGTTCTCCGGTGCGTCTCGCTCATACCACGACTTCCACGCCTTTTCGTTTTTGCCAACCTGGTTGAGAAGATCGCTAAAGCCAGGCATCTTGCTCAATGCCACGAGGTTGAGCCAGGTCATATCCGGGATCCAGTTGAACGGCTTCTTGACCACCGTGTTGATATCCAAGGCGGCGCCTCCCTTGATCAGGCACCGAAATTCCTCGTGCATCAGTCGATTCATGGAGATGTCGATTTTGATGGCCAGCAACAGCACAAAGAGGGTCTTGTGGACTTCATACAGACCACGGACGACGTACGAGAAAGCCCGGAATGTGCAGTACTCGATAATGTTCTGGATGCGTTTACTCGGGATCGGAGAAGGTTGGCTCTTTTCCATGCTTTCGTCAAAGAGCTGCAGGAACTGCTTGAGCGATGTCTGGTACATGACATTGACCATGCTCATTTCAGCAATCAAAAAGTATATGATACTGCCGCGGCTTGCAACGGGGCGATACTCTTCACGGGCAATACCGATTTTCTTCTGGGTCTCGGCTGCAATCATAAGCTTTTCGTTGACCTCCTCTGCCGTGGTCTTGGTCACGGCGAGCACCTCAATCAGCGACTCGTCATCCACGAGCGACCCCTGGGTCGACGTCAGGCGGTGGAGCAGGTTGTCTTCGAGCTGCTTCATCTTCTTCTTGTTGGTATTGACATCTTCAAGGAGCTTGGCTCGCTCCGTCTCCAGCTCTTGCTTCTCGCGCATGATGACACGGCCGAGGAGCTGCTCCTCAAGACCTTTGTGAGTGACAGTAAAGTCGATAATGGAGCACTTTGCATAGATTTCCGGGTTGTAATTGGGGTTGGGAAGCTTGGTGGTGATGAAGAGCGAGAACCCTTCGGTGTAGTCAATCTCACGATCACCAAACACCACCTTGTATGATCGACCGGCGCGGATCAAATTCTTCTCGAGGATGTTGTCGAGCGTGGGATCCATGGCTTCCTCAACATCTTCAATCAACAGCGGCTTGCCTTGGCTCACAGAATCCTCGACATGCTGACGGAAGTACTTGTGGCTCAGGTTGGTGACCTGGAGCTTGTTGGCCTCCTCACGCGCCTTGATCCAGGTCTTGGCCTGGTTCTGTGGATCGATCAGCAGCGGATACCGAGTGCCTCGGGTCACGATGATACCATTCTGGATCGACAGTTCGTCGGTAGGGAGACCCTGGATGTTCCATTCTCCGATCGTGGTGTTGTCCACGAGCAGTCCAATGATGTTCAAATTCTCGGTGTGCGGAATCTTGCGTCGCACCAGCTCCTTTGTCCAATCCGAGAGCAAACCGCTTCTGAAGGCCTGATTGAACGGCCCGCTGTACGAAAGAAACGCCGTGGCTAGAATCACATCGCCGACAAGCTTGCCAATACGCTCAGCAAATTCGCGACTTTGGATCGTCCACCGATCCTTCTCGCCCTTCAGACCAGAGATCAGAGCTGTGGCCGCGTTCATCTTGCGCTTGCAGCTGTCGGCGTCCGCCTGGAGGGCCTGCTTGCTGGCAATGGCGTTGTTGTACTTTTCGTTGAAGACGTCAAGCTCGGCTTGCTTTTCGTCGAGGGCTTGCTGTGCCTTGTTCAGATCGGTCATGGCAATCTCTAGCTTGTGCTCTTGAATGATCAGATTGGCCTTGAGCGGAATGACTTTCTTGTTGACGGAGTAGTAGACGCTCATCGCACGCACCCACGAAGCAAGACCGGCAACATCGGCCGACACCTTCTTGGCGCCTTCGAGATTGAAGTCGGGCATCTCCAAAAGCACATCGAGCAGCTCGACGGTCTCTTCGTTGATCTCATCCTTGGCAAAGTTCATCAGCGACGCCAAAAAGTCAGACTGACTCATGAGCTTGAGAGCATCGCTCCAGGATGGCTTGGGGCACGGCCGCTCCGGGTCTTGGGTCGTGAGATCAATGCGTCTCTTTTGCAGGAGCAGCACGCCGTCCATGATACGCATGATGAGATGCGGAGGTTTGGCCAGCTTTCGAACCGTGGCAATGTGTGCCGGCTGGATGGAATTGAGGGCATTTGTGGCTTCTTCGAGCGCCGGCTTGGCCGCCTCGAGCTGGGACTCTGCATAGGTCTTGTCGGCTTTGATTGCGTTGGCGATGGCCTCGGATTTGGTTTTCACCTTGAACACGGCATCCTTGACCTTCTCGGCGGCGGCGGTACTGGCTGTAACTTCCACCAGGACGGCATCGGCGGCCTTTGAGGCAATCGCCAGCTCTTTCTCCTTCACCACAAGCTGTTCTTGAAGGGTTGCAACGGACTTGGAAGCCTCCAATAGCTTGGCAAGACCCATGTTCATGCGATCGGACAAGATACCGACCTCTTCGCGCTTGACTTTGTAGAGAGACTTGTATGAATTGAGGAACGATAGATACGATTTTGGTGTGACATGGGTGCGGCGACGGAACTGCGAAAAGTAGTTGTCGCAAGCTTCAGTGACAACGTCGTGAACGTGGGCAATGTGATATACAATCTCCTTCTTGATTTGATCCGATCCGACAATGTCCATCTCGCCGGTGAACTTCTCGGCGACTGCGCGCAAAGCCTCGTTAGGCCACCTTGTGAACCAATCCATGGTGCATCCCGAGACCAGACCAGGGAACTTGAGCGACCGGTTTCGGAACTTGTCTCCAACGGGCGAGAAGCAGAGCACCACATGCAGGTTGGCCTTGACACGGTCGATGAAGAACTGCCACAGATTCTCGATGGTATCGGGAACGTTGGGCCGCTGTTTCTTGAGGGCTGGACGCAAATCGGAGGAAATGCCAATGATTTCGTCCTTTGGAAATAGGTTGGTGATTTCTCCCGAAGTCAGGATGTTGTTGATGTATCCAAGGAAGATCTCCTCTTTTACTTCGTTGTCGGTGAAGATAAAGGTCAGCGATCGCCCCTGCGCACCGGCAACCTTGTACATAACCTTGAGATCCTCCATGAGGTTGGATGTACCGTAGCTCTTGGAGATGGCAATCTGGAAGACCTGGCTTTTGGCAATAAAAGCCGCGAGCTTGGTGAGGGACTGTTTGCCGGAGCCTCCGACACCGACAAGGAGACCATTGCCTCTGGGGGTCCGGATGATTCTCGAGATGCGGGCAATGTGTTTCATGGCATCTTCAAAGAGCACAAGGTCCATCTTGGATCCACGGATGTTTTCGTTGTACTGCTTCATGAACTCGTTCAATCTGTCCTTGAGCCCCTCGAAGGAGGGAATCCTCTCGTACACCTTGCATGCCTCCGGATCAATCTCCACCTCCGGGTCGTCGACCTCTGGCGGCTCGCGTAAAAAGTCAACAAAGTAGCTCTTTGTCGACACTGCACTGGCCATATCGTCGCCAAACTCCTTCTGCACGATGTTGACCATGGTTTTGGCAAACCAATCAATGTCCTCGCCCGTGATGAAGCGGTCCGGAATGACGCGCGAGCACTCGTGCTCCCAGAGATTCAGCAGCGCCTTGGAGTTGACAATGACCTCGGCCGTGGCAATCAGCATGCCCTCGACGATGCGAGACAGATCTCTCAGGTTGAAGATATAGTGGAACTTTGCCGGTGTTGGAAGCATCTTGACCTTGGTCATCTGCCAGAGTCGCCGGGTCAGCGACGGGAATCGCTTGACGAACTCAGTCACGTCTTCTGGGAACTTGCGTGACTCTGAAAAGTGGCCTTCGAGCATGGTTCCAAAGATCTTGTCCACAGAGACATCGGAGGGAATCGTGCAATTAACGACGACGAACTGCCGCTTCAGACGACTTGGAATGTCGTTTCGGCCGCCACCAGGATGCATCATAGCCCCGAGGAAGTTGAGATCGACAATCGATGTCCAGTCGCCTGTTGGCATGGTAAGTGTCAGTCGTGGCAATCCGATGCGACGGATCAGTCGCTTGGTCCGAGTGTCTATGCACAGCAACCTGCCTGGTGCACCACACAAGTTCGTGCACAGCGCATACCTGGTCTGTCGAGGGAATAAAATCCCTGATACTCCATCAGCTGGCGCAGGAGCTCGCCCGTAACCTGGTCACCCCACTCGTTGATCTCAGGCATGTTGATATCATCGATAAAGAGAATCATTTTCTTGCCAGCCGGCGGGCCATAGGTTGAGCCCATGCGTTTGTCCAGGTAACTTTCGACCGTCCGCTGGAAGATCATGGGCGTCGTGGCGGACGAAAACGACAAGTTCTTGTAGAGGTGAGTCTCTGGATTGAGCTTGGCCAGGAACTTTCGCACCGTCACAGTCTTGGCTGTGCCGGGCTCGCCGATCAGCAGCACTGCTTTCTGCTGCTTTGTTACCGTTTCCATGAGGAACTCGACACGGACGTTGTCAACAGTCGGAATGATCACGCTCGAAAACTCGGGGGTTGAATCTTTCGGATAGTTCCACTCCGGAACGCGCTCTCTCCAGTGTACCCACTTGCCGCTCTCGTCGACAAAGTATTCATAGAAGGTGTCCTGGGTGTTTGGGTCGAGCTCGGGATACTTCAGATGTGAGCATTTTTCAAGCAAAAAGCTCTGCAGCTTCTTTCGCTCATCCAGCTCAAGGAGGGCACCGATCGCCCAGATAAGCGAAAAGATGTACAGGCGCTCCAGATGCTCCCCCGAAACGGTCTTGTTGGGGTCGACCTTGGGGTCGATCTTGGGAATCAAGCCTGTCAGTAGCGTTGTCGCATTTACCACGTAGGTTACCTTCTGGATGTACATCTTAGGATGCAGCTCAAGGAACAAGAAGTTGCTTGCCAGTCCAAAGCTGGACGTGAAGAGAGGCTCGAGCACGGCTATTTCGCTCGCAGAGCGCGATTTGAACCAGGATTGCAGCACAATGTCCCAGGACAGCGCGATGACGCCAATATAGATCATTCCGCAGCGGCTGACTGTCGCCGGGGATGCGTTGCGCAAACTGTGGACCTCGAAGGTCAGCTTGCATGCCGAGGACATGGGAATGCGGTCGCCGTTGGCAAGAGTAAGACACTTGTTGTCGTCCAGCACACTGTTGAGGTTCTCGATCCAGACAGCATCGACAGGGCCATCGAGCACAATCCACACAGTCTCGCCGCGCTTCTTGAGCGTCTTTCGCCACAGCGAGGAGAAGATTCCATCTGTCCAGTCGTTGGTGGCGACATCGAGTTTGCCAAACATCTGGTAATCGGTGATGGCCTTTGGATTCATCCGAAGCTCCTTGTGAGGATCCCCACACGCCGTCTGCGCCTTGAGCAGTGCGTTGATGCACTTGGTCTTTCCTGTCCCCGTCGGACCAAGGACCATGATTCCGTGTCGTACCCGGGCCGTTTCGTACAGCTGAATCACTTTGAGCGTCCATGGTGGGTGGCTGATCAGGTTGGCGTCCATGAGTTGTTGGTCGATTGCAGCCTCGACGGTGGGGTAGCTACTCTTCTTGGCGATGAGCCCCGGGAACAGGTCGTTGATCAGCGACAGAAACACGGCCTCGTCCTCATCGACCAACTTGGAGAGATTCATGTCTCGCAACACGCGCATGATAATCAGGTTCTCGCTATCTTCGGGGCTGCCTCGCTTGACAGCACCGCAAGTTCGGAGCACGGAAAGGATGTTGCGCAGGCCAAAGTCGTAGTGGACCTGTCGCGAAAGCTGCTGTTCGCAGAGACCGTACAGGACAAAGAACTTCTTGGCCAAGATGATGTTGTTTAGGAAACCGCAGCCAGCAAGCTTCACACGGATGATGATTTGCCGATCCGGCACCATCATCGCCACGTATCGGAAATGAACCTTGAGGTTTTCGGGAAGCTCGACACGTCCTGCATAGCCAGGATTCATCGTGATGAACATACCGACTTCCGGATTCAGCTCGACCGTATCTCCGTCGGTGAAGATGAAGGTGGTTTTTCTCTCCTTCCTCGCTGATAATACGCATCCGATTTGCTGGGCGGCCACCGAAAGCACAGGCAGCTCGATCCGGTTGAACTCATCAAAGCAGCCCCAACTTCCGCTCTGTGCCAGCCCCTTGTAGATGCGGCCGAGACCTCGGTAGTCCATCTGGTCCGAGCAGTTGAAGACGACAACCCACTTGGCCAAGTTCTTGCCAAGGTCCTTCACCGACTCGGTCTTGCCCGTTCCGGCGGGCCCGGCGGGCGATCCGCCCAGGGACATACCGATGGCCTGGGCAAGGGTGATGTACACTCGATCCGTAAGCGGCGTAATGACAAGTCTGTCTGTGCACCCGAGGTACTCGCACTGATAGCGAAAGTCAAAATTGGTAATCGACACTATGCAGCAGTCCTTTGTTTCGTGCCAGTAGAAGCGCGCCTGCTTGAGCCACTCGAAATCCTCGGGCGATTTGATGTGGGCCTTGTAGAGCTTTTCAAAGACATCGCGATGGTGCACCTGGATGGTGATGAAGGTTTCGTACTTGGTGCGGTCCATCTTGGTCAAGTCCTTGGTGGTGACGTCGATGAGGGCATTGAGGATCTCGGTGATGCGCTGGTTGGCGTTTGCCATCGCCTTCTTGTCGGTTTTCGAGTTGGTCAGCGCATCCTCGCACATCTGGGTCCACTGGATCTGCAGACACAACAAGCCAATCTGCGCGGGATACTCGTCGAGAAACTTTTGCATCGGCACGTCGTTGACACGGCTTGCGGCTTCGCGGATAACATCGTTGACTGTGATTTGCATGCACTTGAGCAGCGTTCCCAGCCACACCTCGACATTTCCGACCGCGAGCATAGGCTTGCTGAGCGTCACATGTTCGCCTTCGGACGACTCGATTGCAAGGATCTTGTCATACTCCTTTTCATGGAACTGCACCGAAGCTATGTTGTCAAAGACACTCTTCAGATGGGCTTGGATCGTGTGGGAGTCGCTGGCTTGTCCCAGAATTTCAAGCAGAGCAGGATCAGACACAAAGTAGAATCGGGGGAAAATGGCGCGCTTCGATTCCAGATATCCACTGAGGGACTTTTGGCAGAGCTCCAGCTGCTCAGTCAGGTGAGGAAGCAGGTTGGCAATGGTTTCGTCAAGAACACAGCACTGGATGACGTTTGGGTGTTCGTTGGCCAGACCCATGATCTTGCACCACGACTTGTCGATGTTGCTGAAACGCTTGGCCTCCTTGGGCATCTGCTTGGCGATGTCGCCGCCAACAAACACAGCCTCAAGATAGATCCACAGATTCTGCACCGCCAGCCAGTTCTCAATGACTTCAGACGCAGTGCTGAGATTGTGCACCCAAGTCTGGATCTCGGCCTTGAACGGTGCGTTGTACCGGTTGCTCATCAGGGACGCCAAGGTCATCAAGCTGTCCTCCATCTGCGAGATAATCTCGCTGGTGGACGAGGGCTTGAGGATCAAGTTTCCGCGGTTCTTGAACCCAGCCAGCACAAAGGTCTTGTCCTCCCACTCAGCAACGACGAGCTTGAGTTTGATCTCGATGTCTGCCTCCTTGACAGCACCTGTGCAGATATCCTCAATGTCCTCCTTTTTCTCCGTGAGAGGCGCATCCAACAAGTTCTTGAGATAGAACATATCTGGGTCGAGGTTAAACTCGGTCTTGGTGATGGACATGATGGCGTCCCAGTGTCGCTTCTGCATGCCCTTGTTGGTCATCATCTCCAGCAGTGGCACCGTCGCCGTCAGCGTATCGACAATCTTTTTGAGCTCTAGGAAGGCGTCCCAGTCTTTGATGGCTTTGGGAAGCTTCTTGATCTTGTTCTGGAAATCGTTCATGTCGGTATTGATCTTGTCGAGGTTCAGATCAGACCAGAGGGTCTCGTTGTACTGCGCACGCTTCTCGAGCACGTCGTTGTACAGGCTGTAGAGGTTCTGCAGCAGCTTGAGCTCCTTCTTGATCTTGGCAAGGGTCGGAAAGGGCGTCACAGGCAGGTTGAAAAGCTCCTCGCCGCCGGTGTAGGTCTCCCACTTTCGATTGAGCTCATCAAAGGCGCGCTGGAAGACATTTAGCCGCTCGCTGGCCGTCTTTGGCGGGATGTTGCTGACCATGGGGCCATTCTCGTTGTACTCGGCTGTAAAGTCCTTCACATCCGATCCGAACTTTTGCACGGCGCTGATCAAGTCGGCTTTGAAGATGGGCTGGATTTTGCTGAGATGGGCTTGAACATCAATCACCAGCTGCTTGAGCTTCTTCCAGCTGTATCGCAGCGAGTCTGCCATTTCGGTCTCTTCCTTGGTCACGGCGATGCTGTGTTTGTTCAGGAGTAGGTACGCCTCCTCGATGGGAGCGACCTTCATATCAATATCCACCTCGGCCTCGCGAATCTCGCTCAGAGTCTGAACGGCCATACGCAAATCGTCAATGTCGGAGATCTTGCGGCTGAGCCGGATGGTCTTGTTTTCCATATACTCAATCAGCTCCTCCATGTCTCGCTTGACCTTTTGGTTGAGGTTAAAGCCGTACTGCTGCTTCCACTCCTTGGTCTCGGAGATAAGAGCCAGCTTCAGTGGTTCGGACGAGATAAGCAAAAGCCCAATCTGCGTCGTCGACGGTATCTCGGTGATTTCTCGCTCGATCGACTCGTATTTGTTGATCTCCATCTCAAAGTCGCCGATCGTTGGGTTTTTGGCCAGGAAAGCCTGGATGGTCTCGGTCTTGTCGTCCTTCCACAGAAAGTCAAACTTGCTAAACTGCTCACGGTGCGACTCAACGTCCTTCTTCATCGAATTGACCGTCGACGAAATCGTCATGATGACTTTGAGCACGTCTTTGTTGTTGGCGACCTGCGCCGTGTCCTCCGGAACATGTCCAGTGACCTGGTCGTCCGGACCGCTCAGAAACACGCGCCAATTGAATGTCACTTTCTTTGAGACCTCCACGATCATCCCGGCAGCTTTGTTGAGTGCCGTCTGGATGTCCTCCAGCTTTGGTTGGAGCACAACGCTCGGAATTAGTAGGACGAGCTCGGACTTGAAGAAGGGCTTCTGACTCGACGCCTTGTTATACTGGGCACTGGTGTAGTTGCCGAGTCGGAACCTCAGGGCGTCGAGTGAGCCCTTGATGCATTGGACTAGGGCCTCAAAGTTTTGGTAGTTGAAGTGGTAGTAGACGCTTTCGTATGCAAGCTTGAGCTCAGGATTGATTGGAGTGGGCACGCCTTTGGACAGCTCCATGATCAAATCCCGCGTCGCGCTTTCAATCAGGTTGCTGCGATTGTTGATGGTTTGCATCACCGAAGCGCATCGGCTCTCTGTTTTCTCCAGGAAAATATCTACAGTCCACTGTTCGTGATCAGATGGAAGCTCGCAGAGCGATAGCTCAGCAATCTTGTGGACCCCGTGGTTGATCCGGCAGGAGGTAATATCCAGCAACTTGTCGACGAGTTCATCCATCCTAAACAGCTGGTTATTGTTTGCGCCCAAGTAGGCATCCAAGTTCAGCGAAGTCCTGTGGCAGTATATTTGGAATCAGCTCGGGCAAATCGGTTCGCCGCTTGGACAAAGCAATCAGCCACAGCCACAGCTACTGCCGCAGCTACAGTTTCGGCCACATTGAGCGTCCCGTTGAGGAGAAAGTGCTCACCAAGTCAATGCCGTGAGTCCGGGCTGGAGGGTGTGATCAAGCTCGTCAATGTGCGGACCCATGGCCCGCCTCAGAATATTCGAGACCCTCTCGAGTATTCGCTTCTTGTTCTGCAGAGCCTGCACCAGTCCGCCGTAGAGGCTCTTGTAGTACATTTCCTTCAGGCATATGTTGCGGACACTGTCAGGGACTTCCAACCCGAGTCGCTGCATGTACTTGGTTTCTTTGATCAGCTGGATGATCTGGGGATCAAAGTTGACAAAGAGGTTGTTGTCTGGATCGACGACGAGCAATGTAGCCTGAAGCCCCGTTTTGGCCTGATCGACGATGCTGAACCAAGATTTGTGCCAGAGCACCTCGAATTCGATCAGGGCACGTGCAAGCTTGTTGTAGTTGCGGATGTGCTTCTTGGCCTCGGAGCTCTCCAGAACGCTGGTGCTTTCCTTGAAGTGCTTCATGGGCGTTTCGATGCGCCGATAGAGTTGGCGGGCCCAGGCGATCGCTCCGCTGACGGGAGGTGTGTTTCGGGGAATTGGCGGGCTATCCTTGTACTTTTGGTAGATCTTCCGGACGCCTTCGAGATCACGCCGAGTGTAATGAACAAAGACTTGGTGGTACTTGGACTCGAGATCAAGCTGCATATCCTTGATCTGGCTGAACTTGCGCAGCAGGGAGAGCGATTGCTCGGTCGAAGTGATATGCTCGAACGATCGATCGATGAACTCTTGTATGCTGGCCTCGAGATCGCTGATCTGCTTCTTGAAGCTGACGTAATCAGAGTCATATTCCTGGACGTATCCAAGTTTCAAAATATAGTTAGGCAAACCGAGACATTATCGCAAGACCAAGCCTCGGACCCATCCGTTTTCACAACACGACGGTCTCAGGTATGCGGCATAACCATCCCGCCAAGTATCTCGCGTTCCTCGATCTGCTCACCATCTTTCTGTGGTCGAGAATATCGTATGGTTTGCGCTGCATCTGCATCATGATGTTGGAAAACCTCTTGATCGTCAAGTCCATGCCCTCGATTCCGAGCTTCTCCAATAACGAGAACTTTTCGATGACGCTGAACATGTCGATGACCTTCTGGATTCGCTTGCAGAAAGCATCAAACTTTCCAAAGATATACATCTCTGAAAAGTCAAACTGCTTCTCCTGAGGAGTCTCTTGGAGTTTTTTCTGTGGATTGCAAACATATCGATATCTGTTTAGTTGGCTCGAGTAAAATGCAATTGAGCAGTGGCAGTTGTGGCGACAGCAGGCTCTCGTCGAGGAAAATAGCTGCACGCCGTCGAGGTGGGCATGCATCATCTCAGCCATCGGGCCTGCATGCAAGAATCACAAACACACCTTGGTTTCGTGGAAGAATCGCTGGTAGGCTTCGTTCAGCTTTACGCATCGAGTCAACTTCTTGACGAGCTCTTGTCGATCCTGATCCCAGAGCTTGGATCCACCGTCCTGGCGACACCAAAGCGCTGGAGTGAGTCATCCAATCAATTGCCAAGGCACTGCCTTGAGTTCGCATGGCACGACACGGCTCGGCAATGTATTTTCAGGCCAACTTACTTTGTAAATATACTCTTTGCAGCTGGTGATCATCTGGTTGGTGATTTTGACAAACAGCGATGTCATGCGCTCAGAGGTGTTATAGTATCGCGAAATGCTGATGAGGGTGCCAGAAACCGTTTTAGCGACGACGGCCCGTGTGAATCAACCGTCCAGCACACACTGCGGCAGGGATTTCGACTGGCTTCGTTGGCTCTCTTGGACATCCGGAACCAGCACGTAAGCCCAGTTGTGACCGGTAATAGGCATGCATTCGAAACAAGTCCGCTACGGGCTTCTCTCCTGGCCAAAGCATCTTTGCCATACTTGCCTGTAGATCATCTTTATGGCGTTAATGAGACCCGGTATCGCCGGCACCATACCGACCGGATCGCTTTGATAGAGTGGATCGCAAAAGCGCTCCAGCGTGTAGAGGTACTTGACGTTATCCTGGGTTCCGATACAGCATTGTTCGGCAATGAGCGCTTTGAACACGGCCGCCGAACCAAGTGCAGCACGATCGTGTGCGGCTCGCTCGTAGCTCTCCAGCGAGCCCGACACCTACCTTTGATTCGTTAGCAGCATCTGTGACTCGGTTATCAAGGTCTTTCCAAGTCCTAAGTAGTGTTCGGCTCTTGACGGCATTGAGAATTCCAATGACCTTCTTGCAAATGGGGCTCTTGAGTTGGTCGGTGATGCTGTTGAATTTGACCATTCGCGCCTTCCAGTGTGCAAGCTCGGCGTTTGGTCCGATATCGTCGGCTTCCTTACGCATTTGCTCCGACTCGGCCAGGACCTGCTCGATTTGCTTGCACCACTCCGTGACAAGCCCTGGGAAGTGGATATATAATCATAAGTCGGCAGCATGCGCAGTATGTTGCATGGAGAGCGCAGCTAATAGCCATCCGTTTATCGGTGATGTGCGGAAATCACGCCAGCACGCCGAGGGAGAATGTACAGAAAGTGTCTGTTTACCGCACCGAGCCTCCATCCTATGCACCTACCTTCGAGGGCATCGATGACCTCCGGAGCATGCACTGCGTTGGGGTAATCGCTGGGCTTCTTGTAAGCATCAAGATCGATGGTGCATGGATGCAGCTGCACCGAGTCATGCAGGTTGACCATCGCTACGTCGAGATCCTCAACAAACTTCTCGAGAACCTCGAGGAAGGCTCGAACAGACTCGCTCTTTTGTCGGCTCAGGGCTCCCCAATTGTCCTACAGAAGTTGAGATATGGCAATCACAGCAGAGAGACGGTATTTGTTGTCAAGCGCGAATCAGGCATGGCCGATCAACGCCGGACCGACTCGTATATGTCAAAGCGCCGTTCCCGATCCCCTGCAAGATTCCTTCTCCTTGCTTGACCAGCCATGGCACCCCTGTATACGCCCTTCCCGTGCAATCGCATCAAAGCGTACCTGGGCCTTGAGGGCAGGCATCACCACGTGCTTGACCATGACCGTTAGGGACGGCAAAATGTTGGCGTTGATCAAGCCGAAGCTCACCTCGGTAAAGATGTTCTGAGCGGTGACGGCCTTGGTCGACGGTCGGATAAAGAAACATCCTTGGCCGCTGATTGCCTCTCGCGAGCCGTTGCTGACGACGAGCACGTTGGACTTTTGGGCGCCTGCAGCACCCTTCTGTGCAGCGAGCTCCTCCTGAAGCAAACAGCGATCAAAACGGAGGCCATGAGTCCGACAAACTTTGGAGGCCCATCAGGACGCGCATGCACGAAGTATCATTGGCGAATAAATGCACACGACGCCAATGAATGAGCCACATTGGCCGGCGGTAGTATTTTTTTTACCTTGGACGGGGCCTGCCAAAAGAATAGCACCTTCTTGGAGCCGCCTTCGGCGAAAAAGTCGTTGATGACATCGATCTTGTTGCCGATCAGCAGTGAGTTCTCGAGCGTGGCTGCCTTCTCGTCAATGTAGGTGCTGAACTTTTCCAGCAGATAGCGGTGTCGGGCATCGAGCGAAGCGCGTTTCTTCTCGGCAACGTTAACGGCGGCAGCCGGTTTGCGTTTCGAGTCGCCGCCTTCGTGAAAGAGGTTCGGGTTGGACCGGTGGAGATTGTCCCGGCTCCCCAGGGCAGCGCCGGACGACATGGATACTGAAACTCAGCAGCGGCTTCGGCCAGAAAAGTCGACGCGCGTGGGCGGGTGGACGCGAATGAGGACTTGGAACGAGGGCCAGTGTAAAAGACAGTATCGATTACGCGTATCAGCTGGCTGAGAATCGCGTGGGAAGGAGTGCGAGAGCGATCGGAATGGTGCAACGGGGAGCAAGGTACCTAGATGATAGGACGAGGGGCTCGGTAGAGAGCGGACGAGCAGGTGTGCCAGAGACTCCTTGCGGCGATAGATATATTCCGATGATGGGGCAGGGGGAAACGGTAGGGGTGGCTCAAGGTCAGGGGCGAGATGAAGGGAGGACGACCTCGAACGACCGAGGCCGCCCCAATCACAGAGGCAAAGTCACTTGGACGAGGGTGTAGCCGGATAGTATTTTAGTGTGCACATATGATCGCCAGGTGACGATCAAGGTGGTTACAGCTGTGATCCAGCACGAACCGCTGCCAGCCGATGACATCATCCCAGTGGAACAATGCAGCCACCCAATTGAAGTTGTATCAGCAGCTCAGCAAGCAGGGTTGTCGCCGGCCAAAATATACATCAGCAGCGGCCCTGTCGCAGCGATATGCCGACGGTAGATATGCGCTGCTTGAGATCAAGAGCTATGGCCAGCGAGAAGCATGCTGGCCGAGCCCTGTCAAGGCATATCCTGACCAGATCGATCTTGCTTCTTGTGAATGCGGACTAGTCGTCGCCCAAGGCCTCGCCGATTGAATCCCACGCTGATTGAGTAACTCTATCGGCCTGCGGAGGCGTCCGTTTGGGAGTCACAATTCCAGCCTCAGCGCCGACCTGGGCATCATATTAGCATATACTGGCGGGCCTAGCACGCCTTGACTCTCTTTGCCGAGGATATTGGACATGAGGCCGGCGTCGAAAAAGCCCAGCGTACTGCAAGACGACTTTCGCCTGCCAGATGATCCGCGGCGGGTGCTAGTCAAGAGCGTCCAGCACTACATCCGTGAGCGATCGCAGAAACCAGGCTACAAGCAGGGCACCGCTCGCCTTGAGCTCGTCCTGGCGGAGAGAGAGACCAAGCCCATAGCTTGGCCCCCGAACAGCCGCACAGATATCCAACAGTGCCTGCCGGAGCTGCCCGAGGGCAGTCAAGCTGGAAGCGTCTCCTCCTCGCGTCGCTCGAGCTGCTCGCAGTCGTTTCAGAGACGGAGGAGCACGGTTGCTTTCCAGCTTCCGGGCGAGACCGGTGAAGAAAGAGCCTCTCGCAAGACATCCGAGGTGCACGCGAGCTCTCCTCTCGAGAAATTTGCCGGCAGTCGAGCTCCCTCCCGGCGTGGATCGATGTCCCAGGCCGATGTCGATACGGACAAGCCGAGTGGTCGGAGTTCGCAAGCCAGATCCCGGTCTCCTTCGCTATCGGTTCTCCACCGATCCAGCCTGGGCTCGCAGCCAAAGCGCAACGACAGCAACCCATTTGTGCCCCCAGCCGATGGAGAGACGCGAGGCTCCCGTCGGCAATCGCGGAGAACATCCGATAACGTTTTTCTGACGGCCATCTTTGATGAGGGATCCCATCTGTCCATCAATGAGACCCATCTGTCGGAGCCCACTCGTTATTCCTCGATCCACCTGCTGTCGCCCTACCAAAAGTTTCGCCAAATCGCTCGGACAATCGCCTGGGCATGCAACTTCCTCAAGTTCTTGTCACGGATCCTCAAGAATCCCATCGAGTGGACCTGGCACTACGATCCTGGATGCTTTGCCAACTTGCTGAAGGAACAAGCAGAGGCCAAGGCGCGGCTCGCCAGTGCGCCGATGCTGAATCGACACGTCAGCTCCCTTCAGTTTTCGATATCCCATTTGTTTGTGGAGGAGCGAAAGTTTGAGGGATATCTCACTCCGGAGATGCGGTCTCTCTTTCGAAAACTCCCGGAGGAGCGAAATTCACATGACATCGACACTCTTGTCCGATGGACATCGAGCATGCGGTGCTTCAAATCCTTTCCAAAGGACATCCATGTGAGTGCCATCCCGTAGCAAGCGTGGTTCTCGCTGGCCACTGGAGCATGCCGCGGGCCACGGATGGTAACGCTACTCGCATACCACACCAGCGCAAGTTGATTGAAGCCGGCTCCTACGAAAAGTGGGGGAGCAGTCGCACCATTGTCAAAGAGGGCCACCATGCCATGTACTTTTATGTGATCCTCGATGGAGAGATCGAGGTTTCGTATGTTGATTACGAAGGCCACGAAGCCCTTGCATCCGAGGGGCAAGACTACTCCCGGGCATATATCCACATCCTTGGACACCAGGTTGCTGGAGGTGAGCTACGACGAGCCGGGGCAGTCGGGGGACAGCCTGGAACGCCGCTGGACGACGCAAGTAGGCCATGACGAAATATGGCGTTCTCATCAGGAATCTAACGGCTCCTGGCAAAGAATGTCACTGTACTGATCAATTTCGATTCCTTCCATACGCATGGCATTTCGATCGCCGACGCAATCCAATCTGGCATTGAACTCCGGATGTGCAACCGACAGATTCGTTTGGCGAGCTCTCATTCGTAGAACAAACCCCACACGCAACAACAGCTATCACCCAGAAGCCGACCGAGTTTCTGACGATTAGCAAGGAGGAGTACATGGATATTATGGAGATGCGGCAAGATCCCAGCGGCACGGAGAAGCTCGAGATTATGCAAGGCATTCCGCTGCTGTGCACCCTGAGTTTGCCAATGGGACCACTTGCACACTACTGCGAGATTCAATCCTTTGCACCCAACACGGCGCTGATCGTCGAAGGGACCGTGCCGACCCGAATCTATTTCCTTCGGTCTGTTGATGTGCTGGATGTGCTGGATGTGCTGGATGTGCTGGATGTGCTGGGTGTGCTGGCGCATCGATGTCCGAAGCACTCGCCGCACGGAGGGCTCGACGAAATCAGCTTCACCAGCGCAGTGACGGTGGAATATCCAGGGCGATGCAGGGACAGGCAACATGGCCAGGATGTGCAAAGGCCTCTTTGCTCACCACTCGGCTTGTGTATCCGCACAGGAAAGGTACATGCCGTATCATCAAGCTGGTCAAGTTCATCAAAAAATCTTACCACCTGGGCTCCAAGACCACCTTTCACCTTATGCCGCTGGACCGACAGTCCCCAGGCAGCGGGGCGGCAGTGTCCAGCGCCGACGACACAGACATTGTCACCAAGATCCTTGTTGTTGGCGAGCTGAAGCCTGGCGACCACTTTGGAAACGAGACCGATCCGCTCGAGTCCAGCGGATACTCGACAGAGCTGCCCAGCCCCGTCACGATTGTTACGAATGAGCGAGTCGATGTGGCAGAGATGGCCAAGATTGACTTTCACAAGTTCTCGACGCCGCGGACCAAGGAGCTACTGGAAACGGGCCGAGCACCTCTGGCCGACCTGGAAAATCTGTCGAAAAAGTATATATCGGACCGGCTGTGGAGCTCGTATAAGCGCAAGGTTGTGAAGGACATTGTCAAGATGCGCGAGGAGCAGAGCACCGGGAAGCGGGTGATCTTAATGCAGTAGTCGAATGGGACTAGGGCGACGGGCGATGGATGGGGTAATAACCATCATGGTGCTTGTATTGGCTCCAGTATTATTGGGGTGCCATTCCGCAATCCGATGCAACTGATTGCCCCGATCTCCGGCAAACGCACACTGCGGGAGGGCGGAGCCGTTGTGCCAGCAGGGACACCAGGGTATGCCGGAGAGCCCTTGGCGGTCTGCGGTTCGCTGAAGCTTGGCGCTGACGGCCAGCGCTGCACCCTGTCGGTGCATCGACCGGGTTGCGTTTGGATGGCTGTAGCAGGAAGAAGGGCTTCGATAGCGGGCGGCGATCGGCCCATGCAACCAGCAGGCCAGTGCGGCTCGTCTCGGATTCCAGGCAGAGATGTGGTCGATATCCGTCCTTCGTCCTCCGCGTTTCTCCAACCCAACCATTGCGGCCATCGGCCTCCCGCTCACCGATCGCCTTACTCCGGAGCGGTCCCTTTTCTCTTCCGCATCGACGGCATCCGGGCTTCTCCCGTCTCCACCCGCAGCAGCTCCGCCCAGGGCCTGCACCAGGGACACCAACAATGATCGGGCTCGCTCTCATCCTTCCCCCGCCGTCCGTGGACGGCCAGGCCATGATATATCGGTCCATGATCGCCCATCCCAGTGCCCGGCAATCCAGCGCTCGTCTTTCGACTGAGACTCTGCCTGGCCCCCCACCAACGCAGCCCTGCCCCAGCAGCACACACTCCACAGGCTATCGTCTTTGAACTTTCCCCAGCGCCTGCGCTGTCTTGCTTCAAGCCCGCCCTGATCACAGCCATAGCAAGGACCTAATCTCACTGCTCTGCCCCTTTGAGAATCCCGTCTCCCTTTTGTGTTGAGTATTCGATCCGACTCGGTATTGAGTGCTCCGTCGACGCACCGACACTCGCGGCTCGTTCCTGTCTCAATCGATCCGCTCGGCTTCTCTCCACTGCATCTGTTGCATCTGTTGCATCGTTCCTCACGGCGCTCGATCGAAAGCACAACCATGAAGCCAGGCCGATCACACCCGCCTGCCGCCATGGGCACCACCAATCCATACACCCTTGCTTCGTCGCTCGACCTCGAAGACATCGCCCGAGCCAGCCCACCACTGTCTGAGGACCAAATCATCCTGAATCTTCGAGACAGGTTCTTCCAGGGCAAAGTCGCAACCCAGCTGGGCGATCGCGCTCTCATCGTTGTCAATCCGCTGAAGCCCATCCCGGCTTGGTCCGAAACGGCCTCCAAGGAATGGGCCCAATGGGCCAAAGACGGCGTCGTCAAACGAAATCCGCAAACTGAGGAGCCGCTCGCCCACATCTTTGGCCTCGCTGAGGCAGTCTTCCAGCGGCTTCGCCTCGGCGAAGACCAATCCATCATTCTGCTGTAAGTGACCTGCTTCGCGTCCTGCTGCTTGTCTTGGATCACCATGAATTGCATATATAGGCAGTCCGTGCTGGGTCGGGGGTACTTGCAGATCGGTTCTTTCGGCTGACCGCCAAAGCCGACCGCCAGTTAGGCAGGGCTCATCAAATGAGTATCGTGCTGTTTCGGCGAGCGGGAATGCTCGCACGGCAGAATTATGCTCGCCTCAACTAACCAACTGCCTATTGCCCCACGTTTCATCGCCATCCGATAATTGCTGACACTCCCCCGTTGGTACACTTCCCCGTTGGTACACCCCCCGTTGGTACACTTCCCCGTTGGTACACCCCCCGTTGGTACACTTCCCCGCTGACCGCCACTGGTTTCCCCCACGCCGCAGTGGTGAGTCCGGCAGTGGAAAATCCGAATCTGCAAGGTGGATCGCCCGCCATCTGTGCGATCTCAGCAAGGGCTCCAAGAAAAAATCAAAGGTCCATTCGGCGATTCTCAAAGTCGATTCAATTCTAAATGCGTTCGGCTCGGCTCAGACCAAAGCCAATCGCTCGGCTTCTCGGTTTGGCCGCTATGCAGAGTATCAGTTCGACGCAAGGGGCAAAATGGTCGGCCTCAAACTGCTGGACTGCCTGCTGGAGCACAGCCGAGTGGCCTGTCTGCCTGAGGGCGAGCGCAACTTTGAGGTGTTCTACCAACTGCTGGCCGGTGCCACTCCCGAAGAGAGGACTGCCTGGAAGATCGGGGACACTGCGCTATTTCCTCATTTGAGCCACTCAAAGTTCGTTTCGCTTGCTGCCGACGACAAGATTGCCTTTTCAGACCTCGTTCAAAACCTGAAGGCGCTCGGCATCGGACGCCGCCAACAATCACAGGCTTTCCAGGTCCTCGCTGCCATCCTCCATCTTTCGACTATATCCTTTGTCAGTGACCCAAGCCAAGTCAACGAGCCCTGCCGCATTCGGAATCCTGAACAGCTGGATCATGTTGCCGAGCTGCTTGGACTGTCTTCGGCCGATCTACAGAACCTTCTCATTTACAAAACCAAGCGCATCGATCATGACTTTTATAGCGCAATCTTAGACGCCGAAGGTGCGGTCACGCAGTGCAACGACATTGCAAAGTCGCTGTATCTGCTTCTTTTTAGCTGGATAGTCGAGCGGCTCAACATCAAGCTTTGCAAGGACGAATCCGAATGGTCCAACTTCGTGTCAATAGTCGACTTTCCGGGCATTGCGGGCCTCGACCAGGTCGTCTCCGAATACTACCAACTTCTCGCCAACTTCTCGGCCGAACTTGTCCAGTCGATCGTCCTGGAGCAACTTGTCCAGTATCCGCGCGAGCTCCTCCTCTCTGAAGGACTAGAGAGCCCTGAGGTACCGCTCAAAACCAACGTGGATTTGATCTCGGCCGTTATGTTGGATCAGCCCTCTGTCCTCAGCATTATCCATTCTGGCAAAGAGGTGTCGCCGACCGAGACCGCCGGTGCTGTGCTGAGCCTCAAGACAAAGCATCATAGCCTTCTCGAATCCAACAAGACCCGACACGGGTTTGCCATTCGTCACTATTGCGGGCAGGTCGACTATGACTCGAATGTCTTCGACCGCCGTTCCAAGCTGGACACAATGCACTCCGAGATCATCGACACCTTTGTGGGCACGGCCGGTCAAGGCGGATCAGTCAACCCCTTCCTTCGCGACCTTTTCTCGACCCAAGCACTGCTCAAGTTTAGCCACCCCGTCGATAGCGAAGCGAATGTCAAAGCACGAAAGAGAAAGACGCAACTTCGCTCCCCCTCCTCCAAAAAGCATCTGGATACAGGCGATGAAGCGGAGGAGAATGGCGACAATGGCCTCGAGCAGCGAATGCTTCAGACTCTCCGCGACATCCTCGACACGGCAAGTCTGACGAAATCATGGTTTGTCTTTCACATCAATCCCTCGCCCAACCCGCGCACCATGGCAAAGTTTGACGTCGAGACGGTCAAAAGGCAGGTGCGCTACTTTGGATTGCACGTCCTCTCGAAATCCAATGCTCTCTACTATGCCTCCTTTCCGACACACGAAGAAATCCGCGACCGCTACGGCCTGGTCCTTCGTGATCTTGATATTGTCGACGAAATCAGTAGCCCGGCCTCAGAGGCTGTGAAGCAGTTGGTGCAGCATCTAGGTTGGAGAGACAGCGATGTTGCTGTTGGACGCACTCGCCTCTTCCTCTCGACCTCGGCCTACATGGCGCTTGAAGATCATCTCAAGGTTGTAGAAGCAATGGATGTGCCTGAGTCCGAGTATAGCGATGGCGCCGAAACTGAAGCTTTTGAGACCGAAAGTCACTTTGGCTCGGAAATTGCGTACCCGCCTGGTGCAGCTGTACCTCTACGCGGATTTGGGCGCCAGAAGGGCACGACCGACTACGAGAAACTCGACGGCAGCGCTTCCAGATCGCCCACGAAGCTAGGCAAAGGCGAGCCCAATGAAACGTCGCAGCCCTTCCGCGAACTCTCCAAGGCGCGTCGTTCTTGGCTCTGCTGCACATGGTGCCTAACCTGGTGGATCCCATCGCTCTTCCTGAGTACTTGTGGAGGAATGAAGCGCAAAGACATTCAGATTGCATGGCGCGAGAAGGTTGCTCTGTTCATCATCATCATTCTGATGTGCGCAACGATCCTGTTTTTCATCATTGGAGTCGGACTGATCCTGTGTCCCAAAGTCAACATGCTCTCGGAGGGTGAGATCACGATCAGAAACACAACCAGCAACCCGTACGTGATTGTCTACGGCAACTACTACAAGATTGACAATGTCGTCAAGTCTCACGTTGTGACAAGCCAGTGGCTTGGGGCCCAGGCCTTTGCTGCCACGACGCTGGGCCAGGATGTCTCGGCCATGTTCTTCAAGACCCAGTTTGCCAGCACATACTGCCCTGGATTCACACTGCCTCCCGGCTGGGACAACCTCAAGACCCGCAGCCCCCCGGCAGCATTCGAGACGGTGTGGTACTCCCATATCTACGACTCCAACCATAACCTGCTTGATTATGTCAACCAAATCAGCTACATGATGAAGGGGCAGGTTGCTCGAGACTCGACATGGCTGCAAAACTTCATCAGCGCCGACCCGCAAAACAACCGGGTCATTGTCGCATATGGTCGTGTCTACGATATCTCCAACTACTACGATCCCAGCAACGTCCCGTCGTCGACTGCCTCCGGCTTCCTTGGGGCACAAGTCAAACAGATCTTTGACATGTACGGACAGGGGAATATGGCTGGAAAGGACTCTACTGCGCTCTTTGAGCTCCTCAAGAAACCCCAATATGGTGGCCCGGCTGTGTACAGCAAAGTACGGGCTTGTATGGATGGTTTATTTTACACCGGAGTGGTCGACACCCGCAATTCGATGGCCTGCCGCTTCTCCAACACAATCCTCCTCGTGGCCTCCATAATTCTGGTCTCGGTGATTGGATTCAAGTTCTTGGCTGCTCTGCAGTTCGGCTCCTCGCATGTCCCCGAGGATCAGGACCGCTTTGTGATCTGCCAGGTACCATGCTACACAGAAGGAGCCGAGTCCCTCTCGACGACGCTCGAGTCGCTGGCCAAACTCAAGTATGATGATCGCCGTAAGCTCTTATTTGTGATTGCGGACGGGATGATCATCGGTGGTGGAAACGACCGCCCTACTCCAAGGATCGTCCTCGATGTCCTGGGTGTCCCAGCGGATGTCAACCCAACCGCACAATCCTTTCAGTCGCTCGGCGAAGGCAACAAGCAACTAAACTACGCCAAAGTCTATTCTGGACTCTATCATCTCGAGGGCCACCACGTTCCCTTCATCGTTGTTGTCAAGGTTGGCAAGCCAAGCGAGAAAAGTCGGCCTGGCAACCGTGGAAAGCGGGACTCGCAAATGATTTTGATGAGATTCCTCAGCCGGGTCCATTACAACGAGCCCATGAATCCGCTCGAGCTCGAGCTCTTCTACCACATCAAAAATATCATCGGCGTGCATCCGTCGCTCTATGAGTATCTGTTCATGATTGATGCCGACACAGAAGTGATGCCCGACTCGCTCAACCGCATGATTTCAGCCATGGTGCGGGACTCACGGATCATGGGCATTTGTGGAGAAACACAGCTCAGTAACGAAAAGGACTCTTGGGTCACGATGATCCAGGTCTACGAGTACTTTATCAGCCACCATATGGCCAAGGCATTTGAATCTCTCTTCGGCTCGGTTACCTGTCTGCCCGGCTGCTTCTGCATGTACCGTGTGCGCACCCCAACAAACAACATGGCGCTGTTGGTCTCGCACGGAGTCATTGAGGACTATGCCGTCAACGAGGTCAACACCCTCCATCTAAAGAATCTCCTGCATCTCGGCGAAGACCGCTACCTGACCACGCTGATGCTCAAGCACTTTCCCCAAATGAAGACCAAGTTTACTCAGGATGCCATTTGCAAAACCGGCGCCCCTGACAGATGGGACGTCTTGCTGTCCCAGCGTCGCCGCTGGATCAACTCAACAGTTCACAATTTATTTGAGCTCCTGTTCCTCCCCCAGCTCTGCGGCTTCTGCTGCTTCTCGATGCGATTTGTCGTGTTCTTGGATCTGATTGCAACATTCATCCAACCTGCCGCGCTCGTATACATTGCCTACCTCGTCTACACCCTGACGACCGACGACACTGCTGTATTTCCGCTGATCTCAATCATTATGCTTGGGGCCATCTATGGCTTCCAGGTCATAATCTTTATCATGAAGCAAGAATGGCAGCATATCGGATGGATGATCTTTGTAAGTAGCTCTTGGTTTCGTAAAACCTGAGGATATGCATGGTGCCATGAACGCAAGAGATACAAGGGAATCGCGAATGCGTAGGGGAGGGGGGATTCAAGTAGTATGTGCTTTGGCGGTCATGCAGTCGGATGTGTGATGTTGAACCTTGCTGACTTGAGCCCTGGCATATACTCACCACCACTAATGCATCCGTTCCTGTTTAGTACGTTGTGGCCATCCCGATATTTTCCTTCTACGTTCCGCTCTACTCATTCTGGCATTTTGATGACTTTTCTTGGGGCAACACCCGTGTGGTCCTGGGCGAAGGGAAAAAGGCCATCTACGTCGCCGAATCCGAAGAGGTTTGTGCATCCATCGACAGCAAATTTGGGCTGGACTGGGTGCTGAAGCGACGTTGCGTGGAGTTGGAATGATCAGCTTTCTGATATGGCTGGGATGTTTTGCGTGTTCAGTTCGATCCAAGTGTCATTCCATTGAGAACCTGGGAAGAATATCAGCAGGAGATTCTGGAAGCACAGGCCAATGCTACACAAGCAAACCGATTCTCTATGGACTCGGACACTCAGAGGTCTGTCCAGCATTGTTTCGATAGTCCGCAGACGATCCCACCGGCGTACACATACACTAGAACCGCTCTGGACACGAGGAGCAATATCGAGGTGGTGCGCTCAACCACGAGCGAGTATGGATGCGTCGACCGCGGTATCGAGCCTTCTGACGACGAAGTTGTGATGGAGATCCATCAGATCCTGGCAGCATCAGATCTCATGTCTGTCACAAAGAAGGATGTTCTTCGGCAACTCAACGCACGCTTCGGCGTCGACTTGGGTTGGAGAAAGCAGTTTATTCACGCAACCATTGATTCGATTCTGAGATCCCAGCCTTGAGGCTTGTGCTGGAACACATGGCCCGCCTTGGCTAAAGCACGACCAACCGACCGACCAACCGTGCGCGAGCTGCTTCCATTTGACGACGGAAATCAGAATTGACTTTGGGCGGCAGCGCAAGCAGCGTCTCCGAATGCCTCGATTGATTCTTGATATGCCTTTGTTTCCTTGATGTAAAATTGCAATGATACGTACAGTTTATACAATAATATAATCGCCTAGATGGTCAGTTCGCGGTGAACCTTGGCTGCTATTCACGGATGGGAGACTTCGATTGGCCGCCAGCCGAACTTTGCATGTGCTGTGGCAATTGAGGACGCTATAAATGATGATATCTTGGGAGAAATGACTCGCATATACTTGTATATTCGTAATCGACTCAGACCACGCCAACTCCAAAGAAATAGAGAGAACCCAGTGTCCAAACCTGGGGATAAAGTACATATGTACAGCCACCGATAGGACGATATCGTGGAGAGCAGAGCCAAAGACAACCCCTTTACGACGACTATGAATCGCGATCGAGGCGGGTGGAGTTGGATTTGAGCTTGACCATGTGGAAGAGGAACTCAAGGACCGGAACTGAAATGCGGCGCTGCTGAGCGACCTCGACAAGATATCCGTTCAGACAGTCGATCTCGGTGTCGCGCCCCGCAAGGGTATCTTCCAACATCGATGAGCGGTTCGCGGCCGTCCGGGTCGTGATGTCAAAAACATGATCGACGAGATACGCAGAGAGCGCAGTTTCGGACATTCCCAGGCGGTCGGCGAAGAGCCTGGCACATTCGTGGGAGGCCAGCTCAACAAGTCGACTGGCATTCGGACTGTCATTTGATAAGACGCCATTTTGGAACTGACCAAGCGACGTGATGGGATTGATGATGGAATTGGCGATGAGCTTCAGAATCACGATGCGGTTGATCTCGCTGGCTGATTTGATTTCAATATTAAGGTTGGGGGATGCGCCAGCGAGGGGGCCATCGGAGAGCGACGCAGACAGATCCTGCAGAGCTACGAGGGTACGATCGACCTCGGTGTCAGAGGGAGAGTCGAGAAGCGGTCCCAGGAAGGTTTGTCCTGTTGGCCCGCTGAGGAAGATGCTGCTGGGCGAAGTTCGGTAGGCACCAACGGTCGTCGAGCCAAATATGATCCGTGTCGAGGGAATAACAGACCGGACGCTTGCATACGACGACAGAACCCCGTTTTGCAACAAAACAATAACTGAGGACGGAGTCAAAAATCGCACGTATGGCTTAATAGCTTCCAGAGTCTGGTTCGCTTTGGTCGTCACGATCAGATGCGAGATGGTGTAATTGGGCTCCAGATTGCTCGCAGAAGCAGTACGGAAGCGATTGCATCGATAGGAAGCTGGCGAGGGATGCTGGCCCCGGGAGTGAAATCTGGGCGATCCGTTCGTTTGAACAGTAATGGTGGGGAGTGGAAAGCTAGAGGAAGCATCGGCAACGAAGCGATCCAAAGCTGCTTGGGATCGGAAGAGGATGGTTGGAGGAGGAAGGGCAGCTCGTGTGGTTGACAAGAACGACGAGGCCAGCAAACCAATAGCACCCGGTCCAAGCAGGTGGAAGTGGATGGGGTTCATGGTGACAGCAGCGGGAGCAAAGCGAGCGAGGGACAGAAAGACGAGACGACGAAAGTTGATATTGCAGGGCCGCAACACCAACACCAACGCCAACGCCAACACCAACTACAACACCAACCACAGTACCAATCAGCTGTCGCCGGAAGAATGGCAATCTCTGTACATCGAACGGAAGAGGCCTGCTCGGCTCAGCAGAGGCAGGCGCAAAATGAAATGACAAGAGAGGGGTTCGAACCCTCGCCTCCGGAGAGACCACGACCTGAACGTGGCGCCTTGGACCACTCGGCCATCTTGCCTTGTTGGCTGCGTTTCCAAATTTTGACAATATCAAACTATTCTGAACCAGCTCATGAGCCCTGCATCGCTCAATCGCCAGACCACTCCTCCGCTTTGGGCTGCCGACTCCCGAGTTGATTCCTGTATACCGGTATATCGGGTCGATTCCCGTATGCCAGGGCCCGGAATCACAATGCTACCCACACATGGCCCGTCTCTGTTCGCCAGTCTCTCACAACACCGGTTTGAATTTTGATATTCCCTTACATCCTCGCCCATCGCCATCATGACTAAATTTTTTTTCTTGACTACCCATTGGCTCGATTGCCGAGCGAGCTGATACCTTCCCTTGGTCGGCGCAATTTTACAGCCATGACTGACAACGGTTGCCCACGCTTGTCGTTGTTAACAGCTTTGCCAGGATTATTAAGATTAGAGCTCGGAAAACAACATCGCGCTATTAGCTGTCCAGCTGCTGGTTAATTCCAAATCCCGAATGAGAGAAGGACAGGGCTGAAATGGATGGGCAAAAGAATGACAAGAGAGGGGTTCGAACCCTCGCCTCCGGAGAGACCACGACCTGAACGTGGCGCCTTGGACCACTCGGCCATCTTGCCCTGTTGGATGCGTTTCCATTTTGTGCATATATGAACATTTGATATCGTGTTCGAGCTTTGATATCGTGTTCGAGCTTTCGCCACATCATATCAACAGCGAAAGCCGTTCATCAGACAGGAAAGCTCCATCGCCCCTCTGATCTCGTAGACAATGTGTCTCTGCGCTAGAGCTCCACACGACTGCATTCATCTCTGTCGTTCGATGTTCGCTATTGCGCAAGGCCATCCGCTCCGAAGCGGTCTGTTCGGGTCCTCGATTGGGAATGCGGTGGTGTTGGCGCCATCCGCCCAGCAGTGTCCCGCCCTCCATGCTTCTGTGCCTCCAAGATCGTCTGTATCTTACCGAGCCGAGACCCTGTTTAGCTCGCCCATCGTTTATCGTTGATCATCGCCCACCATACATCCTCTGCTTCACAGACAGTCTCTCTGGCTTGTTCTTCTTGACATCAACCCATTCACCATTGGTGTCTCTCGCCATTGGTGTTTCTCGCTGTCTGTACTCCGGTGTCTGTGTCCTTGCGTCCCTGCATCCCGACACTCTTGCATCCCTGCATCCCTGCATCCCTGCATCCCTGCATCCCTGCATCCCTGCATCCCTGCATCCCTGCATCCCTGCATCCCTGCATCCCTGCATCCCTGCATCCCTGCATCCCTGCATCCCTGCATCCCTGCATCCCTGCATTTCTGCATCCCTGCATCTCCAGGCTACCTTGCTGTCTGAATCATAATATCTCATCGAAACATCCGCCCGATCTGCGCCAGATCACTGCAGGCTGCTGCTCATCGGAACAACATAGTTGGTGCTGATCACTGGATCCTGTTCGGATCGCCCCTGGTCGCCACTGATCGCCCCTGGTCGCTGTTGATCGCCACCGAGCCTCGTACTGCCGCTCTCCTTGGTGCCCAAGATCGTTGGCACCGCGACTCCACCTGTCCATCTCTCCGTCTCTCCATCTCTCCGTCTCTCCGTCTCTCCATCTCCAGCCTTCTGCCGGCCATTTTTCTCTCCTCGCCTCTCAGTCCTCTCGCCTCCGTGTCTGTCTCGGCTCCATGTGGTGCCTGTTCCGACTTTGCCTACTTGCGTCCTTGATCCTGGAAGCATCCGCTTTGTCGGCCATATCTCCGAGGCTCAACGTATATGGATCGTCCCAAGGCGATGCCATTTATCTCAGCGATTGTGAGTACCATCCGATGATGTGAACGCGTCGATCGCCACTCGGCCATGGCGCACCGCAGCTGTAACTGCACCTCCATAGACTTTTGGGCCCGGCAACTTGCTGCAAATCATTATATCCGCTTCTCGTTGCTCCTGTGTCAGTGGCACCGTACGAGATTGCACAACCTGATGGATTTCGGGTTTCTATCCTCGGATTAAACGCTTCACACCAGATGCTGTATTCGATTTCGCCGAATCGTCCTTTCCATCGACTGCATTCAACTCTGGGACAATTTATTATTTCTCCCTCTACGAAGTCACTTATGGGAGCTCGAGTTCTTTTCCAGGTCTCCTTAGTAGTCCTGGGCTGCTGCAACTGATCGCCAGTCCGATTGTACCGGCCATTCCGAAGGTATCTTATATGTTCGCTACCGCCGGTGTAAAGAATGTCACCCTCTCTATTTCCGATGTGCCGCCGTATACTGTTTCCGACGGAAACGGTCTCAGCGTCCGAGTTGGCTTGATGTCGGATGGAAGCCCGGCAGTAAGCACCTCGATTAGCTTTGAAGTCATTGATGGACAAGGTTCGTGTAGAGTTGAGCCTGCCCCATGCACATGGCCATATCCTGTCTTACACACACTTGGCTATTTTACGACAACAGACTATACGTACGTGCTTCAATCAAGCTGGGGCAGCTCACCACAGACTCTGTCGGTCTTGAGCACTTCGCCCACGTTCTTCACAGGAGGAAACGTGACCCTCGGACTTTCAATCAGCGACTCCACACGACCAAGTGTTGTTGCCACTGCCCAAGATATTACATACCCTTTCAAAAGGGTCGCACAACCTCCAATCTTGACACTAACCAACTCTACACAGAGTTACAAGCTTCATTTTTCTGCTGATGGCGTATGTGTATTCCTCACCGAAGCTTCGACCAATGTCGCCTCTAACTTCGTTTAGTGAACTCACAATCCGACTGACTCTCTAGATCTACAACTTTGGGTGGACACTCAACGCTACAGGAACGCTGTTTCTATCAAATGAGTCGATGATCGCCACCATCGATTCGTTTCAGGCGTCGATTAACTCCCGTTCGGTTCGGAAGCTCTGCTTGGAGCTCCATATCCCATGGGTCAACGCCAAGGCAGTCGGATTCTCCATGAACAGCACGATCGTAAGTCATGCGCAGGCTTATTGTGGCCACAGTGGTACTGTTTGAACGATGGCCAAGTATGCAGAGGCCTAACGCTGCCTCGATTTGCTCAAACATACAAGAATGGATCCAAAGCTGCTCAATCGCTCGTTGCATACTCGTATCAACCGGCATACTTCCGCATCTCTGTGGACGAATGCAATAGAAATACTGGAGTGGCTGTCCTTGGATTTCAGACCTCGGGATCGAACCACGGCCTCGGTGCGATGATTGTGCTCTCAACGGACGGTTTCTCACAGCAGATTCTCCTTCAAGATCTTACACGAAACTCCGCTGGCACAAGTGCAACCGCAGCGAGCCTGTGTTTTGGGCTGTCGGCGGCTGTATGTCAAGAACTCGTGCTCTACAAGTCGCTGATTGTTGACTTTCAGCTCATTCTTCTCTCGTCGTCCGGTGTCTTCATCAGCGACACCACCAACCAGGCAGCTTCAAGTATATCGGACCTTGGATTCTACACGGCATATCCTGCAACGGCATCGATGGCGTGGCAGCTCTTTGGCTCGTCGGACTGCTGGAGTGGCTCTCCGAGCTACATCTTTGTGGGATACTTGCAAGGCTCCGGCTTTGCCAATGCCGTTGCCTACAGCACTCCTCTACTTGCCCGGAATGCATCGTGGTTCAAGGTCTCTCTCCTGTCCATGGATGCCTCCATAACCACAAGCTTCGCCCTAATCGGCTGTCTTCGAGATGCCATCACTCGCCAAAACATTTATCTCGTTGGCGTGCCCACGGCTGGGTCGTCCAACTGTGGAGTTGTCTCTTGCACTTACCAGCAGGCTCGAATAATCTTCCACTCCACCACCGTGGCCTCGCCCACCTCCACATTTTCCCTCGGATTCGTGTTTCCATCCTCGGAAATTGTCACGGGCATAGCCATGCACTCCAACTCCCAGGAGCTCTTTGTGATGGGTAGTCAGCTGTGGCGCTCGTCCGATGGAGGGAATCTGTTCACAGCGCAATACCAGCTTAACAGCGGAGAATATTTCTCTGGATTCCAATCGGAGAACACCTTTGGTGGATATGTGATCGAGACAACGGCTATGGGACTTTATTATGGCAAAGACTATTCTCTCGGCATCGCTCGACTAGCATCGGTCTCGCTCAATCCAGCAAGTATGTCCTCGGCTATCCTCAACAAAGCCGGGGGTCTCAATTACGTACGCCTTGAGACTGTACCTTCGTACTCCTCCAATCAGTCGCTCTACCCGCAAGGCTTCCTGAAAGATAGCTCCGGGACGCTACGATCTTATCCAGACTCGTTTGTCAAGCGCTGGACCATCCCACTTCAATCGCTCCTCGGGGCTACCGACATGTCGTTTGGCTCTGCATTGGTTCCGGTGATGCAGCAAGATGGCCGACTGAGCTTCTACGCGGCGAGTACAGCCACGAGCAGCACTGTGTTTCTTCCCTCTCACATCGGTGGGCTCATCGGCCTCGCAAGTGGCGGAGTTGTCTTTATCGATGGAATCGATTCCTCGGGCCGCATCGCTTTCGGCATCATCAGAACCCCACTAGCATCAGACTCGGCCTCCATAGCACCCGCCCTCTCGAGTTCTCTCGGCATCAGCGGTGCCACGACGACCTCCTCCATCCTGGCGGCTCTCATCCAACCAACCGCTGTGACGTTTAATGTCACGCTGACCCTTATCAGTCCGCCCACCGGGTCGGTATGGCTGTACAGCGATATTGGAAAAACAGTGATCGCCAACTCCGCCTCGATTCTGATCACGGGTATTGTTAACAGCACAATGGCATCGGGGGAACTGTATTTTGGGTTGACATCAAGCGCCGTGGCATCGCCGGGGACCTGGGGCATATACGACTTCCGGTCGGCAAATAACGTTGCCTTGACCCAGTCGCAAACCCTTGGGGTATCCTCGGTCGCCAACTCAACACTGGTTGGACTTCGACTTTCGGCTGGGTTTATGTCGTTCCAGTACACAGGTGGGTTTGAACACGATTTTAGATGCAGTGAATTGAATGGAGATACATGATCAGGCATCGCGACAGCGCTACAACACCAGTATTGGTGATGTTGACATTGAGTGGCTCGCCATGGATCTCTTTTCAGACGTGGGCTCGGTGATCTATACCAGCGACGGTGGACAAGCGCAAATAATGTACCTCCTCGACTCTCTCAATGCTGCGGTGAGTACCATTGATCGACGGCATCTGCAAATGCCGTATCAAGATGTCATCACAGTAGTACTGAGTCTGATCCTTGCGTGCAGGTGGCTCCCATTCAGCCGTTTGCACAAGCAACCTACTCCCCTGGTACCTGGAATATAGTTCGCCCACTTCCCGGAAATCTCATTCAAGGAATTGCTTCATCGACATCGAATCAGGTTTGTCGGCCCCGTCCCCATTATGTAGAGAATCGCACACAGTAGACCACGTCGAATGTGGTGACGCTATTTCGTCTAACAACGAGTGCGCCCAAAAATACAGGCGCGATCATGGACACTCTACCTAGACGAGTGTGGGTGGACAAGGATGCCAAATCAGGATACCTCCCTTTCGTCCGTTCACTATCTCAGCTATGGGGCAAACATCAGTTATGCTATTGGTATCCAGTTTAGCTCTGGTTCAGAAATAGCTGCCTTGGGCTGGAATGTCCACCAATCGACTCTTCGCTCCTTGAACACCACGGACTATATGATCGGCCAAACGATCAACACGCAATGGCTTCAGAACAACGTGACTGTTGAGATAGTCGACACGGGGATTGTTGTAAGTATCGATGACACACAATGGTGCTGGAGCCAACTGTTTCATAGGTACAGTGAACAGCACCCCCAGTGCCTTCCCTCACCAATTCTATTTGTGGCTGTCCTTCCGAACAGCACGATATTAGTACCCAGTGGAAGATCCCAAAGTCTTCAATCCGATGCCAGGAGAGTCTCGGCTCGCAGAAATTTCGAAGCGGCTGCTCGCCTCAGCGGTACCTGACACCGAGTACACTTCCCATGGCGGAATATCTGTCAGACTCTGCTATACTTCTCTTGGATCTTCCGCTCATGCAAGCGCTCCCGGTACGGAGATCTTGGCGACGAGCCCCCGGGCCATCGAACTGCCCAGGGGTTCAGGTCCTTGGCATTATCCATCCAACGCAAGAGAGCGAGTGATAGGCCCGCCGAACTTGCAGTGGAGATCGAGGGTTGCAAGTGCATCCAAAATGACACAGATGAATGAAAGAGGCACCGATTAGACACGAATAACCTATCTTTTCTCCGCCGCTAGTATAACTATCGGCCTCCCTCCTCGCAGGGCGACTCAATTCCAACATCATCCAACATTTACAACGCCGCTCCTGAGCGCCCGCGTTATAACGATCGCTACGAGATCTCAAAATCAACTGGTGTATACAAGCAGTGCGCCGGAAAGCCAAATCGACAAGCTTGCGGATGTACGGATGAAGAACGGGTGTCGATGATGGTCATGTACTCGGACTGTATCGACCGGGCAGTCAATGTGTTCTACGACACCGCCTTCCTGCCACAGCTCTTTATCAAGGACAATCCAGGCGGAACGGCCCCGCTGCAGTCTCAATACAAGCTTGTTGAGCTCAATAATAGAACCGACTTTTGCGCACCCTGTAGGTTGCTCCCTGGAACCTACCGATTATCGGTAGCGCTACTCAGCGGCTCGAAGCGAGGAAACAGTGCAGTCCACCATTTACTAATGATTCCGGATATACTGCACTTTCCGTGCTCGTGGTTGCTTCACAGCCTCGCTTTGTGCCAATCCACAGCAGGTCATCATGGATCCGACCAATAACGACTCGATTGTCTGGCAGGTAAGTGATATTAACTCTCTGATGCCGGCATGCCGATAATCCCAGATACCGCCTACAGTTACTAAATAGCCACCGCTCACTTAGGGATCGCAACTATTCCACTTTCGGGCAACAGTGATCGGGACAGAGTATTGCAATCTCAGCGCCGAGTTCATGGTGAGCTACAGTTGTTCGGTGCCCATGGCATGCAGCCCCAATACTGATTCCTCCCTTGCTGCATAGGTGTATGTGGTCGAGCCCAGTAACACAATCAACCAGATCGCAACAGGGATGGCGGTCACTGGTGTTGTCTTCTGCGTACTGCTTTTTGCCTGCTATTTATACTACAGGTAAGTAGCCTCGGCTCCACCCTGCCCCCCCCCAAGCGTTATGATTGCGAAATCGAGGGCTAATGAAGACTCTGTCCTTATTCATCATGTTGCATCTTTGGAACATCAGCTATAAGCAGTCGGTTGCCTGGTAGTGGTAACTATTGACTTGATGACCGTCAGAGACATAAATCTTTCTCTACGAAGCAGCGGATGCCATACAAGACGCGGCGACAATCCAGCAGACCCCAAACAGCATCGGATCGTCAACTTGAGAGCTACGTGGGCGAACTTGAGGGGGGGGGTTTGTTGTCAGATGGTGCACAATCACACATTGCTTGGACGAGACATGCAGTGCTCGATATCGACAATTTCCTTTGGTGCCTCGGCCGTGAGTACGATGGGTGTCTTGGTGCCAACAAGAACATCATCCTCAATCCGTATGCCGATGCCACGGTATTCGGGCGGATAGCGCGGTGAGTCGGGGATATACAAGCCGGGTTCTGGCAGACGGTGAACGGTTAGATGGATGATAGGAAAGCGGTTCGCCCTCAAACTCCCGCTTGCTTTCCGAGACAGCTATTCAAGCCAACTTCCCACCTATGGTCACCGTCATGCCAGCTTCGAGCTTCTTTCCTCGGCTCACAGTTCCGATATCGTGAACATCCAATCCAATCCAGTGGCTGATGTGGTGAGGGTAGAGCGCGTTCATTTCCTGGACAAAGGGTGAACAGGTTCCGTAACACATGGTTAGAGCAAGTCCGGAGACGAAGTGAGTATATGGGGTTGCGGCAGTCGAGTTATCGACGCCAGTTGGTGGTACAACTTCGAGCGGTCTGCAGTGGTAGCCACGCAAACTCACAAGATAGTCAACAGTGCGTTTGAACATCCGCTGGCATTCCAGGCGCAGAAGATCAAAGCTGATGTTTTGAATCTCATCGAGTGACATTGAGTGCGACTCAGTGCATAGCTGGATTGTGAAAGTCGCAGCGTGGTGATGGATGGGACGACGGTCAACATGGCCCAGTGAACTAGTTAGCTTTCATGATCGGTAGCATGCGGCATGCTAGCGCTCTCCACGTCGCTAAGACATGAATCGGATGTCGCAGTGGACACAGTTGATAGTGGCAGCGCGTTCATTGATCCGCTCTTACATTGATGCAGTGCTTTTGCACTTTGAGAACCGATTCGTAGACATCTGCTTGGGCCGAAGTAAACTTGCCATTGACCGGCCATGTGCGTGTGATGTCGCTAGCATATCCACCAAACTCCTGAGCGACAAATGGCCGGAATTCTTATCAGAACGCTGTTCAAAATGGACATCGATTCAAAGCAGCGACAACGCATCCACATCCAGACAATGTCGAGATGCTGGTGAGCCTGAAAGCAGCCGTTGGCTACAATAGGCCGGCAGAGTTCTTACCGCTCCAGCATCCATCAAAACGAGATCTCCGTCTCTGCAATTGCGAGTGATCGAGAACAAGAGCGGGTCAGATGTGGGATGGGAGCAAAAGGATCCATCAAACCGGAGATACACGCCATCGATCGAACCAGCGCCTGTATGAGCGGGCCGGCCGTCTCATCGAAACCTTACTTGAGAATTTGCGTGTTCATGGTATAGTGTAGGATCAGAGCATTTTTCCCACCGGCGACAACGGGTACATAGGAAAGGCATGTTGCACCTCGTCTTCGTGATTCGTAGTCGACGATCGCATAGAGATCGTGCTCGGTCATTCCTGGGCGGGTGGCTCGCATCGTCTGACTCGACGTGGTATCGAGCGGACGGTAATGTTCAACGCGTTAGCGTACCAGATCCAGTGCTCATCCGAAACGAGAAATATAGCGCTGCATTTGACATTGGCAACTCGTCGTGGATACACATATCTCTCACTGTCACCCCGCCTACCTCGACAAATGCACGACCAGCCATGCGTCCGCACTCGCGCATCAACTTGGCTTCGGCATCCGATTTCCATAAGCGAAGCTGATTCAATATGGGCGAGAGACGCTTGACTTCTATTTCCTTCCCAACTTTGCCTGATTCCCATGACGGCCATGGACCAGACGGCTTGCGGCGGAAGCCCACATGGCGAAGAAACTCGGTGACACTGTTGTCCTTGCTTGCAGCGCTGGCAGCGTGGCCGCCACTGGTTCGAATGTGCGTGCCGTCGAGCGGGGAAGGAGGGCTCGCAGTGATCGGCAGATCCGTGAACACAGGCCCAGCAGGGGGGTAGTCGACGAGATGCTCGAGGAACGAAGGCAGGGTTTCGATGGGATGGGCCTATGTGTGGAAGAGACTGTCAGTCACTGAGCTGGTAATGGCTGCGAGTCAGGTATTATATATCCATACCTCATCAGCCCCGAAATAAGATTCTGCTCCCTCGATTCCAGCACGAGGACCATCCCAGATTTCGGTACGCTTGTCTCGAGGACGAACAAACATCGTCATCTTGAATCCTCGGTCAAGACTGGGGCTCTTTTCTATTCGAGTGCAGCCAGGCGACAACAAAAGTAAGCGCATGGACGAATCGATGGGCTGGGATATTGGCATTGATGCTTACCGAGGATGAGGGCTGAGTCTGGCTCCATGAAGCCGCAGAGGTAGAGCAGGTTGGTGTTCTGGTGAAAGGGGTAGCTGCAGTGCAAGGTACGGGAATACGGCGATGAGCGGTCGGACAGCGGCAACCGATCCGATGGAGAAAAGGCGAATCGGCGTTGCTGAAACTAAGGCGCTTACAAGATTCCGTTGGTCATGTAGCGGAGTCCGTATCCAGCGACGACGACCACGCTTCCATCCGGGCATTCGCTCATCAACTTGGCTCGACGCAGCTCATACTCCAGTTCGGAGATACCGGGCGTGACTGGCGGACAAACCAAAGGGTGATATAAGCCTACTGTGCTGCCACAAAGAACAGACACCAATCTCAAACGTAGGAACAGCTACAGTGTTGTTGAACATGTACCTTCTCCAGGCTTCATCAGGTGAGGATGGGTGGAAGGCGTCGGCTGGGCGATCAGACCCAGTGGCGGAAGCGAGGCCGCAGGCTTTTGATTCGATCCAAAGGATGGCGATCGAGAGAACTTGATGTCGCTATAGGCGCCAAGGAGTGCCGAAGAAGACAGCGGTCGTGACCGTGGAACTAAACACCGCCGATACCGTCGAAGCGAGCCGAATAGGATGAGTTTGCATGATCGAAACAACAGAGGGTGCCCCAGGGATGCATGAGGGCGAGGAACATGTACGAACCAGAACAGCCATACCCCCGCGGAGGGGGGGAGCGCAGACGACACCAGGTCGAGGAGAGTCTCAGCATGATGACGAATGAACGAGTCAAGCCACCAGCAAGAAGAGGGGAATGGTCGACAGACAACGGATGCGAGCCCCGGATACGGAGCCGAGACGATGCAGCGCAGCACCAAGCCGGATGTCACGGGAACAGGCACCACATGGAGCCGAGACAGACACGGAGGCGAGAGGACTGAGAGGCGAGGAGAGAAAAATGGCCGGCAGAAGGCTGGAGATGGAGAGACGGAGAGACGGAGAGATGGAGAGACGGAGAGATGGACAGGTGGAGTCGCGGTGCCAACGATCTTGGGCACCAAGGAGAGCGGCAGTACGAGGCTCGGTGGCGATCAACAGCGACCAGGGGCGATCAGTGGCGACCAGGGGCGATCCGAACAGGATCCAGTGATCAGCACCAACTATGTTGTTCCGATGAGCAGCAGCCTGCAGTGATCTGGCGCAGATCGGGCGGATGTTTCGATGAGATATTATGATTCAGACAGCAAGGTAGCCTGGAGATGCAGGGATGCAGAAATGCAGGGATGCAGGGATGCAGGGATGCAGGGATGCAGGGATGCAGGGATGCAGGGATGCAGGGATGCAGGGATGCAGGGATGCAGGGATGCAGGGATGCAGGGATGCAGGGATGCAGGGATGCAGGGATGCAGGGATGCAAGAGTGTCGGGATGCAGGGACGCAAGGACACAGACACCGGAGTACAGACAGCGAGAAACACCAATGGCGAGAGACACCAATGGTGAATGGGTTGATGTCAAGAAGAACAAGCCAGAGAGACTGTCTGTGAAGCAGAGGATGTATGGTGGGCGATGATCAACGATAAACGATGGGCGAGCTAAACAGGGTCTCGGCTCGGTAAGATACAGACGATCTTGGAGGCACAGAAGCATGGAGGGCGGGACACTGCTGGGCGGATGGCGCCAACACCACCGCATTCCCAATCGAGGACCCGAACAGACCGCTTCGGAGCGGATGGCCTTGCGCAATAGCGAACATCGAACGACAGAGATGAATGCAGTCGTGTGGAGCTCTAGCGCAGAGACACATTGTCTACGAGATCAGAGGGGCGATGGAGCTTTCCTGTCTGATGAACGGCTTTCGCTGTTGATATGATGTGGCGAAAGCTCGAACACGATATCAAAGCTCGAACACGATATCAAATGTTCATATATGCACAAAATGGAAACGCATCCAACAGGGCAAGATGGCCGAGTGGTCCAAGGCGCCACGTTCAGGTCGTGGTCTCTCCGGAGGCGAGGGTTCGAACCCCTCTCTTGTCATTCTTTTGCCCATCCATTTCAGCCCTGTCCTTCTCTCATTCGGGATTTGGAATTAACCAGCAGCTGGACAGCTAATAGCGCGATGTTGTTTTCCGAGCTCTAATCTTAATAATCCTGGCAAAGCTGTTAACAACGACAAGCGTGGGCAACCGTTGTCAGTCATGGCTGTAAAATTGCGCCGACCAAGGGAAGGTATCAGCTCGCTCGGCAATCGAGCCAATGGGTAGTCAAGAAAAAAAATTTAGTCATGATGGCGATGGGCGAGGATGTAAGGGAATATCAAAATTCAAACCGGTGTTGTGAGAGACTGGCGAACAGAGACGGGCCATGTGTGGGTAGCATTGTGATTCCGGGCCCTGGCATACGGGAATCGACCCGATATACCGGTATACAGGAATCAACTCGGGAGTCGGCAGCCCAAAGCGGAGGAGTGGTCTGGCGATTGAGCGATGCAGGGCTCATGAGCTGGTTCAGAATAGTTTGATATTGTCAAAATTTGGAAACGCAGCCAACAAGGCAAGATGGCCGAGTGGTCCAAGGCGCCACGTTCAGGTCGTGGTCTCTCCGGAGGCGAGGGTTCGAACCCCTCTCTTGTCATTTCATTTTGCGCCTGCCTCTGCTGAGCCGAGCAGGCCTCTTCCGTTCGATGTACAGAGATTGCCATTCTTCCGGCGACAGCTGATTGGTACTGTGGTTGGTGTTGTAGTTGGTGTTGGCGTTGGCGTTGGTGTTGGTGTTGCGGCCCTGCAATATCAACTTTCGTCGTCTCGTCTTTCTGTCCCTCGCTCGCTTTGCTCCCGCTGCTGTCACCATGAACCCCATCCATATCGGTGTTCCATATCACCTATTTCTGTGAGTGATTGTTCTTTATTTTTGATTCCGCCCCTCGTTCCTGTTGTTTCTTTCGCCGCCACAGTGGTCTATTCGCAAGTTCTAGCGGGACCGTTGGTGTGTCGGTTCTTTGGATCGGTGAGGCATTCCGATTTGCTACTTGCTACGGGTGGTCGGCCCGGACTATCAGTGGTGGTAAAAATGCCATTCCGTCCTTGTTGCTCTGCATTCTCTGGGTCAGTTTTCGTTGTTGCGGCTTTGTGGCGTTGATTTCCGGTCCTATATTTGGCTTGCTTCCAACCTTATTGTATGGATCCTCAACCACGATTGGAATGTCTTGTGTCATCCCGTTTGAGAATGTAAGACAAATCTTGCCATGGTGGACGATTGGCTCCGCAGTTGGATCTTCCTCTGTTTGAAACGACTGCAGGTGGCGGATCGCAACGAGCATCATTTCGGTTGGCTTGAGCTCAAACACCGGGCTCGGATCACCAGGGGTTCGCGTGCTCAGTCGGCTTCGAGGCGGTCTTGCTATGTGACGATGATGGCTTTCAGCAGGAGGTGTTCCTTGTGGACCGGTCTTGGGTCGAACATTGACATCCGCGCAAGATACATTGAAGGCATTCTCGGGAAACGCCTCCATGGTGAATGTGCAAATGGCATCAGTTGTATTCTTCAGGAACGCATTGACGGTCCTCTGCCCTGAGCCCGTCATCTGCCGCTTGATTCGTACTTGACCGCCAATGTCGAGTTCAAGTTTGGGTTCGATTGCTTTTCCATGGACATGCAGCTTGGCCAAATGATTGGATTTACTTGGACTCTTCATCTTCTTCGACGAGTTCAGGGTAGAGCTATGCGAATACGTTATCGCACCGTCCGGTTGGATATACCCAATATCCGCGACGATGAACCCATCAAATGTTCCCACGTGCGAGCTCCAGAAGGAAATCTTCATGGATGTGGATTTGAATGCCGGTATTTTCAAATATGCCGGACGTATTCCAAAGGGCTCCTCGTTCTTCTGCAGATAGTCCGGATTGCACATGACGTCGTCGATCTCAAAGCCAGACTCGGTGCTCCCCTCAGATCCTTCGCCGGTGTGCTTCATGTAGATTCTCCACTTCAAAAGGATGTCTCGAGGCGACTGATTCTCTATCTGGATGGTTTTGTAGATCGGCTCGGGCTCGCGTGTGACATGTCGATCTGGGGTAGTTTCCCTCGGCATCTGTATTGCTCTGGTTCCAAAGTTGACTCTGTCGATGTCGGAATCGGTTTTCTTGGATCTCGCCACCAGCTGGGCTCCCAGAAATCGAATCGGCAGCCCAACCACGCCAAGGCTGACCGGGATTGTCTCACGTATCCATCCGCCAACCTCGACCACCATAATGTCTCGATAAACCCCGACAAGATTGTTATAGCTAGTGACCTGTATCTTCACTTCGGCGAAGGGTCCCAGTATTCCTTGACTCGGAGATGGATGAAAGGCAGCCCCGCGGCCTTCGCGCAACAGGCGGTGCATTTTCTTTATCATCTTGCGAACTTCTTTTATGTTGGCAATGTACGCATTTCCGGCTTTCGAGTTGAATCCGATCTTGACTGCCTTTGTGGCTTTCAACAGCAAGACGTTGCTGTCGGTCTTTTGCTCCTGTCCTTTCGCTGCCGTTGCGGTGGCGGCCTTGTTTGTAGATACCTTGGATCCAGTCTTGTCAACTTCATCGCCCTGCTTCTCCTCCTCGTCCTCTTCTTCATCGTCGTCGACATCTTCGTCTTCGTCACCAAGGGCAGTAGCTGCAAAAGTCTCCACCCAGATCCGGAATGGTGAAGGGATCCCGGAGCGATTGCGAATCACCAGCGTCTGGGTCCGGTTTTCAAATATAGGGCACTCAAACCCAAATTTGAGCTCCAGCTTTGACTCGAGAGAGGCTCGTCCCTTTTGAACAACCGAGCGCTTAGCGACGTTTGACTGAAGTTCGGATTTCAGCACGTATTCCAGAAGCGTATTCTTTGCAGGGGGATATTGTGGTGTCGAGGTATCCATATGGTCGTCCAAGCCAAACAGAGCGGGCGATCGAAACACCGATGCCCGGCGAGCCATGTTTGGACCGGTTTGGTCGAGGACGCTTGCGCGCCTCGTCATAACAGCACCGGGGGACTGCTTTGGAGGGCTTCCACCAAGTGAGGGCGGATGGTTCTGCTTACCAACTCCAGCACTCTCACCGACGAGCTCGGCTTGTAGATCAATCGTGGATCCCTGCCTCGATATTCCACCACCAAACGATTGGGATGGACTGCGGTTGCGGAGTCCGAATTCGAGTCGATTTCCCAGCTCCTTGGCCTGCAGCGACACCATACTTGACTCTGTGAGTACTGCGGAGCCCCTTCTTGAGATCGATCTTGCGCCGAGGGTGAGGTTTGAAGCGCTCGTCTCCTAAATCGGGTTAGATATTTAGTGATCATAATCCAACTCCCTATGTCGCTGTGACTAAGAAGCAAATCGCGCATTCAAACCTTCTTGCCGCATGAATACCTACGCTAAGGTTAAACGCCGAAGAAGGGCGACTGGCTGAGAGCCTTTGGGCTGGTGCCGAATCCTGGGAGGGCGAGATACTGTTAAATATGCCTACTTGCGGCATGGACTCGATTGCATCCCCAGTTAGCCTCGTATCTGATCAACTCTCGAGTGTAAACTCACTACGTTGAGCTCCAAGGCCGAAGATGGTCGTCGTCCAAGTAGTCTGCCAGGCTCCGGACTCAGCTGCATCCGTGATCCTCTGTTGTCCTGCTGCTTTCATCAAGGGATGCAATCTAAAGTCAGCCCAACGCAAGCACCACCGTCCTCACGGATATCTCAAGACATTTTGATAGGTGACGATGGCCTCTGCTGCCGCCCTAGTGGCGACAACTCAGCCTTCGACTGGTCGCGCTGCATCGTGGTGGTGATGGGTGGACCTACCCCGGCAAGGTTCGCTGACGACTGTCGAACAAATGCAAGGGTTTGCTCTCCCATCATCGTCTGGTAGCGACGCACGACATGCTTGGTTGTGGCCTCCTGTTGGACGCTGATGGTCAAAGGCTCCTCCATATGCACGACGTTGCCCTGTACAATGAGCGGTGCCTTGGTGTCGCCCTGCAGACCAAGTGAAACACCAAGTCCGCATACATAAGCATCGAGCGTCGCCCCAATCCACCCGCCATTGAAGACCATTCCGTGGATGTTGCAGGGCAAAAGCAGCCCCTGGAAGCTGCCCATCTGTTTGCATGTGACTTCCACTTGAATCTGTGTCGTCGCCTCGCTGTCGATTTCTCCGGACTCTGGTGTAAACTTTGCGGTGAAGACGGTGCAGTTGACCGACTTCCATTTGAACTGGGTCTTGAGAAGCGTTTGGTTCCTCAGTGAAATCGTGTACGTAAACGGGATTCCAACGAAGCAAGACAGAGAGTTGGTCGCGTTCGGGATGGTAACAATGGGAGTGGTCACAATCGAGTGCACCTTGGTCACGGCTGCTGAGTGGGTCAGGTTTTGATCATGAATTAGACAGACGAGCACCGCGCAAAACTTTTGATACCAAAGCGGAATGAATGTGACTTCAATCATGACCATCTGAAACGGATCGAGAGTCCCACAGTCGGGTGAGCATTCGATAAAGTACGGCCGTCCTTTCTCGAGTAGTCGATCGTGGACTTGAACGGACCATGAGAGTGCAGTGCTGGTGCTGTTGTTGAGGGCAACTTGGAGGGTTTTTTTCGTTCCTAATGCCATCAGACCAAAATCTAGCATGTCGGTTCCAAATGAAATGGCGTCACTCAAAAGGCTGATCTTGGCGCTGAGAGGAATGTGCGTTGGCGCGGGGCAGTCGGACTTGCATACAAGGAATCCATTAACCATCCCCGGGAATACCCCGGTCAGCTGGATCTCGTTGACTCGGATAGAAAATGGCGGGATTTTTCCCTCGGTCGACTTCATCTCTACCTTGAGAATGTGCGGATTGATCCCTTCGACCTCCCACGAATACGACAGCGGAGAGACACTAAAGTTGAGCATGTAGATTTGTGCCTTCCACGTCTTGCTGGTGGGCAAAAGTGCAGGAACTTCGATGATCGGTGGGTAAACATCCATTTGGTACTGTATACCGATGCCCTTGCAATTGATCTTGAGGGCAGACTCGAGATCGCCGTAGGTCTGTGCGCGCGCACCCTTGGGAAGGCTTGGGTCGATACGCTCCATCTCCTCGATCAGTATCAGCTCGGCAATTGTGTCATACTGGATTGTGTACCGCGGAGAAAAGTTGATGGTGAACTGCATTTCGGTGGATGGCAGAATGTATCCAGTGTTGGGGTGAATGGAAAACGCATCGTTGATTGAGCAGTTCTTCGGGGTCAGCTTGTGGGTTGCGCTCGGGTAGTCAAAGACCGTCCAGTAAAATGGAAGGCGCAGGTTACTCTTGTTGCGGACCGTCATTTTCCAGGATGTAACGGCATGGGGATTCTGCTCCTGAAAGTCGAGGACCAGGTCGCCCTCGCAGAGGGCAACGGCTTGACCGCCTTCTGTTTTGACAGAAACCACTTCGAGCAGTGGCCGCTGGGCCAAGCCAGTGACTGGTAGGCGGAGAATTTGACAATTATCACAGGCTATCTTGAGCGTGACGCTGTCCAGTCTCTCGAGCGCCGTAGGGTCATCGATCTCCTGCGGAAGGTAGCGCACCAGAACCTTCCCCGACTCTCCCGAGCCCGTCGCAAAGTAGGACGGAAATATCTCGAACGATCCGTAGGAAACGCTTTGGTCTGTCTTGAAGAGCTCCTTTCTGCGGAATATTTCGTATGGATCAAGCTCTTCGTCTTCGCGCATTATAAAGAAGCGGCCCGCTCCGCCGATATTGGCAAAGTGCCACTCCTTGAGCGCCGCATATCCGGCGCGACAGGGCCCGCAGTCCAAGATATCTGGGATGGTCAGGACTGGCGGGTCTCTCTGCGCGACAACATGCACAGGAAACTCCTGCCCTTGCTCTGTATAGACCATGAGAACCTGTTCGTAGTTGGCGAGGGAATCGGGCGAAAAGGTGATGCGATACTTGCAGCACATCCCAGGGGCCAGCAAACCATCGTACTCCTTGGGCAGGTCGATGAGCACAATAGAAAAGTAAGGCGAGTATTCGTAGGGCGGAGGCGTGCTGATGCGAAGTCTCTGGGAATGGGATGTGGTGTTTTTGAGGGTCAGGATGTTGGTGTACTTTTCGAACGGCACGTAGTTGGTGAAAATCACAGAGGACGGAATAGCAACTATTCCGATTCCATGTGATTGTGAGGGACGGACCGTGGACTGACGCTGAAGCAAGGTAGCGGGCTCAAATGATTTGCGGCGAATCTGATTCTTGAATCGAGGGTTGGTGAGGAAGCTGACTCTGGAGTTCATTTGGTTGATGATGTCCATCTCCGCCTCGGAATATACATGCATTGAGTTTACGGCCGCAGCTTTGATGACTCTGGGTGGCTCGAGACCACGGAATATCTTTTCAAGCTGGAGGAGCTCGCTTTCGATCTGGAGGATTCCAGGCGTCTCGAGATTCTTGACAATATTGCAGCTCAGAGTCCATGAGGACCTCAATCCGTTGGGTGATCGGTTGACGACAATGGTGGGAACCCGATCCAGTACCCTTGGCTTGGAGGGCGGTTTTGGCGGTGACTTGAAGCCAAATTCGGAGGCCGGAATGGGAATGAGTCCCTCCTGCTCCAGCAATTCATTGTCCTCGTCCGAGACAGCAACGAGCTCTCGACGAGTCGCAAGTCCTGTCTGCGTGTACTTTTGGCCGTACTGCTTTATGAGCGAAGCCTGCTGGTCTCGTTCGCGATTGAAGGCGGCGGTTTTCGCGCGCTCGAGCTTCTGCTTGAACTTTTGGAGGATTTCGTTCTGCTGCCTCCACTGATCGAGGATGAGCTTCTGGTCACTGAAAGACTCTGCCGAATCAACCACCTGCTCGAATTGTCGGGAGAGGCTGTATACATCGCTCAGGGTGCTGATGCTTCCAGAGGACTTGAGTCCCGCCTGGTCCGACTTGCCTAGATTCGAAGCAAGCCGCACGGCGCTCTTTTTGGAGGCTGCGACCTTGCTGCCGAGCCCACTGGGCTTTGGCACACATTCGACAGCCGGTAGTACTTGGGACTTTTTCGAGGCCACGAGCTCCCTAAGCGAGATAAGGTCGGCCAGGCTGTCGTCGAGATCCTTAAGAAACATAAAGTCGTTCTCGGTTTGGTTCCAGACCAAGCTGGAATAGACAGGTCGCTCGTGGGTCAGGAGCGTGGCAAAATCAATCCCGGAGCCGCTGTCATCGGTGCTCTTGCGACTCTGGACAGGAACAACGCCAGAGTCCTTGTCGATGGGAAGGGGCGCTGCCGGTTGGTTGAGAGCCTTTGCGGCCGGACTGTCCTTGGATTGAATCAGCGCGTTCGCTTCGTCCTCGGGTTGGCTCATGATCTCGCTGTTGCTGCCGTCGGCATCTTCCACACAGATGATGAACGAGGGCAGCGACGCATCGGATTTTTGAGGTTTTCGCATCGTGGCTCCCGAGTCTCGGCTGCTGCTTGGCCCCAGACGCGGAGGGCCAGAGGGCGATGGAAGCCCGAGGTTCATGGTTGCTTCAGGCCCGATCGCGTCCAGTAGCCGAGAGTGGATGAGTCTGCCGGCAGCGCGACAGGATCTACGGAGTGGTGGAGAGCTGGCCCTGCAGTCGATCTGCCTGAAGAGTCGGGTGAGCTTGCAGCAGAGATCACGGTTGGACTCAGTGGAGTGCAGGCTTGAGGCCAAGACCAAGTAGGTATGTCTTGTCGGGCGGCAGCTCAAAACGCCCGAGCAACGGCCCCCGCCCAGCCCAAATCAGAACTTTTGCACCCGCTCACACGGGCTCGATTCGACACATTCAACCTGGAACGATTCGCATCTGTGCAAGCGGTGTGGCGTCATGGATCACGGATTCTTGATTCGTTCCCAACCATATCAAAGAGACCCATCCAGCGTGTGCTTCGTATGCACACCTGCTGAAATAGTAGTGTCGCATGAGCGGCGACTGCTTGATGGATACCATGATGTGCCTTCCTAAATGACCACAGTTTGATAATCACGCCCGAGTTATCACAGCTGAAGGATCACAACAGGGCAGCGACTCTTAAGCACTGACCATCTCAACGACAGGGTTCTGGCTTGGCTGTTGTCTAGAATCCAAAATAGACATCCTCTCCTCCCTGGCTGACTGGGGCTGGAGGCTGCATTTGGAAAAAGAAATACCATCGAGCTCTCAGCGAATGTTGCGTTTGAACGAGGCCGAGAGCTCCGTGCCCCGTTCAGTGGATCGTTCGGATACACCAGCGGAGCCATCAAGAAGCAAGGCTGCACGAGTAGTTTGTGTGAACAATCTCCCGCGTGCTACATTTCCACCTCTCTCCCACCAGCGACATGCCTGGTGTCCGATGGCCCTTTGGTTGTGATTCAGTTGGTGCAGCGGCCTGGGGTGGGGGCGCACGGTCAGACCCTGTGCCTGATCCCCTGGTCTCAGTTCGCTCCACTTTCCAGCATCATCCCCAAGCGAACGCGATATCGTCGATCCGCTGGACAGGGGCTGCTGCACTTCCTCTGTCGAATAGCTGTACCCGCGGTGGACTGCTTCTCGTCACCAGACCCGATCATCTCGACGACGCTGGCCCCTCAACCACTCCCTGTCTCTCGAGAGTGATTCGGGGCTTCAAATCACCCAAGTCGCCAAGGATTCTACGCGTTCGTTGCTGCTGTTGGCTCCCTCTGGCGGCCGTAGAGTGCACCTTCCTGCCAGCGCCAACCATCACCCTTCCGCAACATAAATATCAATTCTATGTTACGATGCATGCCAAACTGGGCGGAAAACGGGTGCATCCATGCCGCGATGTCGGGGCGTCTTCCCCGGAAAGCCTGGACCGTGTCGGGTCGCAGCAAGTCCCTCGCGACAGCAATGCAATGTCCAGCCCCTCAACGTCGGACGACAGCCTCCTTCGACTGATTCCCACCACCAGTGCGCCACGATCGTCGATACACGCCGAGATAGCCAACCGACTGACTGACCATCTCTTTCGACTGCTCGGATGGTCGGAGAGACTTGTGGAACACGACTATTCGCTCTGGTTCCTTCAGCGAAACATCATGTATTGGCGGGCGTCGCTGCTCGGGATATTCGCGGTGGTCCTGGCCGTCAGCGGCCATCTCGTGATCGTCATTCAATTCGGGAGTAGCTGGATCAACGTCGACTCGAGTTGTTGCTGGGTATTCTGCGAAGCGACGTACCAGTTCCAGCTCGATCTGATCATGATTGCCTTTGGCCTCCTGACACCCATCCTGATCTGCATTGGGCTATCGCACACGAGCGACTCCTGGGGCTCGAGCCCAAAGCTCATCCACATCCTGGGATCGATTCTCACCATGGTCGTCAACACGATGTTAGGTGGGCTCTCTTTGGCTGACTTTGCAGCGTGCGCCATGGATCCATTCTAACCTTCCCGCGAATACTAATTACGCGACGGGTGGTGGATGGCACGCGGAATGCACTTAGTGCTCCGGTTCAAGATCATCCAGCCCAGCGTCACCGAGTGGCTACCCACGATGGCCTTTGTGCTGGTCTCGGTCGCATTTCCAATCATTCTTCGCACCGAGTCCTTATTTGTGGCCATCTCGGGAGTCCTGCAAATCCTGGCCTATTTGGTAATCTACAAGTTTACCTATCAATCGTCCAGCCAAGACAATCTGACCAAGGGCGAGCAGATCGGCTGGATGGTAACGGCCATCGCCATCAGCATTGTGTGTGCGATCCACATCGAAAAGACCGAGCGCAAGTACTACGTGGTCCTGATGGGGCTGCAGGAGTTCAACACCAAGCTCCGGTCCCAGCTCTCGAGTCTGCAAAAGAAAGTGGACGTGTCGACGGACGAAGTCCGGACGTCGGTCTCGAACCGTCATGGGTTTGGTGAAGCCCTGGGTTCGCCGCTGGAAAAGTCGATTATGGCCCTCAACGATCTCATCAAGAACCGTCGGATAGACGACCTTACCCGACACCAGCTCTGCAAGTGTCTGGATTGGCTTGGAAACGAAAACATTCTCACGCCCGACCTGATGGCCCAGATGACGCAGGACATCATCTGGGCGGACGAAGAGCAGGAGGTGAGTGTCTTAGAAATCCACGTCGCAAGTACGATACCTTGATCCGGAACGAGCTCAGTTGCGCGACTGGGTCAAAGCCAGGCTGCGCTACTGGGCGGGGCTACGTAGATTCACGGTGCTGCGACGACAGTGCTGGTTTTGATAAAACCCAGTTCAGAGAATTCATGCTACGCCTGAGTTGCAATCTCTGTGTTGTAACTGAACTTGGGCAAGGAGTGTGTCGGTCGGTGCGCCGTGAATGGTGCTCTTCCGCGTAGTGCAGAGCGACAAGCGATGCCGGTTGTCGAATGTATGCCTCTCGGCGGTGCAGTCTCATCGGCTGCAATCTTTGCTACTCGTCCCCATAGAGCTGGCTCACAAACTTGCTTCCGAAGCGACGGTCGGTAAAACAAGGGCAGCAGCGGATGTCGACCAAGGAGAGGCGGTTCCGTGGCATCGATATTATCGAAGAAGAGTGCGCCATGCCGGAGGAAGAAGAAATTGAGGCGCCCGTCACTCACCGGCTCGAGCCGCAGATCTCGTCCACGCACCGGACCGTTTCGTCAGACCATGCGCTGCGGGAGCACATCCTGTCGCAGTCCAAACTCTGGGAATGGGACGTTTTCAAACTGGAAGAAGTCAGCGGTCGCAAGCCGCTTATGCATCTAGCATACTACTTGATCCAAAGGAAAAACTTTTTCCAGATCTTTCAGATACCGTCTGGAACACTCAAAAACTTTTTGATTGCGATCGAGGCCGGCTACCAGATGGATGTTCCGTGTAAGTAGTTGCTCCTGACGAGAGCATATATATGTGCTGCAAGTGTGGTCCAATGGAGAAGTGGTGCGTGGGCTCGCGAAACGCCGTCGACCACATCCCCCCAAGGCGACGAAGACGCCGTAACTGACCTGTCGACGATCTGCCGACGATCTGTCGCGATCCAGACCACAATTCCACACACGCCACAGATGTGCTGCAGGCTGTATCTTACTTTCTGGAGAAGGAGAAGATGCAAGGACAAATCACCGATCTGGAAATTCTGGCCAGCTATATCGCAGCTGCGGTTCACGGTGAGTCCGCCTTGTCGCCCTCTGCGCCTGAAGCAAGGTGCTGACTGAGGCAAGGCGTTGATCGGAGACTGGCAGAAGACATGGACCACAATCCGGCTGGGCGCCAAAGCCAGCTTGGCAACGCTGATTCTGCATTGGGCCGTGCTGGTAGCCATGACGGTGGTGCGCCTTGGCTTTAGTATCAGACTTTGTCGTAGTTCTCACTGGGCCGAACGGCCGCGGTACGACCTTGAGCCCACGAGCAAGCTGTCCCCGCATCGACACTTATCACCCTGAATTTGATTGGATGTGGCGGCAGACCACAAGCACCCAGGTGTCAACAACCAGTTTTTGGTGGCGACACGAAACGAGCGAGCGATGCTCTACAACGACCGGTCTGTCCTGGAAAACTACCACGTCTCGACAGCATGGCAGGTTATGATGCAGCCAGAGAACAATTTCTTGGTGAATCTACCAGAGGAAGACTACCGACTGTTGCGAAACCAGGTCATCAGCATGGTGCTCGCGACTGATCTTGCGGGCCATTTTTCGACGCTGTCGGCATTCAACAACAAGGTGGGCATATAAGTAAAGTGTGCGGAGTGGAATTGGCCGAATGGATGTTATTGGCGATAAAGGAGCCACCTCCACAGATAGACCGAGCGCCGCCACAGATCAAGGCTTGCTCACATTTCTTGACCGTACATCTGGCGCACGTCGGGCAGGTACTCGGCACCAATACTTTTGACATCAACCAATCCCCAGAAGATCGGGCAATTTTCTTTCGGATACTGATCAAGTGCGCGGATGTGTCAAATCCAGCACGGTCGTGGTTGGTATATACGTCGTGGATCGAGAGGCTGATCCAAGAGTTTCTGAACCAAGGCGACGAGGAAAGGAAGCGAGGGCTGCCGGTGAGCCCACTCATGGACCGAAGCAGCATCAACATCCCGGCAGGCCAAATCGGATTCATCGATGTCGTTTGTGCGCCAATGTACGAAAGCTTCACGATGGTCGTGGGGGCGCCCGAGATGGTGACGAGCATGAAAAAGAACCGCGCGATCCTCATGAGAATGAGAGACAACGAAATCCCGCCGCTGCGGCTTGGAGAAAACGGCCGGGTCATACAGCGGGTTCGCTCAACAATTCGGATCGCTGGATCAACAACGCCGCCTGTCCAGCCCACTTCGTCGTCGCTACTCCAAGTCAGCGCCATAAGTGTGCTGGCACGGCCGGCCGAAGACTCAGCATCGAAAGGGTCAACAGAATGAGGATGCTCGGATAGCGGCAATGCCAGGCTGTAACAATCTAGAAGAGCTATGCATTGGAGTATGCACCATGTCGATCGTCAGCTTCGCACGAACCTCGAAAAATAAAGAATACAAAAGTGAAAAATCTGCACGACGAAAGTACCGAGCTTGAGCCAAGGATCAATCATGACGCTCTGCACTATGCACGAAGCCGTCCAACGGGTTGAACGAATGAATCCGCCACACTCCTGCATCGCGATGTCAATGCCAGCTGATGGTCCCCACCGGAAATCGACTGGGCGTATTCAAAACTGTGTGGCCTACAGCGCATCAGGCGTCGGTGCTGTGATCGTTGCAGCGGGGTCGTGACCAGTTGCTGCTCTCTGCAAGGAACTGTACCGACAGGCATATGTATATTGTGCATACTCAGGCTCGGTGGTCCAACCCCGCTCGCTTCCAGCTCTCTTTGGCGTAGTTTGCGCTTGTTGAGCCGTAGAGCTCCATGGACTTTCGGCCGCCCCAGACCCAACCATACTCCTGGTTGGTGGTGGCGGGGGTATTGTAGCATTCTTGCGGGTTTTGCCGGGTACGGACATACGAGCGCCCAAAGCTGGCGTTGAACGAGGACATATGGACCCGATTTTGACTCGAGATCCGGGTTGGGGACGGCTCCGGGTGAGTTGAGAACGGGGCGTTTTGGTGGGCGGGAGTGACCCGCACCGAGCTGTTGCTGGTTTGGGATGCGGGATCGGGCCGTTGCCGGTGGTATGGGGCATTCGTGTGCGCCAGGGGCTGGCCAGTCTGCGGATCGTGCTGGACCTTGAATGTCGGAGGGACATAGCCTTCGGGCGTAACGGGTCGGGTTGCCAGCGGGTTTCGACTCGGCGAGTTGATGATGCTATAGGCGGACCACTTTGTGGGCTGCCGGCAGCAGAGCGGACAGTGTACAAGTCAGCATGGCCCGGTGCATTTGGTGGCAGACAGACCAGCAGACCGACACTCGAGTCATGGAGCTGTCCGGTGATCGTGGGCCGCCATCCTGCAGCTACCACACCGATTCGAGCGAGTATCTGGTAGGTCGTGGCCCTCCAACCGGGACGCAGCATGCCGCTCACCTGGGGCTTCCCGCAAAAGTTACTGGGCGCCTGCTCGCCCATATACAGTTTGGGGTCGTTGACAAAGGCCCACTTTTCGCTCCATTCGCGCTGGCCCTTGAGTTCTTTGGCAACTCGGTCGACCCTGGAATTACGGCGACAAGTCCGAGCGATATGAACGGGCCGATGTTGGGACATGGGCAACATGATATAGATCAGGACCGGAGAAGGGTCAGAAATCGAGCTGCACTGCTGACTCGAGTAGTGGGATGGAAGCCGTCTTTCCCACTGGTCGACTTTACTCTACCCTGAAGGCATATTCGCCACCGCCTGTCCTGTCGGTCGTGTGGACCGAGTATCTCGGACGGCGCCCATACGTTGTCTGCTTCGGCTTTTTTCTACCGAATACCTGCCTGTTGCGCTCATCCCCATGTGGGAACCATTGGCATTCCCCGCACTCCCATCATCGCGCCCATGACTCGAGACTACTTCGCCGGCCAACACCCTTGATTTGTGGTGCATTTGTATCTTGCCCATCCCCACTTTCCCATCCCCACTTTCCCATCCCCGACAAGAAAAGAAGGTACCAGGACTGAAAAACATACCAGGACTGGTCGTTCATCAGTAGCGTCACATCCCGATCCCGATCGCGCTGCGTACTTGGGGGCTGAGGCTTTGCGCTCGGGGGCTTTCCGCCCTGGCGCTGATTCGGAGGATTCTCACGACGAGAGTTCTGAGGCGGCGGCTTGGAGGTGTTCTCGGTGCTTGCAAAGTGTCGTCCGCGCTGGGACTTCAGCTTTGGCTGCTGGAATGATGCCTTCCCATTGGCGGGGTTTGATTTGCCGCTGAGGCTGGTGGCCGATCCCGTTGTTCTGGCGGTGGTGGAGGTGGTCGTGGATAAGGCTTGAGTACCTGCGGCAGAATTGGAGGCGGCAGTTTTGATCGAGGTTCCTGTGACCGAGACCAGAGCGGACATGGTGCGAATGGCAGCCGGACAGGATGGGTTTACCCCCAAGGCAGCCTAGGGATGGGCTTGGGCGGTGGATATTTAGCGTTTGCGGATACCAAAAAAACTCCAATATTACACCAAAGACGGGCCTGGAGACAGGGCTGGTTTCGCAACGATTCGGACTGGATGTGGCAAAATGAGCGTCGCTAAGTCAGCGGGGCAGGCGGCAGGGCTCCTAACGGAATTTCAGCCGGCGCCATGCAATTCGTTGATGCTTGGGCTCTTGGGCTCTTGGGCTCTTGGGCTCTTGGGCAATGGCGACCGGGCGCAGCGGACAGTATCAGTGCCGATATTCAAGCGGAGCGTATGCTGGGAGTACTTTGGCCGGGGCAGGGTATTTTTCTCGAGGGGAGACGGGCGGGCACAATGGACAGGAGGCCAGCCGGAGACCGCAGGGAATATCGCCAACAACCACAGGCCGGTTGGGAATCCAGAGGCAAATGCAGGACTCGGCAATATATTTGCGCGGTGAACTTGCTCACGCCGAGCAAGTTCAGCGCTAGGCGAGACTGGGGCTCTTTCCGGCGGTTCTGACGTTGCTCTGGTCGCACTCTGCCAATCACGTTTGGTGCTCGATTCCGAGCGTTAGAACTCATCGGACTCGGGTCTGCGGCGAGCAGTGTCAGAGCGAAGGGGAATACGGGCCCGGGCATCGATCAGGGCAAGGTCCTGTGTGTGCTGAATCGAGCGATGGGATTCCGTCTGTGGATCTGACTCTGTGCAATAGAGTCTCCGGAGGAAAACCAAACGAGGCAGACAGCGCCAGTTCCGCCAAATGCTTCCCAAGCGAGACCGCTGCGACTGGCTCTGCGAAGCAGATCTATCTCGTGTATTCACAGGCGGTCTGCGCTATGGACCGGTCAGCAGCAACGATAGAAGTGGCCATGTCTCTCACCGCCAAACCCGATGCTTGGCGGACCAACCCAGAACGCATGTCCAGCCTGCGAACCCTCCCCCGAGGCATCGTCGCCTCCACCCTCGCCCAACGAGTCTCTGCGGGCAGCCGGATCTCCATCCCCTCCAAGACGCCGCTCTGGGCTCCATGACCTCCATCCCCGAGCCATCCTCCTACCGAATGCCACGCGACCCGACCATGTGCACACGGCACGCCATTGGCCAGAGATCCTGAAACGGGGGTGGATGGAGGACCACGTGAGCACCTGGCGCCAAGGAGCGAGAGGGCCCGAGGGCAAGCGAGACGCAGGCGAGAGGGCAGCGAGAAGGCGGGAGGCGAGAGGGCAGCGAGAAGGCGGGAGGCGAGAGCGGCGGAGCGGGCTCTGGCGGGAGCGAGAGGCCTCTCGGCGAGGGCGCGAGGGACGAGCAGCCAGCCACCCAGCAGCAGCCAGTCCGTGCTGATCC